AGACGAAACATGAAAAGGCCTCTCTGAACTGTGGACCACATGGACCATGGGCCATTCCACCGAGGCACGGGCAGTCCCAATTGATTTCACCTGTCACCGGGTTATAGGCACCTCCAGACGACTGTTCTTCCCTTGGTGCTTCTGCTGGTGCGGCAGGTGGTGTTTTATCCGCATCCTCCTCTATCACGGGTACTGACGTCTCAGGGGATGCCTCTTCTGTTTGTTGTATTGGAGCTGGAGAGTCTGCAGCGGGAGGTGAGGGAGCTGTGGAGACCGGAAGCTTCTTATGTGCTACGAACGTATCAGGACAGCGCTTACTGTTAATCTAAATGAACACGTACCGGACACAGGTTGAGCATCGAGTGATATTCGCTGACTGTCCGAGCTCAGCGACCAAGCCATGTATGCAGCAAGCGTGACGGTAGCTCCCAGTGCAAGTCCAGACCTGGTTGGATAACTTTTGAATACACGCGCGCTCGAGCCGGCATTCGTATGGATGTATCTGCGCAGTGGCAGTCGTGTAACAGTCCTGAGCATAGTGGGGTACCCGGTAGACAAAAACTAAAATCCGAGAAGAATGCTACAAAAATTCGGATTTGTCACTTCACATGATGACGCGCGCCCGTTTACGTTTACTAATCCCGAGCCAAATATTCGCCACACTACGAAAGGGCAGACTCAGTAATTATACAAACTCTTTAACTCAGACTGTCAAGTCTCCGATCCCTTGCTTCGTTCAGTGCTCAGCCTCGTAGAACACCATGTAACACAACGAACTGGAACTCCCACAACGCAGTCACTGACTCGTGCGCCGTGCATCCAGAGCCAGCTGCATGCCTCAATATCATCATGAGGTGCCGTAGCATAATATATATGCACATTTCCCAACACTTTAAGGGTTGTTGTCATTGTTCTGACTTCAGAGCAGATAGATGGTACTTGATCCACCAACTGAACTGACCCAAGCTAGAATATACGCAAGTTAGTAGGGCCAGATATTTCATATTCCTGCAACTCCGCCCTTGTCGTGAAACAGTGCTTATGTATTAGAACGTCACATAGGTTGCGCAGCAGTTAGTAGCGGCGGCCCGCACAAATCCCCGACTCGGACGCCCTTGACCAGTCAATTCCTTCCCGAAGGCTTGTACACAACGTTCCACGATCTATGCAATACATATGTCTCTATCGTTCCTGGTGTCTGGCCGGCGTTTCCCAAGACCCAGAGTCGTATTCAACACCCTTCACAGGAATGGCCTTCCCGTCAATATTTCAATGATAGCCGTTCAGTGCTGTTCATGTAAAATCTCGTTGGCTTTAGTCCACCCAACGCCTTTTGTATTTGCAGGCCATCGAGATCGCCTTAAGTTACAAGTAGTATCTTTTTACATTTGACCGGCCTATTCTACACTGCCTATTTACCTGCACTGTATCAGTTGTCAGTCACTTGACGGATCGGTGGCAGCCGGGGCACTGGGTAACAGTGCGGGGAGTGGGAGCCGACAGCGCATTTAGGTTATCCGCATGGTACGAAGGCATATGAGCAAACCCGGCAGGATCAGCATTTAGTAGTGTGGCTACAAGAGAGAAACGAGTATCCAAAGGAACCGCACTAGGGTGATGGGCAAAGCGCTCAGGAAGCACATTACAGTGCATGTATGACGCCATCTCAAAGTGAGCGCGTGAAAATAAGATGTTATCTTGTCCCAGGCGTACCAGAACATCAGATGCGGCGCCTTCGGCAGAGATAGCATCGGCGGAGGCAGGGAGATTTGGCTCAAGACGTGAATTGCTGCAACCACGCACAGAAAGTGAAAAAGACATCGCAGTGATACATTGGGTGATACAAGGGATCATAAAAAACTGGGTATGAAAGTGTTTCGTGTGCGACTCATCATATGTGCAGTCTTGCGCCAAAACGGCGACATGATTGCGGGAGATCTGGAACGGTGATGATGATCAATGTGAGGGAGGGCAGGCCTGAACGTGCGCGTGAACCTTGTCAGAAAAAGGAAATTATTTCAGGCGCCGCCCAGGCCGCCGTCAACAAAAAAACAATCAAAACCATGCAAAGTTCAACCCCTGAATGCAGAGTTTGGTGACGGTTTGATTTGCGCATACATTTTTCACGGTCCGCTGTATTTATCGTTGTATATTAACACCAGAGCAAACCTAACAATAATATGAACCATGTCACAGGCACCTCTTCGTCTTCGTGCTCGACCACTGCAGTATTTCACCAATGAAACATTCAATTTCACTTTTGCAAGCCCTAGCCACAACAGATTAAGTGTATACATGAAGGTGGAACACTGCCAAGGAAACACTGTTATGTCTAGTCACGACAAATTAAGTGTACAGAATCAAATGCATGAAGGTGGAAACCTGCCAAGGAAACGCCTGTGCGAATGTGAATTACATGTCACTGCGGCTGGACAGCATATTCACCGCATAAAGGAAAGATGCATATGACGAAAAACATGTTCAACACTGACCCCGAATTAAGGACTCAATCTGATGACCAAAAAAAAATTACTGCGAGAGGTGTTCGGGCTTATATACTACTGGCAGTGCCGCTACATACAACCAATCATTTTCACTACACCAGCTCTCCATTCATCATCTGATCTAGAGTCTGCACGCCCGACGTTACCTATCCTGCTAATTCCTGAGACTGGGATGTCAAGAAGCGGCTTACACTGATGAAATAGTCGATGACTCGGATGCTCCATTGGCAAGAAACAGTAAATGAGAGCGGCGCAGCATTGCCTTCAGGAGGCAAGGAATAACTCAGCTCGCAGAAAACCTCATCCAAGATGTTGACGGGGAGGAGTTTTTTTCCGCTGAGGAAATGATGCACTCAGTGCCCGCCGCTGATTCATTCACCCGCTGGATTAGAGAATTACTCAGTTGTTCTCGCGCCGAGGATTGACTAAGACTTTTTAATGAGCTTCTTGACTTAGATGCAGAAGGAATCAAGGATCTGGAGTTTCCACAAGTTGATAATGTCCTCGATGAATAGATTTATTGCTACCATACAATGTACATTGTGTACTGTACCGAGGGCGTTGATAGCGAACATGTCGAGAAGTTGATCATATGAAAAACGCCGAATGAAATGGGGGAGATCCGGAATGCCAAGCTCATCTGGCAATGGAGATCCGCCGCAGCGGTAATGGTGGCGGCTACCTGATTTGAATGTTTTGACAGTGAAAGGGGACGTTCAATCCCGGGTCATGGCCCGGGAATGAGTGACTACACCCAACGCCTCACCATGCGGCACGCAGCACCTTCAGGGGCGCCCTTTTTGGATTCCAATTTATGTCCTTTGCAGAGTGATACTCTATGTAGGTACAGTTAAATCTAGGACCCACGGCGTGAATGCCCTGGTGTGAGGACCTCAGGGGTGGTGATGTGACCCCTCAGACTGAAGATTCGATCCCGGAGAACATAAGCACTAGTACTATCATTGCAAGCGCTGAGTGATACAGTTATGAATGAACGTAAAATACAGCTTCAGCCATGACACGTGGTGACTCGGAGCTAGTCGTGGAGCCTTGTCATATTGGTATCTCTTGGTACATGCCGCTACAACTCTCGTGATATTTGTGTTTCCCGGCGATCCCTTGAGTGGGTAATGAACTTATATGCATTCTCATTCGATCACAATAATGGGTACATCAAATCTGCAGTAGCCACTAAAGTACACTCAACTATAGGCTATAGCCAACAAATACAGAATAAAGTGTGAACGTAAAATGAGGTATCGAAGCGAAGGGAGTCATGATGCATGAAGCGGCGGAATGGAGGGAGAAAAGGTGAAATCAATGGCATGCGAGTCAGTATTAGACGGTATGAGAAGGCACGAGAGTATGCAAGAAAGTTGCAAGAGGGCGGAGTACAGTTTCAGATGATGCAGGAGGATACAGAAGGCTACTAAAGTTAAGGAGACAAGGAGAAATGAGAAACCTTACATGCGCAAGGTAGTAGCGGGCGCACGAGGGGTGATATATAAAAAGGAAGAGACAGAAGAAAAAATTACCATGGATGACGTGAGATGGAGTTGAGTACAGGAAATGCTGGCGGATAAATATCGTGGGCAGAAGAAGGCAGAAAAATTGACTTTGGTAAGAGAGAAAGTAAAACTCACTAAATGATGCAAGAGAGTGTGAGAAGGCGCAGTGGGGTAAGCAGGGGTGGTGGACCTGGTCAGCCCGGCTGTCAGAAGAGATGAACCAGAAAGATGCTGATGATGTCTAAGTCTGACTACCGCTACCGCTCTCTATCCTGTGCTAATGTCATCTCGGCTATTGCCGAGTCCCCTAATGCTACCTCTTGCTTGTTCTGCCTTGCTCCGTTCTGCTTAGGTTTGATTGGAGCGTCCCGCTCCAGTGGCAGAATGCAAGAGGCGGCAGCTGCAGTGTGTAGATGGTCACGATAGGGCGCGGTAGGCAACGCAATATTGGTGGGTGGAGGGAGTACTTAAGAAACACGATGATGAATGTTTTCGGTGCGCACAGGCCTCCAGCAAAATAACGAGGTAGAGTCCCTGAGTAATACTATCAACATTAAGAAAAAAAGAAAGATAAAGATTTACGAGGGCGGCAGAGGAGCATCGTTAGCTAGGACATATTAGCAGGAGGGATTGGAAGAGGTGTGCTACTTGTGTGACGAAGTTGAAAGAGAGTCGGACGGATCTTCGGAACTTCAAGCTTCAAAGTTCAAAGCTTCAAGTTCAACTGATTTTATAGCGAAAATCATAAAATTAACGTACGTACCTGCAGTCGGCTGAGTTCGTGGTCCGGGGGGTCCCGGTCATGTCCCGATAGACGAACGTTACTTGCTCTTCGCGTGCATGGTACAAGCTTAAAGTTACATTTCGCACATATCTGTTCGTAAGTTTACATAAATTGCATACATGCTGCAATCTCATGCAATATATCTTTTACAGTACATTCTATTCGGGGTTTGTAAGCTGCACAAGGTGTAGCCCATAGCTAATGGCCACACACGCCAACGTTTCTTTTATTGACATTTCAGGCGCCCATAAGTCAGCATACAGACGCCTGGACGTTTGGGAGAAAATGATTTCAAGCGCCTATCAGCATACAAGTAGTACCTAGGCGCTTGAAGCTGACAGAACCTAGCCGTCCATCTCGCCTGCTTGCCATCCGGATCTTTACCTCCATTTCTTCTTGTCCCTGCGAGTCTCTCACACTGGTGTCTGTCTGTCTACTACTTCCTCGTGTTTGCCTATTTCCTACCCGCCTGCCAACATACTGACCATTTTCCACATGTCCTCGCACGCACGGGGCTGACATTTTCTTTTCGATGGCGAGAAACAGCCTCAGTAGCGGAATATGCTATTGGCAGTTCACCTTACATGTTGCGTGTATACAGCGAATTCTCCTCAAGTTGCTACAATTTACTGCCCTGATATTGACTTGTCGAGGCAAGGTTACTATTCAGAACGATCTTGTTTGCAGAACGTTAGATCGTCGGGCCCCAGTCATAACCTGGGTCCTCGTGTCACCGTGATGAACACGATGGCGCCACTGCCAGATCTGATACTGGTCGGGATCCACGCGACAGAAGGCCTCCTTCTGATTGGCCGTCGATCAGTGGAACCCATCCCACCCACTTTAATGTTTACAGCAGTCAGGATTCTTGACTTCCAACTGTAATTCATATGTCAAGATCCACAAACCTGGCAAGCAACTCCACCGCACCATATTCATGTTGCTTCAGCATTGCAACCGCACTAATTCCTATTACAGCGTTCGTTGGCCCTGTGAGGTGGCTCTGGATTGTCTCCACAGAGGGCTTAACCTAATTTGAGACACAAAACCTTTCACGATTGAGAAAGGCCAATTTATAGGCGCTTGTACGTCACAAATCGGCAGATTCATTTCTACCGAGGTGTCGTTCAGCGCCAGAATGGATCCTTTCATCTATGTACATGGTGTAATTGACGCAATGAGCATTTCAGGAATGACTCATTACCGTCACTGTATATCTGTCTATCAGGGTGGACGGACTGCCGTGTCTCCCTATGGTTGATTAATTTCCGGCTCTGTTGGACCACAGTAATCTTACGGCTACTTTGATAAATACCACTGGAATCAGGTGAGGTTCTCTCTGAAAGATTTGTCGACAGCACCATCACCATGGCTTTAGATTTACTGCAAGTTCGTGCGATTAGTGGCTGGTCTTTTGTCAACAACTCATTTTTCTTTCAGGTGTCACCGCCAGGGCCCTCCTACATCTGTCTCGGTGGGTTTACAGCATTGGTTCGTCCCAACTCCTTTCGAATGCATGTACTCGTTGTTGCCCTTGTTGACTACGAGCGGTCGTCATTGGGTGGTGTCTACCTGCCTCCATGACAATTGTTATACAGCGCACTACGCTGACTGTTGACCGTAGTTCTCGCTGGTGTCCTTCCTAATCAAAGAGAAGGTGTGCAATTACCCTCAGTCCCTTGACAAATAATACATTTCTCCACCAGCTTTATGTCAATGAAGTCGTCCTGGGATTCGTCTTCGGGATCATCATTGGTCCTTTCGTTAGCAACATCTTCGCACCCCATTCGTGGGGTTCCTTGAATAATACCATAACGCTAGAGGTCATGCGCATCGTCCTCGTAATCGGCTTGTTTGCAGCTGGAGTCGAATTACCACGTGCATATATGAAAAAGCATGCCAAGAGCTTACTCGTAATGGTTGTGCCCACCATGGCGTTTGGCTGGGTTGTGGTGGCCGGTAAGTCATCGCAGATGCAATTGCGTACTCACTAATCACTGTTGTTAGCGGTCATCCACGTGTTGTTCCCGAAACTCGATTACGTCTCGGCTCTTTGCATCGCCGCTTGCTTGACCCCTACGGACCCGGTAACATGTGCTGCCATCACGCGTCAGTTCTACCGAATCTGATCATGAAGTATCCCTTATATCTACAGCTGTTTTTCAGACGGCGAATTTGCCAAGAAACATGTTCCCGAGGATATCCGCCACATCTTGTTGGCCGAGGCCGCAGCCAATGACGGCCTTGCCTACCCTTTTCTTTCGATATCTATATATCTCACCGTAGAGACGTCCGTTCAAACTGCTATTGGCAAGTGGTTTTTGGTGGGATGGCTATGTTTGTGCTATTGGGTTTTCGACGCTTCGTAAGGTTCTCAACATTTTTTTCCACAGATCAGGTCATCCTTGGCACCACTTTAGGGGCCGTTCTAGGTCAATGATGTCGCTTGATCATCTGACTATATGTATCTGATTGCATTGCATTTGTAAATCAGGATTTTTGTTCTCCAAGTTCATGAAGATATCCCATAAACAGGGCTTTATAAATCATGGATCTTACATCTCTCAGTACCTGGCTCTCCCCATCTTTACTATGGGAATTGCGAGCACCGTTGGTGCGGATGATCTTCTTGCAGCATTTGCAGCAGGTTTGCATCCAGTCTGCATGCTTCATATCAGTAGGATCTGACATTCCCACCAGGGTGTGCAATATCCTGGGATGGGCACTTCCATAAACAGACAGAAGATGACTCTTTCTCTTCTGTGATAGATTATGTCCTGAACTGTTGTTGTTTCATTTACATCGGCGCTTGGCTACCTTTTCATGCCTATGACTTTCCCGAGTATGGCATCACTCCGTGGAAGCTTGTTCTCCTTGTGATCGCTATTATGGTCTTGAGGCGGATTCCATTCTTATTGGCTGTATACAAGTTTGTTCCCGAGATTAAGAGCTGGCAGCAAGCTCTATTTTCTGGTCACTTCGGTGAGCAGCTCTTTTATCTATGGCATTGCTTTCACCTCAAGTGTCTGAATCCTGCATACAGGCCCAGTAAGTTTGTCGAATATCATTTTTCACCACTCATCAATGTGTCCTAGATGGGAGTCAGTGCAGTCTTCGTGTCTGCCTTAGCGCTCACACGTCTGCCTACTCCGGAGAATCCACCTGCAGATCAAGCGCAGTGCCTCGCTGCAACTATTCAGCCTATTGTGTCCTTTGTCGTCCTTGGTTCTATCATCATCCGTAAGTATTGTAGCGGGTAGTAATGTACTTGTCGCTGATTTCAAATGTACGTAGATGGCTTATCAATTCCGTTCTTCAATATTGGTCGTATCGCATGCTCTCGCACGACTCGGTCAAGCAAAACATCGGCCGACCATACTCCTGTTGCAGACCCGCTATGTTAAGTGGTCTGGCTGCCAGTTTCTTCTTCTTGTGTTTGTACATCCATGAAGTCCGGATGTATATTTTGACATTCGCCATATGTAATAGTAGATTATAACCAGCTTCGTGATTTCCTGTTTATTATTATATCATCGCTTCGCCCCTCTTCGGCAGCAACGCTTTCCGCGGATGATTGAGCACCGTGTTTTTCTTGATCATGCAATGTTATCGTACTCTAAAAGCTCACACGCCCTGCAGGCAGGATCTGGCTTCAGTTTGGCACCCCCAACAAACTCCAGATTAATGGCTAATGGCGGAGTCTGCTATGACAAAAACACCTTTTTAACAGGAACTTGAACGTCCTTTGCTTTTGTACACAGTGTAGTTAGAATCAAAATCACGGAAATACTGCGATATGCGTCCAGGTATGGGAGTAGACCTTTGCGACTCCGCCAGCGTCGTGCAATCCGTTCACTCATAACATCGATCCTCGTCTAGCCTGCAGTGAACTAGCTGTGAGCAGACCGTAGAGCTACGTTTTGATGAGGAACGGGGCTTACCACTTGAGAGGCCTTGTTGTCCTTCGTTAGAAGATCGTTGAGAACTCGAACCACAATCCCTACGCCTTCTTCGACAGCATTCCTCTCCGATTCTCGCACTCTCCCTAGCACTCGACAGAATCGATCTGGGTGCCAGCGGAGGAGAGCAGCGCGTATCCTCTCCTTCGGGGACTGCTCTTGGGAATGGGCTGTCGATAAAATGAATGCTCTGATTCCCTCTGGTGTGATTTCACTTGGAGTCAACGGAGGAGTAAGTAGTGGCCATGGGATATCACGGAATTTTAGAATGATCCCGTCATACGCAGCGGATAGCGCTACCCATCGCAACTCGTATACGTTCCAAGCGTCTATTATTGCTCGTTCCAGCCTTGCTCGGTCCCTCATCACCTTTTCCTTAGCCTTCTCGGCTTCCCGCCTTCGCTCTTCAGCAATAATATGTCTCTCGCTGTCCCTCCGTTGGCGAACGCGGGCTTGGATTCGTCTGACTTCGTTTTGTATCAGGCGGTTCTTCTCCTCTTCGCGCTCCCGCATTCTTCGTCTCATCTCTTCTTCGTACGTCATCCACCCATGCGCTTCCACCTCATGTTCGTATAGGAATTCGTCCCGCATTCTATGACGAAGCTCATCTGTCTCCGTGGGCTTCATCCAGCGGCGCCCATGGTTTGGCCGGCTTGCCAAGTGAATCTGATCGTTCACCCATTGCTCTGTTGGGTTTTCATGTCTGTCATGCATGTAGTGCTCCTGCTCCTTGACGCATGCCAGCGCGTGAGGATTTAAGCGTTTCCATTGGACAGGACGGGCGCTGATATAATCAGATGGGCAAGTCCGATCTTCATGTCGTGGAAAGCGTAGTCGGGATGCTGGTGATGGGGAGACTGGTAGCTCAGCTACTACTTCGGTACACCTGAGTTGGGAAAGCGAATTAGGATGGTGAGGGCTGCTAATTGCTCTGGAACGGATGTGATATGTGTAGTCTGGGTCCATCATTCACTAAGTATCTGACGCAGGTTAGATTGGAAGGACGTAAAGATGAATGTGATGCGTTATATCTTCCCAGTTCACTACCTTGGCCTGGTGATAGACGCGAATGAGGGCATGTAGAAAGCCTGGAGTAATTGAACATGTTCAAGAACGTGTGTTTGCCTCGTTGCTTTTGCTGGGGCTAACACGTTGCCACTTCATTGGCCTTTCCTGTTTTGATACAATCACCGCGTGCTTGAATTCTGATCACATTCTCCAATATGAGTGTCTTGACCCTAATAGTGATAGCATCGCCCGATACAACAGACTCCCTACAAGTGTGAGATCCAAAAGTACACCTACACAGCATGACCCCCCTAGGTACATTACATGGAGCAGAATCCAGAGTCGTTAACGTACTCTGCTGAGTCTCCTTTAATTGATGTTGCCTCGAGTCTGACCAAATCTGCAGATACCTTGAGAAGAGAAGCAGAGCGGAAATAAACGTGCTTACTGAAATATGGATGGGCTTGAGCCTCCCGTGCTGTTAGCCGTTTCTGATGATCGTAACGAAGTAATTTATCAAGAAGGTCCAGTGCCTCTGGTGTTACAAACTGCTGGTTTTCAGCATTGATAAAACGTGCCCAAGGCTGTCTTGGATAACTGGAACGGGATATCAGCATTTAAATGCGTGATAAGCACATGCCACTTACGAGTGCAGAAGGGCCTCCATGTCCGTCTCAAATGGTATGTCATATGTCTTTAAGTATCCATCGAAACTGTCAGATCCTAGAACTCTCATGATTTTCAAGAGTTGGTCATCATTATCCGAACCACGGAAGAAATGCTCTTTGCGAAACAGCTACTGAATCATTAGAAGGATATAAGCGAAACGTGAAAATATCACGCACCATCGAAGCAAGCATGCATCCCACGCTCCACAGATCAAGGCTGTAGTCGTACAGCTTATACCCCACGAGCAATTCGGGCGCCTTGTAGTACCGTGAACCGACGCGAATATGGTATGCTGTCCCAGGATGATAGAATTCAGCCAGCCCCCAATCAATGAGCCGTAGCTGTAGTTCAACTAATCAGCGATCTCACGGTGATGGAGCACATGTGAAACGTACCTTCCGGTGTCGGTGATCAATCATGACATTTCCTGGTTTCACATCGCGATGCATGATTCCTCGCGAATGCACAAAATCCAAAGCCTCGTGAATTACCATCAAAAGAAGCCCATAGACTGGTTTATGAAGTCGTGGAACATACCTTGAGGAGTTGGAAAGTATAGAACTTGATGTCTACCTCACCCAGGATTGGGTACAGTGATTTCCACTCCACATTATCCACATATTCCATGATTAAGCTGTGGTATTTTGATGAAGGGTCTTGAACGACGTCAAGAAGGGCAACAACATTTGGGCCCCCAGTGAGGTTGCGTAAAATCTTAATTTCACGATTGATTTTCTTGAGGGCTACAGGCTTGAGTACTTTGATGACACAGGTCTCAGAGTTTGCGGTATCCAACCCTTCGAACACCTATAAAGTACCAGTGGTTGACTGAAAATCCGTGAAATCCGTCTACAAAATTCTCACCTCGCTATACTTCCCGCCTCCTACACGATCTACGATCTCATAACGTTCGGGAGAACTCCACTCGATTCGGAAATTATCTGAATAATTCATGCAGTGGCGGAACTGGGAAAACATAGTTTGCTCACCATAGTCATACCATGAGCGTCCCAGTTGTGCATTCGCACCAGCATAGATACGAGCCATGACCTGTCCCTCGAGGGAAAGACAAGAACTGGGACTTGACACGAGGCAGTGGATACGTCGTACGTGCCCTACTGGGGCATCTAGTTAACTACAAGTGAAAAGATTCAAAGTAGCGGACACTGGATGTACAGCCGCCTTAGTAGACTGACGGCTGCGGGAGCTTTTGGAGCCGGAAACGGTTATTCCGATCGAGTGGCAGTAATATTAATGGTACTGGTATACAATAATAGCATCAGGAAAATGATCTTTGCATGCGATGTTGGAACTAAGTCTGGCGCTTTCCTTCCAGGATGTATCATGAATTCAAATGTGGCCTAAGGACGGGAAAGATGCGGTAATGATAGTGGACGATATAGTAATAGTGATGTGTAGAATGGATCAGCAGAACGATTGAATATACATGAATGGGATGCGTGAGATATAGAGAGAGCAGATTTCAAACGGGAGACCGAGAACAAACACAAGACACTAGGACAAAGTTTTAGCTGTTGGCATATACTACAAAACGAAAGTCTCACCGGAACAGGACTGTCATTGTGAGCCGTTAACATCTGGTGTGCTGACTTGTAGGTATGCCAGCAAAAGGGCGATAGAGCTATTTTGCTTGCAGTACATCGCTAAATCTTTTCCTGACCAGTATTGATCATCCGATCTGAGTTGCGTGTCAGGATCATCTCCGCCATCATCGCTGCTCTCGAGAGGGAAGCTGAGGGTATTGCCTTCCGACTCCATCTTTCCCGGTCCATGGCGGTGGTACATCTTGCTCCGAGACTTCGAGCGCACTGGCTCCGAAGGACGGTTCACACCGAGTCGAACAGAGGTTTTAGATTGGTCACGGGTATGAAGGCCGGATGAGGTGAGGCGCGCGAGTGCATGGTCAACTTTAGAGGGAAAGGGATTGGTATTGCCCAGGAAAGCTGATAGCTTGAGTAGGGTATCTTGCAACACCTTGAATGACATGTTGTACGATGCTTTATAAAAGCGAGCTGTCTGCGGGGACGGCCAGTTTATGCCGTATGGATGATCACTGGCTGCGACAGAGGCATCGATTTCCCGTTTGAGCGAAACTGCCCACTCGTGACGAACAACAGGGTCAGTGACACTGAACATATATTTGCGCTTGGCCCCATTGTGGTCCAAAAATGCCACCTGAAAGGTATTGCGCATGAAAGCACGCTCCACTGCTATGGTGTAACTCTGGGCTAGGCCGGTATATAGTAGGGCATTCGGACTTGACCGCAGCATGGACATCGTTTTCAGTCCAAAAGAAGCGCCCCGTCACCCGGAAGGAAGCTTCCGCCGACTTGGCAAATGATAGCACAGGTGGGTCAAACACCAGATCGTGCCCAAACAACTCAATACTGAACTGTGGATCTGGTTGTGGGATACGGATGACGACTGGCTCTGACTGAACCCGGTAGGTGAGTCGCGGAGGAAGTGGGCGTTTGAAAGTGACAGTGATCTCTGGGGGGCCGCCAGACGTTGGGTTGCGCGCTTGGCACAGGCGCTCACGACGAATAGAGTCATAGACATCCCCCAATAACTCGTCAGATAAGCGATTGTCATGACGTCGGAAGGCTTCAAGGAAGTCTCTTGCAGTAATGTTTCTTTTGGGATGTCCCATTTGACCCGGCTCATGAGAGATAGCACCATGTAGGACGTCATTCAGCTGCACGATGGCTCTCGTGAAGCGGTAGGCCAAATCTTTGTCGTAAGAAATGTGAACTGCATTAGCCTCATACCACCGATTCGCGAATGACTCGAGAAGAATGTCGAAAGGAGTGACACCGTGGCTACTCCGCTCCGGAATGTGAATAGACTGAAGGAACAGCCGGAGGGCTTTGTCCACTCTTATTCCAATAAACCCGAAAGCGTCAAGGTAATGCTTGAGCACAACACGGCTTGTACGCCGCGACAGAAAATCACCGAGCTGCACCCTGTCAATATGTGGAGTTCTGAACAGAAGTTGCGCAAGTGCAGGATCGTCACGATGATCCGAGCTGCTGAAGAGCAACGCGACTGCACTATCCGGGTCTATGGAGAACTGCTCGACGAAGGCTTGTACTGCAGGAGTTCTTGGGATGGCTTTTGAACACGGCTCCTCACGCTCGCTGGTGAAGCATAGTTGTCGTAGCAATACCACATTCTTGACGGTAAACTTCCGATCAGCAGGATTAGGTTTCGTCACCTCGAGGAACGTATCGGAATCCTCAGGACGAGGTTTAGCAATGACGAGAATGTCGTTGAACAGGAAGAGGAAGCGATCCTTGCAGATATTAGAATTCACGACTTGGAAGACTGGAGAGCATCGTAGAAACCTTCGCGGAGGCTCATCAATGGCAGTTAGCCATACCGGGCTTCTCGAACCTCGGCCCAGCATCTCATTCAAGCGCTCCAACAATATGCCACCTTTTGCAGGGTAACTTGAATAATGCGAAGAAGTGTTGGACGAAGAAGACTCGGATGTTGTGGGATGGGGATAGTCGGACAGTGAAGACCAAGGCTCAGGCGTGGTAGACGATGGAAATTCAGGGGGAGAAGGGGTTGCCGGGGTGAGGGGTATTAGAGAGATATCTGTAGCAGAGCACGGCTGGCTATTAGGCCTAGCGATCTTGCTGGCTCGCGGCGTCTTCTGAAGCTCGTCACGGATAAAGCTGCCATTTGGACTGGTTGGGGAGAATTCACCATTGGCCTTCTTCAGCTGCCCATTGCCAACAGAACCCCGTGTTTTGTCACGATCAACATCAACCCATTCATCCTGGAGCTCGGCAGACAAATCATTCTCCTTCCGCAATCGGAATAGGTCAGATAGCGATGGCTTCTTCGACGCTACTGCGGGTTTCTGCTCAGGACTAGGCGTTGGAGGCGAGTTGCCTACCGGCGACTGTGAAGGCTGAGGGAACAACTTCCTGGCACTAAGCCATCTCCGGACCCCATCTCGGTTTGTTGGAAGGGACTTCAGCATGATGGGAGACGGCGAGTGGGGACTGCCATGCTGGTAGTGGTCATGAGAGGATGTAGATGCAGACGCAGAAAGTTGTGGTGCTTGAGCCTTGTAGATATGTAACAGATGGGTGTCTGATGCCTGGTGTGATAACTTCCTATCCCCGTTTATCTCGGGAGAATTGGAAGGGGTATTACTGGAAGAACTCGATGGTAGCGGTATATCAGCCTCAACATGATGCGACAGAATGATATCAGGAGTAGACGAAAAGAGGGGTTGACGGTGGTTCCATTGTTCTTGCAGCTTCTTGATCCCAGGGAAAGGCATAAGTTTTTCGTGTGTGTACTTTGCCAAAGGATCAGTGGAGGGAGTCATAGGGACAGGTGATACTCCGTTGCTGGGAGGAGCGGTTTGGACCAATGAATGAACCGAAGTCGATGCTGAGGATGGCTGGCCGTGTGGGTATGTGGCCGAACTGATGCTGTCGTTCTTATCGATTTTCGGGCTTGGAAGACTCGCTCCACTCTCCCGGCTGATACTGGAGTCAGTGTACTGTCTTCTCTCCCTTGTCGCAATCGAGTTTGTCCGAGACCGGACGTCCGCTACTTGAAGCGCTCCTCGTCAAAGTATGGACGATCTTGCTCCATGTGCTACCTTCGCGCCTGGAGGGAGTCTCTGCCCGGACTGTCTGGGGATCAGTCGACTCAGGCTCAGTTGCCACCGGAGATTTATCACTGTGCATGCGAATAGCTACCGAAAGCCGCTGAGGGTACTGTTGGGAATCCGATTCATCGCTGTTGCGGACCATGGAAGTGGTGTTAGGCAGGTTGGCAAATGAGGAAGGCGTCGGCGAAGTGAGTGCGGGCGTAGGCAAGGGAGATGTCTCTAATTCCACAACAAGTTCCTTTGAATCAGAAGATGCGCGAGATGACGGTTCCTCGATCTGGTTATTAAACCCTTCTCTAGGCGAATCCGGAGGCGGATGGTCATCTTCATCTTCGGTGATTTGTTGGGACGGCTCATCCTGCAGCGGTTCGTCATCCTCTTCCTCTTCTGTCTCTTCATGCACAGGCATGGGAGTTTCCGGCACTACGGCAAAACGAATGAGGCATCCTGATCAACCAAAACAGTCAGCACTCACCTGGCTCTGCCACCCAACTGATTTCTCGGTTAAGACCATCATGATATGGAGACCGTCGAAAAGCTTCTGTTGGGAAAAATTCTTCCTCCTCCTGATCGCGTTCCTCCTCCTGGTCGGATGATAACGATATCTCTTTATGAGGTCTCGCGAAGGGACTAGATGGGAATCTGGCTTGCCGAGACGGAGTCCTCTCAAGATGGGGGGCCAGGAATACTGGCACACTCGTTGCATCAGGAAAGGCTGAGTCAGTGGAGACATCTGATGAATAAGGAAGGCGAGGGGAAATGCTAGGAGATGGCCGACTCGGAGCGCCTGGTAATCCATAATACGTTGACTGCGGGGGAATCCGGTCCTCGTCATCTGGATCCTCTATCAGAACACTCTCCCGTCTTTTTTTGGCCGCGTGATCAAAGTGAGAGGGTGGCACAGCTCGCACGGGGGTGGATTGACGGCTGGAGTTGATGGTTTCGTTGAGGTTGATGCTTGGGGTTACAGGAGGATAAATTGGTATCGGGGGTATGGGGGTGGTGGAAGATGTACGCTGGATGTTGGGGGCTAATTCCCCGGGTTGAAGTTGAGGAGTGTTGGAACGGTTTGGCGTGGTATTGGTGGTCGAAACAAGATCGGATTCATCTGTGGTTGACACCACAGGAGGATTAGCGGACTGACGTTTTGAACGTCGTCTTTGACGTCGCTTTGAGGGGCTAAACGGTCGAGGATCTTCCTCCTCCTCTATATCCGTCTCCTTTATCATCCTCTTGTTCAGTTGAGCCATCATAAGCCTTCGAGCAGTGCTACGTTCGCTACTTTCCCCACCAGACACAGTATTGTTCCGACCGAGTTTAGTACCAGAAGGCGGAGGAGATACTGCCGGGGATGAAAATGTCGAATCCATTAATTCCGTGCCACCCGTGAGCTTTTGTAATGTGCTCTGTAAAGTAAGCATGCGGGCTGCACCTGCACTATTCGATCGTTGAAGCCCTTGATGAGATACCAGAGCCTCCAATGTGGGAAATCTTGGGACAGGAGAAGAAGCACCAGAAGGTAGAAAGGGGCTCTCTGGTGTCAAGAAACCAGGTAAGATGAACGGAGAAGTGGGTAACGGATTGAGATGGGAGGGTATTGGTGCGAGAATCGAGTGCGGAAGGTATTCACCTCGCGAGGGAGGTGAATCGTCAGGTGAAGAATCGTTGCTCGGCGTAACAGACGTTGGCAAAGGAGACTGGGGAGGCTTGAACTTTCTGAGATCCTTAGAACCCCTAGAACGTGAGCGTGAGCGGCGTTTGCGGGTTACGTTCGAGGGCTCAGGTGTGCCTGGGTTCTCTTCGGGCTGTACATTCGGCTTGTAGTCAATATTAGAGACGCACTCGGGGGGCGTGTCCTGCGATTGATCCTGGACGTCGTCATGCAGGGTTTTCTCGCCTTCGCTAACAACTTCATTGTGCATCTGGGGCCGCCTCCCATTTTTCAGTCGTGGTAAAGATGCAGCGCGTTTGAGCTTCGCGACCGCATTGGCGCGTTGTTCAGCGACCGACCCTGGATCATTCTCCATGCCCGGGCAGAATGCTAGAGCAAAACAAGCCATCAACGTAGATAAATTTTACGCTTATAGGATTTTAAAAGTGACTCACGTAGTTTGTTGGCCGTGTCCGACCCGGAAGGTTAGGGTACGCCTCAGTAGCAAAATATCTGTTGCAGACGACAGTCTTTAAAACTTATCAAGGGTATTATTAACGAAAAATAGAACTGAAAACACACCTAGTACCTGAGCTAAGCGCTGAGCGCTGAATGTTGGGGAAGAACAAACGAAGAGAAAGGCTCTAAACTGCAAGAGACCGAATGTGGCGGAAGTACTTCTACACACGTGACTAAAAGCTTCCGGAGTACAAGGCTGTGGAATGATATACGGACACATATGCATGCTCACATCTGTCTCAACTATCTATACGAAGGAGCACTGGCTGCCTCAAGGAGTCAGGGCGACTGTTGACTGCGCTTCTTCAAACAGTTAGTGATGTTAACGCGGTGAATAGTGGACCATATCCGTAAATTTAGTTAACACATGTTGTTCCTGTCAAAATAGTCACCTGTTCGTTGGTGTCCTTTTCCCAGTTGATGTGCGCACGCGGCCGGTGTTGATCTGCACTGGAAGATCATTCTTTGTCAAAACAATTATCGATAGTAAGGCACGCGCATCGTGCTCTGCATCATGGCTTCATCTTTTGCAGCATGTAGCAGTGCATTCGTGACATCACTCCACGTTTATGCCTTGTGTTTCTAACTTTTAATCAATCTTTTTCAAGGCCTGAGTAGCATGCGCCCCATGGTCTACACTTTGCTTCATTTCGACCGAGTACCATGGGGAAGTGTAGCTTGTTCCATGCGGTGAGAAATACATCGTCGTTTATCCGGGCCAAGTGGGCCACAAAGATCAGGTCCATCGACAGGCATTCCATATCCGTGACTCTTCTCAGTGGTCGATGCTTCCCCAAAGGAACGTTATCTTGGCATCTCATAAGCATCTTCGAAACGTTCGCATTCTTCGACCTGAAACCTTCCAAATGCAAACTGGTATGAACATGCGGACCCATCTATCAATACGTACTCGTATCCATCGTAGTGTAACAATCTTCCTACTTTGATTCAGGTGCACCAGAAATGACTTGATCTCGTATCACTTTCCAAGGTGGCCTGGAAAGTTCGAAACCTTCACCGATCCTCGCGTACATATTACCGCCTAAGCGTGACACGGCGCGAAGCTTAGCGGGATCAACGGTACCGTTTGCAGTCAAAACGGACTCCCTAATATGTGCCCGTTTAATAAGGCCCAAGACCAATGTATTCGTGACCTCGCCTGAATTGGGCGGACAAATCTCGTATGAATGGAACAACTGTGAAGCGGACATTAATAAGCGAGCACGGCAAAGAAGAAAAAAAACAATGAAGCACATGCCTACCTCGCATTCAAAACCGATGGCACTTTCTTTGACCCACGGGGGCCTCACGTCTATCTATGTAAGGGTAAGCATTGCGGTCAATACGTACGCGGATATGACACATGGCCCGCAACCGCAGCGGCTGCTAGACGAAAATGAACTTACACTGGTCGATCCAGTTAGACCACTGATGTCCCACTCGTCAATATCAGCAGGGGCGTCGACAGATGTGATATTCGCTGCTTCTATAAATGGTTCGCTCATGATGCTTACGGTAAACTGTTTCGTCGCAAGTATATTTTCCTTGGTGTCTTTGGACTTCCGAGTCCGCGGAGAATGGGAGAAAGAAATGCTCAATAACGACGGGTTATGCGCGACCTTTCATGTACCAGCAGCACAGACAAGTCAATCTCAAGGCGTTCAAGAAGATGCTCGACGCACCATGGAAAAGTAACTGTACAATGAAGTTAGGTCAGACCGGTCAGCTGAAAATGTGCTGAAAAAACTCCCCTGAACGGGGCAAGGTTAGGCATTCCGTCAGAAGACGTGCTGGACACGAGCGCAATGGGGCGAGGCACGATGCATGAAGTCAATAAAGGGTATACCTCCCTGTCAGCAGTCCGAGTCAGTGATATGCGAACGACAAGGTTAGGTTTGAGAAGCAAAAATGACTGCTACCAGTAATTGTACAGTACTACATGAGGTCGCGTACCTTGGCGATATGTCTGAGAGGTTCCAAGTCTTCCAGCCTTTCTCTTCTTCGGCTTTCCACGACTTTCCAGGTTCGATGTGGTCTGGGAGGCCCTGTCTCAGTTGCCAATTGGGGTTTGGTGGGTCAGTAACGCGGAATGAGACGGCAGAGTTGAATAGCCGTCCAGAGTTCTCGCTAGGTTCGTCGCTTCTGTTCATGGACGAGAATAGCTGGATCCTGGAGGGTCTCCTGGCCACCAGAAGTGGAGCCAATGTTGGTAGTCGACGACACTTTTGCAAGAGGCTCATGGTCGTATTATTTAAATATTTGCTGCCACTATATAGACGTCGTTCACTGAGATGGGAGATTCTTAGAAAGTCAATAGAAGACTAATATAAAAATAGACTGTTACCGAGCAGCAAGTTGCATTAAGTCCACGTCCGCGGCAACAATTCACAGGCCCGGCAGAAACCTGCTATGTAGCGACATTAATGCTCATAATTAATGGCCTAGTGGTTTTTGCCGAGCGCGTCATGTCAAGACTTTAACGGAGACGGTTGGGCCAGAGTAACAACTAAGGGTCGATGTAAATCTTGTGCAAGTCGACAACAAGAAACTTATCGCTTATTCCGATATTCGTGTCAGCGAGTGCACGACGAGTTTCACATACGGGCCGCCGCCTCCTGAGTGGGCATTGGTCGATATTGCAATGATAAGTTATGATACTGCGATTATTAATCTTGATAGTCCTCTCACTGAACGATATCAAACTCCACAGGTCATAAACATTATTAATACATCTTGTCTACTACGATGTCGACTGCCAATGAGACAGTGCCAGCTGGGTCTTACGCATATGTTGACACACTCAAGGGTGTTTACTACGGGCCCAAATGCGTTGAAACCGCACTCCCAGAACTTTTGAACATCCTTGGAGCCAAACGAGCACTTATCGTAACAGGAAAGTCTCTCCGCAACAAGGTGAGTTGGTGTTTGAATCGCTTCAGACTTGTCAATCGTATAATTGACTCGGACACGTAGACCAGCATTGTGGAACAAATCGAGAACATCCTGAAGAAATCCAACGCATTTGGTGCCACTTTCTCGGAAATCGGGGAGCATACTCCTGAGGCTGGTATCGAGAACGGCGTCTCCAAGTTTTGTGAAGTCGACGCCGACATTATAGTGTCCGTTGGTGGAGGTTCTCCCATCGATGCGTCAAAGGCTATTATTTTCAGACTGCAGCAACAAAGAGCACAAGAAACGTCTGGCGAAGAGCCGGATTTCTTTCGGCAAATCGCAATACCAACAACCCTGAGTGCGGCCGAGTACACGGTAAAATCTTGAAGCGATTTATATAACTCCTTTTTTTATCTATATATTCTAGAGTGGTGCGGGTTATACCAATAAACAGGGTGACAAGGTACTTCACAATCATCAAAAGCTTTCTCCGGCTGGGATCATACTGGACGCAGAGCTGACTCTTTCAACACCTGAACAATTATGGTAGATCATCAATTCAGTGACCTCCGCGTATGCTCACTTTGCTTCAAAGGCTTTCTTCTGGTATGCGTGCGCTGGATCATGCAGTTGGTAAGAGGATAATACACAACGTCCCATGCTTCTAAATACCTGGAAACAGAGAATCTATACAGACCTGGAGTGTCCCTACCAATGAAAAAGCTATGCCATGCTACCATCGCCGATCTTTTCCGTTTTCTCGTGTTATCAAAGAAAGACAGCGAAGATCTCGTCGCCAGGCAGAGGCTGCAAGTTGCGTCGTGGATGAGCTTATGGTCGCGGAAGGTTGAGATGCGCGGGTAAGTTATTTCACGCGGGGGCGGCTTACATTCGATCATATCTGGTGAAGCTCGTTAGGATTATCACACACGCTTGGTCATAAGCTTGGGGCAACCTATGGAATACCGCATGGCATCACCTCAGTCAGTGCACTCCGGAACTCGTACTTAGTTTCCTAACCACAATCTATTTCTAGTGCTTGACGCTTGCGCCGGTTGTCAGCCTACAAGCGGAAATAGCAAGCCAAGAGGACAAGGAGTACCTTGCTGAGGCCTTATTATATCTCAGAGAGCCATCAACTGGGACTGTAGATGGAGATGTCAGGAAACTATCATACATGATCACTAGGCAAGTGTCTTCTGCCATCTGCCCAGAATGAATTCTCAGTTTCCATAGCCTTGTACAAGACCTCGGGCTGCAGAGGACGTTGAGCCAATATGGTGTGCCAACGGCCGACATTGAACAGATCGCAATCCGTGCAGTTGGTCAAGAGGATGAAGAGTTGCTTTCGAAGGTGAAGATCATTTTGGAGAGTATCTACTAATTTGAGCCCTGCTCGTTATCGAGTATGATAAACGCCACCAATGTAATTATATGCACGAGCCTCACTCAACTATTTTTTGCGACGCCAGCCTCGAACAAGTCGAGGAAATTAAACCAGGTTTAGGTGGGTGGTTTTTCTGTTGGTTTTGGAGGTTTGAACAGCATCATGGAAAATATGACCATCTCTGTCGAAGGAAATAGAAAGGTGCGTCAGTGGAGCGCAGTCGACGTGCATGAACAATAGCTGTAGGACTACATGGTGGAGGGGCTCGCTTCTATTGAATCTAGTTTACAAAATATGGGAAGACCTGGCAAGGTGGTAATACTATTTAAATCCATCATGATGATGGTGCTGGTGGCACGTATTGATTAGTCTAGAGTAGTCAGCGCTAGTAGGCACCCATTTCTTGATATCTTGAACCGTAATTAGTGCCTGCGAAAGGATCATAGGAAAGAATTCAAGTAACCGGTCGATACAATTATAGGAGGGGTGATTCGGCCATAAGCGGAGAAGTTACTGCCAGTGGTGTTTCTGACTACTGCGCCTGGTCCACATCCATATGTGTATCATTAGACCATATCATCTCTGTTGTCTCACTTGTGACAAGCCCGGGCATGAAGGCAGTTGTGAACCTCGAGCGCTGCTTGACCAGGGCTGTTCACACTGCCGTGACCGCTCCTTACACTGGGGTAGGCTCGACTCGGATAACGGGGTCCTTGGCATCATTTCCATTCATTTTGCCTGTCGTCTCCCGGTATTTTTTTCCGAGGGGGTCTTTGCGAAGTAGATCATATCATTCGGACCTACAGCGTCGTTATAAGATTCCTACTCTCGTGTTTTCAGATAGTCTCAGGTGAGTGGAGACTAAACAAGGCACATCCAGAATCCCGGAACTGACGAGTACTGATTTGTTGCCAGGTCATTTACGTATCCGTCTACAACGTACCTTGGAATGGCAATCCGACGAGCAAACTCGACTCAGCGAGGTCCACAAAGTGAAGAAATCACACAGGACGTCGTAAATCGTCACAATAAGCCGGACGCCCATGGCAAACATTCGCATTCGATCTTTCACTCACACTCGCACGATGAACATGACAATGGACATGACGCAGGGCAGATAGTACAGGCGCTTCAAACTGCTGGTAAGTTGTGATCCCTAGTTAGTCGAAGCGTAGCTAATCATCCATTAGGCGATAGAGGAAGTCGAATAACGCTTATAGGGCTGTTTTCCAATGTGGCTTTGACTGGCGCCAAAGGATTCGCGGGCTGGTATATGCATTCTGCCTCATTGCTAGCGGATGCCGGTCACTCCATGAGTGGTCCGTGACTCCAACTAACAGCTTAGCTTCTCGCACTAACATGATTGTTTACAGATCTGCTCGGTGACTTCGTTGTCCTGTTTTGCTGGAAACTGTCAAGGAAGCCACCCTCAGCACGTTACCCATATGGATTCGCTAAATTTGAGACTCTCGGGACAACTACCGTGTCACTGTTGCTTATCGGAGGAGCACTGGGTATCGGCTTCCATTCGTATCACCTCCTCGTGGAAGCACTGGTGACAACTGTCTCCACAATCCCACCCGGCCCGCTTCATGACCTCCTCCAGCAAGTTACGTCTGCTGCTCATAATGTTCCTGCTGTCGGCCACTCGCATGGTCATACTGGCATCCTCGACCCTAACGCAGCTTGGTTCGCCGCAGTCAGCGTCATAGCAAAGGAGTGGTTGTATCGAGTAACCAAGAAGGTTGCCGACGAAGAACACAGTCCAGTGCTTTATGCAAATGCTATTCATCATCGCAGTGACGCATATTCGAGTGTTGTTGCCCTTTTCGCAATTATAGGATCGTGGCTATTCCCTGCATTACCCTTAGACCCTATAGGAGGCGAGTAATTTTTACCAGTTCCTCTTTTCTACACTGCTTATTACTTTCACCAGGACTCATCGTTTCTTTTGTTATCCTCAAGCAAGGTTTAGACCTTTTTGGAGGCGCGTTCACTGAGCTTACAGATGCTGGTATCTCGGCAAACTCGCAACGAAAGTTAGTACACGCATTAAACCCTCTTCTTTCCTCACCATCACCGCCATCCACTGCCTTCGGCAACGGGTTTCATGACACTACTGAACTACTCGCTATCCGACATCTCCGAGCTAAGCGTGCAGGCTCTATGATGTATGTGGACCTCACAGCTGATGTACCGAGCAATATGTCAGTTTTAGCCACATCAAGACTAGAAGTAAAGATCTCGCAGACGTTGAAGGAAGCGCGGAAGGAGATCTCAGAAGTCCGCGTGAAATTTCACCCTGTTGACACGCACGCTCCTCGGAGTTGATTGAATTGAGTTTATGGACCTATCATTGATACATTCGTTTCTTACTTTCTCTGTGTTTTCCACACTATGATATAGTTCGTAAGTTATTTTGTGCGTGACTATTGCAACACGTGCGAGCGTGACCAGCGCGTCGAAGTTTCTCGACATATCCAAGACCCATACCACAATGAGCGAACTGGATCTCAGATTGTCCGCAGCTACTGCTCAGGATACAGGTTCTTTTAGGCTTGTGGAGCTTCCTCCAGAGCTGTGTCAAATAATTGAATCTACTTCTGAGAAAACTGCTAGGTGGATTTCCCTCTCGACCGTCAACTATCTCATTTGAGACTATAACATCCAGCCTCTTCATCAAAGGGCACCCGACCGAGGACGCGGTACTATGTACATCAGAAAAGACATATGCCGTCCGTTCTGTCGTGCTGTCCAATACCGTGCTGGTCGTGACACCCTCCAGATCGGATCCAGATGGGACCGTGCACATCCGAGACCAGTTGCACGAAATATTGGAGCTAGTGCCTGTGGTACCGAAGTTGCACAAGCTTTCTATCCTGCTAAGGAACATGGAATATGACGAAGGAGATGAGGACAGGCAGGTGGGTCAGCATGCAGTGTGCACGGGGCATATCATCTCATCCGTTCACAAGGCAATCATGCCAAAGTATAGCTACGAGCAGGCTCGTAGCGAAATTCAGGCTAGCGAAGCTGAGTTTGTCCGCGGTCTGAAAGAGAGACGCATCCTCATACTTGAAGGTAGGAGCAAAACCCCTTGTGATGGCTGTTCAAGTTGTTATATTAATATCATTTTAGGGCAGCTACGGCCTATAGCCCCAGCGCATCTTAGCACTATTCTCGAACTGCTGTTAAATTACTTGATATCCTTGTCCCTCTCACACCAAGCTGCTGCGGTCGAGGAGCTGGTGTCTGTACTTGCTGATGAACATGAAATACCCCGCGCAGTATCGAACCAAGTCATCTCCTGGTTTGGGGATGTAAAAGAAGGTCTGTGGAAAATGAACGCAGACGCTGTGATCAGAGAGCTTGGAGTAGGGATTCTCCGCCATCATAGAGTTTGTCTGTTCTTTTCTGACTCTGCTTGCCGATGCCTCATGCCAGACTTAGCATAACCCTATCTCTGAGAACGAATTCCTCAAGAAATGGAAAAACGTAGTAGGGGACACTTTCGAGTCTTCTGTGAAGCTATCCCTTCTTTCGGTGCGTTACTCTTCCAAATCTTGGCTGAACTACAATGACATGATCTGTAGGGAGACTACCTTCAAAATCTATCTTCGAACGGGGGGGAAGCGATATTGACGTATTTCCCATCTTCCGCATTGCCGGTCGACCCAGCCGCAAGATTCGTTGAGCTATTTCTGACTCGCCAACGATGGAAACATGAGGAGATCGAGCATTTCTTACTTGACATTGCCGTTAACTCCAAGGAAAGAGATAAACTACTCCTCAAACATGCCAGAGCTCTGACTGATACTGAGGGGGTATGGTACACTGCGAGAGTAAGTTACAACAACTGAAATTTACAATAGCATATCCACATATGGGAGACATATGCGCGACTATAGTATTTATTGCAAGCCTCTGTGCAGCCCAAATATCTCTCGTAGAAGTCATAACACCATGAGACAATCACTTCCTACCTGATGCGCGCGTTTTAACCTTCGAGCCTAGACTCCTGATTGGCGAGGGATGATAGTCATCATCGGCATCCGAACCTTTCCTCTTCCGCTTCGCGCCCGTAGATGTGGACGCACTCGCCAGCATTGGAGCACTCGCGTCCAACACTCTCAAGCCAGACTGACCAGTGATACTATCAACGTAATTCCACAACGCCCTTCCCACAACGCCATTGTTCCGAACGTCGCGGAATTGTTCTCGTATCCGTAAACGCATATGTAGGATGGCATTCGCCTTTTCTTCAATCGTATGATCCCGAAGAACGAAAAGGATGACGCCTGGAATATAGGTAGAGCATATGCTGAGCAAATTATTCACTTCTAAGGATACGACACACACCAACGAAGACAAATTCAACAGGCGCAACGCGCTTGTCAACTTCGGTGAAAGCGGCGTTGAGTTCAGATGTTCTCGCGATGTGCCAAAAATCCGACAGTACATTATTGATCTGTGTCATGAGCAACGTTGGTGGGTTATCCACCCGCTTCAGCCATTTTTCTAGTTTCTGGGCTGTGGGAAGCGGATGCTCTGAGAGGCCATCACAGCAATAGATTAGTTGCGCAATGCACTGGAAGTCTCTTCCACGTGTAGTGTCCCACTCGAGGACACTGGCCAGTCCCCTATTGTCTACATTCACATGACGCAGCTCGAGGTCTGCGATCCAATCAGCCCATGGAGACGAAATTGCTTGAAGTTTCTCTGAACACGTTCGTCAGTATAAATCGCGTTGTTAAAGAAGTATCACACCTGCAGCAGTCAATTGTACACCGAGCTGCACCCGCTGGAAGATTTCGCGCTCGATTTCGGGTGTCAAGTTATGATATTCGACTACAAGGAAACAAAGGTAAATGACTGAGAGGGGTGATGCAGTCAAAACACGAACCGCATGTAATTCTGGTTTCTGCAAACCGTCGTTTCCACTCTTCTGGTATTTCTAAGCGCGTAGTCTTCTGCTTACTGGAACGAACGAACCAATAGCTCTTCTTTGTGTGCACGTCTCGATCTTTGTGTTTGACTGTTCAACATGAGGACTAAGTGGCATCAAATATCGCACTCACGAGGTATCTGTTAACGCTCGCAAAGCATGAGAAACCAATAAACGCCGCGTGAAAACTACAATGAAGCACTCACCAGGCCGTCAAGAAACTTTTGTATTGACGTGAGCCTTTGTTTTCCATCCACGCAAATACGAACAGGCTCCCCATCATCATCTTTTGTCACGGCAAATATCACGGGGGGGATGTAGAAGTTTCGAAAGATAGAGTCGATGAGACCAATTTGCTTGGTCTCTGGCCAAACGACGTCTGTGCGTGCTTGTTGTTCAATATACGTCAAATGTGTGGGGTTCTGTAAACTCGCCTCGTTGATAAATGGGGTTGAGGTCAATAAAGCCTTCGTGTATGTATTCTGCGGTCAACAGTATGTAAGAGAATATGCCATGAGTTGTGTGCCAACCGACGCACTCTGTAACTCTTGCGCAGAGTAGCTCATCGCGGACGGCGGTGTTAATGCATCTCTGACTTTGAACACATTAGGGTCGTCGTCGTCTGACTGATAATCGTCTTCAAGCTCGTCGAGGTCTTTTTCTTGTTCTGCGTTCAATTCGACCATGGTGTTTGAAAAGAAGATGACGAAGTTGGCGGACTTGTCTTAGCCAACTACAAGAGACTACAAACCAACTACCAATTTATTGAGCAAATACATATGATTCAGTCAACCAAACACCCGATCAACGGAACCAATGTCACAAAGTTCGCGAAGCAACTATTAGACGCGTGTGAATGTAGTAATGTATGAAGCAATTATGAAAGTATTGCATATATGTGCAGTCCAACGTTGGTTCAACGGGTATGGGGTTGTCGCATGGACGGTATCTGTCATTTCCACTGCCCAAACTCCTCGTCATCGTCATCATCGTGGAATGGATCCTGCGGATTCTGAGCCAGTGTTGTGTCTGAGGAAATCGAGTGACTGTGTTCGTGTCTTTGTTCGAAGTTTACTTCCTCCTCATCTCGCATCAGCCTCGATGCCTCTCCAGTGACACGTGTCATGCTTCCAGCTACATGCACGCCTCTTGGCGTATGTCCATTACCAACTTGGTCGTCCTCATCCTCGCTAATATCCCCTACTTGCCATAGTACTGCCCGATCCTCCTCACCTTCTTCTGTTTTTCTCAAAGTTTGCTCTTCATCATCATTCTCGTCGTCTTCGTCTAAACGATTGACTTTTGAAGAGGACCGAGCAGCCTTGTGAGACGACAAGCCAGACAATACAGTGGCAGCAGGCGTACGAGTTGATCGCTCGGGTTTTTTATGTGTTAGGAGGACCACACCGGAGATGAGAATCATTATTGAGGCGAAGATAAGGAAGAGTATCCATGGCTTGTAGGCGTCAACTTCGTTATTGAATACCAACGAGTCCAGAAAACTAGGTCGAGATAAGAATAGGCGTGATTGAAACTGGAAAACAGGAGGAATGAACATACCCAGTTGCAGTATAGACGCCATAGAAAACTGGGACAACGAGAGTGGAGTCGTAAACCTTAAGTCCACGGTTGAGACAAATGATCTGAAGTACAGCCGTGATCACGAGTAGAATGATTGTGAATATAGGAGCTAGATGGCCAAACTGGTTTCCGGGGTTCTCATGCGAGAGGCTTCCTGTAAGTAACTTCACGCTGATGCCGAGTCAGAAAAACGCAAGTGGAAAAGAAACAAAGAGAACTGACGTGGCTTTGGCGAAAACCAGACACCCTCCAGCAAGTCCACCCCCACAGCATGCCCACCCAATTCCAAGCACCCACGCAACTTGCGTATCATCCTGAGGCGCAGTCCATGTCTCTAACCTTTCCTTAACCCATAATATCCATGTATTCCAGCTGTCCTTGGCCTTTCCGAGGTAAGTAGTGCTTGAGTCGCGCGACCTCCGTGCACTCATGCCTGCAAAGGGTTCTGAGTCCAAGTCTGACCGTGCAGCGAGAACATCATCCAGAGAATTTGTGAAAATGAGGACGAGAATGAGGGCGATGGACATGCAGAAGAAGAATGCGAGCCAACCACCACGCCGCCATAAAGCGGTGAGATGATTGACATCCGTTTCCGTTGACAGACCACTGTTGACAGCTCCAAAGGCAACGATACCGATGACACCGAGTACTACGATCATCGTACCCTGAGTCTGATTAGGAAAGTGTGCAAATAGGGTGAGGAGGAACTCACATAGATATCTGTTTGTGTGACTGGGGTACCAATTAAAAATCTAGCGAATAGGAAATTAAAGATGAGAGATGTAGATCCGAGGGGGGCGACATATTCTAAGCGGGTAATTGTCAGAAAGGGATGATCTGAGAGAAAGTAAGTTAACGTGCCTGCCCTCATATAATCCAAGGCAAGCGTGCTCCCTATGAGCTGGGATAAAATATACAAAACCATGCCTAAAATCCATAGCGGTCGCAGCCAGTCTCGCCTGCGGGCTGACTTTGGAATAGTGCTCGTCCGCACCTGTAAATGAAGTGTATCAAAATAGAGTTGTCGTGGCACGTCGTAGAAGCTCACATGATCCAACTTTGTGATATTTAGACCAGCGGCATTCAGGATAGACGCAAGCAAAATGATCGCCAATCCAATTATGAACGCTACCAGGGGACTGGCATGACGAGCAGGAACCAGATCGCCAGTGGATGGCTCTCCTGTGGCCTGAGCGATGGTACTGGTGAGAGTGGGAACTGAGGTCACCAGTGAAGCTGCCGCTGACTGGGACATCAAGCGTTGAAAATTAAGGCGAACACACCGTTGATGTGGTCGTGGTAGGAATTCTTCGAGTTCGTTAAAATTGTGGTCTTTGTATATAGCCTGTAGGCTGACTCCAGCAAGAGTTGTGACGTACACGAATGAAAGCTGTGTTATCGTCCTAAAATGGTTTCCTTTCAGGCACTACTAATGTAATCTGAATTGACTTGTCGTTGACCACCACATTCTAGGTCGTGCAGGGCGTCGAGCTCGTCGTCGACCAGTATGGAGGCCATTCTATCTAAGCTTAAAGCCAAAGCAGAGATTGCTCCAGATAATGCTTTACTTCGAGACACCATCTCATTGCTGACAGATTTACACCACAACGAAGCAATTACTCAGAGCGTCACTTGGGACAGTCTCATCCGGGATTTCCAACGGCTACAGGATCAAGGACTATGGGACATATCCGAAGATAACACAGAGCTTTTGCATACTTTGCGTAGTTTCTTGACTACTCAACCGTCCAACCGTAAACCTGCTAGAAATATCCCCCCGTCCTCTCGCCCAGCGAGCAGAGGGGTACAGGGTTCTTTCTCAATAATTTATCCAGATTCCGAATCTGCACTGTCTCCCCTCATCCCGACATCTGATCCAGTATTGCTTCCCCTAGAGCTGGTAGAAATTCTCAACCGCACATACTTCCATCACCTGCTTGCCACAGATCCAAAGCGCGTTGTCCCTCCCGGCAGGTCCCTCGTTTCAATGCTGTCTGCCTCACCCAAAGAGAGCAAAGACGCCGAAAAACCTACTTTACATGACAAGGTTGAGGTTCTCGTGCATAAAGCTTTCTGGGATGAGGTGCGGCCTCATGTGCTTCGGATATTCTGCCATCTGAGGGCTCTTTAGGCCATAGATTCGCTCTCGAATCCAGAGCCTTCTTGCCAGATACCGCGCATTAAATCGTTGTACCAAGACCTCCTCATTGCACTGACACCTCTTCTCCCATCTCAGAATCCTGTCATTACCACACTTTCCTCACCGTTACCTCCGACGTCTTCCCCATTAGATTCAGCTATCATGCATTTGCGTGAGGTTGTAATATCTCTGCGCAAACGTTGTGCACCAGTCCAGGACGAAGAACTTGATGACCTTCTTCGTTCACTGGACGAACCTCCCCCCCGGTCATCGCGTCCTATCTCACTAGCCACGCTAGTGGTAGACACGGTGAAATCCATACTCAGGATCTCAGATATCATGAAAGAACAACTCTCCCAATTCGTGTTGGGAAGCATGACTGAGCAGCAGCTTCAGTCTACAATATCTAAACAGGCAAAAACCAAAGAACGCAAGGATATCTTGGATATTTGGAAGAGCTGGCGGATAGAGTTTAGCTGGCTGGTATGGTTCGAGAACTATCAACCGTCTTTTCAGGTTAATGGCGTCGCCGCTGAGTCGCAATTGAAGTGGGTCATGCGACTTGTACAGGCGCTAGGATCATCGACCCCTCTATCTTGTCAATTACCGACCAGAGAGCCGCAGTCCATCGAGAACTCCCTTCCGCCGATTTTTTTCTTCTCTGCTCCCGCGCTGCTCGAAATTCAGAATTATCTACAAGCACTCGTGATCGCTGCTTCTCTACGCACATTAATCCGTGTGCCTCAAGGTGCGCAAGCGAGTGACGCGACGAGCTTTATGGAACGGCTGTGGATTCTTCTCAAAGCGGAGATCATAGAAGAACCAGGTTCAGGCGACACAAAGCTCGTGCATCTCGCAGACGAGGTCGTTCGTGCCCGCCAGCTGGATGGTGTCATACTCTCCGGAGAAGAGGAGACCAGGCTTCGCGCGGCTGTTGCCCGCACACTCAACCATAATGACCCTGTGTTTGTGCTACTACAGAAACGGATACTGAAAGCGCTGGCTGACGCACTTGGACATCAACGGTCGGAATCTAGACAAGCTAGAGCACATACGGGACCATCCAGAATGCAGACGGGGCAGCATGGCAAGCATGCCGAGAAGCGAGCTCGGATGACAATAGTCTTAAATCCAGAAGAATTTGATGCGGCTTATGGCGCGGAAACGCCTCAATTGACAATTGGCAGGGTGCAAGGTTTCGAAGACGAGCATTTGAGGAAGGTCGTCGAGGAAGTGTTTGTGAAAGTAGATGAGTGTATCAGGTGGGTAGAAGGTATTTGGTCGGATGTACTTCGGGCAGGAGTCGTCGATCGTGAGTTCGTTGTTTAGATTTGTAGAATATATCGACAAGTCCGGAGCCGAGCATGAGGTTCAATCCCGAGCAGGATGACGATCTGGAAATAGATAATCCCAGTGCACTGCTTGGTTTACTTATAAGTATTTGAGAGTCCGAGTCGGACGGTTGGTAATTCCACTCTTTTGAGGCTTCATGCACATGCTTCAACGAGGTCTCGTAAGCTCGTGCAAGGTCACTCGAGACGTCCATTGCACAGTAACCAAGAAGGAACGACTGACAATTTCCTTCCACATGGTCTGGCTAGGGGACTCCGAAACGGATATTTGACCCCAAAATGCATTAATCCTTGCCTTATTTTTCATAGGCTCAAGTTGTCTAACTCGGCGTTAGCTCTAGGTCAGATCCTTGACTGTCGAGGATCTACATCAACTCCGAGACAGAATGATTTCAAGTCTTACGTATCATCCGAGGCAAGTACTCAATACGTCTTGAGTGACAAGGGCCTCTCCACTCGAACAGCGAGCTGAGAGCTTTGCGTTTCCTCGATCGCTTGGCGCTCACCCAGTAGCTCGCATCCTCCTCGGATCAGCCCCGGTCGTGTCGGCATACCCTCAACGTCAGGTAGCTGGAATTTCGATGGAATACTCTATCAGAATATTGGAAGGAAATTTTAGCGCTCCAAAACGGCTAGTGAGTATCATATAGTGACACACGAGTCGTGCGAACCCATAGATATCATACACTTTAGATGCGTTCAGAACGCAACCGAATTCTGCCGTGGACTCATCGGCCAAGATTGCCCATTGGTCTGACCTCGAAGTACATGCAGTGCATGTCTTTGTGAAGAGGGATCAGTGAACTTTAATCTGCATTGATACTAGGCTGAGGCTGCGGCCTACAGGTGCTGCGGCCATGATTGATGATCAATTCCTGAAACATGGAGTTGGCCAGTACGTATGTACTAGGTCAGACGAATCACGTGTACGTAAGTACCATGGGCCAAATGAATTGATTCCTGACATCTTCTGTGCCCTGTAACTGCCCTACTCATCCGAGTTCCGTCACCTCAAGGTACGGTGTGACGTGTCATTGAACACTTGTACACAGTAATTGATTGCTCGTACCTTTGAAGTGATGTGAACCGAGGGCGCAACTTGTCATCAATTCATCCATATATAATCACTCCTTCGATGTCCATTTATGTAATTTCAATAACGGAGTAACATTTGCTCTATTATCATCCGAGTTGTCACGCACTTGGGTATATGATAAGGTAAATTGTTTTGCGCTTGTCAGTATAAAAAACCCAGTTAACTTCACACACCACAGCGTCTGGTAGCGCTCACATTGTATCATCAACCTTTGCCATGTCGGACTTCCTTACGAGTAGGCTTGAAGTAGTTCTTGCCGCATTTGCCATCAGCTTGGCACTCAGAAGTTACTTTGCCAAACCAAAGGCGCCTCACGGTGGTAAATTACCACCAGGTCCGCCTTTGCTCCCGATCCTAGGCAGCGCACTGGCAGTTGATGTGACTGCCCCTTGGCTTACCTACAAGGCATGGGGCAATCGATACGGCAAGTCGTCCCACAGAATGCAGGCCACCATGAGTAACTAATGTTTCCTAGGCGACGTGGTGTATACTCAGCTTTTCGGTCAGGATAACATCGTCATCAACTCTGAGCGAGTTGCAAGAGACCTCCTTGAACATCGCTCACATAATTATTCTGACCGACCAGACATCGCAACCAATGAATTGTATGAATTATTCGAATTCTCAAGTATTCTTGTTAATTAGTTATGAAGGTTTGGCATCGACTATACTACCGCCTTCATGCGCTACAGTAGCAGATGGCGGCTTCAGCGGAAAATTCTTCACCAGTCCTTCCGACAAGACGCAGTCCCCTGTTTTCGGCCCATGCAAGTAACCAAAAGTCATGAGTTCTTATTGAACCTCCTGGAAGATCCTTTGGACTACCCGAAACATCTTGAAGCGTGGGTGGATTTCCATGCACATCAGTACTTCGGTATTGAAACAGTCCCCCAGCTATTCAGGTTCAGTCATCATGTCTGCCGTGTACTCGTATGATGCAGCACGACGTGGTGACCACATGGTTGAGCGTGCAACCATGGGTCTGGATATCATACTGAAAGAGATGAGACCGGAGGTAGCTGCCATTTTTAGTGCCTTTCCTTTCCGTAAGCTCGGTCGTCCACCATACACAGCAGTTTCTTACCGTCTTATTCGTAGTTCTCCGTCTCCCCTCTTGGCTCCCTGGTATGCGCCTCAAGAGAGTCTCACCTTTAGCCAAAAAATTGTCCATAGAAAACTTGGAAAATCCATTTGCGTACACGGAGCATGGTTTAGTAAGTCCTACATTTCGTGAGGTGTTTTGTTCTCAAATTCTTTTCAGGCTGCAGGATCCGTCTCTTCTTGCATGGTCGCCGACCATTTGATGGAGCTTGATCACAGCTACGGCGATTCTGCCTGGCAGAAAAAAGCGGTAAAGGAATCTGCAGCAACCGCTTTTGGGGGTGAGGAAATGCCTTTCATTGTAAGTTTGTCAGACTGAATGAGACTGTCTTTGACCAGCTGGCACTGAGACGGTAGGCCGAAAGCAGCAGCCAGTGATTCGATTCAACGCTGACAACTACTAGACAGCTGCTGTGTTGATGAATTTCTTGCTGGTGATGATTCTCTACCCAGATATACAACAGAAGGCGCACCAACTTGTTGATAGTGTGGTTGGCCCAAAGAGATTGCCGACATTCCACGATCGTCCATCCTTGCCCTACATTGACGCTATTTTACGGGAGTGCATGCGGTGGCGCCCAGTTTTCCCTCTTGGTGCGTCGCTCCACCTCAGCACAACGGAACTGGATTATTGATCTATTACAGCAATCATGCATGCTGCTGTCGAAAGCGACATTTACGAAGGCTATTACATACCCAAAGGTGTGCGAGTTTCTTCTCATCCTGGAGTCCATGTTCATTCGCAGCACAGGTGCTACAGTCACCCCGAATGTTTGGTACGAACATCAATTGTTCTCTGTGGTTTGCCACTTAATCTTTCTTAGGGCGATGTGCCACAACGAAGATAAATACGCAAATGCGTCCGAATTTAATCCTGACCGTTTCCTCAACCCAGACGGCACTCTGACAGACGATACTGTGAGTTTTGTGTGGGGATTTGGACGACGAATTTGCCCTGGTCGCCACCTCGCCGAAGCTTCTATATGGTCTGCCATGGTCGGTATGCTTGCAGTATTCAATTTTTCCAGGCCAAAGACGAGACTGGTAAAGAGATTGAGTTCGAGCCACACTGGCACGGAGGGCTTACTGTGTACGTGGTGTTTAACTGGAGAGATGGCTTACTGATTTTTGGCTGTCAGGCGACCTATGCCATTCCCTTGCAGTATCACTCCGCGGAATGCGGACATAGATATCACGACCTTGCAGCATTTGATCAGGGTATCTATTTAGTTTGGTCTGTTCTGCATTGATGAATCATGACGTGTATTGGTAAACGAGCAGTAGCGAGTCCTGATCCTGTAACTTGTTGTACCGTATTTTGTACTGTCTTTTTGGAGGTATCAGTACTAGTGCTGAGCGCTGAAATTTGTTTGTTTAAGAATAGTCACGATATAAATGTAAACAAAAAAGGAGTATAGCCTACTACTAGTTGTACAGCATTCTTGGGGTAATTGCCGCCGAGCCGCCACAAGATGATGTCTCCGACATCTGAAAAACACCCAAGTTCTCGCTTAAGTCGCTTAAGCTGTCAGAGAAGTTTGATGGCTTACGACCTACACCCTGAAGCATCTGATTGGTTGGAGATGCGGCTTATGGTGCCGAGAGATCTTGAAAGTTCAGTTTCCCATATCTTCACTTAGATAGTAAACTGATAACATGGCATTAATACTACTGCTACTATTGTACTACCAAAAATCTGCATGTAATGAATGATACCACTCCTTGTCTGAAAAACTGTTGAGGTAGAAGGTATCATAAAGCTCCAAGGATGTTGCAGAAGTAACATCACAATTAACCCTTTCACCATATTCAGGAATCAACTTGACAGCATGAGTAACATCAATGAGAGGCACAATCATTCCAAGCCTTGCTAGTGTTCCATCAGGACTAGTCTCAAACCATCGCCTGACACGGTACATCATGACTGCAGGATCATCCTGCGGATTGAGATTATCTTGAAGAGTTGCTGTTAAGAACCATGCTCAAAAGAGAGAGAGACTGACTCAGAGGGGCTTGGCCTCAGCTCATATGCTGTGCCCCTTACCTGAGTATGTGCCCTTCATTTCAGAGGAAGTCTGGAGGACTTCCGGAGGCTGGCTACTCTGGTGGAGAGTGCAGGAGGACTTCCGGAGGAGTGTGGGAAATGTCCGGAGGAGTGTGGGAGAGTTCCCACTGCAAGGTAATACTTCTACAGGAAAACAGGATGGAAGGATAGGAGGTCTGGAGGACAGGAGGACAAGATGTCCGGAGGTCCGGAGTATGGAGGACAGGAGGTCTGGAGGTCTGGAGGATGGAATGTCCAAAGGACAGGATGCCTGGAAGTATGAGGGACAGGAGGTCTGGAGGTCCAGAAGGAATAGGGGCTACATCGGATGAAGTCCGATGCAGAAGCAAACAGAGGTAGACTACCCTAAGGTAGAGTCAGAGGGACAGGAAGTGGACCTAAGTCTGGAAAGAGGGTAAGTGCCGGAAAGGCAAGACTCCAGCCTAGGGAAGCAATCCCTAGACTTGGGATAGAGACATAGGGGACAAATCCGAAGGTCTGGAATTCCGGCCTAGGGAGTCCATCCCTAGGCCTTATGGAAAAGGACAAACTCAGATGGACTGAAGTCCAGAAGAAGATTGGGCAAGTCTAAGGTGATGAACAGGATCTAAGATGATATCCAGACTGAGGACTCTACTGTAGGTTGTACAGGGGTTATATACTAGAGGCTATCTGAGAGGATCAGTAAGCAAAGGAGTAAGGCTATGTACGAGCATGCGGAAACACATTGGTAAGTAAGACGGAACATAACTAAATGAACTCGGAGATGAAACTAGTACAAGGATCAATCAGCAAGATGGAAACAGAGATAACCGAGAACTGGAAAGGTGGAGATGCCTAAATGGGGATAGGTGCAGGATCTCAGATGGAGGGTGGGAATAGGTCTGGAGACAGTACAGTTAATATCCAGAGGTCTGGAGATCTGGGGATCCAGAAGGCAGGGCGGAAACAGGACTGAGATATGTGAGGTGGTGGATGTAGTCCAGAATCTGAGAGGAGGTAAAGTCTGGATGTCTTGCTGCACAGAATGTGCATAGGGTGGACAGGATAGGGGATCCAGGAATGAGTTGGATATGGGGTCCGGAAATGGGTCCGGAAAGCGTGGGAATATGATGGGATCTATGTCTGGCATACAGGATATGACAGTTGCACATAAAGAAGTGGTTCAGCGAGTTTGGGAGGCAGTGTGGAGCCCCTCATTGACAAGGTGAATACCATTTGAACCTGCACAACCACAACTTGTTCTAGAGGACTGGGTAAGTGCAACAAGGATAATGAAATATTAGAAGCTCACCATCATTCTGTATCTGCAGGAGCATGATATCACAGTTTCTGAGGGGATAAGCTTCAGACAGTGGATATGCTTGTATTTGCTGACTTGGCATGACAAGATGTGGGTACAGGTCTGAATGTAACTGCAGACAGAATTTGTACCAGACCTTGAGGAGATGGTTCTGAAACTGGGACTCAGACCCATTGATGCACTCAATAAAAGAGCGAAGCTGATTGGGGAAGTTTGGAAGTCAATATAACTGTGCCAGAAAATTAGGTGGCTTGTCAGCCAGATTGGTAGAGACAGTGATGTGAAACACCACAGTACTATCTTTGGAAAGCAGACCCTTGAGGAAGTGATTGCAAACAGGATGGGGGCCATGAAAATGAGAGACATCCTTGGGAGTGACATGCATGACCCAACCAAACACCAGGTCAATATCAACAACTTCCTCAAATTTGTTGCCAATGAGGTTATTGAGGGATAATGTTTTCAAACAGAGGAGAGTGTAGAGGTCAAACTGGCATGCTGTATCTTCCCAATCCAAAAGGTGGACAATTTGCTGTGTGAAGCTTGCATGCTGGTGACTGGTGCACATGAAAGGACTCTTACAATGCGTGATCAGCATGTGTTCACTGGTCTCAGATGTGAATTGGATTGGAGCACCAAGATTAGGGATGGTGTGAATGAATGAAGTGAGGAGCTCCAGTTTGGGAATTTTGAAGTGCTTGATAGGACTGGAGGTCCCCCTGTGAGCTTCAGTGTCAATGATTGCTCCTTTGAAGCAGTGAAATTCTGCAAGCAAGGAAGTCATAGCAGTGATTGATGATGGAATGAAGGTTGGAGATTGAGCTTGATAGATGAAATCGATAAGCACATGAATTGCACAAATAAAATGCACGTCAGCAATGCCTGTGATTGTGGTAACAATCATGTGCTGAATATCCTGATGCTCCCACCCAGTCATCTGCTAGACATGTGAGACACCTTGGGCAAAGTGGCAAGTTCCAATGTGTTTGTGCTGTCTATGAAAGCGGGAATCAAGTTCATCTGCCCTGAGAACCTCTTTGCACCACTTGAAAATATGATTGAAAAAGAATTTGTGCAAGGTATGGAGGATGTCAGGTGCAAGGAATAATGCAGGGTCACTAAAGTGCCAGTTGTGCCAAAATGGAAGTTGAATGCTGCTAAGAAAAAGTGCTTTAGCTTCCTCTTGGAACTGTTGGACCTTCCAGGGATCCACACATTGGCAAAGTTGATGAAGCACTTCAATTATGACACTCCCATGGTGAGAAGGGTACAATATGCCATCCCCAAACTGTGACTGGATGGCCAAAGTAATGGGTGATGCATTCTCACTGATGCACACAATCATTTGCTGTTCAGGGAGGTCAGCAGTATGTGCGACAAGGGGGGTGAATGCATAGTGTAAGTGACTGGATGGGTCCACCATGCTTGTGCCAGTTGTGGCCATGATTTTTAGGTTTTTGCAGATGATATCCACACACCAGTGCCAGACATGGGCTTGCAAGAGTGAGCAGAAGTCTGGATGTCAAACAAATTGTGGGATAGGCATATACACAATGCATGACCATGTGTGCATGGTGGCTTTCATGTGGATATCTGAACAAATGTTGGCAGTGGTAAGGAACATGAGGTGCATCTTGAGTCCACCTGATTGATGAGTGATGGGGATTTTGTCAGAAGCAAGAACAATTGGTACAATGGTAGCACCTGGTGGAAGCTGGTCCTAAAAGCAAGGCAGCTGTCATTATGTATATTCCATTGAATAAAAAACACTATACCTGAATATCATGAGCTTGTGAGCAGGACATCCACTCACCATACTCTCATTCTCTGTTGACCTTGATCTCATATGGATCAAACTCCATGTCATTGGTGAATCCTGGGTTACTGAAAATGTGGTGCATAACCTCCAAAGTGTCATGCCAGATCAAGTGTACAGGATGAGCGGTAATGTAACCTTCAGTATGAATAGTTGTACAGCGCCACTTTGGTCCCTTTGGCAGGGCATCCATGAAAGTGAACATTTGTTGAGCAGATGTATATGCCAGTGCTTTCTGTGCTTGTGACTTCACCTGCTTGTAAGTTGTCAGTTGTAATTTGGCATGTAGTCATTGAGGCTGACTGACCCATGATAACTTCAAAAACTGAGTTATCTGACCCTGGTTAAGATTGTTGCTGTTAAGAACCATGTTGCTCAAGGGAGAGAGAGACTGACTCAGAGGGGCTTGGCCTCAGCTCATACACTGTGCCCCTTACCTGAGTATATGCCCTTCATTTCATATGAGGTCCAATGATAGTCTGATGAAGTCTGGAGGACTTCTGGAGGCTGGCTACTCTGGTGGAGTGCTAGAGGACTTCTGGAGGAGCGTGGGAAATGTCTGGAGGAGTGTGGGAGAGTTCCAGAGGAATGCAGGAAGTGTTTAGGAGAGTTCCTACTGCAAGGTAATACTTCTACAGGAAACAGGATGGGAGGATGGGAGGTCCAAAGGTCCAAAGGACAGGAGGACAGGAGGACAGGAGGACAGGAGGACAGGAGGATGGGAGGTCCAAAGGTCCAAAGGACAGGAGGACAGGAGGACAGAGGACAGAAGGACAGGATGTCTGAAGGTACGAAGGACAGGAGGATAGGATGTTCAAGGGTTAGGAGGACGGAATGTCCAAAGGTACAGAGGGTGGAACATCCGAAGGACAGGATGCCCGGAGGTATGAGGGACAGGAGGTCTGGAGGTATAAAAGACAGGAGGTCCAGAGGTCCAGAAGGAATAGGGGCTACATCAGATGAAGTCCAAGGTAGAAGCAAACAGAGGTAGACTACCCTAAGGTAGAGTCAGAGAGAACAGGGATTGGACCTAAGTCTGGAGGGGGGGTAAGTGCCAGAAAGGCAAAGCTCCAGCCTAGGGAATCAATCCCTAGGCCTGATGAGTAGGACAGACTTAGGTGGACCAAAGTCCAAGAGGGGATTGGGCAAGTAGAGCAAAGTCCAAGATGATATTCAAACTAAGGAAACTACAGGAGTATCTACAGGGGTTATATACTGGAGAATATCTGAGGGGATCAGTAAGCAAAGGAGCAGGACTATGTACGAGCATGTGGAAACACATTAGTAAGTAAGACAGAACATAACTAAATGAACTCAGAGATGAAGACTTGTACAAGGATCAATAAGCAAGATGGAACAGGAGGTAACCAAAAGCTGGAAAGGCAGAGATGCCTAAATGGGGATAGGTGCAGGATATTGGACAGAGGGTGGGAATAGGTCTGGAGTCAATATCTGGAGGTCCAGAGATCTGGGGATCTGGAAGATGAGGTGGATATAGTCTGGAATCTGAGACGAGGTGAAGTCCGGATGTCTTGCTGGATGGAGTGTGCATAGGGTGGTATGGATCAGGCTAGCAGTGAGGATCCAGAGGTCCGGAGCTCAGGGGTAAATCTGGAGCGGAGTCGATCCTACTGAGGTGTGGAGCACACAGCGGAAGGGGATCTGGCAATGAGTTGGATATGAGGTCTGGATGTAGGCTTGGAAGGCATGGGAATATTATGGAATATGAGTCCAGATTGTGGGACATGACAGTTGCTAAGAAATTTGGCTAACTCCCATTCCTCCCTGTCTGCAAATGGATAGTACACATTATGTGTACAATGATCCTCATAGTCACAAGCCTTCATATGCTCAAAGGTGTTTGGCTCATTAAAAGCATAGATGCATCCTGAGTTGTTGTGATAACGAGCCATACACTCCTCCCCTGGACCAGTGGGTTGGTGAATTGAAAGTGGGACAGGTATGCCATTGCAACATGGATCATCTGTCAGATGATTGCATACAGTGGCTCAAAAAAGTGTCTCAATGTTTGTGACTTTTTGTGTAATTGCTGTATTATGAGCTAGGGTGTGAGAATATGACTAAGCCATAGGGAGGTGTGGGAAATCTCTGCCTCTAAGCTTTAAGTTTGATCCCTCTAGCGTGAGAAAATTATGTCATGAAGTGAAGATATGGTTCATTTAATTTGATGACTCATTGAGACACTTTTTTGACTTTCAGTTTGACCAACACAATCTCTATAATTCTGGTACTTGGTGTTTCCTCCTGTTGCTCTAATTACTTCTGCCACTCTTCTATGCATACTATCTATCAATGTGAGGCATTCCTCATCAACAATCTTGTCCCACTCTGCTACAACTCTCTCCCACAGTTGAAATAGCCCCTATTGAGGATCTTGATAGACTGCAAGTGATATCTTGAGTAATTACCAGGGCTGTTTAATAGGGTTGAGGTCTGAGGACTGGACTTGCCATGATAGAACACTGATACCATAGTTTTCAAACCATTTTATGGTCAACTTGAAGTATGCTTAGGGTCATTGTCTTGTTAGAAGGTAATGTTTTCTTCATTAATTCTTGATTCTTGCATGCTTCTGAGCAGATACTTTTTCAAAATTGAAATGTGCTGCTTTGCATTCATCCTCCCTTCCACCTCATACAACACCATACCATCAAGTTTCCTACTCCATACTTTAGTGTTTTCTTGACCTTTCTTTCTTCTAGTTCTTCTGCATTTCATTACATATAGTCCTAGCCATCTGGCCCCATCCTATTGATTTTTGTCTCATCTGACTAGGTAGTCCTATTCCAGTCCTCAATGGTCCAATATTGAGGCTTTAAAGCAAAGGCTAATCTCCTTCCCATATAGGCTGAAGACAGGAAAGGCTTTTCTGCCTGTTTACAGCTTTAAGATTGGCTGCCTTAAGAGTCCCCCTGACTATTTGAGTGGAGAGAGCAGTGTAGATGATGTAATTAATGAATTTGGTGGCTTGAGTAGCTTTGGCAGCCTGCCTAGTTGGAATATTATGAACAAGAGATTTTTTGTTATATGATGTAAGCTCGAAAGGACAATTTAATTTGATATTTTTCTTATCTGGAATGACTTTTTTATGATCCTAATGATAGCAACCCTGCTCAGACCAGTTTTAGTAGCAATCTGCCTGGTATACAGATTAGAAAAGCTGATGATAATAACAATAGGGGCTATTTCAGCTGTGGGAGAGAGTTGCAGCAGAGTGGGGCAATATTGTTGATGAGGAAATGCCTCAAATTGATAGATAGTATGCATAGAAGAGTGGCAGAAGTAATTAGAGCAACAGGAGGAAAAACCAAGTACCAGAATTATAGAGATTGTGTTGGTCAAACTGAAAGTCAAAAAAGTGTCTCAATGAGTCATCAAATTAAATGAACCATATCTTCACTTCATGATATAATTTTCTCATGCTAGAGGGATCAAACTTAAAGCTTAGAGGCAGAGCTTTCCCACACCTCCCTATGGCTTAGTCATATTCTCACACCCTGGCTCATGATAAAGAAACTACATGAAAAGTCACAAACATTGAGACACTTTTTTGAGCCACTGTAGGTCAGTCCCAAATGTGGGTCATCATTGTTCTAGGCCAGGCAACAAACCAGACCCATTGCAGATCCTGCTGCCCAGTAGCCTATACTATAATAGTGAGCATTAGTGATAGCTAGATAATACTTGAGATGGCTTTACCTGCTCCTGTGATTGTACACTTGTCTCATGCATGATCCCACAATCCCAGTTGTACCCTGCACTCATCACAAACTCATTCTGCTATGACATGACATTCAAGTATTCTAGTACAGATTACTTTGGCCTTTTGCTGGACCATTGATGCTGGTTCAGAGCTCTCATAGCCAGGGTGTTCTATAAACTCTGCCCACCACCAGCCCTAACTGGTACTATGAATCTTTTTCTTGCCAATAGTAGCCACTGTGACTTGAGTCAATAAGACAGTTCCAATAATAGAGAACAAACAAAAGAGCAGGTGGAGACTGAGTAAAAAGAGCAGGTGCTGGATTCTATGTTGAGAGCCATGAAAGATACTATATAGATGAGACATGAGGACTCAGCATGGATTATCATTACAATGCACAATAGTAAGCACTGCACTTACTATCATCTGCAATCTATATAAGGAAACCAAGGACTCATGGCACCCTATAAATTCACAGTCAGGTGAATGTTGCCAACAGCCAGTGACTTTCCCACCCTTTGCATTCACTGAATGAATACTGTGGTCAGTGACCAGCAGAACATTGATATATATCATATTGGTATTTTAGCTAGGAGTCAGTTGAAATAACAAGAAAGATTCTACTCAACATCTCATCTCTACTCTGCTCATAACCACAACTTACTATCTCATGTTTCTCATGTTTCTCAGTTTCAGCAGACACCTTGTATTTTTACTAGTTTCAAATTGATGATGTTGACTCAGGTTCAAGGATAACATGGGAAAAAATTATGTGTTTGTTTGGTCTCACTTGTCATTACATGCTTCATGGAGAAGATCATTGACAAACAATGCTGTGGAAGGGGTACACAATACCTGGTGAGATGGCAGGGAGAAGGACTGGAGGCAGATGAATGGCTATCAAGGAGAGAGCTGGAGGAACCAGAAGTCCTGGATGTCTGGTTAGGAGAATGAGAGGCTACTGCTCGCTAGGGTGGAGGGTGTAAGCTGGATGCTTACAACGCATGTTTGTTTGTGCTTGTGCTTGTTGAATGGTTGATAATCCTGTTGCGCTGCTGCCTTGTATCTTATCTACTCCGACCGCACTGCCAATCCACGACCTGTCCATGCTTAAAAAAAGTGGAAACCGCTCCGAAGGGAGGGAAGAAGGGAGGGAAACACTCAGTACCATCCCGATAAACCTTGTTCCGCAAGGTCACTTACCACCCTTTTTCGGTCGTTTCCGAACCGAACAGGGATTTCAAAGGGCGTCTCCGTGCAAAGATGATGTGCAATTCCCGATAATTTTCGGACGAGTAACACTTGTCATCCGAGCCGCCGGAAATGTGTGCTTATATATGTTAGATATATATAGCCACTGGAGTAGTCTTTAGTACTTGGCCATATCTAACATATATAAGCACGCATTTCCGGCGGCTCGGATAATAAATGTTGCTCATTCGAAAATTATCGGGAATTGCATCACTTCAACTTGATCAGGCGATCTGCACTTCAAATTGGGGCTCGTTTTGTGTTTGTCAATATAAAAGACCCCTCAGCTTCACGCACCACAGGCCACTCACTCTGTATTATCAACCTTACTATGTTGGACCTCCTCACGGGAGGGCTTGAAGTAGTTCTTGCCGCCTTTGCCATCAGCTTGGCACTCAGAAGCTACTTTACCAAACCAAAGTTGCCTCACAGTGGTAAATTACCACCGGGTCCACCTTTACTCCCAATCCTAGGCAGCGCACTGGCAGTTGATGTGACTGCCCCTTGGCTTACCTACAAGGCATGGAGCAATCGATATGGCAAGTTGGTTATCCCACAGAATGCAGGCCACCATGAGTAACCAATGTTTCCTAGGCGACGTGGTATATACTCGGCTTTTTGGTCAGGATAACATCGTCATCAACTCTGAGCGAGTTGCAAGAGACCTCCTTGAACATCGCTCACATAATTACTCTGACCGACCAGAGATCGCAACCAATGAATTGTATGAATTATTCGAATTTTCGAGTATTCTTGTTAATTAGTCATGAATTCTTAGATTTGGCACCGACTATACCACCGCCTTTATGCAATACGGTAGCAGATGGCGGCTTCAGCGGAAAATTCTTCACCAGTCCTTCCGACAAGATGCAGTCCCCAATGTGCGGCCCATGCAAGTAACGAAAAGTCATGACCTTTTATTGAACCTCCTAGAAGATCCTTTGGACTACCCGAAACATTTTGCAGTGTGGGTGGATCTCTATGCGCATCTACCCAGTACCTTAGTATTGAAACAGTCCCCCAGCTATTCAGGTTCAGTCATCATGTCTGCCGTGTACTCGTATGATGCAGCACGACGTCATGACTACATGATTGAGCGCGCAACCATGGGTCTGGATATTACACTGAAAGAAATGAGACCGGAGGTAGCTGCCGTTTTTGGTGTTTTCCCTTTCCGTACGCCCGGTCGTTCATCGTATACAGCAGTTTCTTACCGTCTAATTTGCAGTTCTTCGCCTCCCCTCTTGGCTCCCTGGTATGCGCCTCAAGAGAGTTGCACCCTTAGCCAAGGAATTGGCCATAGAAAGCTTGGAAAATCCATTTGCGCACACGGAGCGTGGTCTGGTAAGCGCTACATTTCGTGAGATGTTTTGTTCTCAAGTTCTTTTCAGGCTACGGGATCCGTTTCTCCTTGCATGGTCGTTGACCATTTGCTGGAGCTTGATCAGGGCTACGGCGATTATGCCTGGAAGAAGAAAGCGGTAAAGGAATCTGCAGCGACCGCTTTTGGGGGTGAGCAAATGCCTTTCATTGTAAATTTGACAGGCTGAATGAGACTGTCACTGACCAGCTGGCACTGAGACGGTAAGCCGAAAGCAGCAGCCAGTGATTCGACCCAACGCTGACAACTACTAGACAGCTGCTGTGTTGATGAATTTCGTGCTGGTAATGATTCTGCACCCAGATGTACAGCAGAAAGCGCACAAACTTGTTGATAGTGTGGTCGGCCCAAAGAGACTGCCAACATTCCACGATCGCCCATCCTTGCCCTACATTGACGCCATTTTACGGGAGTGCATGCGGTGGCGCCCAGTTTTCCCTCTTGGTGCGTCGCTCGCCTCAGCACAACGGAACTGGATTATTGATCTATTACAGCAATCATGCATGCTGCTGTCGAAAGCGACATTTACGAAGGCTATTACATACCCAAAGGTGTGCGAGTTTCTTCTCATCCTGGAGTCCATGTTCATTCGCAGCACAGGTGCTACAGTCACCCCGAATGTTTGGTACGAACATCAATTGTTCTGTGGTTTGCCACTTAATCTTTATTAGGGCAATGTGCCACAACGAAGATAAATACGCAAATGCGTCCGAATTCAATCCTGACCGTTTCCTCAACCCAGACGGCACTCTGACAGACGATACTGTGAGTTTTGTGTGGGGATTTGGACGACGAATTTGCCCTGGTCGCCACCTCGCCGAAGCTTCTATATGGTCTGCCATGGTCGGTATGCTTGCAGTATTCAATTTTTCCAGGGCCAAAGACGAGACTGGTAGAGAGATTGAGTTCGAGCCACACTGGCATGGAGGGCTTACTGTGTACGTGGTGTTTAACTGGAGAGATGGCTTACTGATTTTTGGCTGTTAGACGACCTTTGCCATTCCCTTGCAGTATCACTCCGCGGAATGCGGATATGGATATCACGACCTTGCAACATTTGATCGGGGTATCTGTTTAGCTTGTTCTGTATTGATGAATCATGATGTGTATGTATTGGTATACAGGCAGTAGCGAGTCCTGATCTTGTCGTACCACATCTTTGTACTGTCTTTGTAGGAGGTATGAGTAGTGCCGAGCGCTGAAATTGTATAGTCGCGATATAAACGTGAACAAAACGAAGTATAGCCTACTACAAGCAGTTGTACAGTATTTTGAGGCCAATTGCCACCGAGCCGCCGCAAGATGATTTCTTTCCGACGACCTAGTCATCTCTTTCTATTCATGCATGTATTGATCTTTGGACTCTGCAAGACTTCGTTTCCCCACGTCACGAAAGATTGTAGCTTCAGCCATGGCACCCAGGAATCGAGATGATAACTTCATGGACGTAGATTCTGATTCCGACATCTCCATGCTCGGTGATGTTGAACACCGCGGGAAGGGAAAGGGAAAAGGCAAAACTACTGACAAGCGCAAGAAGGACAAAGGCAAGGCAAAAGCGAAGGAGGTCAGCAAGGCAGCATTTCGTCACGGAGCTATACTCATATTTTTACAGCAAGCTTACACCTGGGAGGCATCCTATACGCGTTCATGGGACACTGTGCAGGAGGACGAGGCTGGAAGTCTTCAGGGCGCGGTGGAGGATCTAATGGCGCGGGGGAGGCGAAGGAGGTCCATCCATTCCACGTCTCCCATTATAGTTTTTCTGACCCAGTGAACCAGGTTGCTTGCACCCGCTGCTGCTATCCGCCGTGCGATCATCCGACATCTGGTTCTCCTGCTCGACCTTTCAGCAGCGATGATGGACCGTGATATGCGTCCGACTCGCTTTGATCTCATGCTTCAGTACGCAAAGGAATTTGTGGTTGAGTGGTTCGACCAGAATCCTCTGGGACAGATTGGCGTCGTTGGTATGCGTGCCGGTATTGGCGAAAGGATCGGGGAGATGTCTGGTAAGTTCTGCAGGATAAATCATCGAGTAATATATTCATTTTATCAGGCAATCCGCAAGATGTCCTCAAATGTCTCAGCGATAGAACTCGACTTGAGCCCACGGGAGAGCCAAGCCTTCAAAATGCCATCGAGATGGCACGGAGTAGCATGAGGTACATCAGTTCCTTAGCACTTCGAACTTATTTTTGATTTATGCAGTCACTTGCCAACTCACTCTTCTCGAGAGATCCTCATCATCTTTGGCTCTCTGACGACATGCGACCCTGGAAATATTCACGACACCCTAGATGCCTGCGTAAAGAACAAAATACGCATATCAGTTGTCGCACTTGCTGCAGAAATGAAGATCTCCAGGGATCTATGTGACAAGACTGGTGGTAAGTAGTAATATTTTATGTAAAATATGTTGATTCATCCATAGGTCAGGTCAATTTGGCGTGGCCATGAACGAGGGACACTTCAAAGATATCTTGTTTGAGCTCGTTCCACCTCCTGCACAACGAGCTGTCGTTCGCGCAGGAGGTCCAGGGGCAAACCCAGCTGCCGACTTGATGATGATGGGATTTCCTACTCGACTTCCTGATTCCTCACCACCAAGCTTATGCGCCTGTCATTCGGACATGAAGAACGAAGGCTTCTTGTGTCCGAGATGTATGGCGAAAGTGTGCGATGTTCCGACCGACTGCGACATCTGTGGACTCATGATCGTGAGCTCACCCCACTTGGCACGAAGCTATCATCATTTGTTCCCGGTAAAACCGTATGAAGCTGTGTAAGTGGCATTCTCGTAGATTTATTTTTTTATCATCGACGCTGTCAATCCCAGAACGTCGATGGAAGGCGAGTCCGAGTCAACGGTTGCTTGCCACGCCTGTGCAAGGATGTTTTCGACCTCCGCGTCAACTGCGGCAACTTCAGAGGGTATCAGTCCCTGGGGTCGGTACCGCTGCCCCGATTGTCACAATGATTTCTGTACAGAGTGCGATGTATTCGTTCACGATGTTATCCATTGCTGCCCAGGATGTGGCAAGTAGTATAGTACGATGTACAAATCTGTTACTACTGATTCACTGCAGCAATGCAAACGACAAATTACAAAAAAATGGCTGTCGGACTCTTATCTAGTAGTAAAGATTGATGGAGTTAAGCTTGCTTCGTGGCGGAACTAGATCGGTCCCAGCAATTCGGATTGACGTAAATGGGGTGCGGTCTTCAACGTTGAACTTTAAGTAACTCGATACTTTTGTGTTTCTCTTCTCCTTGTTCTCGACTTCCTCCGCTGTTATGCTGTTACTATCTCTTACACTCTTTTTTTCTTCTTGGAACACCTTCGTTTACGCTGGCAGTCAATCCAAAGGCGAAAACTGCACCATTGGTAACAACCGCCTCCAATTCGGCACATATCAATTTCATAGCGATTGCGACGCACAAACATACTGCTCGTCGCAGGGCACTTGTGAACTGAAGGGCTGCAGAAAGGACCAATATCCATTTGGATATCTACCAGATGCCTACATACCACCAAGATGTCCTTCTGGGCAATTTTGTCCCGACGAGAGCGATGCGTGTCAGCCTTGGCTACCTGTTGATAGTCCATGCCAGCTGAATCGTGATGGTGAGCTTTATGGAACTCATGTGATGATGTTCGCTGACTCCTTGTTCACCTGCACAGACCAATGCGAGCCGCCTCCAAATTGGCAGGAATTGGCTGATACCTCACAGTACTGGCCGCAACGTAAATGGCTCCGTCTGTCTGAATAACGTCTGCATGTGAGTCGAAAATTTGTATTGGATGACTATGCTGATTGTGGATTTAGGTGGGCAAATGTCACGGTCGGCCAGCCTTGTGAAGTCGAGAACACTGCCTACGTCGCTTATGCGGGAACTAACGAGTTCGTTGATATCGTGTCACGGTGGGTAGGATTGTAGCATGCCCCTGACCTTCTGCGCGCGGTGCTCATCTCCTTTTCCAGAGGCAACTGTCAAATTGGATCGTATTGCGACTCGCAGTCGTTGGTTTGCATCAAGACAAAGCAACTCGAGGAGACCTGTGATGCAGACAAAGAGTATGTCTTGAGTTCGATGTAGGATGCACCGTGATATTGACTGGACGCCCAGATGTTTGTCATTTAACTGCTTGAAAAAAGGCGTTTGTGGTCGAGGTGCTGACTCGCCAAAACACTTTGGGATCTGGGTGTATGTCATGGTCGGAGTTGGTATCTTCGGAGGTCAGCCCCAATATTTTAAATATTTGAACTCTGACACGAGGGTCGGATTGCTAGGCATGTTTGCCACTCTAATTGCCTTGTTTCTGATTCACCGCCGTCAACGCGACCAGGAACGTGAGAAGCGCCTCCAGTACTGGCTCGAACAGGTAAGTGATCTGTGACCCCGTATCTTTGATACCGTCTCTCTAATATGTATGTTGTGTAGAATGCCTTGCGTCAGAGCATTATGCAAATGAAGGAAATTGCTCGCACCTCCATCTTGTCTCTCGGCAACGGCAACAGCAACCGGAGCACAGTATGCAGTCGCGCTGGATCGGAAGAGTCGTCGACGCCGATGATCCAGCACTCGGTCCACAAGTCGAGCGGGCTGCGACAGCAATGCCTGTCAGATGATAACGGGCGCGAATATGATTAGATAATGATGCAAGCGGGTCAGCGGTAGGTGTGGGTATCGTGCATAGGCGCTAGAACTTGACTCTCTTATATGTCAACGGGGACAATCTTTCACCACGGATTGACTGATCTCTTCCCATCTTATATTCAACCATCCCAATCACATCCCCTTATATACCTAGATCGAACCTTAATTATTGGCTGTGCCGACTAGCTAGCTATTAGGACGGACAAAAATAAGTGGTTGGTCTAATGTTTCAGCGCTTTCTATGTGACGCGTGAGCCCTGGATTGAATACACGAGCAAAAGTCCTACAAAAATAGTTCATTTGTTAAAAAAAGTTAATTATAGACTCAGAGTATGGTCTATACTGAAATACCTCTCACGGGATAACCGCTCAAAGCTGTCATTACAGCAACATCAGAAAATGTGATTTGGGATGTGGTTACAACAAATGCAAATGGGAGAATCTTATTATTTGACCACTGGAAGTGCAACAGATTACAACGGTACGGTAAGGTAACGGCAGGCAGGGGAAGATGCACAACTGAACAAATCGCATGTATGACAGTATGCTTGGAGCGTAGCAGAGCCTAAGTAGGTATCAGCACTGAGCAACAAGCGAGTGCATTTGGCGGCAGCAGGACCAGCTCACATGCTTTTCTACTCAATTCGTCAAATCAGAGAAACACGTACTATACATGGTTCAGTATCCTCGGACGGTCCGAAAGCCAATGATATGCATTGTTGAGCACAACTAGGACGGGACGGTGGGCAATAGAAGTTCTAGGGAAGGGGGGGAGGCATGTGTTACAAGCAGGAACAGCCGGTGAGACTAATGCGATGAGACAGGAGAAAGAAAGACAAAAATTGATGCAAAAGAGACAGGTAGCGGGAAATGACGAGACCCATCACTGGCAGGGAACAGCATAGGAACACGCAAGCCTAGGTACGCCATGCAGGGAGCTGTACACCGGCGATGGTACGGTGCAGGGGGTGGCGGCAGCGCGGGAAGGCGCCCAGAAGAGCAGGGCAATATATGCCAACTAGGGTGCCAGGTTGGGCGCTGCCGTCGCGCCAGGTCCGACGGTATGTGCGGGCCGACCCCCAGTACAGGGCTCGGGTGACTGTAACTGCTTCTCGGGCTTGATTCTGTCTGTCACTGTCTTAAGTTGCTTAGGTAGTAAGGGCGGTGCTTATCTACCCTGGAAAACATGGAATCAAGTCCCACCACCATTCATATAACCTTGACAAGCAAGTGCATGATCTGAGATCGAACCTCCCAATACTAAGCGAAATGTTTGTAGGCCCTTAACATGTGCAAGTTGACGTCCGTACGGCAAAGTGATCTCTTGGAAAGACATGGTTACGATATCTTTGAGGAAGATAACTGCAATCAAGGAAGTACCTTATCTGACATTTATGAGAATATGAGTAACTTGACTATTTGGAGAACAGAAACGACGGCCTGCATGACCCTCGAGGTGAGAACGGAGAGCAGGGGCGATAGGGGCGGCACTGGGAACTGAGAGGGTAGAGTCACGAGCCATGAGTGTCCTCTGCCAGTGGAGTAAATCATGCTATGCTGCATAATCAGATAGAGCACGGACATACAGGATCGGCGCTGATATACTTACTCGAAGTAAGTTACTAGGGGACCTTGCCAGGGCTGGGGTTTGAATACTTGAAGCGTGAGTGCACACCTCGGTCCTGACTTGAGCCTGATTTCGGAACTAGCATGGCAAAATCATATACGTGAGGTCTCGTGCTGTGGTAGCGAAGTCCAACATGCACGATTCTCGAATGACAAGAATCCAGTTTTCGTTGGCATGTATATCCCAAATGCTAATAGTCACTGATCAGACAGAGCGCAAAATATCAATGGCGTGCACGTGGTATCGTTGAAGAGTTCATCATGGGATAGTTTCTCGGCCCCAGTGACGCAGGGTGACCCTTCAAATTGTCAGTCGTGTGATCATCGATATACGTACGTCGTACGACTTTCCCGTTGGACCTTCCGTTGGTAGCAAATTATTGAGGACAGTACTTGATTCGTGACATTAAATGGTGCCGCAAGCTCGGCACGATTTTTATTAGGACACCACAAGTTCACGACCCTTACTACAACTTGAAGTTAACGAGATTCTGATGGCCTGCCCTATAAATATTGCATGTTGGTGATCAGCAGACTATCCCCCACTCTTTGAATTCGCCATCTGATCTGCATAGTTTCATGTCGGAACTAGAAGAATCTCTCTACGCTTTCGACTGGAATAACAATATCTCAGGTTCGTCGGCCTTATTGGAAATGAATCATTGTGCTGAATTTCATCATTTTCCAGTTGCAATCATTACTGTAATATCCTATGAGTACAGTCAGTAGCTTTCATGAACTTTGCAATGCGGCTGAGCGTAATATTATCTAGTGCTTCAGTTTGAGAAAGAGGTGATGAGAAGTTCATCTTGTCTTCGTCGAGTACTCATGATCATATTATCACAGGTCACGTTTGTTTGGGTTAGAGCTCAACCCAAACGAAATTAAGGTCCGAAACTGACTGGATATACAGGAAAGACAATGGTCAGTGATGACATATCTATACCTTGCTGTAAGTTCCACCCTGCCAAAGTGCTTCATGGTTTCCCATTTTGTTACTATGTCAGGTTCGATATTTTGGCATTTTGGTTGTAATGTACGTCGCGGTGATTGTATCCTTCAGATGATATATTGTATGTTGACGCTGGCGTCTAGGATTTGCGCCTGCTGTACGTGACGTGATACCAATGGAGCCCTCATTAACTGACCAGCACTAGGGGGAGGTCTATTTTATATACCTGAAGCAGTGAGTATATCTTTCTTTGAAGAATTTCAAGTTGACCCAGATTTAGCCGTACGTCAGAATTTCGTTTTACAGCAAGGCCTGATCTGCTGCTGACCTCTTGTTTAGTTGTGAGTATGTCGTAATCAACTGAAACTAGCTTTGCTCATCATGAAATTGAAATAGGTTACGGTATATTTCTGTTTATGCAATGGGGAATTTCTGCATATTCTGCCTTGACGAAAGGTACGTCACGGTTATATGCATACATTCTCGCACATTTGTGCGTACTCATTTTGCATTTGCAGTTATTCTCATTTGGCGTCTTTACGCCCTATACAACCAATCCAAATACATACTTTATGTTCTACTGGGGTTGTTCCTACCAGTCGTTGCGCTCTACATAGCGGTGGATATATTTTTATGGAGTCGACCCTCAGCGATCTCAGGTAAATTTCTACTTTGATCAAATTCTGTGCAAGCTGATGCCTTAGTGCATAGTGCAAGAAATAATAATAACTCCAAACATCAAGTACTGCGGGGCTTTATTCCACATTGGGCCTATGCCTGCGATATTTGCTTCCATCCCCATCATATGCTATGATATTTTACTGGTTGTTCTCGCCATCGCCACCCTCTGGAACCACCTGAAAGAACGGAAGGAACTTTGCATGAAGCCTAACACCTATGTGGTCATGATCGTCCGATATCATATCATATACTTTGTCATGTAAGTTCCCCTTTGTTTGGTGTGTTCTCTGAAAGCATTCATTAAGTCACGCTAGGAATTTGGCAAGTCAACTCTTCACGGCGATATTGTGGGCCAACCTTCCAGTATGATCTCCCGTGATTTTAGAGAGATCTGCTCTAATGCAAGCATACACAGATAGTAGTGATGTATCTCATACTGTTGTTCAACGATACTGCGCCATTCATTCTCGTGCCACGTCTCATCATCAGCATTTGGGAAACGCATGCCAACGACAACTGTGTACATGTCAGTACGACGTTCGAGGATTGCGTTTGTTGGACTTCGCCACCGGTATTGGAGCAGCACGAAATGGACTCGGGTGTCAGTCCGTAGTGTTATATTGATACATACATAGCTAGAACAACAGGATATATCAATATAGTGATTCATCAGTGATTTGATGTATTATGGAGATTTATCAATCGGGATTCTCCACATCAGCACCCTTGTGATGTATGGCAATGTGCATCACAGGTCGGCCCGACTCACGACATGAACACGTGCCTTGTCACACTACCGCTGTGACTACCTTTGTCACAGAACATGCCATAGTATTTGTGGGAGGGTCTTGACAGCCGAACATGATAGGGAGCTTCCGGGGGTCTCACTAAGCATACGCGGCTGATGTGCTCTTGACAAGTAGCTAAAATTATCACAAGCTCTTTGTTTCTCCGGGCGAGATTAATTTTCCGGTTTCTGTGCATATGAGAAATTAAGCTATTATTCAGTTGTCGTTTCTGCAGGGCTTTAGAGTCAACTTGAAGATCAGTCGAATTTCTCAATCAACACCCTACAGACGGCCACGAACAACGCGGATGTCATCAATGGTGTCTTCTTCCATGGTGTCTTCTCCTCCGTCCTCTTCAATTGCACTTGGCAACATGCCCTCTAATTCACCCCCAACCCTGGAAGAGGATCTCAGTCATGCTCACTTATGGTCCCAGGATAATGACCAGCGAGACTCGCAAGATATTTCACCACCACGTTCAAGTACGAGCACAGAGAAGGGGAAAGAAAAGCAGCTGGACGAAGATACCATAGAGAACCCTAGCTCAGAGTCATACCCTCCTACAAATGACGATGCAGCCGAGACGCGACGAGTGGAAGAGGTGCGCTATTTTCGCTCTCGCCCATAACATACTCGGATCATTGAAACGCTACTTCCATCCTGGCAGAACCTACGTCGATGGGAGTTGGCTGACCGTGAACGACGGAGAGCTGCGCGAGAATCTACGCAGGCTAATAGAGGCGCAGGCGGTCCGTCTTTACTTGGAGAAGTAACACGCAGGGCAAGCGTGCTCCTTTCGAAGCGGCCATCAGTCAGATCATCTACAGGAGGGCTGGGTGATCATCGAGCTCTTCAATCTAGAGACTCCATCGACGTAGTCCCACTCGACGACATCGATCAGAGCCCGCCTACAACTGCGAATCCGTTCATACACCCATCTGAAATGGAACCAGGGTTTGTCTCCCCAGAGTCGACTCCCTTCGTTGATACGAGGAAGCGGTCTAGAGTGATGACCGAAACTTTTGACTCGGACTCGCGTATGCACTCATCACGGGCAGCCACGCTCCCTCCGATGTCAACACTTGTTTCTCCCCCACAACCGCTAGGGTTACCGCCGCCTTTAACACCACCACCTAAAGGGACTAGACCACGCATGGCTCCCATGAATCCCACACCTCCACCAATGTTGCGTCAGGAACCCATAGAACCCGAGCAGGAGGTGAGATGGTGGCACGACTGGTTATGTGGATGCAGCGAAGGACCAGACCGGGGAGGGGACAACCAGGTGTGAAAGACTCTAACTCAGGCTGTTGACTGTACTGACGGGTTTGCTTCAGGCTGGACGCACGAATCCTTTTGAATGATCGACTCCGGTTGATTTCATCCTCCCTACGACGTACACCTCCGTGTACACTCTTGCATACATGTACTATATCAGTGGTTCCCATCCAGGACTAATCTACGCCATTACATAGGTATTAACTTATAGTTCGTAGAGGTTTCATAGTGTTTGGACCATTTGCCGCATACATACCCGCTTGTGTTTATTTTGCCATCCTCATCCACACTTGCGCAATTGATCGTTCGTCACATGGACTCATCTGTAACCCAACGGGTAACATTTTTGGGAATGTGTGCATGTCATTATCCCCATCACGAAGGAACGTGGAGGGTAAAGGGGCAAGTGAAGAAGTAGTAAGGAATGCAAAGGGGGAACATAGGTTTCAATGTGGGTAGTGTATCGTATGTAACATGACAAGCCGTGACTACCGCACAAGTCAGTACAATTTATACATGCCAGTCCACGGACACTCGGTAGTTGTTATTGAGCAGACGGGAAGTGCACATTCTTAATCTGATTATCATTCGAAGCACCATTGTCCAGAATCACTGGTCCAACGTGATTGTTGACAGCCTCAACCTGCAGCCAGATTAGTTTGGTGGACTATTGATAGAAAACAAAGTACTGACCTGCACCAGTTCTGGAGAAGAGTCATCCTTACCACGACTGTGACGTCTGGTCACGACCGACCCAGGAACATCCTCGAAAGTTGCACCCGAGGGACCGGTATCTGGAATCACAGCAGATTCATCGGTGCCTTTAGGAGTCTTGGTGGAGCCTTGCTCTACATCTTCATCTGCACTTGACTCCACAATATCGGGAGCACGGGCCCAAAGAACCCAATCTGGGACCGTGACACGATTACGGCTAGTCCACGTCATGGTCAACGAAATCGTGCGAGAGTGTACACCACGACCCATGTTGAAAGACGGGATAGACAAGCCATCTGTATACCTTCTAATTCAGCGACAAATACGAGAACACTACCTGCGACAGCACTTACGAACGATAATAGAACCGAGAACGACAAAGGAAACGATAGGCTGAATAGTTGCGGCTAGATATTGGGCTTGATTTGCAGGCGGGTGTTCCGGAGTGGGTAGACGGGTAAGAGCTAGGTTAGACACGAAAACCGCGCTGACTCCCATCTAGGACGCGTAAGTGAATGATGAGAAATGGTGTTCAACCGACTTACTGGACCTGTATACAGGATTTAGATAAAAGCGACAGCACAACTAGGATAACTACTCACCAAAGTGGCCAGAGAATAACGCTTCCTTCCAGGAAGTAATCTCGGGCACAAACTTGTAGAGCGCCAATAAGGGTGGAATTCGCCTTAGAACCAAAATAGCAATCATAAGAAGAACGAGCTTCCAAGGGGTGATACCATATTCAGGAGAGTTGTAGTCGTCAAAGGGTAGCCAAGCGCCGATGTAGATGAAGCAGCCACAGTTCAGGACATAGTCTATGACAGAAGAAAATGTGTCATCTTCTGTCTGTACATTGAAGTGACCGTCCCAAGAAATTGCAGAACCTATATGGATGTCAGACCCGAGCGATCATGCATGCAGTTTGAACTCAGACCTGCTGCAAATGCTGCAAGAAGATCATCTGCACCGATGGTACTCGCGATTCCGATAGTAAAGATGGACAGAGCCAGGTACTGTGCCACGTATGATTCGCGATCTATAAAGCCCTTATTGTGGGATAGCTTCATGAGCTTCGAAAATAGAAGGCCTGGATCACAAGGGTAAAAGCAATCAAATGGATGTACGCAAATGATCGAACGGCTTCGCTGACCTAGGACGGCGCCTAAAACAGTGCCAAGTATGACCTGGTCTATTGTAGGACATGATAAATACCTTACGAAGCGTCGAATAGAAGAGCACAAACATAGCCATCCCACCAGGAACCACTTGCCAAGAGCAGTTCGAACGGACGTCTCTACGGTGAGGTAAATGGATATCGCAAGGAACGGGTACGCGAGACCATCATTCGCTGCGGATTCTGCAGACAATATCCGACGGATATTCACAGGGACATGTTTAGTGGCAAATTTGCCACCTGTAGAACAAATTTAGACACCGGTTAATTATGATGTCATGGTCGATGGGACTAACGGGTGATGGCAGCACATGCGACTGGGTCCGTAGGGGTCAAACAGGCAGCAATGCAAAGAGACGAGATGTAATTGAGTTCCGGAAACAGTGCCTGTATGACGCCTGTGATGATGATCAGCGAGTGAAATTTAACTTGGCGAGGATGTACATGCCAGCGATAACGACCCAGCCAAAGGCCATGGTGGGCACGACCATTATGAGTAAGCTTTTGGCATGCTCTTTCATATATGCACATGGTAATTCGACTCCGACCGCGAACAAGCCAGTGGCGAGGACGATGCGCATAACCTCTAATGTTACGGTACTTTCCAAGGGACCCCATTCGCGAGGTGTGAATAGATTGGCGACGTAAGGACCTATGATGACCCCGAAGCCGGTGCCGAGGACGACTTCATTGATATAAAGCTGGGGAAGGTATTTATCATTGATTAAGATGACATATGGAGGTTATCAAACCTTCTCTTTTACTAGGAGGGATATCATCGAGAACTGCGGTCAAGAATCAGCACACGCAGACATTACGAGTAAGAGCAGTGCGGGGCAACATGGATGATAGCGGATAACAAGCGGTTGAACAGCGGCGAATAGATGTATCCAAAGGGGAATAAAACGAACCAGGACTACAAAACCACCAAGACAAATGTACGCCAACCCTGGCGCGGACACCTAAAAAACCGAGTTTGTGATGATGGAGAGCAGTCAACAGCATTACGGACTTGCAGTAAACCTAAATCCATGATGGCAGAAAGAAACGGGTGATAAAACCTTTGGAGGAACCTTTGGAGAGATGGTGGACGTAAGGACAAGAGTGTTAATCGAGCCTGTTGATGTCGGACCTCACCAAGTATTTATCGGCGATACGCTTAGGCTCACCACGTGTAATGCCGTGAATGACCCTGTCATGACTCTTCAACCCAGCGCTGAGCAAATTCTCGATAATCGACGCCAAGCAGTACTATACTCAAGTCCAGCCAAAAGATAGGGACCCTTTACTAGTAGACACTTGACGCTAGTCTATTGGTGTGAAAGCTTCTGAAAGGCGGAAACATGAGAGACGACGCCAAATCACTGGTAGATAAGACAGATTATTGCTATTAGTACTTGCAAAAGATATTCCAGGAACGGTTCACGCAGAAGATGTAGCGCAGCAACGCTAGGACTCTGTCCAAGTCAAGATATAAAAACTGCGGGAAACTTCCGGTACCTGGACACGCAAACTGGCGCTGACCCCAGACATTGCGCGTTCGTCGTAGTTGGCGACGTGTGGAGGTCTGTGGGCAATGAGGAACCCGGCGGAAAGGGAGATCAGGGCGGGGATACCTAGAATAGACAGCCGAGTAATATATTACAGCATTCCGAATTCCACGGAAAACGCGTGTCGTTGTACATAATACTGAAACGAGTAGATATGAGAGACTTGAGATGGTTTCTACAGGGTTGAAACGCGTTTGATTCGACGTCTTTTGATAAGAAGCGCAAGTGACCTGAACGAGGTGTCTAAAGTACAAAGATGGAATGATAAAAGGAAAAAAGGAGATGCGTAATATCCGGGATGCGAAGAGCTTTTCGCATCGCTGCTCAATTCATTCAGTTCGGGATGCGAGCACGCTGAACGCTGACCTGACCTAAGCGGGACAGCGACCCATATGGGGGCGTGTTCGAAATTTCCTAAAATATTATAATTCCCACACCTCTCTCCGATCGGAACCCAAGGCGGATAACCAAAGCCCGGGTTGATTTCCTCCGGCGGAAGTTTCAGACAACACGCAGCATGATTGCCTCTATCTCGTCCAAAATCTGACATCCGAATTCCCCACGAGTACAGATAGACTAGGTACGGGATCGTATCTAAGCAGACGGCTTAACCACGTCCAGATAGAGTTTTTTCGTCTCCCCAGATATTTTCGAGGCTAACTAAGGCTCAGTTTCATTTCAGCGAGTCGGGGGCGGTATATCTTGGCAGGAGCTTCTGGGGTTAGTCAATGCCATCATTTACGGCGTGGACCAATAAATTCTCCGGACCAATCATCACGGGCTGGTTAGAAGTGCTCCCAGTCTTATCATACCCAATAATACCAAGCGACCTATAAAGGTCTTATTCTGGTCTACAGCTGCCTATCTCTTCCTGTTCACACTGCGACGTGCATCAAGTCTTCCTTGCAACGATGGGTTCATCTGTATCCAAGGTTCCTGCTCAAGTTTCGGGCACTCTGAACACAACATCTGAATCTGAATCACTCAACGAGAAAGCCTTTGTTCGCCCACAAAGCTCCACGTCACTCACAGCGGGTTCGCCGCCTTTGGCAACCGACGGTTCAATTTCACTGTCTAATGTCGATACATGGGAGTCCGCCGCCGCTGCGGACCCAAAGATCCAGCTTGCCCGCACAATCCTTGCGCATAACAACATAAAGTCGTCGCTTACCAGTCGTCCGGCCGGCGTTGCGATACCCCATGTTTTCAATCACGAGGTGGAGTTCAAAACTGGACCCGTCACAAACCAGAAGTCCAGTGGTAGATGTTGGCTCTTCGCAACTACCAACGTCATTCGACATGAAGTCATGAAGAAACTAAAGCTCAAGGAATTCCAGCTCTCCCAGGTGACCGCGTATGGTCATTGGTTCTCGCTAGCTCCTCACTCACAAATGCTATAGTCTTACCTCTTTTTCTGGGACAAGTTGAACAAGTCCAATTATTACCTCGAGCTTGCTATCGAGAATGCAGACCTGCCTGTCGATGATCGCCTAGTCAACTTCCTCGCGAAGGACCTCATTAGCGACGGCGGTCAATGGGACATGGCTGTCAACTTGCTTGAGGTATGCTTTCCTTAAAGACAATAGTATGGCATACCTTCAACGTCTCCTAGACATACGGTCTTGTTCCTCAGCCAATTTATCCCGAGTCATTCCATTCAAGTGCCTCGAGTCCCATCAACACTCTTCTGAAGATGAAGCTCCGAGAGCATGCTCTCACTCTTCGCACCCTCTCTTCATCACTGAAGGCCGATCACAACGTCTCGCAGGAATTAGCTATCTCAACCCTTCGTGCGAAGAAGGAAGAGCTTATGCAAGAGGTTTATACCATTATGAGCGCAACCCTCGGTGTTCCTCCTAAGCCTAACGCGGCCTTCACTTGGGAGTATTACACTGAAGATGGCAAGTATGCGAAGTGGGAGGGTACTCCTTTGGAGTTCTACAAGGCTTTCACGGCCAAGTTCTCGGTTAGTGCATGTGATAATCCTGACGAATGTGCATTCACAAGTCTCAAGCCGGCGGAGTCTTTCTCCCTTATTAACGACCCGCGAAATGACTACGGCAAGCTATTCACCGTGGACAAGCTCGGCAACATTTGGGGCGGACGACCTGTTTTGTGTAAGCCATGTCCATCAAGTCTGCATTACAAGAGCTTAACCGCTAGCAGATGTGAACACTGCGATCGATGACCTCAAGCAGGCCATAGTCCGAGTAAGCAATTTCGGATTCATCCTTCGATTACTTTGTTTGATTTTGACCCCACTCAGTCTATCAAGGCCGGCCAGCCAGTCTTCTTCGGTTGTGATGTAGGTCAATTCTCCGACTCCAGCAAGGATATCGGTATCATGGACACCGACTATTTCGAATACGAGGTAAGCCGTGTCTAACATAGGAATAACGGTTTTAAAAATCCACTCCTTCCCCTTACAGCAAGCATTCAACATCACGCTGGGGCTTACCAAGGCCGAGCGGCTGCAGACAAACGAGTCCGCCATGACACATGCAATGGTTATCTCCGGCGTGCATGTGGACGAGAAGACTGGTCGCCCCGTCCGATTTAAGGTGGAGAACTCCTGGGGTGAAGATAGTGGCGTCAAGGGTTTTAATGTGATGAGTGATAAGTGGTTCAATCAGTTTGTGTTCCAGGTTGTGGTGCACAAGTCTTTTGCGACAAAGGAGCATGTAAAGATCTTCGAGTCGGGGGAGAAGGTGGTATTGCCCGCTTGGGATCCCATGGTAAGACAGTGTTATTCTGCACATGCAAGATGCTAATTACTTTACCCAGGGTGCTTTGGCTTGAATACTAGAGCGGGCCCTCGTTGTGTAGTTTCTATACCACATATATACCATTTGTTTGTATGTTTGTAGATCAGTCCCAAGATGTTGTCGGTGAGGTTCGTGGACTTGTTGAGCGTGCGTGGTACTCTAAAACCAAACTAGAATACTCTTGCCTTGCATAACCTTGACACGACTTAGGCCCAAGACGAGAACCTAGGAAGAGCATAAGATCTGGTTTTGCATAGATTATACAGTAACAGCTCAGAGATAACCGAAGACGAAAAGAGCTAGCAGGCTAATAACGTCATAGCAATTGCGAGGACACCATGGCCTGAAGAAGATAGTATAATTGTAACGGTGCTGGTGCCAGCCCCCGACTCGCTCATTCCTGACGTGTGTTGTCGTCGAATGTAAATGCAAACTAGTATTCATTTCATTTTCATGTGGTTCTAGATCTACTGTCAATCTCGATCGACTCGTAGTGCATTTTGACGAGCTCTAGCCAAGTGGTAAGCGTGACAGGACAGAAATCTGTTGCAGGTTCGAAACCTGCTCAACAATCTTTTTCCTTTTACCACCACTTGAACATTCATGAATGAATCCTTCAAACCAGCTTCGTCTATCGCACAATTGATCACAGCGACCTGCTCATACTCACGTCAGCATCGACACAAACCGAGCCACTGCAGCAATCGTATACTGTTCTGCAAGTTTGACCGTCAGTCGAACATGCACCGACAAACACAATAGATACTGTCAAAGCAACAACACCGGCGAGCAGGGAGAAATGCATTTTCTGTGCGAGGTGATATGGGATCTTCTGGGGGGATCTCTTTGAGGGTGGGGGAACAGTGTATGACGACGATCAGCTTTTATATCCTGCATATACTTATGGGTCCGATTCTAATTGATTTGCTAGAATTGTCATTGCTGTTGCATGGCACAAATATTAGCAGAACCTGCAGGAGCGTATCCAATTGATTACGACTATTGTTTCTTCACAACCACAGAACGCTTGCCCAAGTCATCAGTCTCTCATTCATCGTTCCATCATTTGAACCTGCGGTGGCCCTGCCAGCGCAGCGACAAAGTTGAGAAGGTGATGCTTATTTGCGTTGATACTTCCGATATGTACCCGGTCGATATCTCATTTCATTTTTCTCCAACTCACTCACTGCTCCCTTATATGTAGTACTTGCAATTCGCTTATGCCATTAGTAGGCCGGTCACCTTGCAACTGCTACGCTTGGTCAAAGATTTCTGAAACACTAGTCATGGTCACAGCCATCACACCTCCCTCTAAAGGTTTAGACAATCACGACAATATCAAGTTAGTCCATGACGTACCCCGATGACCTTATACTTCCTCAGAGACAAGGAACAGCGTTGACGGAATTAGTGACTGTCAATCAACATTCTTCCAAGTTCCTCTTCCTCGTCAACTGTCTCTTGTACCGTCCAACATTCGTTTGATGGCCTGATTCTAGGTTCTTGTCTGCTCGTGGTTTTCGAGTACGCGCTCAGATAAGCCAGGCATCACATCGTCGGGACTCGGCAGGATAACTGGAACCCGACATTTTCTCGTTCTACGTGTATATTAAAATACAACTGATGGTGATACTTCGACCAGAGAAGTCCTCCCCACATTTGATATCTCCGTCGGAGAATTACTGGATCGCAGCAAAAATTCACGTGGTCAGTAACGTATTTTGCAAAACACAAAAAACACCTAGATGTATCCTCGCGCATACGAAAAATAGGACGTACTAACTGATCGGGCTTGAATTTTCCAGGGTCAACAAACACAATACTCAGCGATCGGCGGGAATTCGATGCAACAGCCGTGGACACAACATTTATTTCATGCGCATATATATTGCCATGAAACACCCACCGTGACGGTCGCATCGGATCCGATGACTAAAACAAATATGGCGAGCGCAAATCGGGGGACTTTTTCTTCTTCTTTGGTAATACTAATATCGCAAAGCAGTCGGCGCGCACGTTCGTAATGGAATCGGAAGAATTGTTAATGATGCCCGCCCTGTTGACCATTAGATCGTTAAGAGTATCATTTTTGAAGATAAATGACGCGGGTACACACTGCAGGATGTATCGTCTGACACCGAAGGGGTCAACCACTGAAAGGACGTCTACAGATACTGGCAAAAGGCACACCAGTATAAGCTGAAGTGACAACTACTTTGAACCTTGTGAGTTTTGAGAGAAAACTGCGCAAACAGGCAGTTTGAGGCATCATGATAGCGACGTAAGCACTCCTGGGCCAACAGAGCATCCTTTGAGACCGTGACTAGCCACTCATTTCCATGGACAGAATTAACCTGGTTGAGGCTGGTTCTGTGCCGTCTGTATTTTCCATTCCTGTCTGTCCATTTTCATGCGCTCGTGCGCAAGCTGATAAGCGAGGCACTCCGTCACATCATACTCTACAATAGTATATGTGCAATGTAATGTTTGTCAGGGATCTTTAAACGCAGGGGAAGTAACAAAGCAAGATATCACACACTGTACTTGGGCCAATACATTCGGCACAATCTCGGATATGAAAAGCAAGACCGTAACTCGTTTTTGAACACGAGCAATTTTTGACAGCAGGACACCCCTTCATAGCTAGGCCACTGTGATACTTACATTTAGAAACTTCAAGAAGGCATCAATATTACATAATATTAATAGTCAGTTTAATGCAAGCTTGTACAGTCATCAGCTTTCCCGCCGTCATCAAATTCCCACGGATGCAGATTCGTTTGCAGGATTCCTGTCTGTCTCGAGTTCCACTTAGATAACGTAGAATCAGGGATGATCCTGAAAATTTCGTCCTCTAGACCTCTCCAGATACATATTGCGGGAATGAATCTGGAGGCTCACTCAAGACTACTTTCACCTAGACCATCAGGATTCAGGCGTCAGGAGCGGACAACTGTCCTCCCTGTAGTGGCGAGCCAGAGCCTCGACTCGGAGGCGTAGACTCGTTTATTCTGAAGTATTCCCGCATTTGCACAGCAAGCGACGCACTGAGTACATGACACGTAGAAACGTTACAGGCTGGTGCTTCCTTCTATATTGTGCTCGGTTCTAAATTATGGTAATGTTCATTCTTCAGGATGTACTCACCAGATGCATATCTGTCCACCTCGCATTACTGCAATCCGCTATCTAAACAATTCTGCGGTGTCGACCAAGTCTGGTTTAATCTTCAACCAATCCACAACTCCCACATGTGTAGACGCAAACACGAAGTTCTTTGCTCTGCTTCTCACTGCATGTCTGGTTTGCCTCGAAGGTAGCAGTTGGCGTATATCTCCTCGGATCATTAGGATGACTGAATTAGATATGGTATCCGCGAAACTCCTGCAGTTACATTTATGCTCGAGGCTCGTGAATTTCGAGTAACCGTTCTCACTGATTCGGAGAGTTCGGCTGAAATCGGACACGGTAAGTTCCTGTATTATTTCAAAGAGATATCAGTTGATAACGAGTTGCCAAGTTTGAACATAGAAGTTCTGAATAACGATGTTAAACGGCTGTTGGCCAAACAAGTTTTTCGCCAATCTCCTGGAGCTGTGGATCAGGAAATCCTTTATATAATTCTATTGGTGCACTCTGCCCTGTGATGCAGCTATTGCGCGATACAATGAGTGAGTTCGAAATCCAGTCTTGGCTCCTGCTTACCATTCTCCCAGAGATCCGACTGTTCCTCCTGCTGCTTGCGTCTCTCTGGGGGACGTATGCGGTCAACTTTACCGACTGTTTTATCAACTTCAGACATAATGCGAGTCTGACACTCAACACGTCAGGATTAGTGGATGAAAATGGTGGAAATATAGCAAACACGTCGCCGGAGATCTTACAAGCAGTTGGATTCACCTATGATGCGTGTCTTTCACAGTGCGGCCCTGGAACACAGAAGCCCACCTGGGCAAACACTTCGCAGCAGTTCAGTGCTTGGCTATTACCCTACCTTGCGCTCATTTCTCAGCTGCCTTTCGGTGCAAGACATAGAGTTGACAACTTCATGTCTGCTATCCTCACAGTCGGTTCACCAGTGCTCGCCGGTTACTCGATGATTCTAACTATTCTCAACGCTCGGTGGATCAGTCGCCGATTTGAGAATGTGTCCTTCCCCAACGCCAGACACGCTGTCCGCATCCTTATAAGCCTTCAACAAACACCACTGAAAATAACAAATGAAGACTCACTACTTAGCTCCCTCATTGTCCTGCCGGAGAATGACGACTGGTGGCCGACGATTGCCGATTTTCTCGATTATACTCTCACTTGGTCCATCGCATCTGCGACATGCATTGCTTGGGTCATCGTTGCATACCTATTGACAGTCGTCGGCTCGTTATCGGACGTTAACGCCAACATCAACTCCAACGGTCAAGGCGCAGGGTCAGTTTGGTTGTGGCTCATACCAATCGTTATAGGTTGGCTGCAGCTATCTCCGAAGTGTGACTATGTGCGCATTAGACGGGCCATGGACAATGCAGATGCAATGGCATTTGTAGCCACCCATCATGGAGTCATGAAGGCATCAGACCTTTCTGAAAGACGAGCAATATCCATTGATTCCACTTTGGAACAGCCTTCCTCTCCTGACGAAAATTCAACTCCACCCGTCTATAACTATGCCAGGGCCATCCCATGGTCTCGGTCGGCAGAGGATGTCTTCGATGCTTTTCGAATGGCCTCCAACAATTCCAGAATGCACAGACCGGTCAGGGTGGGTGATATATGGAAGAATGCGGGCGGGAGGGACGTTATTGAGCCCAGCAACAGGTCTGGAAACCCGTCCGAAGTCAATGCTTACTGTAGACTTCCTCGGCACGCAGCACCAAGATACGGAATACGGAGCCCCTGGGCATCAGGAATATTTTTCCGCATGTTTGTGGCATCGCTCCTGCCCATAGCTTTGCAGTGGGCAACAACTGGTGCTGCGGTGCTGGTTGTGTATTTTACTCCGGCTGTGGTAAGCATCGTTTGGTGCACATGCCTGTACTTGTCGCTGACAAACGGGACACGATAGGGTCTTGGTTGTAGATCTCTTGGTTATATCATCTACGGCGCACTGGCTACGATGGTGTGGGCGATGCTCGTCACGTCGAGCATCATTTCGCACTACACATATTCATACTCGGGCAGATCCAGTTGGAGTCCTTTCTTTTCTATCACAATGCGTCTCGCAAAGGTCCTATCGAACCTTTTGAGATGGGGTGGAAAATTCTTGGCAATCGTCAATGCAATCTGGGTAGTCACAGCCAGCATGCTGCAGTTTGCGAATATCTATGATAGTTGTTACTGCAACTCGAGCGTGATGGGGAGAGGGGTCCAACATGCATATGGCATCGTTGTGATTGATAATTTAGACTTAGGTTCAACTGAAGCTGCTTGGTGGGGTGCGTTGGCTTTGGCTTGCTCTACCTCTTTAGGATTTATTTTTTTGATGAGTTTATTGACTGACTGTGTACCTACGTGATGTCTCTGAAGTTTTGGCAGTGAACGGCGGACTGGTGGAGGGCTCCCCACGTCAGGGAGCCTTGGGTGCGGCAGGGACGTAGGCATGTCCCTTACATTAGAAAATATTGTCCTCCATAGAGTATTACTCTGCATAGGATACCAAAAAAATTCAGCAGATGTACATACCATTACTGTATATATTTCATGAATATTAGGATATCGTAGCGGTGGCAGTCCCCGGCGCACATGAAAATACAGATGGGCCTGGACGTTTACGTAGGTTGCGGGACTCTCTACTTCGTAGAGTCGGGGAACAGAATCGCTTCTCAGGTTCGAAACCTGCCAACGACAAGGTTTTTTCTAGTGGAACACACCTTGACATTAGATAGAGGCCGAGCGCCAGCGGTAACCTTGTCCCACACGTACTGGTGTCGTGTACTAGAATGCATCAAAGGTACACTAATTGTCCATCGTCAGTAGTATCCTTTGGAAGGCAGCGAGCCAGGGTAATAATCAAGAAAGCTGCGGAAAATTCGCTGTCAGACAATATGTTACATGTGCGATAAGAATGAGCACATTTCAATACAGGTTTCGACAGATGATATAACTTTCAGAAAGCACAACTTAAGGGGTTGCATTTGCCAGTAGTCGGAAGATGCTTACGCACCGTGACATTCCTTTCCTTTAAGAGGTTTGTCTGATGAAGGGCCACCACCAAGTTTACATCATTTTAGTCCTAAGGCAATGCATGCTTGATGGTGGATGTAATACAATCACCTCGCGAGGGTTGGTTTCACTTGGTCAGATGAGATTGTGAGTGCATTGAGAAATTGAAAGTAATGAATGAGAATAACTAAACAGTGAGCAAGCTCGATGGAATCCACACTTATAGTGTATGAATGGTGTTTAAGTTCTCGGTCATCTTCTCGAACGCCCATAAGTTATGGATGATAACTGGAAAACTTTCCGAGGAAAAGCTGAAGCCATCGCGAGGCATGAAAGTGAATTCCTTTTCATGGATAGACTATCACATAAGAGGTTTCAGTACAATGACTGGGCTTAGTTAAGATGGACCTCCGAGGATCTATGCGCCGCAAAAATGATGTCAGCAGGTTTCGAACCAACTCCAAGAGAAACAGATTTTGACTCTGTTGTAGTAACCACCTGGCTAAGACCAGCTAGATGGACCTCCGAGGAAACCATCCATGAGTCAATATTTGTGTTCCGATAAAAAAAAGACCTGTCATTCAGCACGTTTCGAACCTGCGCGATCCAAGAGAAACAGATTTTGATTCTGTTGCGGAAACCACTTGGCTAAGACCAGTTAAGATGAACATCCGACAAAACCATCCGTGAGTGAATGTCGAAGTGTGTTCCGATAGGAAAAAAAACCTTGTCATCGGCAGGTTTGTACTCTGTGGTGGAAACAGTTGGGATGGACATCCAAGGAAACCATCCATGAGTGAATCTTCAAGGGCATGTTTTGATATAAAAAAACCTTGTCATTAGCAGGTTTCGAACCTGCACTGGCACAGTCCAACAGATTTAAACCCTGTTGTAGTAACCGCTTTAGCCAGGACGAAGTTGAGATGAACCTCTGAGGAAACCATCCAGCAAATCTTCAAGGCGTGTTCCGCTAGAAAAAAAACCTGTCGAACGGCAAGTTTCGAACAAGCACAGTCCAAGAGAAACAGATTTCGATTCTGTTGTGGTGACCACTTAGCTAACACCAGTTAGATGAACCTCCGACGAAACCATCCATGCGTGAATGTCAAGGTGTCCTCCGAGAGAGAAAAACACTTGTCGGCAGGTTTCGAACTTGCACAGTCCAAGGGAAACAGATTTCTGAATAATCAGTCCTTCGGCCTGCGAGTCAAGATAAACCTCTGAAGAACTGTCCATGAGTGAATATGGATAAGACGTTTGTCGACGGGTTCTGAATCCGCACCACCCAAGAATTCTAATCTGTTCTGGCACCAGTTGGCTATGACTACTCGAGATAGATCTTGAAGGATCTATACATGAGTGAATAACTATTGATACTCACGAGGTTAAAGGTGGGATCGTACAGCCACAATCATTGACCTTGTTGCAGGTACTGTATACAAGGTAATTCACTCGTTGATCTCGTCGGATCGGAGGTTGATGTTAACTGCTCTTAGCCAAGTGACTGCCACAACGCAATCAAAATCTGTTTCTCTTGGACTGCGCAGGTTCGAAGCCTGCCGAACGAAACCTTTTTCTATTGGGACATACCTTGACATCGGCTCACCATGGATAGTTTCCTCGGAGGTCCATCTAACTGATATTAGCCAGGTGGTCACCACAAAGTCAAAAATCTGTTTCTCTCTGCTGTGCAATTCCGAAACCTGCCGACAACAGTTCTTTTCTATCGGAACACGCCTTGACGGACAGACTGGCAATTCTTTGGAGGTTCATCTGATTGGGTGTAGCTTGATGCCGACGCCAGCCCCCGAATGACAGTTTTTTTTCTATCGGAACCACTGACTCATGGATAGTTTCCTCAGAGATCCATCTAACTGGTCTTAGCCAAGTGGTTACCACAGAGTCGAAATCTGTCTCTCTTTGAGTTGGTTCGAAACCTCCTGACAGTGTTTTTGCAGTCTTTGGTGTGTAGCTCCTGGTGCAGGGGGCAGAACTATTTGCGGCCAATTGTGCCGGCAGAAGTGGCAGAAATTCTCGCCACTTCTGCCACAGTGCTTCAAATATATCTACTGTGGGATTGTAGTGCTTCGGAGACTGAGTGCTACCCGTATCTGATTAGATGCATATGATGTCGGCAGCATGGGGAACGATAGATAAGAGGGTGATTGCAAGTGCCTTCAAAGGTTCAAAGGATGTCTGTCGACACTAACTGCAAGGCTTTCCCACCATGCCGATCCATCAGCTTGTCCGCCTGAAAATGGTGCACAGCACAGGTTATATGCTTTGAGGTTGTTGACAGGCAGTTGCTCTCTCCATCGCCATCAATATTGTTAGAACATCTTTCCCTGTAGTTTCACATCCTGCCCACAACATCACAGGCTTGGGACCCCTGGTCCACCAGGAGTCCAGGACTCCTGGACAATGATCTATTTGTAAAACTAATGAACTATTGCCATGTAGATTGCCACGAGCAATTGCCACCGATGTTATACAGTAACACGAAAACTAATGAGCAACAATTAGCGAACTCTTCGCCGAAAATTCGGTCATCGCAAGGACGGTCGACCGTTTGGCCCCTTGCCATGACGAGGCTCTTCGTCACGAGATTGTGTTACATGTACAAACTTTGCGGGCAGACCCGGCAGAGGAAGTTCCGACTGGCAACTGCATAAATATTGGCCAGTCTTCTTCCAATTTCCATTTCAATTTTACTCGCATACGGAATCAAGGTCTATACGTATGTATTGGAGGGTTTGCCTGATGACTGCCAGCAGCCACAGAACCCCGGTTTATAAGTATCCCAATAGTTCCTGCTTTGAATCAAACAGTAATGATGAAGATACTCCGCATTTCTGTGCCTTCTCCATTAAGTCTCTGGACAACCGTACGCTCGGTTGGCGCATTCAATGTTGCTTGTTCATTTGCTGCATTATGGACTTTTGTCAAAGTCTCAAGCGCGCTTCGCTGGCGATTGAAGACGACTCAACTGCGGGGTCCCCCTCGTACCAGCTTCTTGTATGGCGTTTCGCACAACATCGCCGCATCTAAAGATCCTGGTGGAATGTATGATCATTGGGCGACGAAATATGGGTTAGCGTATATGATTCCGAGCGTCTTCGGGAAGACTGTAGTCGTGCTGTGTGACCCAAGAGCTGTAGCACATTTCTATGCCCGAGAGACATGGACATATGTGCAAACGCCCATATCGTTGGCAATTCTGGAGCCATTAGTATGTTAACGTCATCATCTTACTTTGTCTGTCTGATATTTCTCGTCAGATCGGCAGAGGGGTATTATTGTCAGATGGTGAAAACCACAGGAGGTACTGTCGAGCTCTTGTCCTCGCGCCAGCGACTTATCTACTACCTGTGAATTAGGCAGCGGAAGGCTCTCATGCCAGGTTTCAGTAATGCAGCGATTCGGAAACTCACTTCAGTGTTTTATGACTCAGCATACAAAGTAAGGATTTGCGATGTGGGGAATACACCATCTCTTATCTTGATACTTTGCAGGTCAAAGGTGCATGGGACACTGCTATAGAATCGAGCAAAGGTGGCGGCGTTGTCATCGAAGTTCAGAACTGGTGCGTAGCTTTTCCGGCTTTGCTAGGGGCATTCCTAACCGAAACGACTCGAAGGATGAATCATATATCGTATGCGAAGATAATTTGTAATTGATACCTCTAACTGACGCATCACCAGTCTAGATACGATTGGCATCGCTGGGTTCTCCCATGATTTTGGCTCACTCGATGGAAAGCGAGCCAGCGTGACCGAAGTGTTCGATACTTTCGGAACCAACCAACAGGCCTCAGCATGGAACCAGTTATTTATCCTGCACGCGATAGCGTTTCCTATCATTACCAAGATCCCCACTCAGCGGACGAATCTGTTCAAGCAGCTTGGCGTAACCATGGAAAACATATCTAACGAGTTATTGATTCGCAGCCGCCGGGAGAAGGATGTGAATATGAGCGAGAGAAACGAGGAGAAGTCCGTCATCGGATTGTTGAGTACGCTCTCCGAGAGATCATCATGGTCTCTTGCTTAACGTGGCGATCAGTTAAATCCGAAAGCCAGGATGCCGAGCTTCATATGTCGAAGGAGGAAATAGTGGCTCAGGTCCGTGGAGTCTATGTATCACAGGCATCATTTGCGAGCTCACGTCCTGCAGGTGAAGGTCTTGCTTGTGGCAGGTTATGAGACGACATCCAGTGAGTCGGTTTCTTGTCCGCTGATATCATACTAGCTGACTTTTCGTCGACAGTCAGTCTTACGGTCAGCCTACCTTGTGATAATGTTTGTGCACGCTATTAATGCGATTATCAGTGGGCGCTGATCGAGCTATCGCGACACCCCGATGTCCAAACCAGCCTCAGAGAGGAACTGCTTGCGTTTAATGCCGATCCGACATATGACCAATTAAAGGCCGATCTTCCATACTTAGATGTGGTTGTCCATGAAACTCTACGACTCCATCCTCCAGTGGGCGAGCTCACTCGTCTTGTGAGTGTGTATGTTTACATCTAAATAGACACTTACAATAGGTCTACAGGCAGCGGCAGATGACATCATTCCCTTGAGCGAACCTGTGCACACGGAGTCTGGGGAAATGACGAACAGTATATATATAGGGAAAGGGACATTGATCATGATACCAGTCGCAGCGATCAATCGCTCTTCGGCCATCTGGGGACCCGACGCAAAGGAATTTAAGCCTGCTCGTTGGCTAGCTGAAGACGGCATCAGTGGGAAGGCCAAGGAAGTCCAAGGTCATAGGCATCTGCTGACATTCGTCGACGGCCCTAGGACGTGTCTTGGAAAAGAATTTGCAATCACGGAATTCAAGGTGAGTGAATCCAATCAGCTAGTTTGGACGTTACTCACTGCGATATAGGCGGTTTTATCGGTTCTGGTGAAGAACTTCGTGTTTGAGATGCGGGATGGACCTGATACTCCAATCGAAGTTGCGAATGGACTTTTACCCCGTCCGCGGGTTGTTGGAGAAGATGGTATTGGGGTACCTTTGAGAGTTCGTCGGTATGAATGATTGGTTGCGCTGCACTAGCAAGTTTACTGTGTTTTCCATGACTTACTCCCCGCTCGAATTGTTGTATTCAGATCAGAAGAGGTATGTGCGTCCTAGCACTGTAATGCAAAAATGTACCAAGTTGTAATAGAAAGTATTTGGTCAAGTTGTTTCATCATCCTTCCGTCGAGGCGATTCCCAATAGGATACGAGACTTGCACTTCGCGCATGTTCGTTTGTGAGTGGATGATTCAGAACCCAAGTTAATAAATACCCGCGCGTCTGACAGCTAATTCACGATACTTGTGTGCTTACACTTCCTGTGTCTTACTATGCTTATGTTCATGCAACTACGAGTCAGCCGCCTGCTTTGATGCCGCCGCAGTCAGAGAAAACCACCACCATCACTGGTAGCCACGGCAGTACTGCTGCTCGTGTGCTCAAGGTACGTGATGAACTATCAACCTCGTGATCCTTCAGATGTATCTTTAGAGGAGCCAGTCCTGGGATGCAAGTTTGTCGCGAGTATCAACAGCTTATAAGCTCCATCATTTGAATATCTTAATTCTCACCCTGCCATCTCCCATCCTCGTTGCACCCACCGAACGTGATATACGCACCCTCAATTCATGTCTTTCTACGCCGACGCCCCACCCTCTTATTCCACAACATCATTGTCAGTTCCTCCCAAATTACGACGTGTCAAACTTCGCAGGCATCAAGACCCCTGTATTATCTTCTCTAACTACGATCGTTCCTACAATGATCAGTACACCTTTGGAGCGGAAATGAAGACACCGTTACGCCGAACCCTACTATTTTTTTGTTGGAAAGGATAAAGTGGACCACGGAAGTTGTCATTATGCACCACCCAATGACTACGATTTGCGACCAATGACTCCGGATCTGTGCGTTGACTCAGACGCACGTAGTAACTGTATTATGAACGCCCTCCCAACAGTTTCGTGAGTCGCAATTCACTTCTCCTAGTCATATACAAAGATCCACATTGTCACACATTTATCACGAGTTCAATACACAGACATGAACCTCGATTGTAGTCCTTAGATTCTTCCTGCTGAGTCTCCAGAAACTGACTATCGAAGAGCTCCTTGACAAGGACGTCCGTTGTGATACCCTGGTGCACCTGCGTCTCATACCACCCTAAATTCAATGACCTCTATCGTGCGGAACTTCTACTCTTGATATTGCCTCAATATCATTCCTCATTCGCTTGCTCTTGCCCAGTGCCTTTTTTCCTCCAGCTGCGTTTTCATACCTCACAGCCCACAACATCTTTACACGCATCGTTTTCATGTTGCTCTCGTTCTCACCGCCTTTGTCGTAGATATCGCGATTATATGCTGTACTGTATAGCAATAAACTACATATTTCGTCGCATCCTATAGCTCACTTTGAATGCACTCGATGCAACGTGAACTTGAACGACTACAGGTGACCGTAACAATGATGTCTTTCTGTTCAGCTTCTCAGTCTGCCATGAGAAAGTACCGATGTTATGCATCACTTTGACGCAATCCATGGCGCACTCGCAACCGCATTTTTGATGGAATTGACATGCCTTGTCCGTCATTATGTGCTCTCACAAACCAGCTTTAAACTCACGAGTACCATACCGTCAGCTCACGTCGTTCACATGGGTAATCCTAAATTTGCTGGGTATGGAATGGAACACGAAGTATGATCCACTGTACACTCATTCACGTCTAATTCTATGTGAAATCTCCATAAGAGATCCATTACCGCAGCATCGTTGGTACTAAGGTCTGCAAATATTGATTTTAGTAAGTGCGAGTAACAGAAAGGGCCTTGCAGAAACTCACACCTCTCGGCACTTTTGCCAATGCTGTCCATGTACCATGCGGCTCAAATCAAGCTCGAGACCTCCTCTGGGTATCACTAATGTAGTCACAGGGTTATAGAATGGGTGTCGAGAAGCAGGTGGTACCCAGAACAAGAGTCGGTGTTTGGGTCCTGCCACCCATCCACTGTTAACATTCAGCACAAAGGGGTTCGAACTGCGGTCGTCATGGGATGCTCCATCCGTTAATTCAGAAGTGTTGCGCAACGCATGGATGGAGTTAGACGAGAAGCAAATGGTGTGATTGTTCCAAGTATTCAATGTCATGGGAGTGGGATGCATGACGCGATGTTCATTTGATGAGGCTGAAGGATCTGACACAGCGCAATATTGCGACGGCTGGCTCATCACTGCATCACACAGCCGAACAGTGTTATCGTCCGAACCAGTGACGATGCGAGTGCCGTCCGGCGAGAACGAGACCGATGTTACTGACTCAGCGTGCCCCCGCAAGGGCTCACCGACTGGCTCCCCCGTCCCTGCATTCCACAGCCGAACAGTGTTATCGCCCGAACCAGTGACGATGCGAGTGCCGTCCGGCGAGAACGAGACCGACAAAACTGAATAAGTGTGCCCCCTGAGTGCGGTCTGAACAGCTGGCCAATTTATATCACGTCCAGATGCCACACGGAGAGTATTCGGAAACCGTACAGAAAACTTCCTCGATAACAGAGAGTTGGCAGGCGAGAATGGGAGTACTGATACATACAGATGTGGCGTGCTATGTAAAATCATGCCGCCGAAGACTTGAATGAACCTCTGTACGTCCATTGCGGTCGACGAGACATCTTTGAATTCGGAATGGCCCTGTGGTTGCACATGAGCGCTTTTTCTGGCACTCAGTAGCAATGCACTCACCTTCAGCCACTGGGGAATGAGTAAGAGGGCAGGAACTGCACTGCTGAGCGCATTGATCAGGGCGAGCGACTCGAGCCAGAAAAACAGCCGCTCGTTGTCGAAGAACAATTTCACTTCTTTCACGAGTTCCTTGTCAAAGGATGTGGTTCGTACGTGCGAAATCCAAAATCGAGAGGAATATGACAAATGTTGGGGGATACATTTTTGGACTCGTCCTTGCAGCCCTGGATCTTCGCTATTAGGAAGATACGACGACTTCAAATCACAGATATTGAGGCGAAGACCGTGTTCCATCACTCGAAGTGACGCGAATGCGAGGTCGCGTTGCGCCTTCGACAGGTCGATGAAAAACTCTCCACTGGATGCTTTGTCCGTCAGGAAATCATGGAAGGATGCATGAAGGGGTCGGATTGGGGAATCCAGGTTGGTGGTGCCGCTAAGGAGGGAACCCATGCATTTTACCATAAGCTCCACGTCGAAATTGTCCTCTTGCGTTGGAAAATGGCGCCTCATGGCGTTCAGGGAGGCTATAGGAAGGGGCTCAGCTGTCCCTAGTATTTGTCCCATCACTGAGCGAAATCTCGCTAGCGCAGTCGAACGCAGTTTCTGCGAATGCTGGGTATTGGTGGATGTATCCCCGTGCATGATATCCGTTAAAATGAGGCGATACATGTCGTGCAACAGCGCGCTTGTCTCAGCAGGATCGCGTGACACCACAGCATTGTAGCAATCCATTCGAGATAGCCCAGGATGAGACTTTTTGATGTATCCGCAAGCGAGACGTGCCCACTCGAATAGTCCGTCAGCTTTCTCAGCGAGGACTCCAAACTCTCTGTCCTGGAAACCTAACACTTTCAGTTCCTTGGATACGTAAGCACGGATGTCGCGCTCTGCATCTGCCGGCGGAATATCATCCATCGACATCTGTCGAATATGCTGAACATCACGAAACTCGTCATTGATGTCATCAAGCGGGCGAGAGGTAACAATGAAGCGTAAGTTGCCTGGGAGGTTTGTGATTCTGGGAACAGCGGTGTTTTGATGTTTGCCAGCTAGAATACTGAGGAGGTCTTTCCGTGTCTCTACTCCACCGCTCTCGTCCAGTGCATCGACCACAATCACGATGGGTTCCCCAGTTGACCCAGATGACTTCTCTAGTGGTTCGATAAGAAGCTTCTTCCACTGCTGGATGATATCCACCGTCTTCTTGAGCGAATTCGCGGTCTTAACTGCATCTGCCAATGCCCGCCTCATCTCCGGATCACGGTCAGCCAGGTCGCGCGCGATCGTGGAAAAGATCTTTTCATGACGACGATCTGCTTCTCGCTGGCGGTCAAAACAGTAACACGAACCAAGCCCTCCTACGTCCTCGAATCACTTAGCAATGGTGTGGGCGATGGCCGATTTGCCCTTGCCTGCAGGGCCAGATAGCCACAGCACACGTGGAACATTGTCCCCAGTGCTGTTGACCCATTCCGTGATCTGGGAAAGGATTTCCGTGCGCGTCCCTTCAAGGCATTGTTTCCTGGTATCTGGTCCCGCACCCTCTGCATAAGTCATACCGCTGAGGTCTAATATTTCTTCTGAAAAAGTATGAATATATATCAAGTCACAAGGACGCCGAACTCTTACCCGTACGGTAGACATGTACGGCTACGTCGCGAGAAACCTGGTCCCGGAAGTTTTGCATGAGCCCCTCGAACACGTCATTGTACTTTTTGATGGTATCGTCCGTTTCTGAGAGGACGCCCTTTCCAAGTCTCTTCCCTGTGATTATGGTGGCTCGAGACGGTACAGATCGCAACAGCTTGTAACACTCACAAAATTTCTTGGTCTCCGAATAATTTGTGATAAATTGAGCATATTCACGGGTCTGCTGAGAAATCTTTCCAAGGATAGCATGCATCGACAAAATTTGTTTGAGGCTCTCGTCTTGTGTCATGAAGCTGTAAACTTCATATATCTTCTTGAGAAGTTTGAGTACCGCTGCGTCGCGATCCACTTGAGCTAGAATGATCTGTACAGATGATTGCTAAGCGGTGAGAGATAGGAGCAGATAAAGAGAAAACATACTTTGACTGCAAAAGACAACGCGCCCAGTGCCATCTTTGCATATGGATGTACCTGTAGAACTAGATTAGTTCGATTACGAATGAGAGGAGGGCCTGCATACATCCGCAATCTTCTCAATAACTTCGTCGAATATCCTGAGGGGTTTGAGATATGTGTCCTGAAAACTGTCAGCAGCATCGAGATCCGCTTGTGCGTCTTGGCCAACAGACGCCGCAGTTATCGCAGGCCCAGAAAGTGGATGCATGCGTTTTGTAGCCTCTTGTGCACCCCGAAGTGCCGATTGGGTATCACCCTCCACTTCCATACCAAACGGCGCTGCCTGATCCTGCGTGGCTACCAAAATTTAGAGAGAGCACAGTGACTGAAGGGCAAGTTTGGGAACCTACCTCGATATTCGGGGGAGCAGGGCTACGGCTACGGGAGTCTTTCGAGCGCTTGTTGCAATGTTAGTCGTATGCCAGGACACTCACTGGACATGCTCGTTGACTCACCGAGATCCTTAACTTGTCCTTGACCTCCCCAAGAAACCGACGGATTTTGCCACGCCGGGGTTGGTGCTAGACGAAGGATGCGTCATGGTCAGTGTTTGAAGTGGAGTGAATTAAGCGATCCTCGAAAACCACGTACCTCACTTCCACCAACTGCTGCTCCGCTAGATTTGTGGGTTTGTTGAGTTGAATCCCTCGACGATCTGCCTTTGCTCATTGTGAATAGCAGTTGAAGCGAAGTAAGTGTTCCAGTGTTACAAGCGCTAAGCGATAAGCATGTACCACGTTCTTCTGATCGTCGAATGTAGTATGTATGATTGTGACAGAAATAGCCTCGGTAGTGCTTGTGACATCCTTCGTGTGCATGATGCTCAATGAGCACCACTATCATCCTCAATTCTAACTCGTCTCTACCGAACGCGACATACGCGTCATCAACCCTTTCTATGCTGCAACTGCGGCAACCCAACCTCCAAGAGCCACCTCCAACATTTCCACATTTCCACGAAAGAAGGCTGGCGCTCCCTTCAAATGGTCATTTTCACCTGCCATCTTCAGTGGGTAGGTACCCAAGACAGATGACTCCACCGTCCACGTTGTCAGCGACATGGTGCAAAAGTTAGCAAGGGACCCAGGTTCTGATTGGTACCAAGATCAATCCTATGCAGAGTGCATGGCAGGCCGCAGAGTGTTATCACGTTATAACAACTACTTTTCGTCCGTTCAATCTGCTGTCGGAGAATAGACTGTTGTACTAACCCAAAATGCGTCACTAGCATAGTTCTTAGTTCTCACCCTTCCCCTCGTCTCACCCATTGAACGCGACATACACATCATCAACGTCATGCGGCCACCGCACCCTCTTAATCCTCGACCTCCAAGCCACATCCACTTTTCCACCAAGAAGGCTGCCGCTCCCTTCAAATGATCATTTCCATCCGCCGCCTCCAGCGTGTCCCAGATGCATTCCCGTCTGTCAGGCACCCAAGACAGACAACTCTACCACCTACGTCATTGCCGTATCCGTGTGTCCTGGCCTTTCTAGATCAGATACCATTGCACCGCTATCAGCGCAGTTTTAGGACAGGATCAGTCCTTATTCGGCGTCGTTCTTCATTCAACTCGAATACCTAGGTCCTAGGTATTCTTCAGATAATCCACGACATCTGCTACGAAATCTTTGCTGTATGTCCTTTTTCTCCCAACGTCTTTCAAGAGCAATGCTTATCAAGGCACCGATCCTCCAGAAGAAGTGTTCAAGGCAGGTGTACTCTGCCGCGAGTGTGATATTGTTAACCTACGAAATCTTACGATGACGGACGCTGCCGACCCGCAGGTAGGTGAGTCAGTTTGCTTGGTTGGTGAAGGTGTTGATGATGACGGATACGCGCAGGCCTCGGACTTGGTGTATATGACAGAGGCGAACAGCACCAAACTTGCAAGGAAATCATACAACACGGCAAACTGCAAGCGCACCACAACCCTATTGACTCCTTCCTTCGATAAGCAACACACTTCCTCATCCGCCTAGCTGAATTCCTTGACAACCTCCACGCCATCCAAACCCTCCAAGCACGCATCCAGCACTCTCCAGGGCTCATACCCCCAAACCACAGCCACTTATCCTGGTCCTACACACCTTCACCCATCGTCACTCACGTTTCCGACGCATGCTGACTTTGTCGTTATTGGCTCGGGTATTACTAGGACGTCGTTTGTGAGGAGGATTTTGGACAGTGCGAGTGCTGATGGGCATGATGTTAGAGTTGTTGTGTTGGAAGCGAGAAATGTGTGTTCTGGGAGGTAAGTATGACATCGACTATTTCATAAAGCAGCGCACTAAGCATATCTCACTGCCTCTATATCACTGGCTACACCTCGTTCAAGCATGATCACGGACAAGTTGTCGCCCAAAGGATGATTAAATTGAAGTTGGCACATCTCGAGGAACTACGAAGCATCGCAGAGCAGGAAGGCACTCTTGTAGAATCTCGGTGGTAGGAGGTAGAATCAGTAGATGTGCTTTATAACTCAATATGTTCGAGAAGGCGAAGACAAAGGTCCAAATTTTCCCATGCGTCTAAACTGTGCCCATTCTTCCCAATCAACTTTACGAGTCTCATGGTTAGTACGGCCGCCATCCGTCGGGTTGCAAACGCTCATCTTTGAGGTTCACTCCAGCGTCGCGTTCTGGTGAGAATTCACGAATGTTTAAACTTGACTGATCTGAGCTACGACATGATATGTACAAGTTTAAGGATGAAAGTTCGGGGAGAGATTACGGGCGAAGGCGCGCAGCGCCTCCCGGCTTCGAAGGGACTTTGTCCTAGGGACAAAAGGGTGAGCTGCTATCCCGCATTTTAGGAGTTCGACGACGCGTGCAGCGAACATCGAGGAAACCCCGACTTTTTAGGAGGAGAACGTCGCGACTTACTGGGTTCTATCGTGGGACGTGCCTTGTCCAAGCTAGCGCACTGGGGGCAGGGTATATCGGAGGAAGTTTTCGTGTACCTCTGGTGCGTCTTGCATGTACGGTGCTAGTACTTGTGCGTGTCTGCGAAGGTATACGATGAATGCGTCGCTTGCCTATCTCCCTTTAACTTTAACTACGTCGAATGGAACATTACGGAGGAGATATTCGAGGGTTCCTCCGATGCGGATACCGTGTCCCTGCAGTGGCTGGAAGCCTGCTGCCTTGGTTGCGCTTGACAATCTTTTGAGGAAGTTTGTCTTCGTAAGCGGTCTGTGGGAGGCTTTGTGGCGGTACGCGAAGAGCGCTGTGTCTAGAGGGGGGCTGTTAACCCGAATATGATTGCGCATTGCCTCTCCTGGGTCTGCGAGTCCAGACTGGTGCGCCCAGAATATGTCTTCTCCATCTATTGCTACCTTGGGGTGTGGGATGCAGAAGTTTGTCATTTCGAGACCTTGACGATCTCGGGTGTTTTGCATGTCTGAGGGTTTGACATGGATCTTTGGGTCGAAGGCGTCTAGGCGATTGACAGTGAACTTGCCAACTCAGGCACATGTGAAGAAGATTGTTGTTAGACATGTGTATATGGCTGTGTCAAGAGGGTTATCGAGGTCGAGTTTCTGATGGATAGTTATGATTAGAGGGATGGTATAGGGTTCATGCTTTGGCTTCTTCGACAAGGCTGGGGTGAGGGATATGGCAGCTTTGAGCAGTGCATCAATCTCTGTGTCTTTGCTGAGTGTCCATGCAACACCATGGAGGGTGTGCCATGCCTGGATGCTGTGGACGTAGTTGGATACTGTCCTTCCAGAGTAGTGCCTGGCCATTTCTGTAATGAATAGTGATATGAGAATATGACTTGTGGGCGTGTGCTGGTCCTCTGAAATCAGCTTGTTATCACAGAATACATGGTATACAAGCAGTCCCGATCCGTATGTCTCCTGCATGCTTTCAGCGTAAGCATGTACCATGACATCGTGAATTTTACCGATTTCAGACTGAGATAGCGGTAGTCGTTTGCCTTGAGTGTCTTTTGGGGATCGCATTGTCATGGGAGCCCATAGGTATAGTCTGTCCTTTGCCAGGCACTGTGGTCTAAGTGGGGAGGGCAATGGTGCCAGGTTAGGGTTATACACTGATGCCTTGTGAATGAGGGATGAGGGTAGGATGCTCTGTGTATGTACTAGTCTTTCAATGCTTCAAAGAGCTCTTCTCCATGGCACTCAAATTCCCGGTTGAGGAAGGTGCATTGTTGGAGTTCTTCTGGGAGGTGTTCTTTGACCATTGAGAGAACCTGTTTGTGCGGTGGTCTGGCACAATGTGTGCTGTTCTTGGCAGGGCTGCTGGTGACATTTGTGATGAATGGGCTGAGCTCAATAGGGATGGGGATTGGTGGGAGCATCTGGCATATGGGGGGATATATGCCCTGGGAGGGTCCATCTGTGGGATTGTCCTTGCTTGGGACATATCTGGTGAGTACTCATCAGGAAAAAATATGTTAACTATATAGACCTATATAGTCAGGGTAGTGCATGTAGTTCCATAGTCAAGTCCCTTCTATGTAGTCAGCGCTGTACTACATAGTATCACGTAGCAGCTATGAAGTACTACCGTAGTTCATAGGAGTGCTACTACATGCAACTACCCACAGCTATATAGCACACAAAAGCACCCATAATTTGTTGGAGTGCACAGCAACCAGCAGCTAAATCGCATGCAAAAAAAACCAATCACATCTGAATTTGGGTACCCGACACACGAGATAGTATAGTATAAATGTCCTACTCAATCCTCCTCTTCATCCACACCTGTAAACATGCCACTCTTGCTACAAGCCTCCAGATCCTCCTCCTCTTCATCTGCATCTATAAGCCTGCCACTCTTGCTATGAGCCTCTGCATCATCCTGCTCCTCCAGCTGGTACTCTCGAATGGTGTCTTCAAAGGCCTTGTTCTCAGTGTGGACCTGAGATGTAGTACTAGCTGATGACAGACCGAGTGATTCAACACCTGCATGAAAACTTTGAAGCATGAATGTTAGAATACTAGAGTAAGTCAAAACATACTGGCCTATGTCATGCAGATTGGTACAGATTCTCTCAAGGAGTTTGTAAGGTGCGGTAGACAGGTCCATATGTAGTGGATGTGAACTTGATGTCTTCTTTGATGCCTTGCAGCCACTCGTTGATACAACATTTGATCTACAAATAAGACATTGTTAGTGCCCTCATAAGAACTTGAATACAAAATCAGCTCACAGCTGTAAGCACAAGTGTGAGAGCTCTAACAGGAAAGGGATTGAAGTACTTATGGTAGATGAGGCCCTCGTCGTTCCAATTTGAGAACCACATGAGGTTGATGCCCTCTTGGAGTAATTTGGTTTTGTAGACCCCCTTCTTTGATGACCAGTCCTATTATCCAATGTCAGCACACAGTAATGTAGATTGTCGTCTGTGTACCTTGAATATAAAGGCTGAATTGGCTTTCAATGACTCTGCCTGATCTTGGTTCTGTTGCATCACCTGCATGGAATTACTTGCCTGGAAACCATAAAAAGAACTAGTCAGCAAGTGCATCTTGGTTTTGAGTTCACCTCACACATGTGATGTGCAATTTAAGAGCTTTGTATCAATCAGACCTAGAATGTGGTATGAACAGATTGCTTACCATTTTGACTGCTAACAGTGTTATTTTGACATCAATATCTTTAATTTTGCACACCTTGTGCCAGGCCTCTTTGGCCAAATTTGTCTTGATGGCAACAGAATCAGGAAATGGGGCTTGTGTGACAATCAGACATCGAAAAATTGAGCAGGCTGTTGTGAGAATCTCTTTGGAGATGTTGTCAAAGTCGCTGGCTTTGACACGTTGATGTGAACCATCTGAATTTTTCTTGACCTTTGGGACTATCAGGACATCTTCTAAGGACATGTTGAATTGTCGCTTGGTCCCCCGAGCTATTGGCAATGGTTTACCAGTGTTGTCATCATCATTGTTGTAATCCAGGTTGGTTGACTTGGACCTGTCATTGTCATCAGCGTCCAAGGTAGGAGTGTCGTCTGGAGCATCATTGAGATGGGTACTGGCCACATTCAAGTTGCTTTGTGGTGCTGGATAAAGTTAAACAGAGGGATATTAGGGTAGTCAGGCTAAAATTGATAGAGTAAACACATACCCTTTTTTCCTTTTGTGTTCAAGTCAGTACTAGTAGGTGCTATGTGTGTGCTGGTGTCGCTGTGGTGCCATCTTGGAGGAATTTTGCCTGTGCTGAACTTCAGGGCACTAGTGTTCGACAACTTCATCTTGATGCTGTGATCGGAGAACTGAATAAAGTATGGTCAGTGGCTCATTTAAGTTAGGAAAAAAGATAAAAGCTCAGACCATCATATCTTCTTGCCTGTCAATGTCGCTATGCAGCTCTGAAGGCTCTTGCTCAAAGTTGTCGGGATGGTCTTGGTAGGCAGCCTTCAGTGCCTTTTTCTTCTGCTTTTCTGACTTCTGTTGCTTGACTTCTTGGTGACGGGTAATATGTTGAGATTCAAAAACTATAGAGGATCATGAGTGAGTAAAATACAATATTTTAGTAGTACTCACAATGGTAGGATTCTTTTTCAGTTGGTCGACACTCTCAACCACTTGTGGTGCGCACATTCAGCAGTGCTGCAGGCATTGACGAGGTGGTGCGTGCATTCAGTGGTGCTGCAGGCATTGATGAGGTGGGCTTGGATTTTTGCTGCTTGGAGGCAGCCTTAGTATAAGGTGCCATGGTCGCTAGAGTACAAGGTGTGATTAGCGTTAGCAAAATATATAAGACCATAAAACATACAAACAACTCACAATTGAACCTTGATCGTTCGTTGATTCCAGGGCTCATTTGGCTAAAAGCTGTGTGTTTAATGGAAGAAATGATAAAAAGATTTGAGCATACTGTCACAATATTTTTTCACTGTCATGGATACCCTCAACTTTACAAAAAAATGGTACAAAGCTTGCTTCAAACACTCACCACACTCTGACGAATCCTCCAGCACAATGTCACCATCTGCCAGTCACAAAGACACTGCCCATAAAGATGGGAAACTCGAGATCAAAAGGTCAGTTATCCCATTGCCCCTCCCAATTACCCCAATGTACTTACCAGTGGTCTGCAGGCCAAAGCTCGAAGAGCCTGACACAGGCCCAATATTCCCGCACCCTCCATTTCATCAGACTCCAGGCCCCATCTCGGTTTCCCAATTATACTTGTGCAAGCTCATTTTGGAGCACTGGGAGGCAGAAGTGAAGGCCTGCAAGAATGCCAAAAAATTGCAACTATTAGAATTAGCACCAGGCCCTGGCACTCCTAGCCTCTTACAAGCAAGCTTCCGAAGACTCATTAGTGAGCGCTGGGATGCAGAAGTGAAGCATTGTGAGGAGGTGAAGCAGGTGCAACTTTTAGAATTGCTTCTGGCCGCCCATGATATTTTGAAACTAGTGTAGTGTGGCAACCAGAAGGTACGGTCATCTGGTAAAAAATTATGGCACATGTCAGAAATGCTATGGAGTTGTGCCAGGAAAATAAACCTGAACCTTGTGATGAGGAGAGCCTACTGATATTGGTGAAACAACGGAGCTAGTCTCCATAACTGACTGCATTCATGTGGGTTCTTGGGAGTGCCGGGAGCTAGTCTCCATAACTGATTGTGTTCATGTGGGTTCTTTGGAGTGCCGTCCACTGCACCCCATGGATCGTCCTCCCAATCAACAAAACCATGGGAGCTAGTCTCCATGACCAACTGTGTTCATGTGGGTTCTTGGGAGTGCCATCCACTGCACCCCATGGATTGTCCTCCCAATCAACAAAACCAACATGGATGGCTAGTCTCCATAACTGACTGCATTCTCAGTGTGCCTAGATTGAGCCCAGACCAGGGTGCATGAAAATTATTTTAAGTAGTCACATTACAAATCAGAATCAAAACACTCACTCAAAACGCTCACCAACCATGCCCCAGTGCTGCGTATTTTGTGGCAAGGAGTTCCCTATGAGGGGTGGTGTCAAGAGACACATAGCTGGCCACCCTGAATGTAGAAGGGCATGGGAGTTAATGATCGAAGAAACTGAGGCCACCTGTGATGAAGATGGCCCACAAGTGGACTTTGCTTATGATGACATTGGCAGCTCATTTGGCCTGCCACTTTGTCGCTCATGTTCCAAGTCCTCCGATGCTGATCAAGACAACCCACCAGCACTGAAAAGTCAGCGGGTGACCATTGAGGAGGTTGCTGATGAAGATGGTGTGAAAATAAATAGTGGGCGATATTTCAAGGAATGTCCAACTGATGGTGGATGGACACTGCGGGAGGGAGAAACTGGTTTTGAAAGCTATTGGAAGTATAAAAAAAGCATGAGTGAGGACAAGTGGGCACCTTTTTGCGATGAGTACATACCCTGTTATCTTCATCTCCTCTGCAAAATGATTGATTTCAGTCGCCAGGGAAGAATGGGGACTTGCAGAGTGGCTTGTCAAAAGTCTGGGCCAGACCCGAACCGATGATTTTCTAAAGTTGCTGATAGTAAGTTTCACATTGACCGCTGAAAGAATTGGACTTACTGGTGTGACAGACATGAAACCGAATGCAACCATCATTCCACAACAACCAATCATTCCTCCAGAAGGTTGATGAACTTCCACATGGAGCTGCCTGGAGCTGCAAGAAGATCAGTGTCCGGGGAAACCAAACAGACAAGAAGGGTGAACCATTGCACAAAGATGTCAAGCTTTGGATGTGTGATCCTGTGGAGTGCATCAAAGACCTGATCAGAAATCCTTGATTCAAGGATCATATGGTATATGCACCTGCATGAGCATACACAGACTCTGCAGGACTTAACCAAGTAATTGATGACATGTGGACTGCAGATTGGTGGGGTGAAAAGCAAGTGAGTATGCAATCCAAAAAGTTAAGCAAAGACTGACCTACAACGTCCAGAAACAGTTACCAAAAGGAGCGACCATAGCACCTATCATTCTTGCTTCAGACAAGACATGTTTGTCACAGTTCCGAGGTGACAAATCTGCATGGCCTGTATACCTTTCAATTGGCAACATTGCCAAAGAAAAAAGGTGACAACTGTCAGTACGAGCGACAGTCCTGATTGGGTACTTGCCTGCAGGAAAACTCAAATGCTTCACATCAGATACATGCTCCCTTGCTGGTTACCAACTCTTCCACCATTGTATGTCCCTCCTGCTGCAACCGCTCATTGCTGCAGGACAAAATGGCATTGAAATGGTATGTGCTGACTCAATGATCCACCAAGTATACCCAATCCTTGCAGCATATGTGGTGGATTTCCCTGAACAATGCCTGGTCACATGTTGCAAGGAGAACCATTGCCCAAAATGTCTGGTCACAGTGGATGAAAGAGGTGATCCACTGAGTACACCAATGCGAGACCCTCCATTGATAAAAGAGATATTGAAGAAGCGACAAGATGGTCAGCGTCCAGCTGAATTTGAAGACTATGGATTACGCACTGTCTATCATCCTTTTTGGGCTGATCTTCCACACACAGACATTTTCCTTGCCTTCACACCTGATCTCCTACACCAACTCCACAAGGGCATCTTCAAAGATCACTTGGTTAAATGGTGCCTTGAAATCATTGGCAAAGCTGAAATGGATGCATGCTTCAAAGCAATACCGGATTATCCCAGTCTTCAGTACTTCAAAAAAGGAATCTCGACAGTGAAACAATGGACGGGTACAGAACACAAGCAGATGCAGCGTGTTTTTGTAGGGTTGCTTGCTGGTGCAGTACCAAGGTATGCTTCAAACATGCTTAACAAGGCTCACACTGACAGAATCAATTTTGAATATTTACCAGTGGAGTGTTGGTGGTTGCATGCGCTATTCTAGATTTTTCTTATTATGCACAGCTTTGAATACACACAGTTGACACCCTTGATCATCTGGAGAGCACCCTTTCGGTATTTCATGCCAACAAAGAAATCTTGTGCAAACTTGAAGTTCGAGATCATTTCAATATCCCTAAATTACACCAACTCTTGCACTATGTCCAGTCCATCTCATTGTTCGGTACTACTGACAGTTTCAACACCGAGCTTCCTGAACAACTGCATATTGACTTTGCTAAAGAAGCTTACCATGCTAGCAATAAGTGTGATTATGGGGAACAAATGGCTTTGTGGCTTCAACACCAGGAAGCAGTGTTTTTACGTGGTTCCTATCTCGAATGGCTGTCAGATCAGTTGGTGAGCATGGCCAATCGCACAGACCACAAGTACAGCAATGATTCAGGCTCAGATTCTGAGATAGAAGACTTGCAATCTGGGTCATGCACTCACAGTGCTACTCCTGCCAAAGCAAGTCTAATGCCTCCCATCACTGGCCAATGCATTGTCCACATTCTTGCCAAAACTCCTGCACACCCTTGGCAGTCCATTCACCAGCTTGCCACTGCACATGACACAGTCACATTTCTTCCTGCCCTCAAATTTTTCCTAGACAAGCATATGCCGCACAATATCATTGTTCCCAGTCCACAAGACCATTTCGATGTTTATTGACAAGTTATAATTGCTGCCCCACCGGATCTGTGTGTAAGTGATACACCACAACGGTGGCACATTAGAGCAACACCTGAAGTATCTCCTGGTCCTCGCCGGAAGCCTGGGTCCCCTGCCAAGTTTGACATGGTCTTGGTGAGCAATAGTGTTCAGACCTCGAATCTGCAGGTGTTAGATGGTAAGTGATCATTATTTCAGTGCATCGGAAAATTTACATAAATACTGTAGGTGTACAAGTTGCACAAGTCCATGTGATATTCACTCTGCCTCATCAGTTTGGGGCATACTCCCGAGCTTTGGCTTATGTCGAGTGGTTCACTCTGCTTAGGATGCCAGATACCTCCTCTGGCCTGCACCAGGTGTCATGTTCAACTCATCGACTGCACTGGAACGCAGTGGTGATCCATGTCAACAAAATCACTCGTCCATGTCATCTCATTCCAAAGATGGGACAGTCTGTTGACTGTGGATGGACCAGTACAAATGTCTACAAGTTGGCAAATGATTTCTACTTAAATACCTTTATTGACCTTGATACATTCTGCATGTCTGCCATCAATTAGTTTTGTTACTACTCAGCTACTATCAACTATGAACTGAAATTTTGCTATTGCAATTCCTGATTACTACCAGTGCCTGCTGTAGCCTCCTGTAGCCCACTGTAGCTCTATATAGTCTGAGTTACAGCTACGTGAACTACATAGACCTATGGTGACTATATAGGACTATATAGGCATCACCAGGACTCCTACGATTTTTGTTTTTTCCTGATGCTGTGCACTTGGCATCACTCACAGCATGATGCATGCACTTGAATACCTCATTGCAGGCTCTGTTTCTGCTATGACCTGTCCACCACCCTTCAATGACCCCACAATTGTCTCTGAAAACCTTGAAATGAATGCTGGGGGTGCATGAGCTAAGGATTTTGTGGACAAGGAGCTCGAATCTGACACTTTCAGCCCATCTGATGTCCCGGTCATCTTTTTTCCAGCCTGGGAGCAGCTCCCAAGCTCTCCACCTCCCGTTAATGTAGATTCCAATCCTGTGACCAGAGCTAGCATCCGAATAAGCATGGAAGTCATACATGATGCAGCAGCCTGGGATAGTGCATACAAGGTGTTGGGAGCTAAGGGTCTTTTTCCACCAGTCCAAGTCTTTGGCTGTGTCATGTGGGGGGGTATGAGGTAGAAAAGGGCGTCCTTGGAAAATTCCCATGAGCCATTCCAGATTAGTGAGGTAAGCTCACCCTGCTGGGATGATAAGTGCCATGTGTAGCAGCTTCCCATACAGCTTCTGGGTCTCATGTAGTGTGTGCATGCAATGTTCTTGCCATGTGTTGATGGCCCCCAGGTACTTGGCTGTCTTTTCTGGGGACAGCAAGATTGAGAAATTGGGGATGTCCCAACAGAGACCCGTGAAGTTGGGGTCGGTTCTGAATGGTTTGTCTTTTGATACTTCCCATATGATTCCCAGGGGTTGGGAGTAATGGTCAATATCGTCCATGCAACAGGTAAATTGGGCTTCTTCTTCGGATTGGGGTGATAGCGTTGAGAGGTCTTTGATCGGGAAGGAGCAGTCTTCATTGAATTCTTCGGGTGAATCATCTGGCATTGTCTCACCTCTGTACCATTTTCAGCCATGCTCAATGATAGTTCCTCTGTTGATTGCGATCTGATCTGCCCAAAGCTTACATCTCTTATTATATTCTTGTAGGAATTCCTGCCTAATGCAGAAGAATAAATAATCATCCACCCATTTCAATAATGGTCCAAGTCTGTTAGCCCGGAAGATGTCTGCTCCGGTGTCTGCAATGTTGCCATATATTCCAGCTGACGGGCCAAACCCGAAACATAATGCTGTGTCCACTGCAAAAGAGTCTTCTCCGGGCAAGCAAACAACAAGGCTGGCCCATTGCAAGTGGTGTGATGGGACCATGCAATAGGCTTCTGCCATGTCTCGCACAGCCGCTTGGGATCCCAGCAGTAGGTTTCAAATGAGTCTACATATGGTGGTGAATGTACCGTATGTACAAGGGAAAAGATCTGAGTTGACTCTTGAGTTGATTGAGCTGATGGGGGGGAAAGGATTAATGGGGAAAGATAAGTTCTGTATAAGTCGAAATTTGCCCGGCTTCCTGGGCTTGGGGATAATGGACATTGGCGCTGTTTGGAATGGTCCAATAATTGTCTCAAGTGCTTCCACCAAGAACAGACCAACAAAACATTCTTTGGAAAACTCAGTATTAACAATTTTCTGAAAGGTTTCTGCATGTACAATGACAGACGCGTTATTAGGAGGGGTGTAGGTATGTGTGATAATGGGGATGCCTCCAGAGAAGCCTGTCTCAAGGCAACTTGGGATGTGTGGGTACCTATTGCTGAGGTTGAGCTTCTCCAACGCCTTGCTCCATGCCTCTGGGCAATATGGTATGTGGGCCTTACGCTTTCTTGCCTTGAGGACATGCCTGGGCTCCATGGTCCTTGTTGCCGCAGCTGGAGCATACAGTGGCTCAAAAAACTGTCCACATGTTTTGACATTTTTCACTATCTATGATATTGTGTGAGAACAAACAAATGCCTCAAGGACATGCTTATACCACATTGTAGTATGGCTTCAGGGCTTTCATTTGAGCCCTACACCGTGGGAATCGGTGGAGATATGGTGGAGACATAAGGCTTATAAAATGATGACTCATGTGGACAGTTTTTTGAGTGTATATTAAAACTATATAAATCATTATTTATGACATCACAAAAATTATGCCACTATTATATAAATTATGAAGTGGTGTCATTATGTTATATTATGACTATATCTAACTATATAAACCAGAATATCTCATGTATCATAGTCATAATCACCATGAAAGCCATCTCCTCTGCTCAAAGAGATAATATCCTCTCTCTGTCTTATGCTGGCCTCTCTGCTTGCCAAATTTCCTCTAGAACTGGAGTATGCAAGTCCACTGTGGCCAAGTTTATCAAAGAAAGCCACCCAGACAAGGAAAACTCTTGTGGAGGACGTCCATCCAAGCTTACCTCTACTGACAAAAGGGCTATTATCCAACATATCACTACAGGAAAGGCTGATAATGCTGTCCAAGCCACCCATTATATCAATTCCACCATCACTACCCCTGTCTCTTCACAAACTGTGAGGAATGTTCTCAAGGCAGCTCATCTCAAGGCAGTAACAAAGAAGAAAAAGCCTCTTCTCTCCATCAAACATAGGCAGAGAAGACTAGTCTTTGCCTTAGCTCATCAACACTGGACTGTAGAGGACTGGAAGCATGTTATATGGTCAGATGAGACCAAAATCAATAGGATTGGGTCAGATGGGAAGGTATATGTATGGAAAAAGAAGGGAGATGGCCTAACAGACAGAGAGGTTAATGGGACTGTCAAGTTTGGAGGAGGTTCTTTAATGGTATGGGGCTGTATGGGATGGAATGGTGTGGGAATGCTTGCTGAGGTTGAGGGGAAGATGAATGCTGAGCAGTATGTGGACATTTTAAATGACCACTTGCTGCCTAGCTTGGCAGAATCAGGGATTGATGAAGAAGATATCATTTTCCAACAGGATAATGATCCCAAGCACACATCCAGAAGAGCTAAGGAATGGTTTGAAGAACATAACATCAATGTTCTTGACTGGCCAGCACAGTCTCCTGATGTCATTGTCATTGAACATCTCTGGGGAACACTCAAGAAAAAGCTTCAAGCCTATGAAAACCCCTCTAAAGGAGTATGGGAGCTTTGGGAGAGAGTAGCAGTGGAATGGGGGAAGATCACAGCTGAGGATTGCCAGAAATTAATTGAGAGTATGCCTAGAAGGATAGAGGCAGTAATTAAAGCCAAGGGAGGTCATACAAAATACTAGAATACCTGGTTATTATTGTAAAATACTTGAGTCAAAAAACTGTCCGCATGAGTCACCATTTTGTGAGCCTTGTATCTCCACCATATCTCCACCGATTCCCACGGTGTAGGGCTCAAATGAAAGCCCTGAAGCCATACTACAATGTGGTATAAGCGTGTCCTTGAGGCATTTGTTCATTCTCACACAATATCATAGATAGTGAAAAATGTCAAAACATGTGGACAGTTTTTTGAGCCACTGTATGTGGGCAGAGTCATGATTCTCTGCTGTGCAACTTCCAGGTCTTTGCCATCTGTAGCAGAGAGGGAGACTGTTGGTGCTGATGATGCATCCGTCTTGAGTCCAGCGGGAGTGGGCTGGCATGGTTTTGTCCTACAGATTGTGCGAGTTGCATTGTTGGATGTTGTGCGAGAAATGGCCCAAGCATATGGTGCAGGTGGATCAGCTGCAGGAGCCTGTGCCATGGGAAAAACCCTTGTTTCGTTGTTCTCGGTGTTTTCCTTTGTCTGGCATTGAGGACCTGTCTGTCTTCTTTGAGCTGTCTGTCTGGGCTGGAGAATGTGAGTGGTTGGCATCATGAACTGGCTGAGTCTCTGTAGCTTGTTCTCCGATGCTGTTGCTGGGGTGGCATTGACTCAGCATTGCTCGCCTGTGGTCATCGTTTCATAGATGAGGACGAGTGACCACACAGAGGTGAGTGTTGGCAACTGCATGAGATGTAATGCAGGCATCCACGTCAGCATATGGTGGGCATCCGCATGTTTGTGTGTGGGGAATGAAAGGTTAATGTATGATAACATTTGGAGTGTGTAGGAGGTATATGTGGACAAATATTTCGTGAGCTGTCGACCTTTGGACTGTGTTGACAATGATACATACTGCAATCAGGGTTCTAGAATGGACTCTGTCCCATATCTCTTCGTTGATGGACTGTATCAGGTTCTCATTGATGATGCTAATGTTGAACCCCTCATTTCACTTGAGGTGATCATGCCAATCTAAGCGGACCCGTGAAGCATAGTGTAAGACAACTAAGTCACCGAGCTCACTATTGTTTCATATGGGGTGGTTTTCCAAGTGCCAGAAGAAAAGAGCGAGGGCATTTATGTGCATCTGCAGCCATTTTGCCATATTTGCTTGGGTGAGGAAGAGGTTCTTTGCACAGAGGAAAATGGAGAAAGGGAGTTCGTGGTCTGGGAGTGCTGATCTGGATGCCTTGAAGGCCAATGCTGGGCAGATGGTTAGTTGATTGTCAAGCTTCACTAGGCTAAAAGTGTCATCTGCGATGGAGCATGATGTCTTCATGGCCTCCTTGCAGCCATCTGGGGAGAAGTACCATAGCTCTATATATTTGAAATTGTTTAGTTTTTGAATAGTGTATTGAGAAGGATGAGGGGCAATGGCATCACCCACAGTGGCATTCGCACTGAAGCCATTCATCTTGGGCTTCTTTCTTTCTGTCTCAAGGCACTCCTTCTCAGCTTCTGCTTCCATTGCTGTGCACTCTTCTTCTTCACAGACCACACACACTTGTTCCACTTCTGCTTCTGCTTGCACTTCTTCCTCTCTCTGGCAGTTCCACTCAAGGACTCTTAACTCATGGCTGGCTGTCCATGCATCTCTCAGCCTTTCAGCTACTGCTTGGTGAGTTGTGTTGGTTGTGTTTACTAAGTCTAGGCATATGGCAGCATATAGGTCTCTGGCAAAATCTGGGCAGACTTCAAGAGCAGGATCGGCCATGGTTGGGGACACATGGAGTAATTTCTTCTCAGTGGTTCATATGTGGTGTTTTTAAGTTTGCTTAAACGTAGAACAGTTGACAGGATGGTATCTCGGTAAAGAAAAGGGAAGAAAAGAAAAGCACTGTGCCGACGAAGTGCACGATGTGAACGGTTCGTCGTGGCACGGAAGCAAGATGTGTGAACGTTCCGCTTACCGTTCGCTCGAAGACTAAGCTCTATTTCCTCCGCTCGTACCTCGCTACGTAATAGAGCGACAAAGTGCATTTATGTGTGTGCTCGCTCACGATTTACTTCCCGTTTCTTTACTCCTCTTCAGTTGTGTCAGATGTCGACCTACTGTTTTAGTGTATTGGACTTCACATTCCTTCGTTCACAGACCATGAAATAGCTAGGTTCTAGGTGGGCACTGGGCACATTGCTGTGCGATGTCCCTTGTGTCAAGCTCTGATCATCACAGTGACCCAGTCATGCGTACGTTACCAATTTAGGCTCAGAACGGCATCAAATGTTCCCTATCAACCTTTATATACACATTATTGTCTTGCTCGACATTGAGTCGACTTCTCGAACAGGCGCATCTCGGTCTGTCAAAAGCTCGAACGGATGTGGTATTTGGAATGAGCTGTGGCATTTCACTGGAGGTTGATGGTGTTGAGCGCGGTCGAGGGATTGTCAGTGCCTTTCTCTAAGCTGCAGAGGTGTGTATGTTGTGCGTTTTTATGCAGCTAACTACTTCGTTTCCATAGACACAAGATATCATAAACCTTTATCTCACCTCTATTTCTTGCCCTCTTCCACTCCTCTCGTTCTGGCGCCTCCCGGTGTCGTTCGCATATGTTCGAGCCATGTCAGCATTTGCTGACATGCGCCGGGCGTGTGCGTTAAGCACTGGTGGTGGTTGGAATCGGGTAGAGTACGTCCCAGTCCTTCAATCCCACTTGAACACCGATGATATTCTGATAGGCTAGTTAAGACCCCACTGACAGAAAGACTATCATGAGTGTGATTCATCTCAAACCTACCTTAATCGTCACCATGGTGTTCTCGAACTGAAAGTTGCTAGCATTGGCAACTGCTGGCAAGCCTGAGTCTTACTATCGCAGGTGTTCACGGGGTGCATTTGAAACAATGTTGAACTTTGACGCTTGGACTTCACCTGCAGGTTGGTCCTCGCAAACACGGAGGCTCATCATTGACGAAAACGCGCAGTGCGCACACGCGGAAACTCTGGAATAAAATGCGCAAGCCCTCGATTGACAAAACGCGCAAATAATAAATGTGCAAATATAACGCCTTTACAACCCATCCCAAGCCAAACTCCCTCACCAGCACATGTCCCACATTCCCCATCCACCCCTGCAACGCAACATGGGCCAGGGAAGATGTCATTCCTGGACAGCCTTGTGACTGTGAGACCTTCAGGCGCTGTATCTTCTCTCACTGGTCTCGACATTAATATTACTGGAGCTCCATTCGTAGCTTGGGATGAGCGGATACCTTTTATCACGGGTGAGAACAGGCTATGCGGAAATGGCTGTGAACGAAACACTGACTCCGGATGAGCAGAGAGAACGAGTTTGGTTTCTCATGATGTGAGTATATCGTATCTGATAGTCCGTATCCTCATCAGAACCGTCACCACAGGACAACTAGAAGGTATCTCGAAATTCGTAGATTATGCTTTCGATGCCACGTACAATTATACTAGGCTGGAGAAAGGAGAGCTCCCTCGTGTGCGCTTTGGTCGAATCGACTATCTCAATGTTATGAGTATCACCACTAAATGAGCTGTCTGTTCGTGAGTCTTTAACATTTTGTAGTGTGCTCATGTCCTTGACCTTCTATCAGCTGAATCTCAGAAATGTCAAAGAGCCATGGAAATCCATCTACAGCCCTGGTGGTGAACGGTAGGGCGCGTCAGAATTGAGAATACTACCATCACTTACCTCCCTTTTGCAGCGAATACATTTTAGACTACCTGGTACAATTTCTGTGGCTCACGTACACGACGAGCGGAGGTCTTGTGACTTTTTTTTCAAATTTGCATAAGTCTTTGCCTCCTCAGAACACTGCTAAGCCTGCACCCAAGCCTGTGTCTGCACCCGCAGCCCCAGAACACGCAATCGTGTCGAGTGCGACGAATACGATGCAGAAGTGGTCTGCTAAAGGAAGGGGAAATAGTTGGATGTCTCGAAGGGATATATATACCAATGCATTGTTGGAGAGCTTATGTATTGTGTAGGTTGTACAATGAAACCTTAATTGCTGTGCACTAGTTTCCAGACTGGCCAAGAAAGCACGGCAGTCTGGCTTTGGAAAACACTTAGCGTTTTTCGAGCTCATCGCAGTCCGTATCGAACGGCGAAACGTTCACTCCAGGTCCTTCAAGGACCTGGAGTGATCGTGTTGTATTGTGCGAGGAACTAGCTTATCGTAATCGGTGAATCGGTGAACAGACTTTTATTTCGCATGACATCTGCCGCGGGGAGGCCATTGGTACCAGTAATGCGCGGTGCTACATGGGAACTGCGGTACTTGCATTGTTGTGCTGCAAAATATTACAAGAGAAATCTTGGGGTAAGCCTACGTTTACTATACAGGTATACATAGCTTTGTTTATCTCGCTGTACAGTAAACAGAATTTTGAATGCGAGACGGTGCGTCAGAACCAACGAGATCTGGACAGATAAACATCCACTATTTCAGGGAGCTCAGGATAACAAGCCCGGGAGGACCCCCCAGGGCTGTCTCCAACCTAACTACTAGTATGCATAAGACGATCGCGGCGTCACTCGAGAGGTAATAATAAGGAATTTCGTTGGTGAGGATCTACGAGTGGAGCTCGTGATATCAACGAGAAACCAAAATTAACCCAGACGTACCTGTGACATTATGCCGCCGAATGAATCTATGTCGCTCTGCTCGCTTGGCCGAACTTGAAATCCATCCTCCTGCTCTACAAACAGCTCAGGAGCCATCCATCGCATATTTCCTTTGAGTGTGGACGCCCAGGAAGCCTGAGAGGTACTTATAACATCAAGGAAAGACCGAAGTCAGAAACACACGCAGTGTCATCACCACAGATGAGCACATTACGCTGGAACTCACGTTTCAATCGAATCAAAATTGACAAGACAGGTCGAACTTACCCCATCGAAGTCATCATGGATGACGCTGTTAGCATGAATATTACTACTTCAGGTCTAGCACTGAGAATAACCAGCACGTACAATATTGCAGAACGGCTATGGTATCCCTGAGCTGAGACTGCCATTAATCTGTGGTCTGCATAAAATACAAAGGGGGACTTACGATCCGGAATATTCTAATGAGTAAGAGCCGCGCCCTCGGGCTTCAAATAGTCCGACAGGCGCCATAGCCAGGGTATCTGCATGGCTGCGCGTGGAAACCCGGATACTGGGTGTTAACGTTGAGAGGACTAAGCGTGGTCATATAAACGGGACAGAGGATGAAAAGGCCAGTCGCAAGTCCTATCAGTGCTCCGAAGCGGGCTTATGAAGTTAATATGAACACCACCAAAGAGAAGACACATGTGAGACCTATGGGCATTTGAACAACAAGAAAAAAGGACGTTCCCGCGCTGGTATACAGGGATCTCATCCCACAAAACCTTCTCTACTCCGTAGAGTCGGGGATTAGAAATGCAGCAAGCGTAACTCATCACCGGTGCACCAGTCACCCAGAACGACTCGGATCCAACTCGCCTATCTTTGCTGGCAGTCAGTCATTCTCAGTTTGATGGGCCAGCAATCAGTCTATTTCCGCCAGATTTTCAACCTCGTTCCGCAACTACGAGAATCAGTAAGCGCTATAGTCAATCTCACGACCACAACCACACAAGAACTCGCCCACTGTGCTCAGACTTGCGCTTTAATCTCGACGCGCATCCATTCTCCTGGCATACCACCTTTGAGTTTCTGGGGTCTGGGTGGCAGATCGTACGTTCAACAACCGGGACATCGCAATCTTGGTTGTAGACCGTACGGTCCGCGACCAGTCTGTGAGGCACTCCAATGACAAATTGAGAAGAAACTCGTGTTGTTTGTCATGGTGAATTTGCAGTAGAACAGTCGACACTGCGAAAGAAGATGGCTGCTGAAAATGATCGTTCTCCACGTTGGCTGTCATTCCGCGGCTCCCGTGGCAAACAGACCGGGGACTGTAGGCCACGACATGATTTGGAAAGGACGGAAAATCGTAGTATGGAGATCACGAGCACTGAAGGGATACTTTAAGACCATGACAAGGGTTTAGACACGATGCGCGTTGCGTAGAATGCAATATGATTTCGAAGAACGCCGCTGTAACGTGTGGCTCAACCATAAGTTGAACGGATATAGAAGGAACCGAACAACTGTCATCCATACCTATCAAGATCTTGGTGTGAACACAAATTCGGTTCGAAGACTCGAAGTAGGCGCTGAGCGTAACCTTGAAACGTTGATAGCGGACGGTCAACATCTGCTGGCAGTATACCGTACATGTACGTGTACGTAAGTGAGGCAACTGTTTATTATAGACTGAAATTCACCGTGTTCAAGCACGTTCCATGAAACTTCGTTGGAACGAGGCTATGTGTTATACATGCTCTCATCGACCAGTCTGACAGAGTGCTTGTAACTCCAGGCTGGTATCCCTATTGTATCTTTACATCCCCGGAACTTCCCCTAGCGCATGTGATGTGGAATATTAAAAACTACTAGTAGATCGACGCGTTATTAGCTAATGCTATCCATGCTGGAACCACACAAATGGTCGATATGATCACGTCAATAGTCGATCAACGATTCTGCAGCTACTAAGACGATCCATGCAGGATATGTGGCAGCAGCATTACTCTCGGGTCTAGGCTCGAATCGACGGCACGTTTAGCATTACACGATGTTGTACCGAAGGCCATGCTGAATCCTACATGTTATTCTCGCACGTGAGGGGCACCAGCGGGTGGGGCTTCGATGTGCATTAATATTCGACGGCCAAATTAGCAGAGCATGACACATGTTGCCAGGGCATAGAAGGCGCGAGGAACGATAAATGTATCATTGAGGTGACCCATCTGTTGCTTGATGAAGTACAGAAGGTGGGACTCAGAGCGTGTTCTTCATTTGGCGTGCTGGGGGATTTGCTCTCAGGTGGGGCGAGTATTGCTTCCAAGGAGGGATAGCATCCTAGCACAGAGGGGATTTTTTGTTAATTGCCATACAATTTAGCATATGGTTATGATTGATGTTGGACCTGTGTCTGCAGGCACCTCTTCAGGAAATTGAAGCGAACAGGTCCAATTTTTTGCGAGTTCCCGACTTACAGCAGTAACGTGTAAAACGTAAACTTGGTGTCTTTGTGCGGACACGTGTCTATGACGCGTCTTGTTCAAGTTGATAACACATCTTGCATACTATCCCGTCTTTGCCAGCCACGTGGCGTGGGACGCGACAGAAACTTGATTTGCAAGAGCGGTGAGAGCCTAGAGGACATATGGGTACGTCGGACCGTAGAGAATGTGGAGTTCGGGCAAGGGCACGTCGTCATGTGGTGACAGAAGACTACGCAGCTTGCGCTAATCCATAGCGCCTGAGATAATCATGTGTGCATGTGTCCGTCAGAAAGAAGCGTTGTTATTATCAAGTTGTTGTCAAGCACCGTATCACTTACATAGTTTGATTGTCCAGCAGTAAATGAATTGTACGCAGTTTGGGGGTTATGAAACAGCCTAGCCCCAATTATAGAAGAAATCATGGCATCGGGAGATTTATTTCGAAGGCTGGAAGTGCTGTATCAAACACGGTCGACCTGTTTGAAGCTACTAGGCTAGTACCCCTTGCTATGATACAGCTGCCTATGTGCACCCGGTATTCAACTGGGAAGTCCTTAGTATGATGCTATATGATGTACGAAATACGTGAATTATACGTTAACTTACGAAATGATCAGACGGACTTTCAAAATAATGAGCGGCGAGCGCCGGCGACACAGTCGTCACCGGTCACCACACAAGCCTTGGCTTGAAACAATTGAAAAATTGAAATTCGGGACCGGGGTGAAGGGGATGACATCGAATCCTGCTGTCTTGAGTAGGTGACAAGAATGACCTCGACTCGGAGGTAACTTGAGCCATAATTGTCTCGGCCACCGGATTGTCAGACACTGTTAGATCTGGTTTATCTTGATCGCCGCCGGCTGATAGATCAAGCGCGTCCTCTACAGACAGTCGTCTATCTCCTCTGGGTTGAGGGCGGACCCACATGATGCACTTGCCGCGGATCTATTGCGTCGAATTCGCAGTCTGTATTTGTATCGTCGTCATTCGTTGACATGTGAATATTGCGGATAGACTCGTCCGACGAGTCTACAGTGACGGCACAATGAACGGATCTTGGTGGAGAAAGTGCTTCAGCGCCTAGTGAGCATGGTGAACCTGTGACACCGTCATAGATCTGAGTAACCCGCGCTTTGTGGAAATGATCCTCAGCTTCCGGGACCAATTGCTCTCCCGATTTCTTGATATAGTTCGATCTCATCTCCGTGCGCACATTCAATCCCGAGGAATCAGTTCTGGAACTTGATAATCCACCCCCGGACCACCGGCGCAAGCAAATATCTTGCGTATCTTCTAATCACTGCAATGAGAATGCAGAATGTGACACTGATAAAAGCCAAGCAGTACGATATCCTGCTCAGAGGGCGCAAGGCGAGTATACGCCCTCTTCAAGTTGCACGATCTTGTCGCAACAACACCTCTTGCGACCCTCTTATTGACACCTTAACCACTTTTGGATCAAGAGAGTGTGACATGTCGGACATTCAAAGTATCAAATGTCAAAACCATCGACGGGACACAATTTCCTTTGCGTTCTATTGCGCTCTGCCTATTCTGTGTGCATGGATCGGGAGCATCAGGGGCAGCAACATAGATCAGAAGCCGGTGGCATGGTACTCACGATGCAGAGGGGAATATAGAAACTATCCATGTCGAATCAGAGCACAAAAAGTCATGCACAAATGTCAGATAGTGATCGATGCTCTTGTCTAGGCGCTCGAGGTAAGGAAGCCTTGCTACTTCTGTCAAAGACGATCTAGCTTGTTGGTTGGTTTATGCGGTGACAGCGTTCGTGTTGCTCTGCTGAGTTAGGGCTGGGAGATAGGTTGGATCTGTCATCGGACATGTGTGATGGTCGCAAGAGAAGAGCACAAGGACCTGTGACCCTGATGTAATCAAGCATAGCTATTGATCCCTGCGGACAATGCACCTTACACGTACCATCTGCATAGAGTAAAAAAGGTCAGGGCCACGTCTTCGACTTGCAATAGGTGGTTAGTTTGAACATGAACGACAGTGCCTTCCCAGATGCTCGGTGCAGCATTACCTATTAAGAATTCAAATGTGTTGGAGAGTAAGAGTTAGCAGAGACAAGGCACGTAGCCTCACCAAAAACGCTACTGATCTCATATCGATGAGGGCCAAGTGCTCAAATTGGCGAGACCTCGTGGTAGCCAAGTGAAACGTGACGTCAGGGGCTATGGTAGGCTTTGCACGAAAGGGGCAAGTTTTAACATAAGCTGACGTGCAGTACTGGATGAGAGGATGTGTCCGCAACCTTTTGATGCTTTATAGAATGGCTGATACAGACTGTCCACACAAATCATGCCGTTCAGGGTAACTAGACCCTCAATCAAGTATTATTCGGTACGTAAAGGCTAGGGGGTGTCCGTGCATGAAAGTAACGTGAGACCAAAGTATCCGTGGAGGTAATTGAATCTTGAGCAGATGGAGAACCTAAAGAGGATGACCGACGAGGTTTGAAAATCAGGACAACGATTAACCCAAAAATGATCAATAGGAGAAGGAAGATGAGTTTCCGACGGCCCGTGTTCTTCTGGTATCTGTAAGAGAGTGTGTCAGCGCGCTACGATGATTGCGGATATACATGGCTCACCGCGTTGCATGGTTTAACTCTTTCACAGCTTCGGCCATTTCTACCGAAGTTTGTTCAATGTTATACTCAATACTGTCAAGAAGAGTTCCTTGATCTATCACAAGGATAGACAAATCCTTGAATAATTCCGCTAGAGAAGCTATCGAGTTTGCAATTTCCGTCAACTCCCGGTCGCGGACACGGAGATCGTGATCTTGTATGTTATCTAGAATCTGAGCTTGCTGCACGGGGAGGAATAACGATTTAGCTATGCAAGAGACATGGACATTGATTGTTGCTCACCGCAGCTTCTACGTCTTCGTCAACAGCAGTCAAGCCCTCGGATCCTCTTGAAGAAATAGTCCCAGACGCAATCAGGAGATCTTGATTCTTAATCGCGTGCCCTTGTAGACCTAATGAAGGCGGAAGTGCGGTCATAGAAATGATCGGTTCCCGTCGACTTGATGGGCAAGGAGGAAATACTTACGTTCCATATAGACACGCTGTTTCTTGCGGAACGTTGAGCTGAGTTCTTGGACCCTCGCGGCTAGGCCTCGTTGCACGTTTTTGGCCGCGAGGATTTCAAACTGAGTTTTCTGAGTGGAAGGGGGGAATGAGTGAGCCTGTTCAGTACCGATACGTTGAATCAAAGTATGGCATCGTCGAAAATCCTATCCACGAGAGGAAAGAAAGGAACGACCGTAAGTACGATATGGACACGAGTCCACGGAGGATGTACTTTGGTTATTTCGGTGGTCGCCGCTTCGATTTCCCGCTCCTCTGCCGTCCGGTCCGCAAAGCCGGGGAGAACATGCTTTGCATGAAGTTTTTCCAAAGTGATAACTAAGGTAAAAGGACGGAGATGATGTCATTGAAGCCACAAGCAGACAGACCAGGAACACACTTTTAGCCTGTGTGCCGCCCAAGATCTCTTCTACTTGTTCAGAAAGATCGACCCTTTATTGCAGGTGATTCAAGGTTATCTGAAACTCCACGGAACAAAACGTACCATTTGGGAGGCAACTCAGCGAGATGTACGGAACTTGGATGTATGAGTGTTTCATTTTCATCTTCAGCACGGTATGGTTCATCGGAATAGGATGAGTGTAAACGGGAGAAACGTGTCGAGGGTGCTCTTGAATCGCGAAATGAAATAAAAAGTAGGGTCCTTGAACGCGTCGTTGGCGAGCTTGCAGTCGACATCCCAGAGTAAGTTGGCTGCGGAATGTATGGCGTTGTTTGTACTATTATTTCTTGTACAAATATATATAAATAAAATATGGCTTAAAGTCTATTCACTTACTGTTTATGTCATCGGCTAATAGAAATTCCATTCCAGTGTCGGAACCCGGAGTAATGATCCTGCATGTAACCCCGCACTCGGCCTGCAGGTTGACCGTACATTTCTCTGTTAAGCTTCTTGCATCAATCAGTTTTTAAACCCGCTTCCGCTTGCTTCCCGTCTCATCAAAAGGCCGGCTTCTTACTGCGATTGTTATCACATCGTGTCCGATCGCTCCTTAAGTTAATGGTCTTGTGATTAGTCCTCCCTGTCATCGGTTACAACCCCCAGTCCCTTCCACCTATTCAAACTCTTATAAAGTTCCCCCCCCCTCATTTCTTTCACCCCCATTCTTCAGCTCCACTCGTCTCTCTTCCAAATCCTACTATTTGCCCTCCGCAGTTACTGCCTTCGGCCTATTAAGCCTACCCCACACCGGTATGCTGTTCCGTCCTCCAATTTAATGCCCCAGAATAATTTCTTTTTTTCGCACACAGCAAACAGTTCGCCGGTGCCCCTTCAACCTGTCACTCGAAATGTGCAATCTGGAAACGTGCGTGTCCAGTAGCTGGTCTAGGCCTTGGCAAGAACCTTGCTGATTCAGACCCTTTTTTCTAGCGAAGGAACAAAATTTGGATGCGGGGTAAGTGTCTCACGCTACATTCTCGTCAAGAATCCACGCATTCTCAGCCATGCTTCGGTTAGCATTACAAGGTGGTGCGTGATCAACGTTTTCATAGTACCAGAACTATTTTTGACCTTCTTTTAGACGCGCAAACTGAAGAAGATCGATTGCTACAACCAATATTGCATCCACTCCGTATATCATCCAAGGAATTGTCCTGATTGTCATTGTGAACGGGTGAGTGTTACTGCACACTCAACCTCATAGTCCAGCGCTCAATCGTACACCAAGTACTTCGGTCCCGATGCAAGAGAAACTATCACCCAACGAACAGCCGATTACTGTGTTTCATGTCAATACTGGTTCAAGGATGGAGCCTGCCAACGTCGTTAACCTTGATGGTTCCGACAGCCCCGGCTTCTTCGTCACATCTATCGAGAAAACGTCTATAATGCCCTTTTATTCTAATAATTATCACTCTAGTCACGCCTTGCTTTGCACACCACTCTGCTGTGTCAATTTGTAGTTCTAGGCTTGTTTGTCGCATATTTTACTTACGCATTATCTATCTAGTCACTGTTTTCTGTTGTCACGCAGAGTGAAACGACATACACGTATATCACCATTTCACAGCGAGTCCAACTACCTCGCTTTCAACAGCCCGATACTGAGTACGAAACAATTCACGACGTTGTGTCTCTGCTCCTTCGTCCATGATAGAAGCCCAATTTTCATGCAAACTTCCGTCTGTGGGGTGACAAAGATCGATCTTGACCTGAGCGGCAAGACGGTCTGCGCAAACGAACGGGTTTTCAAGATCCCGATCATGAGGTCTCGGTGATGGAGGTGGTGTAGGCAAGTCATGCCAATACACCCTTTCAACTTCCTTGGTCCACTCCTTGTTTCCCCATTTGACGCCTTGCATCGCACTATCTTCCCCTGGCACTAGCATCTGGACACCACTCTCCTCCCAGTTCCTCGTAAACCCTTCTTCGTCCTCTTTCTGCCCTGCCGCCTGTGCAATGGGTTTCAACTGCCCACCACCATTGACACACCCGCCCGGACATGCCATGACTTCGACATAGTCATACCCCTTCTCATCCTCCCCACCACGCTTCTTTGCACGCATCCCAACCAACCTTCCAGCGGCACCCCTCCCAACTTGCACCCCAGCCTCACGACCTACCTTGCGCACGACGTTCTGGAGATTACGGAAACCGTAGCATTTTGCGCCTTTGAAAAGCACCTCGCCGGTGTCCCGAGTGCGAAGAGTGAATTCTTCGTAATCAGATGTACGGATGGATTTTATGGTAAGGTCCACAGGAGACGTGTGGCTTGTAGTGATAGAATTGATGAGAGAGTGCAAGTAAGATCCAGAGCTAGTTCCAGGGTGTGATAAGAGCTCAGGGATTTCAGCGTCGAAATCAGGGATATCTTCGTTCTCTACTGGCTGTGAAAGATCCCAGCCTTTGTCGCGCATCATAAGCTCGAGCTCCCCTGTCGTGATTACGCAGTCCACATCCCGAGTCGAATACAGGTCGTTGTAGAAATCCTGCCGAGAAGCCTCGAGCTTCTTGTCATAGCACGGCATAACTGACACGTGGTAAATTTGATCCGGTCTATCACACAAAATAAATCAACGCAATAAAATCGAAGCGACTGAGACTTACTGCACTCCCCAGCGATTTCCAAACCACGACTTGACCAGAGTTCCCATCACCTGCTGCGGACTCTTCGTCCTAGCGATAAAAGGTAACATTTCGGAGTGTGCTTTCTCAGCATAACATATCCATCCCGGACAGGCACTCGCTAGCATCGGAAGTTTTCCGTTTCCCTTCTTCCGCTCAAAAAATTCTTGCGTGTGCTCAAGCAAAGCAATATGTCGAGCAAACGTAGTGTCGTAAACATGCTCGAACCCAAGTATTCGTGTAGAAAATGCTCGCACTCTTCTCAGTATTTGTCGGAGACTCACGGGGGAACCGGATGATGACGAAAGGGAGGCTGCGAGTGACGCGAGGCTTTGTGGCGCTATTGAGAGCACAGGAATCTTGTGACCTGGCGTGGAAACGGGAGGAATGGAGTCCAAGAAGTTAAGGACCTCCGTGTGGGACTGTAGCGTGATCAATACAGATTCGGCCGACGTAATACAACCGCTGTATTTCGGGAATATGGTCAGCAGTCTTTCGATAGGTCTGAAAGGAACTACAGACCTGCAAGCAAGACAATCGTTTAAGCTGATCTGAGCCTGCTGCAGCTTTCGCCCTGCGCCCTTGGAAGATACATTAGTGGATGCGCCGGTTGCCGAGACCTCGTAGTATAATCCACTGGAGTCTATCACAATTTCGGTCTGAAATCAATACTTAGTCTGATCCTTGACATGTAACTGGCTGTATAACACACTGTAGCGGTACCAGGCTCAGCGATATCCTGCGGCTCGTTCACCTGCTCAACGGGTTTGATACATGCTTGAGATGGGGTTAGGAAGTCATTAAGATCAGTCAAGGTCTGCTCTGCGTAAATCAGACGGATTGCATAGTTTCAGATACTGGTGAACACGCACAAGAGCTCCAGAGAACGCCATTCAAGATGAATGGAGAGTATACAAGGACCATCGGATATCGACAAATGACAAATCACTACTAGTACAGTGTATCACGTAATCATGGAAAAGCTTGTGCTAGACCTTGATCAGCTCTTCGGAGGTTCATCTCAAGCGTACTGGCCAAAGTGGTTACCACGACAGAATTGAAATCTGTTTCTCTTGGTATGTGCAGGTTCGAAACCTGCCGAATGACAAGGCTTTTTTCTGTCGGAACACACCTTGACATTCACTCATGGATGGCTTCCTCAGAGCATCATTTAAACGGGTCTTAGCCAAGTGGTTACCACGACAGAATCGAAGTCTGTTTCTCTTCGACTGCTCAGGTTTGAAACCTGCCGAATGACAAGTTTTTTCTCTATCAGAGCATGCCTTGATATTGACTCATGCACGGATGGTTTCCTCAGAGGTCTATGTAGCTGGTCTTGGCCAAGTGGTTACCATAACAGATTCAAAATCTGTTTCTCTTGGAGTTGGTTCGAAACCTGCTGATCACATTTTTGCGGTGTATAGATCCTCGGAGGTCGCTGATCTTGGCTACTTATAGACACTGCATCACACTGCACCATGCTGAATCAATTTTCAAACATGTGACTTCACGCGTCGAGTGCGCCAGAAGTATATCTTTCTGAGCTCCATCGTTTTGCGACCAACATACCTGCATGCATCTGAATCTCCAAATATGACATTTATCTCTGTCTTTAACCGCGCCACCTCAGGCTGAGTCGCTATCGCTTGATACGTCACTGCCTCATTCTTCAGGCAAAAATTGCAAGCTGTTGGTGGACCACGCAGCTCAGGTCATTCACGAAGCGGAGCGTGTCGCCATCATCACCATCAGCCTCGCCTCATCAAAATCGAATCTCTGCCTCTCGATGGCAATCCTCGTTCTTGCCTCCATCTGAGCCGCGGAATTTTCTCAGCGGCGATTTCAATCAGGAACACGCCCCCAACTCACAACCTTTCGCTAGCGACAATATGGCCGATATCTCCACATCCCCTCCACCAAATCTTGCTTTACCACATTCTGCACCATGCAGTCCGAAGCATGATTTGGCCGAGCCCAGAATACCTCTCACCAGCAATAATGTGATTGATTTCTCTAGTACTGCATCTGCATCATTTTCATTGATTCCAATCGCAACCGAATCCTGCAGCGCTTCGCCGTTTACATATTTCAAACCCTGCACACTACTACTGCCAACTTCGCCGGTTCAGAAGCCGAAGCGCCTCTTGATCGATTCTGGCGCTACCCTCGTCCCTCAGTGCTCTGACTCGAATGACAAGTGCACTTTCCGCGAAGTATGAAGTCGTACTAAGCTTGTTCGCTTAATGTTTGAATCTCTGTAGGACGATAGCAATTGTTCTGGCAACCTATTCTATTCCGATATCGTCGTCCACCAGGCATCCCTCGTCGGCCGTTGGGCTGCCCTGGCACAGCTTTCGCACCAGAAGATGCCCTTTCCAGGAAAGCCGATCAACACTCTTCAAGACTGACACCTTCATAAACCCACAGCTCACAACACGACTCCAGAGATCCTCTACGACTTGGAACTTCACTGCACATGAGGTTGAAGGCCGCAGGTCGCACACACACGATCTCTATGCGCCACCTTACATATCTGTAATCTTCGATCCCCTACGACCGAATCCCGATGACGCAACATCCCTATGTAATGGTCTTTTGTTTTGTTTTTACATACTAGTATGTACTTGACAGACAACGGACTGCCGTCTCTTTCATTTCTGATCGACTCATCCCTGCCATCCATGCAGGGTTTACCTCGTTGGTGTGATATGTTGGTAACTTGTCCTTTGATGCTCCAAATGCACGTAACAGCGAGATAATACGACAGAAATGGGATAATACAACTGAGGTGATGTACGAATGTCCGTGCAGGCAAATGTCCACATTATAGATAAATGAAAAGAGTGAGAAGAACAGATGTAGACAACGTCCATCCCATGCTTCCAAACCTGCAACGTGAGGATAGTGCAGCATTGACTGTTTGTCCAGAAAGTAAAGATGGAGAGGAACTGCCCCACATCTGTATATTGCGATAATAAGTATGAACCGTTTGGGGTGTTGCCCAGCTGGAGTCGTCCCCTGTGAAAAAGAGTTATCCTTCAATGGAAATCTGACAAATATACTCAAAACCAACCTCCAAAGAACGTCCTACATATTCATGAGGTCAGTAGCCGTGCATTGCGATTCACAGAAGAACGCGACTTACGAGAAGTACAATCCCCCAATGGCGAAATCGTTGACTGTCCTGAAGTATAAGTTTTGTTGTGATAGCGCTTGAACGTCATTAAAGCTACGGCGATGACGAACTTTACATCAGGGCTGCCTAAATGATACGCTACTTACTATAAAACAATGTTGCCATTCGCAATGGGAGAATCATTGTTCAGTTGGACAAGAATTGTGATACGGCTCCAGCTGCCATCCAGTTTTCAGCGAGTATGTCAGGATAAATGGTCTTGAGAAGTACACACTGTCCAGTTTCGAAGCCAAATGATCCTCGGTCGATGCTTACTCCGTAATCAGAGTTGCAAATGAAGTTGCTATCTGAACACATGTTGTTAGGAGTCAACATGTATCCATAAACTACACGCAAGAGTTCAGTGCTGATACGAGAGTATGACTACGTTTATACCTTCCCCTTGCGCATATTTTCGCCACATGAGCCTGGTGCTGAAACAATTAGTGCCATTCGGTTCCGCTCCGCCAGAGCAATTATTGACATCGGGACCGCCTCTAAGCCCAGGAAGTTTTCCCCCTTGGACCCAGTTGAAATTGGAATCAAATGCAAGCTCGTAGGAGAGCAACATGCTCTGAAATTGAGATCCATCTGTTGTATTCCAAAGCGAGTACCATTGAGCACCAGAATCTGTACTTCCGTAGGTATCAGCAGCATAAGGTCACTTGTAAGACAGGCCCAGAAGTATTTGACACGGTCGCACCAGGAGCCGGTGAGTTGGGGAAGGGATCGTCCACGAAGGCAACGTTGCTACCACCGTTCTGAATGTGTCCTTTGCTTAATGACCATTGGGATGTAATGAACGACGATGCATCGGATGCGCTTTGAGTAGCGGAAGGAAAAGGTATCACGGTACTTGTGGTTAACGAGAAGGACGCGGCTACCGATGTGAGAGGAATTTGGCCAGCCGCTGAGACACAGTGAGTGTCCAATAACCAGAGAAAAAAAAGTGTAAGTAACAGAATAGTGAGCATGTCAATGATCACAGTTAAACCTGTGTTTGACGGCTCCGGCCTGGACGAGGGGGGTTGTTAGGAACTTACTAGTTACCACTAGCAAAGGTGACCAGTCGCCGAGGGCTTGACGATGATAATGTGCAATGCCAAGACCACGCGTTGGCTTGGACCGTATCACGTGACCGCCCTTCAACCATGTCTGCGGTGCGATTCTTGGCAACTGCGAGTCTGTGCATGTCGAAGTTCATCGCGGCAACTGATTTTTTTTAACGATAGTACTACTTGCATACTTATTTGCATTGCCGTACCCAGTAAACCTGTGCTTGTTACCCGTACTAGTTGAGGCTATTAGTAATTGGCCAAATAAACACATCATTCATCATTCGTTGTCACTAGAATCACCTCTGCATTAAACTTGTAACTTACTAACACATTTCGCGGTAATTTCTTCAGTTGGTTTATGGACAGTGCCAGATGTTTGCGGCAAACTCAAGAGCAAGAGAGGCAGCAGCAGACGGAGAGGCTAGGCAGCCTCTGCTGAATGCTTCACACGAGGATGTTTCAGCGGATTCAAACCAACTTGTCTTTTCAGTGGACGACGAGGACTCGGAAAGCAGTAGTGCAGAGCCCTGGCCGTCTGCGCGGAGGACAGAACACAGTGTCAGATTTCAGGAAGAAGTACAGGTCATTGGTCCACCTTTACGGTCTACAATACAGAGCCGAGAGGCGGGTGCGTACTATCTTTATGCTCATCATCCAACGCATCTTATCAGTGCCCGTATAGAATATGAACTGGACTCGGACGACTTTGATGATGCTTCACTAGCTGATATCCAGCGCGAGCAAAGGCGCTCTCGAGGGGCTCCACGACGAGAACGTACTATGCCTTTACTGGTTGGTCTCATGGATGCTTCTGCGGCAAGGAGAACGCCAGACACGACCATTCCTATGTACGAAGCAGATAGTGCGGAGGATGGAGAGGGACTTAGAAACGTAGACCTTGACAACCTCGCTGAAAAACAGTGGTCAGGTGGAGGTCTACTGAACTCGGTTGCCAATATGGCAAATTCAATCCTCGGAGCTGGTAAACTTCTAGTTGCTTATATGCCCAAACTACTGACAATGGATGACAGGAATTATTGGTTTGTCGGGTTGCAGTTTCAGCAACAGATTTGGCTAATAATGTGGTAGGTTTGCCGTACGCGGTCAGTCAAGCAGGCTTCTTTTTTGGCATCGTTCTTCTGGTTGTTCTTTGCGCCGTTACCGATTGGACTATCCGATTGGTTGTCATCAACGCTAAGCTCAGTGGCAGAACCTCCTACATCGAAGTCATGAACAGTTGTTTTGGCCCCAGTGGTCGTGCAGCCGTTTCATTCTTCCAGTTCTCATTTGCTTTTGGTGGTGAGTAATTAATATCTATATCGCTGTATTTACGATCGATATTCCTTCAGGCATGTGCGCGTTTGGTATTATCATTGGTATGTGCAGGGTTTCTAGTGTATTATATTCATACCTTAAAATTTCCCCAGGAGATACGATACCCCATGTCATTCGTTCAATATTTCCCACTTTGCACACAATACCTGTTCTCTCACTCCTCACCAACCGCCAATTCGTCATCACCCTGTGCACAACCTGTGTTTCTTATCCATTGTCACTCTACCGCGACATCCACAAGCTTTCACGTGCATCCGGGCTTGCATTGCTCAGCATGCTCGTCATCGTTTCAGCAGTACTGATTGAAGGATCGCACGTGTCGCCAGATCTCAAGGGGGATCCATCGAAACGCCTCACCGTGGTGGGCCCAGGGGTCTTCCAGGCCATTGGCGTTATGAGCTTTGCATTTGTGTGCCATCATAATTCTTTACTCATCTACGGGAGCTTGAAGACCCCCACCCTAGATCGGTTCGCTCAAGTGACGCATATATCCACGATCATCTCACTCGTGGCGTGCTGTACTTTGGCTATATCAGGTTTCTGGGTTTTTACAGATAGAACTCAGGGGAATATATTGAATAACTTCTCCGGGGTGAGCATTCTTCTAATTTTTAGATGCTTGACATCTGACACACGTGGAACAGAACGATGCGTTGATCAATGTCGCCCGTTTCTGCTTCGGGCTGAATATGTTTACGACGTTGCCCTTGGAACTGTTTGTCTGCAGAGAAGTAAATTGATGGTATGCAAATCCAGGATAAAATTCAGCTCAACCGTTTCAGGTAATCGAACAATACTTCTTCTCGCACGAAAGCTATAATCTTCAGCGACATGTATTCTTCACCACCTACCATCCTCTTCTCATCGATGCTTCGTGAGTCGTTATGCCAATCACCATAGCTGGAACTAATGCAGGTCCTGAACCAGTCTCATTGATCACCTGTGATCTGGGCGTCACGCTGGAGATTACCGGCGGTGTCTCAGCCACAGCGCTTGCGTACATATTTCCTGCTGCATGCTACCTAAAACTGACCGACCCACACGTTCCGTGGCACTCCCGCGCGAAGCTTCCTGCCGCAAGCCTGCCTTGCATTTGGGGTGGCTGTAATGACCGTATCCCTCCTTCAGGTGATCCAAAGAGCGTACATGCCCCTGGGCGAACCAAAGATGTGTATGGCATGATCTTCATTTTTAATACAGTCACAGGCTTGCACATTCATACATCTAGAGTAGTGAATAATGCGCGGATCGGACACTGGGATAAGGACATCTATTGAGAATGGATCATCGCCGCTGAATTGCTTCCCTGAGCCCTGGTATTTCGTCGAGCTGCACAACGCGAGCACCTTTGGCGACGCTTTCCTGAGCAAGAAGAGGGGTCACGTTGGATTCATTGAAGGTGCTCCATACGGATTCAACTCGGCACAGGGGTTGTTGCTCGTCCGGAAGACTTGGCGGGCTGCAGATTAGCAGCCATATGGCATCATATCCGCCGGCTGCGTTGTTCTCAGATTAAGATATAGTCCAACTCCCGAAGAAACATAACTGACCACCTGGAACACCACCACCAACCACGCCTGCCTGCTCGATCGATTGGTCAAGTAGGTGGGTTTGTTGCTCAGGCTCAATTTCAACGCCAGCAAGGTCGCCCATTCTCCGCATGAGGTTACGTATTTGCTAGATAGAAAGGGTGCGTTCAACTTGATGCGTGATGGTTAGGAACTTCCCTTACCTGGGTAGTTTGATGCAAATCATAAAACGCTTTGGAGATACTCTCCCACTGCAATATACAATGAGGAACAAAGACTACAAGAAAAGGAAGCCTACTCACTTCCTGTGCAGGCAGAGAAGCAAGTTGCCTGATGGTCTCTTCGTATACATCTTTGTTCTGAATATACAACTGCGAAAGGGCATCCAATTGCCGTGCTAGAGATTGGTTCGATTCATCAATCTGCATCCATAGATCCTTCGCTGCATGAGACGATAAGAACGAGGCATCTGACTGGCTTTTACAACTACTGCGTACCTGTTTCACAGCTGTCTTCATGTCCTCTCCATTTTAACACCTTACCGACCAAAGAAGGAGTATCACTTCCTGCTTCAACGTCTGCCAGTACCAGTCTTGTCAACGGGGGGAGTTGGATCGGCCGGAAACTGTAGTCCCAGGCACTGGAGTTCAGAACACTCTTCAATGTACCTATCGCAAACTAACAAGAATCAGAGGACGCCGGAAGCGGAAATGCCCAAAACATAACATACTTCGCCTTTCATCAAGGGGATTCAAAACGGCAGGGCCAAATCGCCTGTAAATCTGGCTCCCGAACACCGCGGAAGACACGTCAAATCCGCTGCCCACTTTACCTTGGGCAAGGCAGTGTACAAATTGAGCGGCGTTGTGGGCGAGGCGTCTACCATCCCCTTCTAGGTTGGCAAAATCTGTCTCAGTTATAGCTGCAAAATGGAGAAGCAGCGCAGAGACGAGCGACGTGATAAGCGCTGCGGAGGAACCCATGCCGGTTTTGTGCACATCAGGTCAGTTTCACGCCGTTGTGACAAAAAGGGGTGATTTGCGAGAGAGATTTTGTCGTTCTAGGTAAACCTAACGACTCCAGCTGTGCCAGCGGTTACTTCTCTGCCATGGCTGACATCAAGGGTGCTTACTTGTGCGCGCTGAGAGTAGAAATCGTTATCACCCACAGCAGCTATATTGAGACCATGAATGAGCCTCTCTTGCACTTGGGCTACAGAATGGATCTCCGACACGAGATTTAGGGTGTGCTGGAGCGCCAGGTGAACAAACTTATTCTTCCCCCCAATGCTGATCAAGAGATACGTGAGGCGTGATCAAGGTGTCGAAGAAATGTCATTTACCTGTCCTCTTGCGGATTTACCTGAATGCCCTCAGCATTGTAGGTGACGATATATCTCCACTCGGCCTGATAAAACTGGGGAGATCGGACCACGATCTGATTCGCAGAACCCGACGAAGCCTGGATAACAGTGTAAAATCGCGAAGATGTAGAGATCACTACCCCTGGATATTGCTGGTCGAGGACAAGATATCCTCCCGCTGCTAGAACCTTTCCCGGCGCTGATACGATTGTTGTAGTAGACATGGTGTGATTCGCGCATTCAGAGACATCATACGGTTAAGTATAAGGGCTTGTCGCTGAGTCAGCAGCTGTACTCGGATCTGATGGTTATTCGGGAAATGCGTTTATTGGTCCTCAGAATCATCACGCGATTCCGCTGCAAGTGATTTAGCAGATAGAAGACAGCGTGAAGCCGTGATCAGAAATAGCCTTAGGAAGCTTAGGAAGCCTTCATTCGCTCTACATAGTAAGCCAACAATGAACGGCTAGGAACGTCCAGCACGAGCGAACCAATGTTTCTGCTGACCACAAGTCATATTTTTACAGCCCGGACACCGAAGCCCCATCTGCACACTCGTGGGCCCAATCGTCCTCGCAGAATAATCACGCAGATGCTGTGCCGTAATATCTGCCAACGCACGGATAAACACAGGAGATCCATTCAATGACTCTGCGCGATGCAGCTCCATCCCCAGCTGTGAAAAAAAATAGTACACATGGGTGAGTTGTTGAAGCATTCGCTTGTGGCCCAACGTACCTCCTTTCCCTCTTTCATATACTCAAGATCCAACTCGTAGAGCGTCTCGATATGATCGCTCGTGAAGGCGATAGGGACTAGAATCGCTTCCTTCTTTCCGAGACGAGCAAGACCCTTTGATAGCCTCCCCTGTTTGCATTCCCATCCATGCAGGAAGGTCCAACCTGAGACTGCCAAACAAGACGATATGGGTTTGAGTGGCCGAGTCTGTCCATAACGGCGTTGACAGATGCGGAAACCTCAAGGACATATGGGTCGCCTCGGTTCACTACCGACATAGGTAATGAGTGGGCTGAAAACAGAATAACCACGTCTGAGCGTGTTGACGGTTGAAATTTGGCTAGGGCGGCCTCAATGTTTTGTGCAACAGCCTGATATCAACAGAAATTATCAGCACCCTGCAAAACACACAAGATAACAAGAACGTGCCTCGATGAATCCTGGGTGAGTACCCCAACGGTCTATCACGCTCCATTCGATGTCTCCCGTCTCGCCTGCCCTCCCCCGTCTGAAAAGTTCGTTCAGACTGCTTCCAGTCGTACTACAGCTGTACTGTGGATACTGTGTGAATGCAATTGCCCTCTTCACACCATCCGCCTTCATCCTCTGTGCGGTCTCCTGGGTCAGCGGGTTCGCATAACGGAACGCGACATAAGGTTTGTGCGGAGCAGTCTCTGGGTGCAGCTCGTCCAGTAGTTCACACATACCAGCACCCTGCATCTCTGTATACTTGAGAATGGGAGAACCACCACCAATGTCAGCATACTGCTTCTCGATTTGAGGTGTCCGCCGCTTGGCAATGAGAGGGGCCAGAACGCGTTGAAAAGGCAACGGAATCAGGTCACCATCCATGAACAGGTTTTTGAGGAAGTCATAGGTCTCCGGTACCTGTGAGAGAGTGGTCTGGCGTGGTGAGAGAAATTCAGACAAGACGACGTTTCACGTACCGTCGAAGGTCCTCCCATATTCAACATAACGATGGCTGACGGACATACCATGCGTTAAGCATGTATAAGACGAAATGCATTAGATGCATACCTGTAGGACTGGAATGTCGCGTTAACGAATTAAACCATGTCCGATGTGACTAGCACACCTTTTCCTGTTAACGAAGGTTTGTGCAGCGTAGCCATTCGCCTGACAGAGTGTGAAACAGTGCTTGCGAGATGACTTAACATTGTGCAGACGAATTTTGATGGTATCACAGAATGAAGAGGAGAATTAACGAGTCCGTGAACCTATCGGAATCCGTAAGTTAGATGACGGCCCACGGGTCGAAATGTATCACACGTGGCAGGTTGATCGACGATGACTAATAAGCCAAAAGTGGATATATAGGGGTCAACATCCCACATACTACTTACAGAGTAATATATCGGATATGTTTTTGGCATTAAGATTACACAAGTCCTCGTGCCAGCACGATGTAATATCAGACCGCCCCTAAATCACCCCAGATTCGGGGAAAGAATTGAGATATGCGGATATGGTCCCAGCGTGTCAGAAGCAGCTGGGAACCGAGTCCATGAAGAATCGAACCGACTGTATGCCGGAGGCTCAACATTAGCAGCTTCTGTAGGAAACTCCAGTCCAAGACCAGTGATTGGTTGTCGCTTAATTTGTGTTGATGGTCGACGATGAGATCGTGCGCTTGGAACGGCAACGTCAGGGGGAGCATCGGACAAGTGGTAAGATAGCACAGGCTCCGTGGAAGGAGTGGGGACACCTTCAGGAGTGAGTTGCGGAAGACGAGGGGTAAAGGGGATGAGGTCCCCGCCCGGGGAAAAAAGTGGGGGTGGTTTGACTCGCGGAGTATTTGGAGGTACTGTGAGTGGCAGCTCGTAAGCGGGAGGACTAGCCTCAGGGTCGAGAACCGGAGGGGTGCTAAGATATGATGGAGGATACAGCACCTCCAAAATCCCATTTGTCGTAGCCATTGATGAATCGCGCACCTTCCGTGGGCGGATGCGAGGATGTGGAGATTGACTCAGTTGTCCCCCTTCCACCTTCGGGTCTCCGTCCTACACAGACATTAATACATCTCAGGCATATTTGATGAGAGCGCTCACCGATTCACTATTTCTCCTACACCAGATACAGCTACAGCCTGAAACTTGAATGATGTCTCCCATGGCAGACGCCCAGTGATTATCAATGTCAGGACGAATGTGGGCGCCACCAGACTCAATGTGAGCCTAGCCACAACTGAGTATGAGAATATTGCGACCCCCGAACATATAACAACCCACCGTTTGTCTATCCAGAACCTCATCCTCGCCCGCGTCTGAGCGCAACAATGATTTGACGATATTCTTTGTAAAGTTCTCCAGCATGATTATGCCAAGTACTGGTGTGTGTCGATATGATTGAGAAGAAGAATTAAAATAAACATAACTACGGGCAGCCGTCCTTAAAGGTGTGAGCGGAAACGTCGGATGACAAGCACTCGGATGAGCGGAAGTCTCGAATTTGGATGACGTTATCCAATAGTTTACAGCATCGACACAGCATGATTAATATCCACCTATCAACGATTTACTTCCCACTCACAGATGACTCGATGTATGGGCTCTTTTAGAACAAGGGCGCTCTAATGCTGAGTTTAAGGCACGCCCGTACAAGCCGGACCTCGCTATTTAGTATTTTGCGATGAGAGCTAAGTATATAATACTCCTTTCTCATTGACTTTCCAAGCACGTGACTGACATGTCTCGAGCGCGTATGTTTGTTTCGTCCACAAGCGCGCACAAATAACTGGGGGCACACGACCTCACATTCTAGTGCGAGTGCATCAAATTAGCATATTAGAATGTACAGTACTTTGAATGTAGACTTCATTGATATGTGACATTACTATATAGTACTAGTCCGGAACGAGGCTTGTGTGTTCCAAGTATTCACCCCCTGGCCAGCAGTCTGGAACAAAAGATACGGATATCCACACATCATGCCTTCTCTCGCGCAGCTCTTTGGGATGCTTCTAAGGCCTTAATTTGTCGTCGTCTGACGAGCCATTGAAATATTGGAAGGGTGATACAAGAGATTAGAATCCACGAGAATTGGATACCGAAATTTAGTCCGACTGAGTGACAAGTTCTCGTCAGGGACGTTCAACATTGACAGGCTGAGGATACATACTCTCGTTCTTGGTGTCAAAAATAATCGTCCGAACTGTGCTTGAAACATTGTAGAATGGCATCGCAAAGCCATAGCGAAAGACGGCAGGCAACACTTCTATCGGATAAAAGGCAACAGATACATTAGCTGTATCATCCAGTGCGAGTCAGCGAACAGCATCGGGACTAGAAGAGAAAACGGACATATTATCCACAGGATAAGAAATATCGGAATGAATTTTATAGTGAGGAGGGTGATCATAGATTCGATAGCGAGGCCCCTAATTACTGGTGAGCATCTGGATCGCTTCATTGTTGTTGACAACTCACAAGGCGGACATGCTGCACCACGACATCATCCAATAGATGAGAAAACCTGCATGCCCAAAACTTTGAAAGATCCCAATGTCAGATCGCAATCCTAGCACTAAAAGATATGACACTCACTTCCTGCTAAATGGCACTCCGAACGCCAAACTTAACAAAGAATACATTAGCTATAAATGCCACATGTTAGTCAATCGTCAGGAAATCGGTAAAATACCATACAGAAACAAAGAAGTAAAGAGTGACCGGCCATAGCAGGCGGAGAAGGATGAGAGGTCGCAACCTCAAACGCTTCTCAAATCCAGATTCCACGCGAGCCGCCAAAAGTTGGTTCTAATCATCATGCCATATCAGCGAACATTGTCCAGAACCATCGTAAATGTCGCACCGTCAACACAAACTAGAAATGGGAGAGTGAGACATATTTCTTTCAGCAAGGTCGTGAACGTACCGCCAAAATCAGGAGGTAGATAAGTCCAACGTAATCTACCGCGGCGGCCCTGTATAACTCATCAACTTGAGGTGACAAGCATCACAAACCACAGTACGTACACAGGGACATTGAACGGCCTTATGTCATGAATGGTGAAAGCCAGTGGTTGAATTACCAGTTGAGGCGCAATTTGGAGGAGTGTCGAGATATCTGACCTCGACGCTAAACGTTGGGAGGAGAAAAGTGCAAATGTGTGTGATACGATGGTCAGTATTGAGGTGACCTGTTGAAGCATATTGCTTGTTAGTGACTTCGTTGGGATGCCTAGAATCGGTGACTTGCTTGTGGGGTGATGTCGGCTCGGCTATAACCATGCTACGATGAGACGTGGAACAAACGTAAGGAAGGGAACGACTGACTATATATTCTCATTGCGACCACTTGTAAGGTATGCGGTCACGGCTTGGGTCGCGTTATACGATGCATCGGCTGTATTGATCGACGCATTCAAGTTAGTTGAAGCCTGGGGATTGACTAGTTCTCGCTTCAGTAATGGTATGACGGGCTGGACTTGGAAATACGTACCAGTAACAGCCGCCCAGCATCTATGATCAAGTAGAGCCTGGGCCACCTCATCTGGCCCACCAGGAAATTGCGCTGCATCCAATATCAGCCAAGACATTTGTTGCGGACCAGTTGTGTCCCTGAATGCCTGCCTCACTGCTTGCCCAATTTCACCTCCATCAAAGTCCTGCACATGGCCAACATCAACACGCGCCAAGTCGTGATGCAAAAAAGTCTTACCACTACATATCCGGATAGGTTGTGAATGTTATTGTACGACCGACCAAGAGCAGCCCAATAAATGGGTAGAATGCCCCAAATCATAACGAAAAGAACGAGTACACCAAGAATGCTGATCTTTAACCAGCCTTTTCTTGCAGCAGTCGTCCCTGGATCCTTGTCGAAAAGGCCATGTGAGAATGGTTTGTCCTCGGCGTCAGGTAAGATGATAGGGGTTATGACTGGCGCTGTTGCATGATGCGCGGAAGTGCCAGCCTCCGATTTATCGATCATGCGCTCTTGATATGAGTTCTCTTGACTGTAGGACTCAGACATATTGTTTCAGGGAATTATGCATCATTGCATGGAAGACGCGAGGAAGCCTTTTATTCACTGTGTCGAACGTCTGACATCGGATTATACACGACATTTGTCATTGGGCGTTAGTCAGCTGACGCACGCAATTCTTGGCACAATATATCGGAATTAACCTGCAAGCTCTGCAGGCTCGCAGAAATCAATATTGTCCAATGAATATACAATGCAATGTATGATGTACATCGGTGCCTACAGTAGTAGTTCGTCACCCACAAACCGAAACCACTAAATTTGCGGAATTTGGAAAGCCGAATGCGTATGCGGTCATGAGCGACGTCCCCGCTTCGACTTCTTCGGTTCCATGTCATCCAGCTCGACAGGTCGCTGGCACACCGGACATCGGCCTGACACGTCAGTTAACCAAGGGTCGATGCATGTTTTCTGTCATGATGACAAGTCAGTTACGAACAAAGTGAGGTAGCAACTGAATAAGCGCACATGGAACACGTGGCCGCAAGCAAGCAGTCGAAGGGGTTGCGGACCCACTCCCGCGTCTTCAAGGCGAGGGAGGCCACCTCTTTCTTCTTCAGTAATACGTTCCACTGGTATTTCAACTTCCTCCTCACGCTGGCGGGGCGGATTGTCTTCGGTGAGCGTAACCGCAGCTTGTTCTTCACTCTTCTCCATCGTGCTTGCCTCTGCAGCAGCGGAAAGTCGTTTTGGTTCCTCGAAGTCCATCAAACAGATGGCGCAGGCAGCTCGGTTGCCCTCCAATCGGACAAAAGGATACTTACATTGCTCCCAGTTATCTTCCCAAGTTTCTGGATCTTTGACCTCCGACTTCACGCTCTGTTTGCCGTCACGGATCTCAGCGCCTTGTTCGGACTTGGTGGATCTACGGTGAAAGAAAGCAAATCGCCTCCTTGGCGTCCGCGAGGCTGGTGCTTTGGGTGGATAACTATGCACAGGTTTTGGCAAAGAGATCGGCTGTGCCTTTCCAGTCGTCTTCTGGTGGAGGAGGGATGTAGATGACTAGAGGGATACGTTCGACAATAGCTTTGGGAAGCTTGTCGATTTCGGGCTTGATATAGTGAGGGTTTTGGAGTGGGTGACGACCAAGGCATAATAGGATAATACTGTAGAAAAGCTGCAGAGGGACGCCTATCGGTGCGTGGACAGGACGAAAAAGAGCTGGACTGACCATAATGAAAGGCAAAACCATGAAAACAAGAAAACCGAAAACCAAGACCTCGAGAACCAGGAAATACATTGTGCACAAAATCCCAAAAGTAAGCCACCAAACGAGGGGCGAAGAAAGTCGACATGAGTTAACGGATGTGTATTCCAAAATATGCGCGGTTAGGAACCATGTCAAAGTGAGCATGGATGAAAGGAGTGACAAGCTGGCACAAGGGTTACTCTTATGTTCACAGGGTTGTAAAAGAAGTTGATGCATACCGCGCGTAAAGATAAGAATATGGTGGTGATGGCTCTTCTTGATTTGGAGTGCCACCGGAACTTGCATTCCTGGCCCGTCTATGAGGATCTCTCTGTCGACGACGACTCGGGGGGTCGCTACGATGAGGTCCCCCATCATTAGACGTTCGGGAACGATCACCGGACTCAGGATCACCTGGTCTCCCTGCACCCTCCCTGTTTCCGTTTTATCAGGCACCAAATAGATAGAGTCCATGCAACTCACGCCTTTCGGATTCTAACAAAATTCCAATACGCCAGGGTGGATGACAAACAAACCTTCACTATCCAAATGCAATTCCAGGCAACGAGCGGCCGCCCACAAGCATTGATCTGATGGACATTTCCCTCCGTTGGACTAGTGACTACAGAGGCTACACCCAGCACGGCGATGATAGCCGCAACCTAAACAATATAATTCAGTTTAGTCTTTGAGTTGGAGAAAGTCGACAGACTTGAATGAAACCATACACCAACGACCACACGACTGATACGAGAGCTTTACGTGTTCTAGATGCATCAGGACCAAACCCAAAGAAGGCTTTGACTCTCGGGATTAAGGAAAGGTGTGGTTGAGAAGTGGAAGTGGAGGATCTTCTACTTTGTTGTTGCCCTGTAGGGATTGTTGTGCTGGGCGTAAACCAGGTGTTGCGGGGAGTACTATAGTAGAGATAAACATCGATCAAAGGGACTTTTGTACTGAGCAGGATACTACTCACTCCTCAGCGGTCCCTTCCGCAATTGGTGACGAACTAACATTGAAATTCCTCCCGTCATGTTCGGAGTGATGATGTGACGTTGAAAGGCGGGCTCTTGACGGTGGGTGGATATCGCCAGTGGACTGAGTTCTTCTTAGAGACTGAGCATCGATGGCGAGCGCCTCTGACATGATGAACGTTGGAGAGCAAAAGGAACGGGGTTGTGCCTCGATGTTGACGCCTGCTGCGTGTCAACAGCTGGATGAGCAGTGGAGCCTGAATACGACTCGTGGCGATTAATCAGAACACAAACACTCTGTCTCAGAGTCAGTTCTGGCCAACAACAGCTTGATGTAAACCCTAGTCAGACCGGAGATTGAGAGTCCTTGAGGATTTAAGTAAGTCAAAAATCGTGGAGGAGAGAACGGGGAATTGCCCTAAGCCATAGTAAGCGTTCCCAGCCGATTGTACTACAGCTGTAGCTGGCAGTGCTCGCGTCCCACACTGGCAGTAGCACCCATAAAAGCCAACTCTATTTCTCTAATCACTTTTAAATTTATTGCTCTATGTTCTGTGCTACTGCGACAGCAAGATGATTATCAGGCTGGTGACATTTGATGCCTTGCATACGCTCGTAACACCTAGGTTACCAATTTACGTCCAGTACTCGCAAACCTTTGCACCATATCTTGGCGTCCTTGAGCCAAGACTGCTCAAACAGTCATTTAAAGTTGGTATGTCAATAACTTTCTCCCAGACAAGTCATTGGCCTCAGTTCCCTTAGCGCTAACCCAGGTACAAAAGGAAAACCCCGCGTATCAGGGGGATTCTGGTGCTGAAGGGTGGTGGTCTGAAGTCATCAAGCGAACAGCCATCGGAGCTGGTGCCAACCCACAAGGTTCTATGCCCAGTCAGCATCCTTGTGGAAGTCTAACGACCACCTTCTAGCTGTAGACTCTTCATTGCCGCTAATCGTTCCCAGTCTAATGGAAAGATTCAGTTCTCGACAGGGTTATAAACTCTTCCACGACTCCCTCTCTGTACGTATGTACACACTCGGGCCCCTCTTTGACAGCGCGTGCTCATGGCTATGCTTCGGCTTGCTACGTAGTGAGGCGACTACATGAAATGAATGTTCGTACAGCGCTGATCAGCAACACGGACACACGCATGCGTATGTTTTCTAGAAGCTTCATTTCCGTATTAGCTAATTTGCCTTGCAGTATCCGTATTGAAGGATCTTGAAGTTGCTCCGTACCTCGACTCAATTCTTCTCAGCGAGGCTGTGGGAATAGAGAAACCGGATGCCAAAATATTTCGTCTTGCACTTGCGTCCAGCATGCAGCCTCAGTTAGTCCCGATGGAGATGCAGGACGGTGTTCACGTAGGAGATGAACTTGAAAGGTATGTCCTAACGTTCACAAGGTCACCTCATTTCGGATTTCTTTTAGTGATTATCATGGCGCTCGGGCTGCTGGAATGCATGCCCTGCTGCTGCGCAGGGCTGGGCCGGAAGGCGATGGTGAACACAAGGAGGAAGGTGAAAATCTCCAAGGTGTACAGGTAGTGAATGACCTATGGGGGGTGGTAAAGTGGGTAGAACAACAAACTACTTGAGAGCTCGTCTGTCGTTGGCTGGGCTAGAGTCTTCAAAAACACGAAATTGACTCTATAGAATGTTCTAGCCCAGAAAGTGAATAAGATATCAGAAACGCGTCACAAGGACCAATGAGTGCTGGTTTTGCTCGGTGATGTCGGTAAATGGCGTTCCACCGTCTGCTCAGGTGAAGTGACCACATCTTCCGCCTTCTCACCCAACTTCAACATTGTCCATCTTATGACGCGATGATCTCGGCGCATCATTCCAGCCAGTGTGCGTAGTGTGCGAGGCGAGGTGTCAAAATGCATCGTCCAATAGCTAGTAAAACGGCGATGTCACGATGAGCTCGACACAGAGTACTCGAGACTCACTCTCCAACGGTATAATATTGTTTATGGCGACGCATTCGTTCGGGAAGCGTCTGTGTTCCATTGAACTGAATATTTCGCACTACACCGCCTTCATTCATCACATGAGTGGCAGACATGGTCACCAGGTCTTTTATGTGTTTCTATTTCATAGTCGTGAGATGTAAATTCCACTAAATCTAGAATGCGACTCACGTATTCCCTAAGATGACTGGCAATGCAGAACATTTGGTAGAGTGGCATCTTGACGCAGTCGGAAGTTCGAGGGTAAAGGTACGGTCTCAGGAAGCGCGGTCGTGCTGTTCACCGTCTTTGCCAAGTCAAACGCACCGGCGCAGACAACTCTGAAGAGAATTGCCGTAGTAAAACATTCCCACGTTTTCAGAGTCGGTCCGGGGCCGGAAAACAAAGTAACTTCCAGAAGTAGGCAAGCTCGAGGAGAAGAAGTTTGAATATTAATCCTCTGATATCATAACTACACAGGAAAACAAATGTGTTTCCTTCTTGTTTTCCGAGGAGGCATGGTGCAAAAATATTGCCATTTGATCAGACCCTGGAGCGATCGTAACATGGATTGATCCGTGCGAGGCACTGCGCGGCATCATGCACCCGTCGAGGCATCCTCTATGCACTGTAAAGCTAGTACTAGCTTGTCCTCGAAATCGACTAGGTATACCAGTACTAGTATGGATAGCTTGTTATACCGAATTAAACGGCATTCATGACCTTTGGAGCTTCCATGTACGTGTGTTCGAACGTAGAATGGCACAGCAACCAATCCCTGAGGCCTGATCCGTCTTAGAACCTTATCAAAAACCATCCCAGGTAAACAAAAATGATGCATTGATGATTCGAAGTGTCGCCGACAATTTAGTGACTAAGGAGTATCAAAGCATGCGAGACTCGGACGAAGCATGCCAGGATCTTTATATGATATGAGATTCTAGGGTGTCACTATCATAAGTTAGGAGCAGATCATCTGGTGTGTAAGTTCCATGCAATACAAGTACTAGCCTATGCCCCGCTTACCTCGACACGCGCACAAGTGCAGGTGTGACCACGCTATTCGTAGATATCGCGAAGCACACACGAATCAGCCGAACTGACGCGATCGTATCGGTGTTCGCTACCCATCCGCATATCGTTAGGACACGTTGATTTGATTTACGCCCGAGGTGGGAGATTAATAATAGGAAAGTGCCGATTGCAAAAATGGGAGTAGGTTGTGGGACCCCGTCGCCCGCGATGTGCCAGAGGACAGCGGAATCATTGGCCGAGGAAGGGGCTGCGTGTAATGAAGCCAGGTTGCAGGAGCTTTGGCAACAAATGCATAGGTGAACACTGCAAATAACGAAAGACCTTGTTCATGGACCATGTACAACGGTGAAGCGACTCACATTTATAGAAGGAGGAACGTCTGTCGATCTTGTCCTAGGGAAGTCTGGGTTGCCCTTACAAAGTCACATTTACAGCTAATAGAAATGAGAAGAGGAAATTTGAACGCGGGTTGCTAAGCAGTCTGGTTTTGTGAAATGTTCTGAACTCAGAAAGAGCTCAGACAAGCTCAGAGTGAAATCCGGAATCCCGGTTCCGCTCGTAGGACACGATGTCATTAAACGTTTAGCACGAAGAACTGAGGAGGCCACGATGAGATGTACGGGTATGATTTTGTGTCGCGTGAAAATCCTCACTAACAAGCACTGTATTTCCTTCAGGATAAAGGACTGAACGGCCAAGTTGAACGTGGAGCACAGGGTCTCAACGTCTCGGATCACACCGCTGACGGCTGCGAAGCTTGGCTTCGGATGGAAATTCTTTCAAATCTTGATCTTAGAGAACATCTAATGGCTCGTTGTGCTTGTACGTTGTTCTCAGGTAGCCGTGTTTCCGAATTAATATTCTCCTCAGCGCTGAACAGGTCTCCTGACCAACCGATATTAAGCGTCTCGTGGGAGCCAGGTGGTGGAGCCGGCCGCCAAAACAGAGCGGCGAGAACATGTGGAATATTTTGCTTGAACGCAGACTCGAAACGTGATATTTCAAGTAGGTCGCCGAAGCCGGTGGTCTCCGCGAGGCTGAACAACCACTTAACTTGAAACTCTTTCGCAAGATCGCGGACTGTGGGATGAAGACATACGGGGTGATGGATTGATGGCGCAATGGGATCGCCTTCCTGATCTATTGTGAGGGTTGTGAACTGGAATAACCAAGTCTCCGGAAGTATCGTACACATGAAGGTACTCTTGGGTCTTCTTTATCGTAAGTGGCCTGGCCACCGGAGATCCTAATGGAAAGTCACACGATTTGCAGCAAATGAGTTGTTTCTTTCACTCGGCCATTCCACGGTTTACCAAACTTTTAGATGTTTAATCCACGATCTAATCGAAAGTTAACGAGCTCACCATGTTCAATCTGAGAAGGAAAATGCGTCGCAGTGGATCGTCTGTCATATCTTTTCTTCTGCTTCTTGATTTGTTGTCCTGACAGAGAATTCGGTCGCTGGAGGATCTTTGGCGCCTTCTCCCGTAGAGGGCTGTTTTGCAATTTTTGGTGATTGTCCCATCTCATTTGCTGTGCATTCCGGATTGTCGTTATTTCATTTTTGCTATTCCTTCAAATACAAAGCCTGCAACGTTGCAACCCTTTCAATTCCCCGTGGAGAGCACGGTCTGACCAGGTCAGGTCAAGCGCTTCCTTCTTTTTTTTAAATCATCTCCCGCGTGAGCTTCACGGCGACTCCACGAGCCTTCGACGTCTTATAATGATTCTCTGTACGTCAATCTGAGCAAGTCATTATATCAATTTCGTCTTTCAGGCTCTCCTTTCTCCGTTTCTTCCTTTTCAACCACCTTCTCATTCACATTTCTTATAAACGTCTATCTCCACACGAAAACAACCTTTCCAGTCCTTCTCACAACGTCCACCATGTCTCTCTTCGAGCGCACTACGAGAGAGTGCTCGACTAGACCCCCGCGACTCCAACCATCGCCTTCCCTTCCCAATTTACGGTGAGCCGAGCACCTTCCTAAGCCGGGCATCATTATTTCAATATCACTCACCCCTTGCTATAGACCAAGTCCGCGAGAGATGGTTACATCTCGCCACGTGGCTCCCCCGCAATCATCGAACTTGCGTAATTCGGCTTCTCCAATACCCCCGCAGCCCTCTACTAGCAAGGATACTAGTCGTTCAAAGGCTTATACTAGGAAGCCTACGGCAACAAGTCATTACCTCACGCCACCTCTCACGCCATCATCATCTCTTCAGAGTGATGGCACCGATCATGAATCCACAGACCCCAACATTCCCATTACTGATCTCAAGGGTCTCACCCTCGCTGATTCTGGTCCCGAGAGTAATCAGCACAGCAGGTTTCTGATCGTAAGCACTTTTTAGGACTGTTCAGAGCTATACTAAGTTCCATGTAGATCGGAAATGCACCCAGTGATCTATCCGAGGACGTCATTGCTCAATATTTCAAGAGTATTTCGTCTCCTAGCATCACTAGCCCTATGGCGCGTTCCATGCGCCGCTTTGCGTCAAAACCGATCCAGAAAATTTTCCGCAGGAGTCCGGAAAATCGGGATTTTATAGTTGCATTTTATGACGTACGCGATGCTGAACGTGCCAAACGTATCATCGAGTCAAGGGCGTCTAAACGGATGCAAGATGATAGTAAGGTCATCCCGAGTGTGCAAGCTACTGGTGTCGCTTGGCAAGAGGCGTTAACATGCCGTCTTGCGGAAACTGGTCATTGTGCAGAGGTAAGGGCATCTCGTCATTAATGTCCATAGTTTGCTAATACAACGCTTGCGGTAAGCTTCTGGGCGCCTTGTCTCCCGTCTTCATGACACAGACAGAGGGCGTGTTCTGCATATCCGTTAATGATACTTCGCCCACTCCCGATTTTTCTACTTCTCGCACCCGGAGGCATTTTGCCATTCCGGTCAAAATCAGGAGTGTGTTGGAAAAATATGGGGACGTTAAAGCCTTCAACTGCATTAACGTCGAAGACATCGAGAGCTCTACTCAGGCAAGTCTCTCATCATTTGCCCATTCTTGTCTGTGTTTCGTTATCCACTTCCTGCAATTAGCCTGTAGCGTGCACTTTGGGCCTACCACGTACGGGCTTCCCTTTCGACCACTCAGTTTCCGACGTCATCCTTCCCATAATTGATAAGTCGTTAACCTTTTAAACGACCTAGATTTTTCTAGCGGAATATTTTGATGTCCGAGATGCGGACGCAGCTTGGGAAGAGCTAGACGGACGTGTCGTGGATAGCCTGGAACTTCGTCTTTTCAGCAGGGCATCCTTACGCGATCATTGCACAGAAGCCCAGAAGGAACCCTCGTCATTTAGTAGGGAATGCGAAATCGGGGGCGAACATGCCGCGGAGCCGAAGACACCTACGGCAACTACTTATTTATCGCAGTCACAAGCCACGTCTAACCCAGCTGCAATTCCATTCCCCGTCTTGAATGACGTCGGTGCAAGTGGGTACTATCCAGAGCGCGAGCAACCCATTTTCGATTCGCGTGACAATACCGCCGGTAGTCAAGTGTTGAAAGGCAGAAGGAGATCCACAGCAGGGCCTCACGACATTCACCCCAATCATTCTCATAGCCGCGGTGAATCCACTGATATCAACATCATTGACGCCTCTGTCACTCAGGGACAGTACGGCAGGCGCAGTTCCAATTACCTGCTATTCGATTCTACTCGCGGTCATTCTCATCAGAAGCTATTTGATGCAGATCATCGAAATCATAGCATGTATGATCACGAGCAAGAAGTCGCTGATGCTTCTGGCTTAACTCAAGCAGCGACGAGCACGGCGCCACATCTGCCGACATATTACACAACGGAGTATTATCATGGTGCTCCATTCGATGTAAACCCAATACAAGCCACCTTGGGTAACATCACCTCCGGTCCCAAACCCTATCACTATGGCGATGCATCCTGCTCCTCCTCAATCTCCCATGTCATCTCCTCCTGTATATTGGGATCCCATGAGTGGTGGTTGGGTGACTTTCCAGTCACACAGTGTTCTAGAACCATGGACCATGTACACGTCCTCGCCTTATTATCCGCAGCCATCGCACCCAGTAGCGGAATATCCCTTTCCATATGCCGCGTCTTCCGCTCCGCTTCAGCCAGGCACTGTTGCCACGCGCCCGCCATCGCTGGCCCATTCCTCATCCCGAGCTCCGCCCGAGGGCAATCAATTAGACATCAAAAAGATCGAGCTCGGTGTCGATACGCGGACCACCGTGATGGTCAAAAATATTCCGAACAAAATGACGGACAAGGAGCTTATCACGTATATCAACAAAGTGTGTCCTCGGAGAATCGATTTTTTGTACCTGAGGATGGATTTCCAGAACGGCATGTCGTTTGCGGTTTTAACAGTTTCAGCGAATACTGATAATGCGAATGCAGGGTGCAACGTTGGCTATGCCTTTGTCAATTTCATATCGGTGCAGGATTTGTTACGTTTTGCGAAGGTGCGCCTAAATGAGAAGTGGTAAGACGTGTATCATGCGGTGAATGACATGTGCTGACCTTATCGTCCAGGAACATATACTCGAGTGAGAAAGTGCTCCAGATGAGCTATGCGAACTATCAGTGCGTTTTGCTCCACTTTCTTTGACACTGCTAAGTCGAGCCCCATGATAGGGGAAAGGAAGCCCTCGTGGAGAAATTTAAGAACTCCTGTATTATGGATGAACGTGAGGAGTGGCGTCCAAAGATATTCTTCTCCGAACCCGGGCCGAATCAGGGTCTTCCAGAGGAGTTTCCTAAGCCCACACATATCCGGAGGAAGGAGCGCAGCTCGTACAATCGTGGAACGTTGTACCCTCCTGGTGTCAACAGCGGTGCAAGTCACTACAGGTATCTCAATGCTGCCAATGTTGGCAATCCTAACTTGCGGCACCCACCAACCCGTATTTCCGGTGAGGACAGACGACGTCGACGTGGTACTGATAATGTTCCTTTCCCCTCCCTTGTCGGAGCTGAGGCTGAGGACACCGCGCGATCCGGCTGAGGCCGCGGCGGGATATTATCTTCCTTGGACCTTCACCCCCCATTAGAGGTGGCTGATCACCTTTGTTAAGAGACCGGGGCGCGATGGAAATTGTCAGAGTCGTGTCATACGTTATCTTTCGCGCCATCCTGATGCATCCATCGTGCGATATTACGTGCTGTACCGATATCCCCTGAGTTATTTTATGCTCTAACGCTATTTGTTGTTTCCCCTACGCGTCATTTATTCCATCATTCACTTCCCCCTCTCTCGCGTTTCGTTCATATCTTTTTCGCTACACTATTTATGCCAGCTGTCGCTGTTGTTTTCGTCGCATTGTATCTCACGCTGCTTTCATCATATAGCTGTTGATCCAGAGTCTCCAATGACATGTATCGTGGTTGCCATGTATTTGCAGGGAAATGGCAAAGTGAATTTCAATCTCATCGTGAGCATGACTCGGAAGTTACCTGGTGTCAGCGTGACGCGGCGGACGCTCCTGGTCAAAAATTGGGTACCAGTGATTTTTTAAGTATCATCACGGTGTACGTTGGTCCTTGGCGTCAGCCTGCGGCCGCCGCTAGCACCCTTGGCAATTAATTCAAAGCGACCTTTAGAAGTACCGCGGCATGACCTGATTATTAGGCCTCCATAAAATTCGTTTGAGGTTACAGTAAAGAAGCTGACACCTCTATAACGTTCCTTGCGCATTATTACTGCATGGTTATGAGCACATTATGTAATTGTGGCCGCTATGGCCCAAGAAGGTGCTCAAAATCAAAGACCTCGATGTGGCCTATAGTAAGTAATTGAACCGACCAATAAGAAGTACTCAGTCCTCAAAAGGCAATCAGGAGTTCGTTGCTGCTTCCGCTTAGTGCTGTACTCTGTACATGTTAGTCCTTGACAGTATATCTTTGGCAAGTAATGGATTCAGCACTCCTTAAAGTCGACGAAGAGAAGGCACGCCATGCTAAGCGGGTAAAGCTTAGGGAGCTGAACGCTGCCTTGGACGTCCAGGGTGAGTCATGGCACTCGTTTACATCCGGAGGCATCTAATTGTGATTTTACGAACAACAGTGGAATTGTCCAAGTTGGACTCCTCTTTGAAGCGTCACACCGGCTTGATCAAGCGCATGCGCCAGTCTCTTGGTACTGATCAGCGTGACCAAATCCTCAAGGACATAGACTCGTTGTCGCTGGAAAAGTACATCGACGAGATAGCTGGGGCCGCACTAGAAGGAATTGCGAGATGCAAGACGGAGAAGGATGTTTGGAGTGCTGTTGAAGTGAGAAGGAACTTTTATTAGCGTCGCATATATTGACAGCTTAACCATTTCAGGTTATTTCAGCTCTCCATAGACGCTTCCCCGCAGCATTTACTCCTTCCCTCATTTCATCCTTGTCCATCGCACTTGCAGCCCCATCTCGTGCATCCCTCTCTGCGTTGCCTCCTGAACAGCGGGAGAAGGAGGATTCTGCCCGAGTTTCTCGCCAGCGTCCCCTTCTCCGTGTCTGTTCTGAGCTCGCATTGGTCGGAATCATTATTGATGGACAGAAACGAAGTGGCGGTGAATGGATAATGAAAGTATTGAGAGAATTGGTAGGTTCTGTATGAACTACTGCTTAGGGCATAACTGACGTCTGTCAAGTTGTCTAATGATCCAACGTTATCATCTCTACCCCTTCTTTCTATATTTCTGAAGTCATACTCCAGGCCCTATTTGGGCCTGACGCCTCCTCAGAGCAAGCAGATATCCGCTGAAGCAGAACCTGGAACCTTGTCTTCAGCAACTACGAATGCTACCCAAGGAGAATTCCCGACGCTCTTGCATGAAGACGAGGAACTTGTTGAACAAGAAATTCGTGATCGATTCAAGCGCATGTGCGAAGGTTATTTCGACAGCGTTTCCAAGAAACTCACCATAGAGCACAAGGTATATATATATATAAATATATGGGGCCTTCTCCAAAAATATTAATCCTCCATTTCCCAGCGCCTACAAGATCAAGATCGTAGGAATCATGAAGCATATATCCGGTCTGGGGAGATCTTCGAGGACAGGCAACAAGCGTATGAGAAGATGACAAAAGGCTACGAGAAACTACTTGCGAGCTGCCAAACGTCGGTTTGAAACCAATCTTCCAGCGGTTACAACCATTGATGTATCTGTTCTCAGACTCTCGGAACTGCTATACCTGCCTATGCCGCCATTGCCTACGGTGTCCCAGAAGTCAGATTCCATCCAAATTGGAGGAAACGCTGTCTCGGGCGATGAAGAAGATCCTCTTGTGAATTCTGGGGGCAAATGGGAGGACGAGGAAGAGCGTCGCTTCTTTGAGGATATCCAGGACCTAAAGGACTTTGTACCGAAGTCAGTTTTGGGCATTGAAAGCGACGAGAAAGAGGATAATGAAGCCACAGAAGAAAGAGAAAAGGCGGAGAAGGAGAAAGCAGATGCTGAAGCAAAGAAACTAGAAGAGGAATTGGAAGGTCTGAAACTGGACGGTGATCAAGTAAATGGAAGAAAAGACGATACCGAAGTCGAAATGCGCGAGGAAGAACCCGATGGGTGTGTCTGTCTATCAGTTAATTCAAGATTGCAGGGTCACTGATACTGCTTAGTACAATCACACCGACACCAACGTCCCCGACCAAGGCCTCAAGTCCCCCGTTGTCTCCTCAACTCGCTCCTCAGGGACCATCGCAGCTGCTTACTGCTTTGCTTGCACGCCTCCCCGACGCAACAAATCGTGCCATGATTGACCAAGCTGCCATCGATTTCGCATTTTTGAACTCCAAGGCAGCTAGGAAGAGACTTATCAAGGTTAGCAGTAAGGCCCGTTCCCGGTCCGGATTGACTGACAGCTTCGTAGTTCTTGAATGCTGTGCCAAAGAATCGAACTGACTTGCTTCCTCATTATGCAAGGTTTGTGGCAACTTTGAACAGATATATGCCGGACATTGGTGCCGAGCTTGTGGCACTGGTGAGCTTTATCTCAGCTCGATAAGGTCCCATGTCACAGCTGTTTTTCAAGCTGGATGAAGAGTTCCGCTATTTGCAACGAAAGAAAAATGTGGTGAAAGAGTTTGCAGAGATTCGCATGAAGGTAAACCAATAATCCGCTCACTCTATTCCCTTATGCTAATTAATATGGAAAGAACATATTATATTTGTCCAACTTGACGAAGTTTCGCGTCGTGCCTTCTCATCTTGTCCTCCACATGTTCAAAGTATGCTTGGACGATTTTTCTGGAACGAACGTCGAAAACATCTCGATGCTCCTTGAAGGGTGCGGTCGGTTTTTACTGCGCAGTGACGAGACTAGGGAGAGATTTGGTACTATGGTCAGTTTACAATGTGTGCAGGCTGACAGTCGCTGAAGGTTCTTGTTACAGCTGGAGCTCATGAGGCGTAAGCAGAGTATGCAGCACTTCGATCAAAGACAGATCCTTCTACTTGAAAACGCATACTATCAGGTCAGTTCATTGTACTTGGCGGAATAACTTTACTCATACAAATATTACAGTGTAACCCACCGGAACGAACTCCGAGACAACAAAAGGAGCGCACTCCTTTGGAACTTTTCATCCGCCATCTTATATACGATGTTCTAGCTAAGAAGACCATCGATAAGGTCCTTAAGCTCCTTCGCAAGCTTGATTGGGATGATCCAGTTATTCAGCGCACTCTACATAAAGTTTTCACCAAACCTTGGAAAATTAAATATAGCAACATCAATTTGTTGGCCATGCTGACATACGACCTCCAACGTTATCACCCCGCTTTCGCGATATCGGTCGTGGACCAAGTTCTCGAAGACATTCGAAGAGGTTTGGAACAGAACGTCTACAGCACGAACCAACGCCGCGTGGCCACCATAAAATATCTGGGAGAACTCTATATCTATCGGTTGTTAGGATCGGTCCTGGTGTTCGATACTATGTGGTCGCTGGTCACGTTCGGACATCGTTAGTACATGATATGACTCGTATGCCTTGACTAATGCCCTTTCACAGCTGAAGGTCATCCGTTGCCCCGCCAGCCTTGCCAAGTGGATATGCCTAATGACTTTTTCCGCATCCGTCTTGTTTGCGTTTTGCTCGACACTGTTGGCATGTGCTTCGACCGAGGGACTCAGAAGCGGAAACTTGATAATCTCCTTGTTTTCTTCCAGGTAAAAGTTGCTCGACATTTTATCCGCAATGATGCTTACACCATGGCTCTGCAGTACTATGTATTATGCAAAGAAGATCTGCCCATGGACGTTGACTTTATGCTTTCTGATTCAATCGAGGCAAGTGGATCTGCTTTGCATAGCACACTTAATCTCAATTCGCTTGCAGGCTATCCGGCCCAAGATGACGATGTATAAGACAATAGAGGAGGCCGCTGTGGCTGTTGATGATATGTTCAATGCCGCTTTGCAGAACGCTGGTTGTACGCTTGTTTGCTTCTTTTTGTCGTGGGCACTCAACTCACAGTTTGAAATAAGTGTCAACTGGTGAGGATAGTGGCGAAGACAGCGACGAAGAAGGTGAACGGCCTCAACAACAAGACGAAGAGGATGGTGATACGACTGGTCAGGAATCTTCGGTAAGTGATAGCTTGGCTGAGCCCTATCTGTGCAATAAATAACCAGGATTTGACCATGCCTCCTAGAATGAAGATCGAACTTCGTCTCCCGACCCTGTTATCGTCCTATCCACACAAGAGCACCTCGGACCATCTGAGGAAGCTGAAGCCGAGTTTGAGAAAGAGCTCGCTAAGATCATTACAGATTCCTCAGCCGAGTCCAGAAAGGTCGACAAGAAGACAGCTTGGTGGGATTCTGCCGTTCTCGCCCCTAATTTGCGCAAGAAGCGGGCTGATGAGGGCGATGCCGATGGCGGCGGCGACAACAATCCGGACGGTGATGCCGTGATGCAGTTCACTGTCATTACTAAACGCGGCAGTAAGCAGCAGGTGCGCATCTTTGTCTCGAGCCTCACTATTCTGTCCTCACCGACGATGGGATGGTAGGGTCGCCATCTTCTTGTACCAGCTGAATCTGCGCTCGCCGTACACACGCGATCTGCACAACTTCAAGACAAGGTAGAGCAGCAACATCTCAAACGTTTGGTCTTGAACTACGAACAGAGAGAGGAAGCGGAAGAAATGAAAGGTTCGATCCACAAATTACATATATTACACAAACGTTGACGCGTATTTTAGCCCTCGAAGTGCGCAACAGGACTAGTGCAATCAAGATCCGCTATGTCGGATAGCACCAACTATATCATTTATCGCATCAAGCCTCATCCACAGCCTAGATCGATGCATCGGCGGCGGCGCTCTTACGTAGCGACAGTTCGTGAACGAGTTTCATACCGCCTCAGCGGCATTCAACCCTGTCATTTTCGCATGCTCTGTGAAGCTGACCTGACGGTTTCCTTGGCTGTTCGCTCAGCCCGTGTCTGCCATCCGTAAGCCTTATCACATTGGCTGAAATCACATAGTAACCACGTTTCTTGCTACACACCTTTTGTTTTTTCTGTCTAGTCTCTGTAGTCTATCATCCGACATTCGTCAGTATTATGGAGTTGACTTTCACGTATGTTTCACAAGTGTTTGATGTTCAGTCTATGTACTTGGTCCTTGAAAAGCGATACAAACTACAATCACGTTGTAAGTAACGATTTCACAGTACTCCGTGAATACACGACATGCCTACTTGCGCCCACCCGTCCGGAGGAGATTGTACCGGTGCAGGTTCAGCTCAGCTCGTCGATCAACGCCTCTGTTTGCCTTCTTTTTTCGTCATATACACGCAGCTAAACACTTTCACTTTTCCTCTGAACCATGGCAGCATCTCCGCTTCCATAAGAGGACAATCATCTAACCGCAAGGACTCGATTTCGGCCTTACACCCGAGCTGACCTCCATCTACAGTGACGGGCTGATCAGTGTGCAGGCGGGTCTTGACAAGGGAATAAGCATTTCTGGTGAGTAGGTCACCGCAGCTAGAAAGGTCGACATGTTTCAAGAAGGTGCACACGTCTTGATGCTGATCGTTTGGACGTGTGCCGCATATGAAGTCAAGTACATCATTAACGACTCCGTGCATGCCTGATATCTGGAGGGTTTCCAATAAAGGCGCTCCAGCGATGATGATATTCAGCGAACTGGCGGTAGTAGTGCAGCTTCCAACCCGGAGCTCCCTCAAAGCTCGAAGAGGATCGGCGTGCGCAAATTCCAGCACGTCAGACGAATGGCTGATGTTGAACAAGTGCAGAACTTGCAAATTGGGTGCGACAACGATGCGAGTGATCACAGAGACCGATGCAATGTTGAAGAGTTTCAAGCATTGGAGGTTGGAAAGTTCGGCGCGGTCATCGCCACCCGACTGCATCGAGATTAGGACCAAATTAGAGAGCACAAGATTCTCTAGTGACTGATTGGCCGTCAGAGCCGGGAATATCTCTATCCATCCTGCTTCGATGGTCATTGTTTTGAGCCGATGCACCCGACTCCACAGCCCGCCCATTGAAGGGGTAAAGTTGGCAACTTTCAGGGTATCTAGGTGAGAGTCCTCGAAGTCTGGCAAGAATCTCTCGAAACCCGGACACCCTGTGACATCCAGATGCTCGAGAAGCGAAATGACTTTTGTCTTGGATAATTGCTGGAGCAGATCGTAGAGTCGAGAGAACAAACTTCCAGATACTGAGAGAGAACGGAGGCTACACCAAGACAATGGCGAGAGTTCCAAGAGGATGGATGGCCAGTCCATTTCCGATATATTATGGCGAAAAGAGAGGTACGATATGTGTGTCTGAGCTCGTTCCATCCATAATCGTACCTTTCTGGTGGGTCGGTTCTTCGAAACCACCAGCGTCTGCCAAAGTAAAGGAGTCTTAGTAGCCATGCCGCGCCAATGTTTGCAGACATGTAACAACTTGAGAATCTGTGCATGGTCTGCAGCAACCACAAAACCAAAGATCTCCGCAAAAATTTCCACAGGTAACTTGCCGATGTGGTATGCTGTCTTTGCAATGTGTGCTCGCCTTCTTTCGTCAGCAGCCTTTAAGGCATCAGTTGCTTGTAACTTCAGCGCACTGAGTTCTTGACGACGTTGTGCATCGTCTGGTTTGATACGCTCGAGAGCGAGGTCGATCATTTTGATGGCCACCTCGTGCTTGTTAAGCGCATGAAATAGACGTGCCGAGCGAGCATAACCTTGCCAGCGATCGGGCGCAGTATCCACAACTTTCTTCGCGTCAAGGAGAGCAGCTTTATGGTTCCCAAGCTTTTCATGCACGGCGGCACGAGAATCATAAACGATGAACGAGTCACAGCCGAGCGAAATGGCCTTCACTCTGGATTAGTACCGTCAACTGGACAGAGGATGCGATTGATAGACATACTTCATCAAAGAGTACAAGGGCTTCCGCGTGTTTGTTTCTCTTGAAGTTAGAAATACCTTGCTGAAAGCTTGCTTTCCAAGACATGTCTGTGTGACGATAGGAAATAAACGCGCGATGCAACCGTGTGGCAGTAAGAGTGAAGCTTGACTCGGAGCGCGTCGCGTCTGTTTGGTGATGTGCTACTAGTACTTGAAGTGGCAACTCTTTCTCACCTTCAGTACGACGCGTCCACTCGATGAGGACAAGATCCAGAGTCCGTTTTCATGTTCAACTCCGATGAAGACTTCCTCGATGACTTCGTCTTGGATGATCAAACGCTGGCCATCCTCGACAAGGAGGAATCCAGGTTTGAGGAGTCCAAACGTGTCGGTGAGCCCGATGCGGAGGACCTGCCACCCCCAGCGAAGCGACAAAAACTAGACACAGGTCCTCCGCAGGATTTCAGTGTCCTTAGTCGCTCTCCTGATGATACCGAACATTTACCGGACATCACGGTGTGCGACGATGACACGTACAGAGTTGAACTGCAACAACCTATCGCATCGAACCCTCAAGCTGCATCTAACGTGAACCCATCTCTTACTGCACTCGAAAGGCATCTGGCTTGTTTGCGGAAGCAAAAGAACGAGGTTTGATCATTGCATTATAAATGAGTAATGGGTAACAATACCTTATGTGTGCCTAGCTTCACAAAGATAAAGTGAGGCTGCAGGAAGAGTTGCGGTACGCGCTTTCTGCTAAACTCGCCAAAGAAGGGGAAGTTGTCATACTAAGGAAAAACATCGAGAAGGTAACTCGCCATCAATCGGTCACCTTAGGACCACTGAAAGCCTAACTAGATAGGTCAAGATCATGCAACGCAAACAGCGAAGCTCAGGGCGGCCAAGGAGGAATCGGAAGCCAAACAAAAACAGATGCAAAAAGAAATGAAAGAGGAAGCAGAACGTCTGAAGACATTGTTTACTTTCAAGGTATGGATGAATTCTATCTACTCAGCTAGAGGCTAATGATGTATTTGACAGCAACATGAGATCGAGACATCTACCCGAAAGTCTCCATGGTCTGCACGCTCCAAGAAAGCCCCAATGGCGCCCCCTGCGACGCCTGTGCCCGTGCCTTTGCAGATGCAAAGGTGGAACCAGAGCGGAGCTGTGGCAGGCCCTTCGAGAGTCGTGCAGGAAAGTCCCACCCGACCTCGCTTTGGCGAAATTGTAAATAATGAGCGTACAAAGAAACTAGGGGTTGAAACCCGAAATCTACCATCTGGATTCCAACCCTCCGCATCCCCTACGAAGTCGCGGGTGACAGATTTCAGGAAAGGCAAAGGCAAGGCAACTGACTCAAGCCAGAGGGGTCCGTTGCAAGTGCAATTCGACGGTGGCCCACCACCAGCATCACTTCCTTTCGGAGGCACGCAGACGAATTCGTTTCAAACGGTTCAGGATGATGGTTCTGGCGCGATACCCCAAGAGGACGTGTTCATGGCCGACTCTAACGCGGATATAAACTGCTATTCGCAAGAAGATGTCGAAATGACTGACGGAGCTCAGGATCCACAGATCCATACCACTGTGGACGAGGAATTTGAAGAGGTGGAGCCTCGCAGGTGGATTGTGGATGTAAGTTTGGGCCACCCATTATGCTCTGGCTTTCTGTAACAACCGGAATAGTTGCATCGGCTTGTCCTAATGCACATGGAACCGACTTGCAGGATGACTACATTTCACGCCTTGTTGGGAGTTTCACTGCCAATCGGACCCAAATCAGACGCATATACTTCTGCGTGCTCTCGTATACTTGACGTTCTCGCCAATGTACCCGCTCAAGGGCATCAAGCTTGGGAACTCGCAGCCCAAGCGATTTGCGGGGCTCTAACAGAAATGGCAGATATACTGGCCGCCTCTAACCATGTATGTGTTTCATATGTATTTTATTCTATTCATGAATCACATATATCTCCATCAGATAACGTCTTTAGCCGCCCTTTTTAGTCAGCTGACTCAAATAACGTACACTCTTCCAGCACCTCATCCATATCTCTTGGTGGATAAGGCGACGGACTCCGAAGAAGACGGGGTACCTCGCATTCTTGCTGTGATATGTTCTATTATTCAGGATCACGTCAGTAAACTAGAATATCAAGATACTGAAAAATCGGAGCTAGGTCTACTTGCCAAGGAATCACTTGCACTACTGGAAGCCCTGTGTTGGAATACTCCGAGTGACTTAGAAAATAGGTGAAGATGACGTATTTTCTGCTCAATCATGACTGACAAGTGATACAGGCTAGCCTTCGTACCTCGTTGCCCTTCTGTGCTATCGATACTTCTGGATTCCTCTCGGCCGATGTGGTTTCTTTTTCAAAGTACACGGATGCTTTCTCGGTTGTCAACTCGTGAGCATGACCTTCCTGCGATAATCCACCGTTTTTTGAATAATCACGCTTAGGACCTGTCCTTTTCCAATCCCTTTTATCATTTCCTGACACCGAGGGGCAATTACAAGACTATACTCGGCTCCCTCATGTCGAGCGAATGTCCTCTCTCTTGACTGATTCCAGTAGAACATGTGACGAGGTACCTAGGCAGTGTAATCTTTATGTAATCTACTTACACCACGACAGGCCGATGGGATCAAGCGACACATCCTGACATTTTTTGCTATGCTCTCCGAGGCTCATCCAACTGCTCACACGATTATCATCGAGTCGCAGTCCGTGATACCCTCGATCATTGTTTATTTGTACGGGCTATCAGCACCTATGTGGCAAGGCGACGAGGCAATGGAGTTTGATCCCCAGGCCGCTTCAAGGTGACGAGTTTCCTGCCTTAAACTGGTCACATTTATATTGTCTATTCAGAGTGATCCAACGGATGAACCAAACAACCTTTCTCTTGCACCATTTGATGTTTAAAGCTGAGGCTCCCCTCAGATTGCAAGAACGTCTAGAGCGCGCACCACGGCACTACAACGGTCTTGTACATCTTTTTGTTGTTACCATGGGACGTCTCAGCTTTGCTGATGTGCCCGAGTGGGTGCAAGAGGAGGACAAACAGGACTTGGAAAGAGTTGCTGGTATGCTGCCAATTATATACTGTTCATGCTTCTGGCTAATGATGGCACAGGGCTTGCAAAGGATCTTTTGGAGTTGTTGATGGACGCACCACAGATGGATGCTATATGGGCCACGTACCAAGAGGGGCCAGATGACGAAATGGAGGACGACGAGGAAGTGGAAGCCCGACGGCTCGCCGCCAACGTGATCTAGCGTATTGTATACGGTGTAAGAGGCTGCGTCATCTTCTTGAAATCATCAATGATATCTCCGCGCGCATATCTGCCGATTCGTTGGCAATGGTGGTCAGGGCCATACTAGACACGCCTTTAGCTTTGTGTCTTATGATGCATGATTTAACAGTGCGATAACGAACGATTCCCCCAATGACTTTTGGATTATAGGTCTTTGCCTACCATATCTCTAACTGCAAAATTCTTGATCCAAGAAAATGAGCTCGCCGTGTCAACGCGCTCCCATCAATCAGGTTTGCTTTATATCATCGCAATTTTTGCGCACGCATCATTGAAGGGAGCCATTGGGTTTCACACATTGCAGTCTTCATACCTGAATGACTCTGTCTTTTCGTGTGGTGATCGAATCTTTTGATGTCTCTTTCACATCCATAGACATCATATACTAATGCATCTTCGATTAAAGTCTGAGTGAACATAAACCTAGAATAGCCTCCAGGTCCGTTGATTAAGAAGCGTTTGCCGGGGAAGTACCCAGAGACTTAAACCTTTTCAACAAGCGATTCCAAACCGCGGTTCGAGGGTATCAAGATCTCACCTCGTGACAAAACTTCTTGCGCCACTGGAACGCCTTCTTGTCTGCATAACTGGTTGCTTCCAAGATCTGTGCTCGTTTCATAGCGAGAGCACAGGCTTCTGCACGATATTTGACAGTCCAGCGTCGTCTTAGCTTTGCCTGAAGTGTTTCGTAAGACACAAATGAAGGAGCCAGGCCTCTATGTCGTGCAACGTACGGATAGGGCGGAGTTATTGGATTCACCAGTTTCCACCACTGGCCAGTTATCCACCGCTGTAGACTTGACCTCACCAGCACTTTCAAGCCAGAGTTGCCAGAGACAGTCTTCCCAGTCGAGTGATCGAGATTGGAACAGAGAAAAACGCTCAGTACACCACGTAGGATAATCCTTAGGAAGAACAACAGGGGACATCGGGGCGAATGGATATGTCCTACGGCTATTGTTGCCCAGTACAAGAGGCTGCAGGAGACGTCAACCGAATGACGGAGCTGTACAAATTACTCGAGAGGTGCGAAGGCAAACCATCTGGGAACAGGACAACTCGATCAGTGGGCGCCAAGAGACGAGCAACATTTAAATAGGCATTGGCGGATCCTCCAGAAGAAGATGAGGCTTGAAGTACGTGGAACGAAAGACCGAATGAGGCATGCGTATCAAAGATGCTCGTAAGTTCTGGAAACCTTTTGAGAAGGGTTAGATGGTCCGTCGAACCCGACCGCGCAGAGGTCACGATGACCAGAGATATGGGACCTATACAGCCATAAGTGAATGCGTTCCGTAACAAAAGACTGAGTCCAAATCACCCGACCAAGTCGCGAGTGTGGTAATGGTGTCGCGCAGCCTGTCTTCTTCAGTCCACAGGCAAGCGGTGAGGTCAGTGGACACTGACGAATGAGTAGACAGGGTGAAGATCTCCAGATGACCAGGTGGCGGAATATTGGGAAACGCGATGGACATTCGCTGCTGAATCGATAAATTTGAGAGAGGGGAAACACGGTACGACGTGTCTGACACGTCTGCATCTTAGAAAACGAGTGTTCCAATATCCTTAGCAACGTACTTGGAATATGGCCTATGTGTGGACGGCCGGCTGCAACAGCACATCGCAAGGCGCTATGCATTTTGAAAGAGAGGAAGGTAATGCTCACGCAGCAGTACAGAGACCACAAAATCCGCAGCCCTCCTAAGTGTCCATAGCGGAAGCGGTGTAGGTCCTCGAGCAGAAATCCAGGGAAGTTGGTTATGAATCGCACAACACCAGACAACGGTCCTGAATGGGAAGAAGCTTCGACTGGTATGCTTTGAAGGTAGGGTGATTGGATCTTGTCGACATGAACTGACGATTGGTTCTCAAGATGGACACCTGCTCCCTTAGCGTGACGGTGATATGAACCAGCTGAAGATAAGTAGCTCTGGAAACTTCCTGAGCCTGATAGAAGTTGCGGGTCTTTGTTTAGCTGAGGAAGTGAAGTACTGGCGCCAAGTTGGCTCGTAGGTTCCATGCTTGGAGTCGCGTTCTACAAGCGTAATATCAATCCTGAACGTGATGAAAGTGAGATGAAGTGTATTATTAGCTGACTAAGTCTTCCCCGGTATTAAATCGCGGTCACCACTGCTTGATGATTATCGCTAATAGTAATTACTCGTCCTCCTCAACATCACCGAACTCAAACATCCCAGCACGGTCACGCTTCGCTTCAGCGACTGCAGTTTGCAGTTTACTCATGACGTGTGGGTATGCACCAAGATATTTGCAGCCCTTGCGGTCAATTGATGCCAGACCTTCGCGGAGCAGGTCAGCATTAATGCAAGCTAAAGGATCTTGCGTAGCGACGGGGTCATTGGGATCAATGAGACGCAGGTGAAGTGTAGCGCCTTCCTTGTAGTCAATGTTGGCCACAAGTTTGCGACCCTCGCACAATTGACGGAAGCGCTGAACAGCATCTGCGTGATACTCGCTTTCGGAAGCCACAAGCCTGACAAAGCTATGTACAACAGCATAAGTGTTATAAACGATAAAAATGCGAACTGCACCATTACCTTAGGCGAGCATCTTGCGCTTGACCGGGCAGGGAGCGGAACTTGGGATCGAGAGGACGGATATTTGAAAACGAGACACTGTCTTGGTTTCCATAGTCGATAAATGTTACTTCAGCCTCCTTCTTGATTGGAGATGCACGACGAATCCTGGCACGGTACCATGACCCATCCGAAAACTTGGCAGACACCAAATCTCCTGCCTTCGGCACGAAATTCGATGGTGCTAGGTGTGCGACGCGATGGTGTAGAGAAAAATCGCGCATCAGCTTTTCTAATGTTGCGATGCCTGGCGTACACGGTGAGAAATAGTCATTCGGGTAATTCTGTGCGAAGCTTACCCTCAGTGTTTAATATTTGTACTGAGAAACTGAAGCCATTTTCTGCCCGGACATCGCTGATAATGACATCCAGATATTCCGACTTTAGACGTCCAGGATCATCTTCAGCAGGGGGAGCCTGAGCAGCCTTCTCTGCCTCTTCATCATAGTTCTCCCATAACTTGAAACATGATTAAATCTCGAAAGGAAGTACATTAATGTTGCGGCTTACGTTTTTTTGTGCTTGCTTGGCTTCTGCCTGAAATAATGACTATCAAAAAAGTTGATACTCAAGGATCAAGGCAGCGCTCACTTCAGCTGCGTACAACTGTGTAGACCAGGACAAGCCGTCGGCGGAGAAGGAATGTACAGACCCAAGGCCCTCCTTGATTAGTGAAATTGCGACATTTTCACCCTTCGACCACAACGTTCCGATGAAACCGCCAGATTTGTCGACGGTGTCCACTTCAAATTCAACATCGCGTTGCATGTACCGGCGAGTTGCAAAGTCTGCAGCTTCCTGACCAAATGGTTCGCTTCTCTCGGAAGGATTACGCGCTGTTCGAGGCGCTCGAATGCCTGAGAAATAATCAAGTATGGTTTGAAAACTGTTTTTTGTCAGTCTTACCATTGAGAACCAAGGTGAGCGACTGGTTATCTTTGGGGAGGAAGAGCCTTGGGAAAGAACATTTCAGAACTATTCGTAAGAACATAGTGCTAAACCGCACTTGAAGCGAGACCCTGAGGCAACGTAGTCGACAACAGCGGATACCTTCCCTTGCCTCTTGAAGCCATTGACGAAAGTAGTGGCACGTGCACCAGACTAGAAAACAAGTCTGGATCTGTGAGGAACGGATACCAAAAGGTATACATACCTCTGAAATGTTGACGGGGGGCTTTACAGCCGGCTGTTCTTTGCCGGAGTGGATACCACGGGTCTCAGTAACAGCGCTGAGTTCAAGAGTCAGTAATATCTAACACAAATGAGGGTGTCGTTGTCTTACGCTTGTTCCGCAGCCATCAGTTTGTCGTAGTCAGAAGAACGATCCTCATCATCACGTCGATGGCGGACAACGGAGGCAAGGCCTTTTTCTACCAATTGCTCTGCAATGTTGCTGGTTCGGAAATGTAAGTGAATATAAAACACAATATGTATCTCGCTTACGAGCTTTGGTTTCCGTATCTAACTGTGGCACATTCGCGCTCCTCATATTCGCCGTCACGAGGACGAATGAAGTCAACCGTAACTTTGACATGCTTGCCAATAAGTTTCTTCCGAAGGAATTCGCGAGCTTCCTGTGCATAGTAAGCCTGCTTAGGGTCGGAGAGTCTGACAACTATCAGAAGACGTCGACGACCAAGACGTACTACTCACTTGGGACCTTTTGTTGAGCTGAGCTGCAACCGGCGCTCCTTGCCGCTCTCCTTATCGACGACAGATATTTGATCGCCACTCCATACCCGAATGACAGTTCCGTCGAAGACGCGCGCGTTCCCATTAGTAGTACCATTCGACTGGGTAATCGATGCAGAGGCAGTTGGCACATTGGCGTACAGACACACTCGCTTTTCTTTTGCAGCTTTCTCAGCCGCACGTAGGCGCTCCATGCCTCCTCCTGCAGCCAGCATACCGGCGTGCCAATCGACAACACGAGCGAGCCCAGCTGCAACAAGATGTTCGGCTACATTGCCAGCGGGATGGAGAACTGCAGCAGATATTGCCAAATATACTCTCAGACACGGAGAACGACGTACCAGAACCAATAAATATCGATGCCGGTGGAGGTGGTGCACTGTTAGCTGCAGCTTGGAACGGTGTTGCTGTCGAAGTTGGCAACGATAGGATAATCACCCGTACAGATCGCTGGAGTAGCCTGGACTCTGTGAAGAATTTTGCCTGCAGACCATAATCCAAACAAAGTTATTTTGATATGTGAATTGACTTACTTCTTCTGCCCAAGGCTCTGAGGGTTCTCCTTGTTTTGGGGATGTCCTGGCACAACGAACACCAGCAAGCGCAATGTTGACTATTTGATGCTCGCCATCCGGCATGAGAAGTCGGGCCCGGAGAGTAGACCCATCCCGCACTTGTTCCACAAGTGCTAAAAATATGAATCAAACCAAGTATTGCAGTCGTAAGAAGACGTCATACCATCAATGGACTTCCCCTTCCACTCCGAAACAAACGCTTGCGAATCAGTCGGCATTGTTTGGTGCACGACGCGGGCCTGCGGAAATGACAGAAGCGACGACACTTGTATGGCAGCCGAGAATACACACCTGCGGACCATGAGAATTCCATAAGCCCTTTCCTGCCGCCTTCGCTTCAGCTTCGATGTCACGTTTTCGGATATCGTCTTCCGAGGGGTCCCGTTTCGATTCCTTGACTTTGGCCCAACCGTTCTTCAGCATCTCAGAGGCAACATCCACACCTCCGATTTCAGCAGTGCCAGAGTCGCGCGTGACATCGTCGTTGGAAGGAAAGCTATGTGTGGAAGTAAATGCAATTTCTTTGCCTACCGCCAATGCACGCAGAAAATCACGAGACTCAAATGCCCATGGCTGAAAATAACTTTGATTAAGACTGACGAGAAATGCAGCGACTGTATCTTACCTCGTCCTCTCGAGTCTGGTTTCCCATTCTCGGAGCTACGACATCAGCAAGGTGTAGGATTCTGCGGAGTGTAGCGGGTCAGACCGTGTCGCTTTCCTATCAGACTTCTCTGAGTTGCACACCTCTCCTTGGGACTCTGCCCTTGTGGTCCTGTACGTCCACGCAAAACGAGGGTGTCGCCAGAGATGACGGCTAGGTTTCATGCCCTAGGATTAACAAAATGCGGAGAAGAGAACGTGTCGGTGTACACACATTTTACAATCTACACGCAACAAGTCAAGGACAAGAAAATGAAGAAAATATTCGGACCTACAGCTTTGAGCGACATTCTGCGAGTTTATCCAAGAAATACTTGAGCAAGAGGTAGATGGCAAACGAATTGCTGTAAGTTATTACAAATTTAAAGTGCTTCGCACAAGGAGATCAATGTCAAATCTATGGGAACTTATTTCCTTTTCTGATTTGACGTAAACACCACGATGCTGTAGGTCTCGAGGAGTATGCAGTCAAAAAGCCGTACAATTACACACAGCCAATATCGCCTACAATATTGTGGGCTTTGCCCATACATACGAGGTAAGTATTACAGCGCTTAGAACGCCAGATTGTGTCGCTACGCACAATCACTAAACTGGCAGTGTCATCAACACGTGCACACCACGGGTGGGGTCGTATGCCCTGAGCATAGCAACTGCGCACATATGAAGTGCAGTGTCATTGCAGATTCCAGAAACACAATTCCCATTCCTTATAAGCTACACCATCTCCTTATTGCACCAGCAAGCCAATGTCCCCCTCTCGCTTTCATGAGCATCTCACCTCTGGTCATGACAGCGATGTTAACTTGCCCACCTCCCCCCCGGATCCCAGCAAAGGAAACATACCAGACAGTAACAGAATTGACGTCATGGCACAAATACGCGCAGCAACGATGACCCCTACGCCCCTCAAAGAACTACTAAAAGATCCTGCTGTTATCAACACGCTCTACAACACCGACGGGAGGAAGAGTTATAGACAGTCATCTAGCTCACAACACCGTGAACCCCGTTACTCTGCTTCGACATTGATGAGCCTGGTGGTAGCAGAAGAAGAAAAGCAAGCACAGCACCTTAGATCGACCCTTCGGTCGACTGGGGACAGGCTCGATCAGGAAATGCGCAGGGCAAAGCAGTCTGAATCCAAAGCAGAGTTCGCAGAAACCCGAGCGCGGGAGCTGACTGTGCGTGTCAGTACCGCTGAAACAGGCAAGCGCTACGCAGAACTCGATGCGGCGCGTGCCAATGAAGAGATGCGGCGGTATCAAATACGCATCGAAAGCCTGGAAAAACAGGTCACAAAACTTCAGGCCGACATCCGCGTCTTAGAGAGGCAAAGAAATGAAGCCGATGACAGCGCATCACGAGCGCGGGATACTGCGAGAAAGTTTCAAATCGAACTTAGCAAGCAACAAGCAAAGGAGAAAGTAGTAGAAGAAGGTTCGATGTATAGTCGGAAGAAGTGGTTCGTAACCGGTCATAACGAGGGTTGGGATGCTGGGTATGCGGAGGGCTTTGACGACGGCAGGGAGGATGGGTTCGAAGAAGGTAGACAATATGGCATCCGCGAAGGACGAGAGTCGGGATTCAAGCAGGGTCACAAAATGGGTCGGAAAGAGGGATTCGAAAATGACAGAGAACAAGGTCGGTACGAAAAACATCAGCTTGCGCTTGATGCCTTTGACGCAATTTTTGCTGCAGAAGTCGATGAAAATGATCAAACAGTGAGTTCTGACCTGTCACATCAATATTTTTTCATTAAGACAGGCATTTCTGCAAGGCACAGAAAAAGATGCAACAATGGAACGAACGCATGCAGCGGTCTTCATCGCCAGCCCAACTCGGTCCAATATGGCTGAAACGACCACTGTACCATGACTATGCGGACATGACCCGATGAACATTTGATAGAACATGCCCGTTGCGTATCACATCAGTTATACTGGACTCTTTTTATGACAAACTTCGAAGATAACGCACCTTTTAAGTTAAGTATCGTTTACTGTACACCATGAGTGATGGTTATTTTTAGTTGGATTTTGCCCGGACACGAGCACCGGGTAGGAAATAGGGCTTGGCGGTTATTGAGAAATAGATAACTTGATCCGCTCAATGATAACATGGATCATCCAGTAGATTCTAAGCGTTTTGATGATAATAGTTTCGACGGCACATAGCGCACTTTTAGTTTGTTTTGTAGGCGCTTGCCGGTGGTCTGGAACAACATTGGTGCGTGGGAATAGACTGCGATCTGATAAACTTGTTCAATGTTATGGTTCAGATCAGTCATGCTTTGATCGTTGCAATTAGATACATCAACTTTTACGGACACTGGACAGTGCCCCCTGCCCCTACATATACTCAATTGCCAGGATCTATTTCATCCTCATCATGAGCTTCGTACAACCCCTTCCATCGCCTGGTCTGGCAGGTGGCCGTCGCAGGCCGAAGAACCTCCCGAGTTTACCTCTGTCTGCGTTCAGCCCACCGAGCACAGGGACTTCTGACATGTTCCCTTTACCTCCAACTCCAAGTGCGCTCTTTCCAGGCGAAGTCATTGATGCCCATCTGCGGTCTGAGGCGCTCGAAAGTGCTGGCCTTGATCTGGCTGGCACTGAGGTCGCGGGTGCCGTTTTATTGTTAAACGACTTTTCGGTGCCAGAAGGGTAAGCTTTTGTTTTTGAGGAAATTTTGCATTTCCTTATCTTGGTTACGAAACTCAGACTGCAATCTTCTCTCACACAAAATGTTCGAGTACTTTCCGTGGCAGCTCCCTTCGAGCTTAGCGCCATCCCATCAGATTATTCAGATCACTCAGAGTCATCTGGAATTCCCCAGTCTCTTTACACCTCATACACAGCTTCGCATGAGGCACTAGGAGCTAAATCTCAGGCCATCGAGACTTTGAAATGGGCATTCTCAAACAGTCGTCTCGTCGATATTGACGTTCAAAGTGATATCATGTCGAATGTCGCAAAGTATGAAGTATTTGAGGACCTTCTCATGAAAGCCACAACCGATCTTCCTGGAGACAGGAAGGTCCCCATAGTCCTTTGTGAGCATTTTTGCCCTTAAGGTGAGTGTCTGGAACTGACAAAATTTTAGCCAATATATTACCGCCACCCCATGACCTAAGCCTACCGATCGTTAAGCTCCTCGCTGATCCAAGTTATCGCAATTATCAAGCACACTCTGCATCCCTGTCATTGTTTCCGAATCTCTATGTGAAGTTTACGCCTCCCATGTGGAATCAAACCGTACCAGGTCCCGCAGATCCAACTTCAGAAATGGATCAACATCGTGAATGGAAACGAAAAATCAAGATGTTCAGTAAGTTCTTGCGTATGTATTTTTAAATATTGGTACAGCGCTGATGAACTTCCGGCAGTTGGTCCGGTGCTGGAAGCATTTGGCTACGAGCGTATCATTTTTGGAACTTCACCTTCCTTGGCTACACCCCCGCTCCTTAACCCCGCAGACTGGTATGCGCTTGTGCGCGAGTCATTTGCAGAGCTTGCGGTGGAGCAGGACGCAATCGACTCAATCTTTAGTTTAAATGCAAAGAGGATCTACGGAAACCCATAATGCCCTTGAAGCCTGCCAGTCTTGTACAAATATTCCCCATTTTTTTTGACCAGTTTTCGTAATCGAACGATGTCGATATCTTGTATGCTTCGGTGCACTGGAATTTTCAAATCAATAACGAATCATGTAAAGTAACCAACAAACAATGTGTCGACTTCGGACGTTGACAAAGAGCTAATAACACGGTGATAAGGAGAGTTTGCGACACGATCTCACGTAAGAGACTTGACCAGTATCTATGATTAGGGGTGCTTCCATGTTTGGGACAGGTAACTGGCACCTGAGTTTCCTTTCTTGTACGGCGCTGCTTCAACCACCTGCCGCGGCGATTTCGTTATGTAGGTCCATTCAGTTTGTGTGATCCACAGTTTCGCTCAGTTCCTGCTAAGAAGGGTATACACTATATCACACTTGTAAGAACTATTTCACAACAAAATTTGCTTATTTTCATCTTGGGACCCACAGTAACTGACAGTAGCTAAACGGCGAGGTTGTCACCTGGTTTCACCAGCTGACAGTCTCTCTACCTGCTACAAACCATTTCCTTCGCCGGTAAAAGTACTCATACAACGAATGGGCAGCGACAACGATGCACAAATAGGATATGGTAGACGTGGTGCGTCATCATCGTGAGTGCTCGAGTCTCTTCTGGTCGGTTAATATCAATTGCACACTTACCAATCACATGAGGTTAGGAGCAGCAGAGAGTCTTCACCCGCTTCTGTAAGTGAACGTTTCTCTTCCTGACACGTGTTTCTTCTTTTCTTCTACTCGTCATGGCCATGCAGTTGTCTCACATGTCCTACACAACCTTGCAGAAACGGCAGAAACGGTCTTTCACACCAAATTCTGACGATGAGACCCACGTAGTCCCTGCACCAGTCGACACTAATGCGGATACATCTTCCAGAGATGGTACCCCAGCACCATTGATTCGTCAAGCAGTTGGATTTTCATGGCAGCCAGTCCGTGCTCCCTATCCCAACTGTCAACACCTACCAAGCTGTCCTCCCGTCAAATCCAAATGCAATACAATTTCTCCCAGGACAGGCGCTACCCAAGAAGAAGAAAAGGAGGCCAAAACCGGAGTACTCCGCTCAGACCAGCCGGTTTAGACTCGCTCAGGTACCCGAGCCCCCACCAGCACACACATCAGAACCCTCAACACAGCCCACACTATGTGCTGGCGGGGGTCCGTATTCTTCAATGTATCGCATCAGCAGTGCTGCATCGCCTAGTGCTAGTGTCACCATGTCTAACCCTTCAGTCGCTGATGGTGCGTCACCTGGGGAAGCTCATTCCCCGGCCGCATCTTCAACAGTAGTGTCCGGCCCACGTAGTTCGTATCGTGCGGCACCGGGTGCATACAATAACACAATTCCAAGTGGCAGTTGCGCCCAAGGGCAACTTGACGGACATACCACCCCTGCCAAGAATAAACGGAACAAGAAACCAACCGGGCAACGCACTGCTCGGGGCCCTAGTTCCTTAGCTCAGTCATCAGCCTCTGGTTGCCAACTTCAACCATCTCCCAATATGCATTACCCACACCCAGGAGCACATTATCGTCGTGATTATGAGGCAAACCTCGATTCACGATTACCCTCCACAAGTGCAGTATCTCGTCAAGAACCTGTGGGACCGACTTTTTGTAAGGTGGTAGCCTTCGCCTTGCTTCCTGATCTAACGCTTCTGCAGCTGCACAAGAACGATCTGCAGCACCTCCAGCCCCTGGAGGACAAACGCAACCTCTTCGGATGTTGACGCTCCTCATTGAGGATATTAGAAGTGGAGTCCCAGATCACCAGCTTGCAGAGATCAAAGTGTTTCTTCGGCCAGGGGAAGATCCAGACAGTGGTTTTTGGGCAAACGCAAAAGAGGTTTGCGAGACTTTGCAAGCCGGACCATCGCGGATAGATGGTATGTTACCCCTTGACTAGTAAATCGTAGTTGTAATTTTGTTTTACAGGTCCTGCGAGGGTGTACACGCTTCGTGGAAAATATCGCCAGTTCTTCATGCGTGTGGATACTGATAACGTCCTCGAAGTAGAATCGTGCAATCTTGGTGTGAGCAAAGAGCGCACACTTGAAGTCGTCGTCGAGTCTGTACGTATGGTTTGACGCGCCTGACTATGTTACATAGAGGCGCTGATTTCACTTCTTAGCCTGTCCCGAAGGGTCGATTACCTCCACCTCCCCGGCTTCCTCTTGAACTGCCACAAGTATCTAGCTCTGACTCCGACACTGCCCTGTCACCATCTCAACAGCAAATGCCAAGACAGCTAATGTATTCGGGAGTCACATGTGATACGCGCATCGATTTGTTGTCACAAAGTGATTACCGCCCCCAGAAGAGAAAACGACCATCCCAGAGCCATTTATCACCTCAAAATAAAGCACCACGAAACTCAGTCCAGAGGACTCCTTCTCCTAGTCGCACGCCACATCGAGCGAGACAGGTGAGACATGAAGACCAAGAAGGCTCCTCTTCTGATGAAGATGGTGTACGAGAAATATCGCCCCCCATTCCTGGACGCTATGCTGAGACAGCAGATGAAAGGGACGATGCGATTGCCAATTTCATTCGATCGGACATAGAGGGCGAAAAGGATTGGCCTCGATGCATGTCGATCACCTCTCACGGAGGTCCAAGGCGCGTTTCTGACGTCCTGTGGTCCTATAATTACGTCGAAAATAGAGTCAAGGAACACGAAGATAGGAAAACACCATCACACTGGGATGGGGCGCCAAACTCCAGGGTTGAGAGAGTGAGTCTGCAGTCCCTGATCCAGTGCGGTTTTAATTTGTTCTGTTACGTAGCGACATGTTTTGCGTACACTAAACCTCACTCCGGAATGGGGAAAGGAGTGTCGGAAAATTCTCACTCTTGTTGATCATTACGGGAAGTATGGGCGCAGGTATCCGGATCCGCATGTCATAAACGAGATTGATAGTACGGACGCTCCTACAGAGAAGACTTGGAAACGGTTTGTTAAGTTGCTGCGCTCGGTTGATGCGCAGTTTAATTCCAACCGATTAATGGAAAATTTGTGAACATAAGCTATTCACGGTGGATTTAGCTCTTGTATTTGCACTACGTCACCTCTTCATAATAATTTCTCGCTCGTGCTCTCGATGTGCACCCGTATAGATACATCAAAATAATAATAGATATACATATGCTTTTCCTGGTGTGACAGAGCAGTGTCCATACGATAACGAAAGGGTAGATAGATCAAGGTATCTCTAGTTACAAATATGCTGTCCTTCCCGACTCAGCGAGCATCAGGATGTTTTTCTTCTTTCAGCGTGCTACCTCAGCGCCGGATTATCAAAACTTTCAATCCAAAGATGCGCGAGCAGGCAAAAAAATTGTCATCGCAAACGATCATCATTAAATACAACAATGCGCAAGCAGGCAGCGCAAGTCAGGGAAACAAGTAATATAGGTATCAAGCATGATTAATTGATTAGCGAACTGTTCACCCGACGAGGTAACTCGTTCTCTGAAGCGTCGAAACACGTCTCGCTGGAACATCGCTTTCCTGACGATGACGGGGGCCATTTTTGATGAGGTCAGTGGTGAGTGTCGTGAAGTGTCTTTACTGATAGCATCGTAGCGTCATTGGTGTTGTCTTGAGCATTTTGAAAATCATGGACCATGGTGAGCGTCGTTCACGCGCCGTCTTGAGTGTCGTTAGTGATCTTGCTTGATAGTGTCGTGGCGTAAGTGTCGTGATGCGTGTCATGAAATGGTCGTGATGGCGTCGTATTATTCTCGTCGGCTTGTGGTCCGTGACCCTGGGAGGGTCGGTATTGAGTAGGCGGTAAGTTCTTGGCGTTACTGGTAATGAAGCCGCGGGGGGAAGGTGTCGGCTAGAATCGAGCTTAAGACTGCATTTGTCCACTAGCGAAGTGACGCAAGGCGGGCCATAATTCACGAACCAGCTCTGAAGTAGAAATTGCATCGACTCTGTGAGGAAGTGGCGATGTTTGGCGGTTGCTAGCCAACATCGAGGCAAGCATCACCTCCGCCATGCCAGCAATCCAGTGGTCAATGAGAGCTGCTTGGCCACTACGAATCTGTTCGTAGACTTGTGCAAGGTCGCCAACTAGTAGCAAAGAATTCAATAAACAATATGGGCATCACCAAAGATGACTGACCAATTCTGTTGACGTGTCGCTGGAGGCGAGAACAGACGATGCCGTCGCATGCAGCGTTCATTCGGGAAGCTCTAAGTTTGCACTAGTGAAATATGGTGTGTGACATATTTCGTCTAGTGATGAACACGTCCGTACCTTCTGCTGCTTGAGCTTACGCGGGCGGCACTTCTCAGCCTGATATCGGAGAGCTGTAAAAGGGAGATGCACTGGCATGAATCGACCGGCGGTGTGCTTAGTAATGGTATCAGGGGCTTTAGCCAGGAGGCAATGGCCTTGGTTTTCTGAGCTGACATGTCAGTGGGGTAGGCAGATCCAGAAGGTTTAGTATTCGATGACGGCAACGACGGGAAGCTGTCGAAGGCTCAGCGAATGAGAGTGTATTGTAGCGAGGGTACTGTCGATAGCGAGAGTATTTTCGACAGTGAGAGTTGGCGTGCTTGGGAGTATGGCAAGGAGTCGACGTGGCATTCGACATCTTTTGTATCTTGCGCAAGGCTTCACCAATGAAAAGTACTTCAAGTTAACGGAGGCGCTGTTGGGGATCACGGATCCAAGGACTGCTCTGGGGGGAGTTGGCAAACTTCGTCTGAAGCGAGGCGTCCGTAAGGCAGGCGGATCCAGGAAGATAAATGCTAGTAATAGTATCCGTATTACAGTACTGTCCGGAACAGTTATCGGCCAGGAAAAGTAGCGCTAGTTGTGCTTGGGGTCAACGCGGTCGTCGTTCATAGATAGACTCAAATGAAGACTCACTCAGGACAGTTCCTCGCACGGTCATCTCACTGGTCTTACATAGCTAAGTGGTCACCAGAGTGAAAACCTATTTCTTTGGATTGCGCGGGTTCAAAACCTGCTAACAAGTTCTTTTTCTATCGGAACACACCTTGACATTGACTCATGGATGGTTTCCTCGGAGGCTGATCTTGACCAGTCTTAGCCAAGTGGTTACAACAACAGAATCAAAGTCTGTTTCCATTGGACTGTGGAGTTTCGAAAGCTGCCGACAATGTTTTTGTTCTATCAGCACACACATTGACATTCACTAGCACTCATGGACAGTTCCTCGGAGGTTCATCTCAACTTCGTCCCAGCCAAAGTGGTTACCACAACAGATTTTAAATTTGTCTCTGGGACTGTGCCAGTGCATGTTCGAAGCCTGCCGACAACGAGGTTTTTTTCCCTATCAGAACACACCTATGACATTCACTATGGCTTCGTCGCATGTTCATCATAAATGGTCTTGGTCAAGTAGTCATCACAACAGAATCAAAAATCAGTTTCTCTTGCACTGCGCAGGTTGGAAATCCGCTATAGGGCTCCGTGAAAAACTACCGAGTTTTTGACGTTGGAGTTTTTGACAGGTTTTTAACGTGTTTTTAACGAGTCGATAACTCGGGGTTGATATTGGGGTGTCAAAAACTCGTCAAAAACTAAAATATATATGTACATGATCCCGGGAATATAGCCTATCGAATTCTCTACCTCCGCCGATGTATACGAGTTTTGGCTAGCAGTCCAGGCCGCATTTGAAGATCTCGCGGTACTATGTAATTGGTGTGTAACCCCGTCATTGATAGACCACATGGATCCTATCACACCGCGAAATCTGGAGAATTGCATCGCTGCAGCGAGATGGATAGCTTCATCGGGGCTGGACTCATCACCAACAGTAGCATGGCAAGCCGATAAGAATGCGAACTCCGGGTTCTGCCAATGGGATCGGATGATCTTACCAAGTGGGACGTAGATGGAATCTTGGGCACTTGTGATGAACAAGGCATCACAGCTGTACTTGCTTGCATTGAGGATAACGACAGGACCACCTTTTGCCGCCTTCTGGAGGTCAGAAAATAGCGGAGGTAGGAGAAACCGGCGAAAATCGGGTAGCAGGCAGATGGGTGAGACCACATCATCCCATTGAATGGTTAGTTGACGGATTTGTGGGGACTTGTCTTCAGTAGACTCATCGAACGCGTGACGAAGGCGGAAGCCGAGCTGCTCTGCTGCCAATGTCATGCTAGCGTTACCTGATGCGGAAAGTTCATCCAATGGTGTGCCGAAGCGTGCAAACTGGGTCCAGAATACTGCATGGCCTTGCTCCACCAGTTCCACAGCAGCCGGGAAAGAGCCACGACGAACACCGCATGAGAACGCATCCATTGCAAAAGATGATGTAGCGTCCTTCACCGCATCGAAATGGCGGGAGGAGGGCGATAGAGTAGTAACGTGCTGATCGAGCAATCTTAGGGTGATTTGATAGGCCATCAATGCAGAGCCATGGTGGAGCTTGACTTGGCAGCACATTATAAGGGCCTGTACAGTGGGCATTTGCATTACCGTAGCGAAAAAATGTCAAAATGACCTGAAAAAACACATTTTTTGAGTGTGTCAAAAACTGGTCAAAAACCCCTCGAAGGTGGAGGTGGGTTAGAAACTCGTCGTTAACTCTGTGGGTAGTTTTTCACGGAGCCCTAATCCGCTAACAAGTGTTTTTTCTATCAGGACACACTCACGCCTTGACATTCACTCATAGATGGTTACCTCAGGGACTCCCGTTAACTAGTCCTAGCCAGGTAGTTACCAGAACAGAATCCAAATCTGTTTCTCTTGGCGTGCGCAGGTTCGAAACCTGTTGATATACAGTTTTTTTCTCTATCGAAACAAACCTTGACATTGACTACTGGATGGTTTCCTAGGAGGGCCATCTAACTAGTCATAGCCAAGTGGTTACCACAACAGAGTCAAAATCTGTTCCTCTTGGAGTTGGTTCGAAACCTGCTGACAAAATTTTTGCGATGTATAGATCCTCCGAGGTCCATCTTAACATGGTAGGCCCAGTCATTGCACCGAGACCCCCTTTTTATGTGATAGTCTGTCCATGAAAAGGAATTTACCTTTACACCTCACAACGATCGTTTCAGAAACATAAGATATACGAGGTGCGTACGTGCCAGCCAAGATTCTCCACAGACTGACCAAAACTGTCGGGATTCGCCACCGAACGAGAGATGTTGACGAGGCCGGAGGTCAGAAGAATGCACGCAAGCTAAGGACAGAGTGAGTTTGACAGTCAGGAAATTGATGGAACCTCCCCACCTTCAAGTTAGTTTTCAAGTCATACTCGGTGGCATTTGATGAGCCAACGACCGAAGGAGTTCATCGATGAGGTTTCGGCGAGGCTGGAAGGGTTGAAAGTGGCAGACCGAGCCATATCGTTCTGATACAGTGTGCGTGTGCTCCCGTTTTATGTCGGCTGAACAAAATTTTGTTTACTTTCCTTTGCCGCGGCAAGACCCGAGTACCAGACAGAGAATGAGAGATGTCAACAGAGGTAACGGAAAGCTCAACCCACCATGCAGGAGTGGCCTACCGAGGCATGCATAACGGAGAAAAGGGGCTCTGCGAGTGACAAGCCTTATAATAAGCCGAATAATTGTAACCGAAAAGGCCCGAATACGGGGGTAGCCAGTCTCAGAGGAGATGGAAAACCAATCGAGTTCGACAAGAGCCCTCCTCCACTAACGTCGAGAGTTGAGGACACCCCTCATCCCTTTCAAAATTCTTGCTCCAATGTGCACACGGGAAGGACATGTGAGCGTTTAGATGTATTGATGTATGCAGTAGTGTCAAAAAAAAATACATGGCGGGCGATATAAAAAGACTGGCTCGTGTGTTTGACGGTCTTTTACTCATCCGGCACCTCGATGTCTCCCGAATTGATACCATCGATGATATCGTGTGGGGGCTGCCCATCTACTGTGCAGCCAACACTCTGGGCCGTGCCCAGAATCTCCTTCGCGCCGCCAGCCAAGTCCTTTGCTAGCGACTTGGACCTCATCGTTCGGGCAATTTCGAAAATCTCGTCAAGAGTGACATTGCCCGAGTGCTTGATGTTCTTCTCCTTCTTCCGGTCACGAGGGGGCTCTAAAATAAGCGATATGAGAGGGTGATGGAATGAAGACAGGACTGCGCACCCTTGAGCGCCCGGATGACGAGGGAGGAAGCGGAAGGAACGACGGAGACTGCTGCTTGCCGATTCTGGATCGTAAGCTGGACGGTCACCCGTAGACCCTTCCATGCAGAGGTAGCTTTAGCGATATCTTCTCCAACCTTTTTGGGTGACTGGTTCATGCTTCAGCTTCCTATCATTACTTAGTACCAGACTGCAGACACATACCAGACCGAGGGGACCGATTTTTGGGGCAAGTGCTGAAGATGCACCGACTTCACCCCCTGTTGCCCGTAGGTAGATGATTTTGATTTCGTTGGGGTCCTAAAATGGCGGTTAAAAACTACGTTACAAGCGCAAAATAGGAGAGCAAACGGACGAGCTTGGGGGCCATGGCGAAGGTGAGGAGGGTGGTCGCTATTCCCTGAGGTGGCTAAAGATTAAAGTTCAAAACTCGAAGCAACTGTACAGTACCTCAGCTTAGTCACCTACATTCCCACGTTCCTGGGCGCTGTCCGCGAAGGTACACATTTCGTGCAGTCACATAAATGTCACGGAAGGTCACGGTATCGTCACACTAGCCAGTTTTGAAGTTCGTTCAGCGCTAGATATTAATGAAGGTATGCACGAAGTACACTGGCTATGTAATACTCTTAATGTGCGCACAGCGAGAACGCTGACAGCTCTAGCTTTAATAAACGTAGCTGAATAACGACTGCCGATCGACGAAACGAAACGACTAAGGGTGACAGATGTATAGGTCTGTATTACTCTAGACCTTGTAATCGATTGAGTTGCCCGTGTAACCCATCATGGCACCCTGCTCGGCCAGCCTACGCTCCCTGAAGACCTGTGGGATAACCAATTAGTAAATGGTTTGCACATAGTATACAGAGACTTACCCTGCGATAACGAATACGTTCAAGAGTAACCAAGGCTACGATAATAATAGTGATACCCGTTATACTCCCAAACACCCCAAGTCCCACCGGTAACACCTGTAATGACCTCCCAGGCATGGAGAACGCAGCTTGAACGGTGAGGGTCGCAGACATAGAAGCGCTCTAGAAGCGAATTCCGCGAATCATGATGAGACGACCGACAGGAAACAGTTGACTTACGGTTGAAGTAGACGCAACACTACCTGTAGAGACTGAATTGATGACCTTGCTAGATACGACATCCGCGCCCGTCGACATGGTGCAATTCTGGACCTCCTGAATTTGGCTGCCAACGGGGGTGAATGTGAGGACACAGGTCTCATTCATTGGACCATTTGCACTGCGAAGATTAACCCCATAACCATTATAAGAAATCTGGCTTTGGCTCACGTTTGGATGGACGTCGTTGTAGTGACTGAGGGGGGGACGGCAAGAACGGAAGAAGTTGCTGCTTGACGGCGAGCGATAGCGCCATGTTCACCAGATGGATATGCATTGGCGAAGCCTAGCGAGAACAACGCGAGGTAGGAAAAGAACACAAGCTTGGAGAACATTATTGCTGAAGGACTTGATAATTAAAATGAATGAAGAGGCCTGCTCTTGGTTTCTCGGCGAATCCAATAAGAAGATAAAGTTAGAAGCGAAATGGAGTGCGAGATGATGCCACCAGGGCGTTGAAGGCAAAGACAATGGAAGAAATCCTTGAAATTGCCTCCTTCTATCAGTCAGACTAAATAGGAAATTCCTCCTGCTCCCGGAGTCATAAATAACAAGTTGCAGTGTACGTCTCATTGGCAACAGCATCGATATCATGATATATTTCTGCACAGGTATACTCAACGTTGCATTCCACCCTCCACAGCCTTGTACGCCTTTCCCTCACGATATCTTTTCTTTTCCAAATGCAGGTTTATCAAAACACCAATCACCTGTGAGATGAATTGGGTGGCCCATTGCTCGAAAGCAAGTGAAACAACAACATTGGTGAGTGCAAATACCGTTAGCCATGCTCTGCCAGAGAACGGCAGGGGCATCAACTCAAGAATCAGCCCAAGGGGCTTCGGAGGTTGTAACAGCACCAGCAAATTCAGGAGCGATAAACCGGTGACTGATGCCATCAGCCAACCTACACAATAGCATCAAATTAGAACGACGTATTAATTGTTACGGTGAAGTACAGACCGTTTGTCCACATCGACTTGCGGTAAGGAGGGCCAATGCTAAACACGGCTGCGACAAGAATATACTGGAAACAAGATACTAAAAACAGTGTTGAGTTCTCAAAGTTGGTGGCCTTGAGATGGGCACCATCGCCATAAGGGTCTGCATCCGGTGGATGGTACCTTGTTGCGGACAAGCTCAGGTTAGTCGCCTTCGGCGGTGCAATGAAACGCTTTACTGACCAATCCTGGCGCCTAACCCAGAAGAATGTCCACATTTGAATACCGCTAGTGATTATTATCTGCCCAAACAGACTGGCAAGGACCTTCTTTGACACCAGGCTAGCCGTGGGACGCTTGGGATATATCCGCGGATACGGGAGAGTTCGTCCCACTAAGTCCAATTAGGACTGCCTCGAGTAAAAATCCAGCGAACTCACTGGAAACGGCAATGGGAATGATGATGAAGAGATCAATGTACAGGAACTAAAGAAACGCGTTCAGCGGGAGCAAATTGGTTTGTTGGGAAAATACTTGGAAATCTCCTAGGGACGATGCGAAAGAGTATAGCAGAGTGACTGTCGTGAACTGGATCATGGAGTACAGCGCCCTTGCAAGATATCAGCAGGTTCGCGGAAGCAGAGAGACGACCCTATTACATGTATTTGAAACACGAAAAGCTGGTGACCAGTGCAGCCCTTCCTTCCTTGATGACCTCAATGACACAACTGATATCGGGCGTCCTGCTGGTAAAGGGGGCTGCAACAGACGCTTCCGCTTCAGACAGCGAAATACCAACGTCTGCAGCTTTGAGTGCTGCACAATCATTCGCGCCGTCTCCACACATTAGCACGGTGTAACCCAGAGTCTGCAGTCTTTCGACAACCTCATTCTTTTCATCGGGCGACATTCGAGCAAAGATCTGGGTCTTCACAAGCATCTGAGGACAAAAATCAGTCCAGATAATGTGATGCTCGACCAAATAGCCTCACCCGCTGCACAGTTTCAAGAGGACCGTGGTTGATCATCCATCTGAATACATCACCTGTCACAACCAACGCACAATCCTGATACTCAACCTCATGTTCTGCTACGGTAAGGTGTGGAGGTGGAGGTAAGGGTTTGAGGCTGTAGTCGTCCAGTTTCCAAGAGGGGTCGTCCATGGAAGACCACTCCAGTTTCGACATGGGTGTATTAGCATTTCCTGAGGTTGAAAAGGTCTCGTGATGAGCACAGAATTGACGGCACTGACTGCTCACCGTGGGCGAATGTAGGAGCAAAGACATGTGCAGCTTGGCTTACCAAGCTGCATTCTCGTGCGACGCTGACAGCAGTCAGCGGGTTGTCTCCAGTAATCATCCTACACGCCAAATGAGCGGCCCGAAGGGTTTGGATGGCAGGAGTCGTCCCTGGCTTCAACTTATTCTCAAAGATGATTAGTCCGAGGAAACGAAGATTCGATTCTGCTTGCTCCCTATAAAAACCTTGAGTAACTATGGAGCCAAAGAAAAATTGCATCTAACCTCTTCATCTTTTGAGCCTTCAGCCATGATAAACCTTCGATACTTTTGCCCGCCATTGCAATGACACGGTACCCACGCCTTGTATAGTACGACAGCAGGTCGTCGTAATCCTGTGGAACTGCAGAATAATTGGTATCCAGAATCACGAGGAAAATTAGAAGCTAACAAGAATCCTTCTCGCAGATCTCCACCATGACTTCTGGAGCCCCTTTGACGTAAATCTCCATACTGGTACTCCTGAGCCGCTTGACCACGACACTCATCCGCCGTAGACTTGAGACAAACTCAAAGGTGCGGATCACACCAAGTTCAAGGAAATGAGCATGCTGAAATTAACAGTCAGAAATGCTGTGCACTGCCTCATGTCAGGGCGCACCTTCGCCCCAGTCTTAAGAGCATCTTCCATGCGGAACTGGGCACTCCCGGGCGGTCGCACAACAGTCTGGACAAGCACAGCTGGTCGTTCGCTGCCACTTCTTCCTTTGATAATGCCGGTCCCCGCGACTAGTCCCTCCTCAAGAGTCCACTTGGTAAACTCGAACATCTTGACGTCCAGTGGATCACCAATAATGTCGCCGTCTACCATCTTCAAGGAATGGCACGTTGCGAGTGCGTGAAGGAAGCTCGTGCGGTCGTGGATGGAAGGTAGATCGTGAACGTTGTCTATGAGCTCACCAAAACGGTGCACGTTGCGGTCGAGGGAGCGCACACCGAGAATGTCCAATCCATCCTCTGTGAGTGTGCCTGTCTTGTCAAAGCAGCATACGTTAACTTTGCCTCCAATGTTGACACGCGTGGGCGAGATGCAGAAGATTCCAAGTTTGCGAAGACGTCCGATGGCAAAATTTGTCCCGATCGAGAGGGTCGCCGGGAGAGCGGGTGGAACCACAATCGTTATCAAGTCGAGAGCACGGACCAGGATGACAGGCCATTTAATCTGCATCCATGTAAGTAGGATTTGCATGGTACACCACAAAACGTACCCCAAGTCGGACAAACTGCACAGCGCTGGCACAAAAACCAAGGGTGGCAATACATGCCAAAACACCAATGAAACGAATTGAATCACGGTAAAACTTGAATCCAATTGGTTTCGGGAACAACATGGACCTGACTAATGCACCCTTGGTCGTGTTGAATCCTGTTATTCATGAATGCATCATCTCTGCAGACTACAGAAAACCTACCCGTTCTGACGACCAGCCCAAGGGCAGGTTGTCCTGTGGTCCCATCACTTGCCAGAGCACCACGGATGCGAACCACTCTGGTCCCTGCATGGATAAAGCTCTTGGCAAGCTCACCCTGGGCGTCCTTGAGATCCCGCCAACGAGCGATATCATCATCCTTGGCTGGATTCTTCGAAACAGGTACACTCTCGCCAGTTAGCATGCTTTCGTTCACAATCGCGTCGCCAGAGAGAAGAAGCATGTCTGCAGGGAACAAAGATACACGTAGTTCAGAGAGATCTACTATATCTCCCGGCACGAGGTCGGTGGAGTCACGTTCAACCCCTGCATGATCATGAGCTGGAGCGAAAGAAGACAAAAACCCTGCATACAGCTACCGTCTGCATAAACAATAACGACACAGGAGAAGCGAGACATCTCCCGCATGCGCTTGATAGTCTGAGAGAGAGTGAGGATCTTTCGTGACATGCTCAGGAGTCTGTTTTCTCACCTTCCTGGTATCAATCAAGGTTGTCACAACACTCAATGCAGAAATCAGTGCAATGCAGAATGCATAGTAATAGTAATCGTCCAGTGACCAAAGGATGATGCTGGCCACTTGAAAAACGTAGAATGGGTGGATGATCTACCATAAGGTTAGGGGAGGCCATGGGTCCATGAACATCAGACTTGCCTCATCAACCAGGAGCGATATTGTCGATTTACCTTCAATATCGACAATGTTCGGTCCAAACAAGATTAACCGTTGGTGCCTCACAAACTGAGGAAGTCCGTTCTGGATAGACTGCAGACCCGTCCATGTTGGATCACGCCAGTTCCTGCTTGCACTCAGTATAAACGAAGGCGCAACGTAATCATCCCACCTTATCATACCGAATAATCCAGTCTGAACGTCAAGTGCAAAACGTGAGTATCTATAATCGACAACATGGAGGTCGTTGAGAATTTCTTGTCTCTCGCCGTTATCGCCGCGTGCCAGTAGCTGTGGTCGTCCATCCGCTTCTGCAGAAGAGATAGGGAAAACCGTTGATCGGGCATATGGATATGCCAAACGCTTGACAGGGAATAGTGTGATGTCTCTGTGTGCAGACTAACGACAGATGTCTTAAGGTAGTACTGCAAGAAGTTTATGGCGTTGCGCACCTCGACGACAACACAACCATGCTTGATATCCCTAAAAGCCTTCTCTTCTACAACACAGTGTAGCCATGCACGAGGGAACCAGTGGCCCAAGAGGCCCACGACACCTAAAGTTGCAAGACAGCACACTCGCCAGAGCCACTGCCGCCAAATGATAACTTCATAGCCCACGAAACGAAAGGTATTGTCTTCTTCTGGTACGTATATGGTTTGCCTACTTGGAGGCCCAGGAGGTGGAGGATTTAGCGGCTCCTGAGGTATGTCTATGTCTATGCGCACTTCGTCGCCGAAAATTGCATCAGCGGCAAAGAGAGGGAGATGTGAGCCTGCACTTGGAGATGGAGGGTATGAACCATAGTCTATTTCACTGTGGAAAGGGTTTAAGGGATGCGAGCCGTCGGACTCTGTCCCATCATCTTCCTCTCCGGACGAGTACCCCCATCGCTCATTCACTTCGTCTGCAAGAGCGAATTCTGACCCTGCGTCTGAGGACCTTCGTCGTGATTTTCGGGTCGAAGATGCAGATGAACGTCGTGAAAGCGAAGACCTGCGCTCCCCTGTACCACGGCTGAACAAGTTAGCGATATTTTCGAATACAGAAGACCGGTTGGGGGTGGGTGATAAGGATCTCCTGCGTCTACGCCCTCTGTGGGTTATGCCTTCATCGTCCCCTCCCGCTTCTTCTTCGCTATCAGACCTCGTCCTATCCGTCGCCAGCGAAACTTCACCATCTGTGCTCATTCTCCGACTAGTACGTCCAACTGACTCCTCACTCTTCATTCGGCCCCTGGACCATTCCCTGCTTCTTCGTCTACCTGCTAGTCCATGCTCTGCATAGGACATCCTCGACATGCTTGTGGGTATAGATTCCTGTCCTGGTCCGTCAAACATGGCGCCTTGTCCACTGTCCCCGCCATATGATGAATGGCGCCGCGCATGGGCAACAGCAACGTTAATGTCGATGGCTGACGCGCCCTCTGTATAGTCGTGTGGTTCACTGGGGCCAGCTAAGGCCATCACAGCAAAAGGTACCAGAACTTCGTGAGATGTTTCTCCTGACGTAGTTCGGTTTGCATTAACTGGGAAGCAGCTGCAGTCCGGCAAATGCCGTGGCACGACAGCGTGAATATTCCCAGCTGGACAGAACTAGACGAAGAGTACGTATACAGGCGACATATGTAAAAGTCCAGTAGATAATTTAGTTAGGCTGAGTTAGCCTAGGTAATGCCATATCAACCAGAAACAGAAAAACGTGAACACTGCGCCGCCAAAGAAGATATACATGTCCTGCGTGCTACAAAACTTCAGTACCTCGATCCAGAGTTAAGAACGTTCTACTTACCTTCTTCTCTCGATCCACCCTATAACGTCTCGACTGAGACCCATTGTATTTGCGGCATCCAAGAGTCGTCTCTGCGTCCCCTTAAGAACATTCCGTTGATCCACCAGATTATCCAGCACTTCTCGCCCTTGCGCAAGGAATTCATCCAACCTTGTCTCCGTATTCTGGATAAACGAGTGCTCATGTAATGCGTGACTTTCACGAAGTGTTGAGCCCGGTAGTGGTGTTTGCGTCCGGAAAGGTGACTCGGAGTGTTGTGATGGGGATACTCCGCCGTTCAGGGCAGCAGCGGTAGGCGTGAACCGTCGTCTTGTGTCAGACGAAGGAGATAGCATGCTTGAAGGACCGCCTAGAAGTTCGCTTCGCTGTGCCGTAGCTCTCTGTGCTTGCATGTGAGACCTGCGTTCTGAATGCAAGATAACTGGACATGCCTCGGTTTTAATTAGTTCAAACTGACCCTTCAGTTCCGCATAGTCGGAGCGGAACTTTTGCACACGCCTGTAAAGACGAAAGAGACATGTTAATTCAATAAAAGCTTTTCATGCGTGTCACACACATTTGCCCTTTCTCCTGCTTCGCCTTTATTATTTCCCTCTTGGCCATCGAATCATAATCCTCAATGGTTCTGTGCATCGCAGCAAGTGAGGCGGATATCTGTCCTAACAAGGTGGTTCGTGAGTTCTTGCCTATCACCAAAGCCCCTTCCCCCCGAAAGTTAGCAAGGAATTCAACAGACCTAGGAGGGATGCTGAATTGTCTCCATTGCGCAACCGCTCGAGATCGGCAGTGAGCGAGTTAGTTTGCCGGACGCCATGTGTGTAGAGGGAATTCATAGTACAACCAGCTGCTCCTCTAGAGCCCTCGAATGGATGTAGTTTATGAAGAGTCTTGTCAGAGCGTTTGACCAACGTGTCGACCACTTCAATACATCCGACCGGGACAGCCGAGATATACCGGAGGTTTCGGCATCCAAACTAGCAACTCTCCGAACTTGCTCCGAACAGACAGATGCCATTGCATGCGAAGTTTGTCGAAATCTACTACAAGAAGCGCAGAATGGAAAAATACACGATTGACAAGGGAATAACCTGAAATCATCTGCGTTTTCCCTTCCTTGAAGATTTTCCTCCGGCCCGTTCTGCCTTCTCTGTGCGTCGCGCCCGCTGCTTAGAGCGCTCCGCCAAGCGTGCCGCCTTCGTCTGGTATTTGACACTCTTCGTTTTCTCATTTTTCTTTGCCTTGCGTTTTGGCTTCAAAGGATCATTATGAGCTCTCTCTTTCCCTTTTGGTTTCACGGACGTGGAGGAAGGGGCGTCCGACCGATCAGCGGGTGCGGAGCCGGTCATAGGTGGGCCATGTAGGAAGACGGCGGGATCAAAATCTTCGACTACCGTCACCGTAGCAAGTTGTTCTTCGCCTTCATACTCTCCATTTACCTCTCGGTCCCTTTCATTCCCCGAGAAGCCGAGCCCCTCGTCCTCGTTATCTGAATCATTTGTTGAGCGTTAATGATCCGCAGCATAACGCACACGGTGATTGATCACCTATGATAGCACCATATGCCTTCTCAACCTCCGCAGCGTTCTGTGCAGCTCGCTCTGCTAAGGCGCGCCGATGCTAGTTAAAACGATTAAACTTCTGGAAATGGTAAAATAACCGGCTGGACACAGACACACCTCACGTCGCGTGTCCAGTCTTTCCTGCTTTTCCCTGAGCTTCGCCTTCTTTATAGCCTCCTCTTTCTTTGCCACCTTCCGCTTGTGAAATCCAGTGAGAAACTCTCTGACGAGGACCATGTGTGAAGTCCTACGTTCGCGAATCTGTAGCATGCGTACCTGCGAGCATCATCATCGAATACGATTTCCTTGATCTGATTTCGTTTATCGCGTTTTTTCGCTGCGACCGCTCTATGCGACTGTGTTAAAATGGCGATATTGGAGTTCATGGAGGATAGAGAGATAGTTGCCGGCGGTCCGGGAAATGAACGGGATATTCTTACATAATCCGGAGGTGGAGGAATACAGTACTTGGCATTTATTGACAAGCTGTTGGCATCGTATTCTTCTTTCGTCTGGAAATGGGATTATAAGATGTAGCTGCTCTCAGGCGCACATTTTTTTGCTCCTTTCTCCCCCACCCATCTAGAGCACTGACCTTTCACTTTCTTCATCATCCTTTCCGTCGCCGAGCTTGATCAATGCCTGATCTCGCTTTCGCAGATGCTTCACAGTCAGTTGACCCCGGTCAGGGTTCGGGACACGCGACAAATCATGATCCTATCAATTATTACATGCGCCCGCCGGCTCCAAGAGGACAGAGATCACCCAACGACCTCCACGCTCTTTACGATAACAGCAGCACAAACATCATCCCCCCGTACTCCCAGCCTCCATACTTTGAGCGTGTCTATCCGCTCGCAGGCCAGCAGATATCAGCACAAGCTCAGAATACACTCCCGCCACCCTCAATGTTCAGTTATTTTGCAGTGCCCCCTCAGGGCCATGCTGGGTCATGGCAAACACATGTATCAATGTCAATGGTCCAGCACAACTCTTATCCACCCCCATCTTTCCCTCCCGCTCAACTCGCTCATAAAGTGTGGATACTGGACTGTAAATCTTGTGGCACATTTCTCACCAATCGCGGTATGAAGGTGAGTTAATTTTAGACCTTAGTAAATTTTCGATTCTTTTGTCATGTGAGAGACAGCTGATAACCCCAAAAATCTGTTTTCCAGGCTGTTTTGCTGCTCAGACCTAATGTCTCTCTTTTTTCCACCGATGCACTTCCAATAAATTGTTCCGCATACACGTCAAATCCGGACGCTCTTCGCCCACCGCCCTGCCGTCCATCAATTAATGCATCTCCCCCTCGGACGTGCGAATGCCTGACTCAGACTCTCTGCTGTCATACCTGCGGTACAGCCGTCGGCTATATGATTGTGATTCCAGTAAGATTCCTGGTGTGAGAACTGTGTGAAGCTCTGGTTGTGTTGACATGTTTTCACAGTGTTCTCGATGTACGTCGTCAATTACGGCGACTAATCGCGCGACCAATGGTCATCGCTTCGTCTTCCATTCTAGTGAAATCCTTGCATCGGAACGATATCATATCCCTGACGAACCAGGGGTTATCCCAATAGAATTCACAGCACCTATTTCCCCTCCTCCTTTGACGTCCGCTTATTCTGCGCTATCTTCTGTCGATGGTCCCCCTTCCTATCAGCGTATTTTACACCCATTCCCATCCCAGTCTTCCCCTTCCCCCACCTTGTCCCATTCGTCTTCCGAATCTATTCCCACATCTATCTCAGAGTACGGGGACCTGGGCTCAACACCACATCCATCCTCATCCGATCCATACTTATTCGCAACACCAGCTTCTCCTCGGCGTTCCCCACGTCCTTTACCTCGGTCTCCATCCCCTCATACATCGGCATCGCAGCCGATGCGGTCTTCGTCACAACCAGGTAATCGGGAGTCCGCGCCCGAGTCAAGTGGAATGCCTGTTGAATCGCCTGTTCGTCGGCTGAAGGCGGGGGATGTGCTCTATTGGCACCACCTCGCTAAGAATGGCGAGATCCCAGGGGTGCAAGAAGATCCGCGTGCCAGGGTGCCGAAGAAGATACATGGACCTAAATTCTCGGGCCGCTGAGAAAATTTAGGTTGTCTGGACGACACTCCTCGTTTTCAGGGGCATAAGTTGTCCGAGCATTTTCAATTCACGACTCATCATGACCCTGTTGTTTACGTCCATAAAGACAGACTTATAATGGTATCTATTCCTGATCGATATGTTTCATTATTCATTGTGCAATTACGCCGTCTCTCACAGAATACCACGATACCCTCATCTTGTCCCCAATGTATTCGTCACTCGCGGACTCGCGCAAATAGGTCAATTACATTGTTACATACTATCTAAACCTGATCCACTTGTTCTTGTTGATACTCGCTCAGAAGGATTGTTCTGTTGAGATGTAGATCAGAGCAAATGGGAATGATCGTCAGTCGACTGCGAAAGGCAAGGGCACTGAACTGCTGCTTCTCCAGTCACGAGTCCACTTAGCTAAACTTACACTTACAGGTTCGAACGTTAAGTCTGCTATCGATGGAACACGGATAAACTTCGGAACATGGATAGTCGGACTGCTATCTTGTGGACTCTTCTAGCGGTCCGCTAACTCAACCTTGGCTCCGCTGCTGCAGTACTTAAGGTTATACCAAGGAAGATCATGCAGTGCTGCGCATCTCCTTCGCTATGTCTTCCTATCTGAAAGTTTCTGGAACAAAGGTCGTCGATGGGGATGACAAAGAGGTCATCCTCAGGGGAGCAGGTCTCGGAGGGTGGATGAAGTATGTTGTTATGCTTTTCTGAACACATTCACTTATCTTGATCTTTCTCCCTCTGATAGCATGGAGAACTTCATTTCCGGATACCCAGGCTGCGAATTCCAGATCCGAACTGCTCTGGCTGAGGTTGTAGGACCTATCAAATCAGAGTTTTTCTTCGACAGGGTGAGTTGATCTTCATCTGCAGTATTGTTCCTGCTTCTGATGGGCGAGCCAAGTTCCTGGAGTACTTCTTCCAGGAGGAAGACGCCAAGTTCTTCAAGAGTCTTGGACTCAACTGCATTCGGCTACCCTTCAACTACAGGCACTTCGAAGGTACATACGTGCCTTGAATTTTCGTAATTGGTCGGACTTATGATGTCGATCAGATGACTTGAATCCCCGTGTCCTGAAAGAAGAGGGTTTCAAGCACCTTGATCGTGTGATTGACCTCTGTGCCCAACAAGGCATTTACACCATCCTCGATCTGCACGCTGCTGCAGGCGGTCAAAACACCGACTGGCACTGTGATGCTGGCACGCACATCGCAAATTTCTGGTTGCACAAAGACTTCCAAGATCGCACAATCTGGCTCTGGAAAGAACTCGCCAAGCACTATGCTAACAACAAGTGGATTGCTGGCTATAACCCACTTAACGAACCCACTGACCCCACGCATACTGCTGTGATCAAGTTCTATGATCAAATCCACGACGCCATCCGCTCGATCGACACAGAGCATGTCATTTTCTTCGACGGAAACACATTTGCAAGTGACTTCTCGCATTTCGGTGATATGCACAAGAAGTGGCAGAACACCGCGTATTCGATCCATGGTATACTCTTGAATCACTGTTTCCATGATTTTATCTCATAGAGATGACAGACTACAGTGGATACGGTTTCCCCGCTAGTCCAGAGGACTATGTCAGCTCCGATGAACAACGTCGGAGAATGAAGAGAAGCTACGAGAGGAAGAGGGAATGGATGGACCAGCACGGCCTTTGTGTCTGGAATGGCGAATGGGGCCCAGTCTATGCTAGGAGGCAATACGATGGCCTTGCTACAGACGCCATCAATGAAAGACGGTACAAGGTTCTCAGAGACCAGTTGGCCATCTACAATCAGGTACATTGGCACTGAATACCGTCTCTTGCTTCTGGCTGACACGACACCAGGATCGTCTGAGCTGGTCGATCTGGTTATACAAGGATATCGGATTCCAGGGCATGGTCTACGTTTCGCAGGAAACATCGTACATGGTCCTACTGAAAGACTTTCTGGCAAAGAAACATCGTCTTGCTGTGGACGCTTGGGGTGCTGATACCACTCAAGTCCGGCACATATATCAACCTCTTATCGATCATATCACAAAAGAGATACCGCAGGAGAACCAGAATCTATATCCGTTCCCAGTCTGGAAACTCTCCGATCGCGTTGGTCGCCTGTCCCGCAGTATACTGGTGACCGAATATCTTGTCAAGGAATGGGCAGAACACTTCCGTGGAAAGAGCGAGGCTGAGCTCGATGAAATTGCGAAGAGCTTCAAGTTTGAAAACTGTCTGCGCCGTGATGGATTGAACAAGATCTTGATGGACAATGCACAAACGTGGAGCAGCGGTTGAATCGTAATCGTATATACAAACAAAGCGCTCGCTTGCAGGTTTGTACTTTATCACTCCTAACACCGCGAGTATGAGACTAGCTAGCCTATGCGATAAAACAATAAAAACAACGTAATTCAAGCCGCGCCAACTAATCTAGTCCCAATATGTATGCCCTACATGAGCGCACCATCGTGACAAGGCAGCCACCGACGGGTTGACTGGTACCCACAGGTCGCAACTGAATTCGCACAACATCGATTCCACATGGGCATAGTGTATACCATGGTGTCATATGGCATCACGAGCACTGGATGGTAAACGTAGGTGCCGTAACTGTGGCCTGATATTCGAATTGCACATCAAAGCAATCAAAAAGAAAAGATTCGCAGGTTCAAAACGTTCACAAGCAAGAGAGATCACCATACCCAGAGCGCCTCTCGAGTAGGAAGTCTTAGAATGGAGTAAACATGGGTTACAACAATGGTATAGATCAATAGGAGGCAACACTAACGAAAGTGAAAGTAAACGAAAGGAAACAATCTAGATAACCATTCCAAATAATAATAACCCGAGGATGATACATAAGGACGGATGCTAACTCACAAGATAGGAGACAGGTGTATCTACGCAAATCGTCTTGTCCATACAGTCAATGGTCAACGACATCTACTCGGTTTGCTAGCCACTGCGCAACAAGGCTTTGTAAACCACCTTGAACACGTAGGAAGTCAAGCACGCTATGACCGACGATGCTGCTACACTGTTCTGCTCGCCCGAAACCTGATAGGCAGTTCTTTCTATATTCATCTTCTGAGACATTGATGATAGAGGAGACCGGTGAAAAGGATGGTGACTCATTTGTGACTCTGGAGTCACTCCGTAGGAGTACAGGCAATGCGATGAGAGTTGGCAAATCGGCAGTAATCCTCTCAATCTCCTCCAGAATTGCCTCACCCGATTTGCCGACCTTGGACAGCGGGTTGTCTATGTTTTCAAGCAATGTGGCCAGAGCCGTTAAGTCAGAAAGCGCTTCATCGACAGCCTCGCGAGCCACACGTGTCGCATCACACTCTGCAAAAGGACGAGGAAGGAGAACCATGAGCTCGTGGAGCGCACGTGCGTCGGCAGCCGCTGACGGAGTAACCGAGATGTTGGGAGGAGATGATGGCCGTGAAGGAGGCAGTTTAAGAGCAAACCGTGTAGGAGACGGAGTTACTGGCGAAGTGTTACCAGAAGTGGCACGCTGCCTCTTGGTTAAGGGTATGAGCTGCGGCGAACCCAATGTTGGCTGGAAAGGCTTCACTTGGGGTCGATTAGCGAAAGCCACAAGCGCTCTCCAAATGATGGAGATCAAGAAAGTCGCCAAAGTCGTCTGGGAAGGAAGGGTTGTCGTGTATCGCGCCAATGCACGTGCGTACACAGGCATGAGTGCCTGTAATGATACGATTGATGGGTGAAGAGCTTTGGTACCTGTCTTAGGCACAGTAACAGCGACAAGATTCTCCAGTGACTCCAAGAGAGGCACCAGTTCAGACTGGATGGCCGCAATGAGCGGGTTCACAACACGTCCTATCAAGGAAACAAGGCCTTCGCGAATCGCCTTCAATCCGTCTCCTTTCACATCATTGTCTAAGCCCAAACTCATTTCATCGAAGCTTTCGAGAAGCTCTCCTGCAAAGCCAGCTGCTGCAAGTGCATGGAGTTGCGTTGCATTGGGATTGGGGGCCTGCACAGTGGGAGCAAGCGAGGAAAGGAATGCTGGCGAGGAAAGGAGCGGGAGAAGGAGTGCCGAGAGGTTACTGAGTAAGACAGACAATGGCCTGTGAAGTGAACGAAGGATAGCCTTGTGCAAATGAGGATTGTTTTGACATGCCTTAAGTTCACTGGTAGCAGCAGTTTAACCAAGAATGGTGCCATGGATGGAAAGAAAATACGCACGAGGCAATTAAAAGTCCGAGAGCTCGACCACGACCAGCAGGAATTGGACGTCTGCCTCCAACCAATTCGCCAACAGGCACTGGACCGGTGGGCTGCACCATTGCCTTTGAAACCGCCTCACTAAGCTTAAGACTGAGGGCCTGTAGGTAAGACCCATCTTGCACAAGCGGTGTTGGAGGGGGGGAGGAAACAGACATCGAAGAGGACGATCGTTTGAAGCCACTGAAAGAGAGCTTGGTGAGAGGTCGGGATGTCCTCTCCAAGACCATGGCGGGTTCGGGACGGGAGGGGGGATTTGGTGATGTGGGGCGACTATTGGGCGGAAGGGATTTGGGTGCTTGAATGAGATCATTGTCGGTAGGGTATTTAAAGAATAAGGTGTATCGCAAAGTGTAGAGATTATTGCGGTTCCAGAGCAGGTGTCTGGTTCTAAGGGTCACAATGAATTTATCCCATCAGCTGACAGGAATGAAGATGAGAGGGATAAATCAAAAATATTAAATAGCCCTAAGCTTAAGGAGGACGGTCTGTGTCGACAAGAGAAACTGCAAGGGGTTCGAAGAGGATGGTGTGAGTCAGGCGTGGAGTGCTGCGAGTTATGGACATCAGACGGTCAGCAAACATGCCAGAACGTGGAAGACGCACTCCAATGGTGGATACAAAACCATAGATTGGTACGAAAAGCGATCCCAAGTGATTTTTGGTCTACAGCTGTAAGGAAGACTTCCTAGTCAAAATTTTCGGAGAAGGGCTGGGTTATATCGAATCACAAATTTCCCACGACTCCATAATGCCGTCATGCGAAGGGCTGACCTGGTTGACCGATCGACCTATCGGATTAACTATCGGTGGATCAATAAAACCTTTGCCGACTCGCACGATGTCAAGTTTTCCGAGCACCACGAATCTTGTTCCGACTGCTGGGCTCAACAGACGCGCCTGAAATGGCTCAATCACTTGCAATGATCTAGCCTTAAATTCACGACTTCAAAAGTTTCTTTCTCACCGGTGACATCTCAACAAACACAGATATATCTGACAAGCCAATAGCAATCTGATCGACCGCATGACAAATAGCAGGGATCTTATATGTCCTCCAAGAGTTTCTTGATAGTGGTTCGTAATTCGATATCATCGCACCGGAGACGCCACAAGCAGCTTTCTTCTTCGCTCTCCCGGAGACGAAGGGCGGCACCTTGCTTCGGCTCCACCGGTGAGGCAGCGACCAAGACTTTGAGCTCCCCTGACAGTCAGATGGGTCGAAACAAATATAGATCTCAGCATGGTTCTAACTTGCAGACCGGTTTTGAGGGTAGACATACCTTCAAATGGTGGCTGATCAACCGCAATGACTCTCATGGAGTGCTGTAAACTCTGTAGAAGTCTCACTACGTGGTCCATCGATGACTCGCACCAGCCTCGGAGATTGGAGTTTTCCATCACATCCCAGACTTCTTCGAAGTCCGGCTCAGGAGCCGAAACGTCACAGGCACTTCGCTGAAGGCAGCATCAAGCGATATGAGATCAATACGAGATGCCTGATTGTGACACGATGTCATTAGCCGCTAATGCGAGTACGTTCAAATTGCTCAGGAAACGTACTAAATCTTCGTTCGGTGGCGTATTCGAATTCCGAACGTGGTCAAGCTGATTGTAGTCAGACTAAGATTACGCGTGTACTCAGGAAATTCTCACCTCGGGCAGGTCTTGCAGGGAACCTGCGCGGCAGCAATAGTCAATTCTCCTGGAGTGATGGTCCTTGTAAGTTCGGATGACATCCCACGTTCACTCGCACGTGAGGAGCTTCGTGTCCTACTTCCCGGACTTGAGAGGGTGCTTTCATTTTTGCGCGGGCTTAATAGATGCCTTAGACTGGGCACAGCCTGGGGAGTGCCATATGCTTCGTAACGTAACTTTCTGGGAGATAAGCTAGCTCGTGGAGGCGAGCCCGGCGAAAGTCCGTATATTGCCGACGGAGACTTTAAATTAGCGGGCGTTGAGGCGCCGGGATTTGATCCATAAGTTGTTAGAGCAGCCAAAAAGTCTGGAAGCTAATCTGGGGTTAGTTCCCGGTAGAAGGGAAGGAATGACCGTTGCCTTACTGAAGACGTGGATGCTTGAGCAATGATACCAGTGAGTGCATCCCTTTGACCACAGTATGTCAGGAACAGGCTACACCGCTAATGGACGGGTCATTTCGAACTTCCATCCAGACGGCAACGGGACTCACATTCCGAATACGCTTTCCGGAGAACTGGGATATTCCGGTAACAAGCTCCAAGACAACGTGGGGAATCTGGTCACACTCTGCAGACATCCGAAGCATAGATAGCAGACATGCATCTTGAACTGTAACTACAACTTCCTGAGTTTCCATTCCGCTGATTCAAAGCATATCTTGCACGCACCACCATATGAAACAAGTCTGCTAGCTATTCCCTGGAGTAGTGCTAAGGGTGATGTTGCTATCTTTCCGCAGTATTCACAAACCAAAGCGGAAATAACCACCATTAGAGTCGGTCCAATCCGAGCATCTGACTCTGTGACAGACACCGCCAATGCAGTAACGCACGATATACGAGATGTAATATCAACTAGGGCAGTCAGCGTAAATCCAGCAACGAAATAATTGCACATACATTCCCGGATGTAGGTAAGGATCATCTCAACGCCTACTTCGAGAACAGACATGTCCTCCGTATGACCTTGAGTGTCACCCTCTGCGATGGCAAAGATGTCCTTAAGGTAGCTAGCATATTGTTCTCCGTCATTCCCATACTGAAGCTCGCCAACATCAAGCAGACGAGAAACATATTCGGCCTTGTCAGATAGAGTTAACTCAGTCGGAAAATTGTGTAGCAACTGCGTGCTATACGCATCGATAAGGGAAGAATCGACCGCTTGTAGGACTCTCAGGGTCTGAGAGCGTTCTATATCAGTACCGCAGCGCCCCTGGATACAAGCTGTCGGCGCTCACTATCTTTCGGACAAGCCTGTCATGTGAATCAAGAAGTTTCATAACCTCTTGAACCTCCCATTCGTCCAAGACTGCTGTTGTTCCTGGTAGGGTCCCTGCCCAAAGAGTGGGGCTCAGGCAATCTAAACACTGAAACAAACAGGTACTGATCGTTAGCATCCTTTGACGTCAATAGGCGTCGAATGCAAGCCACTGGCGACAGAGACCGCCGTATTTGGCATTCTTGGACAGCCTCCACTGACACGGAGGATAAGACAAGAAAAGCCTCCCGCAGCAATACTATTAAGTAGATTCAGCAGAAGTCACGCAGCGCAACTACTCAACCCACCTCGCACTGGGGGACTGGATGTGCGCTTGATGATGTCAAGTACAATACCAACATTTGGAATTGATAGCCTGCTCACCCGTCAGATGTCAAATTGAAGTTGAGCGAGTGACACGTACTTGGCCTTCCGAAGGGCTCGAAGAACCAATAAAGTAAGGGATTGAGACTGACGGCCGGGTCTTTGCCATACAATTGGCAGGAGAGCGTTGACTTCGTCATTGATGGAATCAACTTGATTGAGCTAAATGCATAATGTCATTTCCATCTGCACCCCATCAAAATACACGTACTTTTATGGCTACTGCCATAGCGCAGGAATCTATAGAAGGTAGCGTACGTTGGATGCGGAGGACCACTGCATCCTCTAGTGGTGTCAAGCGCGAAGGGTCATTATGTAGTAGCGAGTGATATGCCAAATAAGCTCTACGACGAACTGATATCCTGATTGCAGAATCAGTTTGCACCAGCGATCACAAATACCTTGAACTGACGACTTGTGCATGAATAGGGCCTGCAAATGCGATTGTACTGCGGGTATCACTTCGTCATTTGGCATTTGAATTAAGACACTGAGAGCGAGGCAAACACGTGCTGTGGACGAGCTTTCTAAATCCTTGAAAGAAGTCAGACTAATATTCGCGTGATCACGAGTGCATTGACCTTGCGAATGGTATTGACCAACATGAGCTGCAATTCGTGATTCGGTGGCATAACTTCAGTGCAAAAGACAAAACCTATTTGCTTATTATTGAGGTAGATTTCAGGATCTCAGAATGATAAATACCATACCGAGTCGCTTGTCACGTAACGTCTGCCCCATCTCGGCCAGATTGACAGCTTGTGGCAAAGCAAACGCGAGCTCGCCAGGATTAACGTGGGTCAAATTCATGGCACAGTAAAGAAGCATGATTAACTTCTCCCTGCATTCTTTCTGTGCGTCACATCTGCTCAAATGCATTTCAAAGATGCCGCTGCTTACGCACGAGCGATACACCTCCAACAGCAAAGTGACGTCTAATGCCATCAATTTCGGTCAGGTGGATCTGGTCTGCTGCTTGCGGGGACTGCGCAGATTCCACCTTGCGTACCAAAGAGTAGTGGGCGCGGCTTAAAGCGCCAGAGTTGATGAATGTCACGTCCATCGTTTGAGAACAGAGTAAGATGGACGCGGAGGTTAAACGTGTCAGTGGGCGCTTGTGTGACACTCGCGACATAGGGATGAGCACGTGAACAAGTAAACAAAAATCAACATGGCCTCCTCCTCGCCACAATCATCGGCAGTGACTGCGCATTCATTCAATAAGATCCTCAATCAGCCCAGGTCGTCAAAATCAAAACGCTCTAGTGATGTCGATGAAGGAACAAAGAAATTGCGGCGGATGATCCTGGTCGAGGGCATACCTTCAGCGGCTGTATGTTTCTAAGTCTCAAACTTGAGCTATGTCAAGTGATCTCGTTATAGGACCCTACTCTCCGACCTCGGATATGGAAAATTCTACTGCGCGTTGATGATGTTTCAGCATGCACATTTTTAGAATACGTCGCTCGTGGCCCTTGCGAGGTTCGAGAGAAAATAAGGAATGATACATTCAGGTACGTCACAGGCGCCCGATACCAATCCAGGTAGTTGTGCCAATGCTTCCCGTAGGACTCTAGCAACAGATCGAGGTTTCAAGGAACGAGTACGGGAAGATATGCTCGTCCGTCTGTTGGATGCTTTTGTGTGGCGCAATCATGGTAAGTACTACTGCTCAACTACTGCCTCAACGGAAGAGTGATTGGCCCTTGCAGACCGGCAAGAAACTCAGCAACTCGGCTTTACGTACGTCCAAGGGATGAATGTACTGGCGGCGCCGTTTCTGTACACCATGCCTTCGGAACTGGAAGCTTTCTTCTGCTTCGCCAAGTTCATTGAGGAATGCTGCCCACTATATGTTCAACCTACGCTAGAAGGAGTTCACCGTGGTCTCAAGGTAGCTGTTTTGTGGTTTCTTCGGCGTGTTGCTAAATTCCTATAGCTACTCGACAGATGTTTGAAGATAGTGGACCCCGAACTGTTTGCATATTTGCGAATGAAAAACCTTTCGGCTGAGATCTATGCGTTTCCATGTATGTGACTCAGCAATAAGCATTCAACTCGCCGATGATCATTACTTCATAGCTGTTCTGACACTCTGTGCATGCACGCCACCTCTTGACCAAGTGCTCCAACTATGGGATTTCCTCCTTGCATTTGGCGTACATCTCAATGTCCTATGTGTCATTGCCCAGCTGCTTCTCATGCGAGATGAAGTAATGGTATCAACAAGGTCATGTCAATAGTTTTGTAGTTGCGCATTCCATGCTTATTTTGATTCTAGTCCCATGCGTTTACTGCGAACATTCCCACCTCTTGAGGCAGTTCCAGTTATAGGCATTGCAGTGACTCTCGTTCGCGATCTCCCTGTAGATCTATATGACGAACTCGTTCGACACCCGTACGAAATCACTCACGTGTAGCCTACACCTTCCTGCAGACCCCCGCGCTCGAAGGTTCCTTCGTCCATACTAATCTTGTAGCATATCATTTTATGGCATCCGTGTTGCATGTAAGTCCCCCGTTATTTATCAGCCAACCTCAAATTATGCTCTTAAGATTCACGAATACGTGCCATATATCGATTGTTCTTCCACTACATGCTAATAACAAAGGCAATATTTAGTACCAAAGGTTAGCCAAGGGACAAAGTTGTCAGCTTGAGCTCGTTTCTCACTAGTTATTACCTGAGACCTGACAAAAGCTCGCACCTGATGTGTCTCCCATAAACTGTCTGGGGGGGACAACATAGGAGTAAGTATAACATTCAGTGGCGCTGACGTCCATTACACCCATAGAAATCATCCAGCAAGCTGGACCGTGGACTACCAAGTAATCTGGTACATTGTATCCGCGCCTACATGGTGGTGGGTTCATACACTGACACAATACCCAAGTATTCCACCGCGAGTCTGCTCGTCATTCATTGGTGTGTTCGGCACTTAGACCATGTACAGATGATTTTTTCATGGAATACGCGAAGGAAATGATTACGGCAGGGTGCTCTTCAACTTTCTCGGCTGTTCACCATTCGTTTCTTGGGTTGATAGATATTGTGGCCCGTTCCACTCACGATGTTCCCGAAAAGACTGGCCAGCATCATTATATATAGGTCGAATGATTGGATCATGTACTCCCAGAGTAATCTTCATGTATTGCTGATGTACGTCGATTTCCTTGGTCCACAGGTTCCCTCCCGAATACTGTGGATTTAGCTCTAGTTTAACGAGAGCACACCCTCAACTTTTTGGTAAGTATTACTTAGAGGCATCTCCGTATAGATCTCAGTACTGGTGCTCTGCTAAACGCGATTATCTTCAAGAAGCTCACCAATCAAATGTTAGTACCCTTAGCCTGGAGGCGCAGGCAAAGGACGCTGCAAAAAGAGGCGAAGACTGCTGTTATAAGGTTATTAATACAGCTCCCTTGCGTAGTCAGATTGTAGCTGGTCAGTATCTTCAATCTTCAATAACCTCCCAACCCTCCTCAACAATAATCGGAGTGGTCTGGTGTTGTTCGTCCGTCTGTGTTGTTATTTCCGTCATGTCTGCCTCATACTTTGCCGTCATCGTGCCTATGATCCTGATCCGCTTGATGCCGCCGTCAGGGTAAATTGATATCTTGACGTGTGTGTACTGCTCGTATGGGCTGCCCAACCGAAAGAAACGCATGCGGTGGGGGCCCAATTTAACGGGCGATAAAATTATATTCCAGTCGTCGCCATTTGCATCTGGTGCAGTGTCTTGACTGTTTATGCCCCGAATATCGCAACTCTCTGGAAAGTTGCCTTTGAAGTGGATGGTATCGATGACTGCTGTTGACAAGTATCCTGGAGCACCCCTGAAAGAGTGAATGGCACTCAATTAATCAATTAACAGTCTACAAGCGAGTAAGAACATACAGTTTGATAGTGACCCAGTCATGGTGATCTTTTGTATGACTCCTTTTGGTTTCCCATCCATCCCCCATATCTTTCCCTGTGGTCTATAAGAAAAGCCGTAACTTGTTCGAAATTCCAGTGTCAACTGACCTCGCCCCGGAAGAAGAAGATTTGAGCTTGACCCAAAATGGTCATCGGATGTAGCGACGACCTTACCGCCCGTAAAGATATGAGCAAGATCAAAAGGTTCTACAGGATTTGCAGGAATTACGGGCACGACATGTCCATAAACGCGAAAGCGGGCCTGCAAAGTATGAAGCATCTACAGCAAACCAGCACAAGCGCACTTACGATCCCTCCATCTGGATAAATTCTAAGTCTAACATAAGTAGCCTGTCCTGTTGCAGGTATCTTGTAAAGATGTCGGCGTGATGGCCCCAGGCGTACTTTAGGAAGGATGCCTTTCCACTGGGACGTCAATCAGCTTCGTCACGGATGATGCTATGAGCATCATGCGTACCGTTGTTCCTTCGTTTGGAAATTCGTACGCAGCGTCAACAGAAGCCTCTGGTGCCTCATTGCCTATGTAGCAATGTCATCAAGTTCTGGTCCTGTATCGAGCGATAACCCGGGAATACCATTGAAGTGAGTTGTATCGATGTCAAAACCAGTGATTATCCCTGTCGTTCCCAGTTTGATGGTACACCTATGCATAGTGTCCTCTTGCAAAATACGTTGGTCGCACGAAAAGTACCCACCAGTCATACGTTGGGTTGTGTCGTCGTGTTTCCCATCCGCTATATAGCTCCCCGTTCGGTCCATACTGCTTAGCAAGGCTTACGGGCGGCTGTAAACTTCTGTATTGAATCAAGGCACCGAGTAACAGAGTCTAGGACTGACCTCGACCAACAGGAGTTGGTATGCCTCAGCAAAGAATTCATCAGAAACATGCACTACTTGTCCTCCTATAGATACACTTGATAATTCTATCGAAAGTCAGCTCAGTTGAAGAAGAAACTACGATCTTTGACAGCTGACCTGTCGTCGACCCAAACTCCTTGGAGAAATCCCCCAGCGGAACCACCTCGTATGCCATCGTACATTGCATTGTCATGATAAGCCCACACAGCTGGTCATGAGATATGATTATAATTAGAACAACCGCTGCCACATGTAGAAACGTAGGGTTGTTGAATATTGTAACTTGCAACGACGGATTCAATGCGACAGCGACGTAGGAGAGCTACACCATACGAAATTCTGACTGCTGTTCCAAGGATTTTGGCGTTCAGCATCTTTTCGAAAGTGACCTTAACTGAAACGAAGTTTCGACGTATGCGTGAAATGATACATGCCAAGATCTTCATCTCCTTCTTCCTCTTCTTCCTCTTCTTCCTCTTCCTCTTTCTCTTCTAATAGATCAGTGCAATCAATATACCCCCCGCAGCACTCAGAACCAAGGCTTGGCGATGGGCTCACTGCTCGGGCTTGAAAACTGGCCGACGACGACGCAGGAGTTCGATCTATCCGTTGTCCATCAATAGGGGAGAGTATCTGATTTTGAGGTGCCGAGCGGGCTCGGGATTCTTGAAGAGCAAGCACATGTGAGGGTAGAATTGTAGTCGGCTGTAAGGATGCTTGACGAGGGGAAGGTGACTCAGAAGGGCGAAAGACGCTAGGACCTGCGGGTGGTTGTGAATATGAGGATATTGGTATTGGTGGTTGCCGATGATGGAATGAATTGTGATCCGGGGGGACTGGCGCACGAGGTGCAGTGATCTGTTGGAAGCGCGCGATCGATGCAGAGGCGTTTACTAGGTCACGCAGTAGCTCGGATGATACTTGTACCTAGATGAAGAATCTACAATGGGTTACCTGTTTCAACGAAGAGCTGAAGTGACATACAACTTCCTGTGGCGAGCCGAAGGGCATGGCAGCTCGAGCTAATTCTAGCTCTCGTCGTAATCGCACATTCTCATCTTCGGCCTTTAGACACCGTTGCTCGAGTTCGGTAAGATATCGGGCCTTGCGCGCTCGGTAATCGCGCTGCTGGGTAAGTTGTCGCGTAGGGGGAGCAGTCAGATCTCTTTTGCGTCCTCTGACCATATTTACCGTATGGTATGCGATGGATGCGTTGAAGGGCGGGGACGTTCCAAGGATGACAGTCGCGGTGTGAACTACACTCGTAATCAGTCTGACATATATATAATACACAACGGTTTTGCGTTGAGCGTTTAACTTTGCACGAGACAATCGGACTATTGCTTACCAATTTTGTGCCTTCGAGTCCGAGTCAGCCGGCCCCGGGTGCAGCACTCAAAGTTGGCTCAAAGACTGGATCAAAACAGGTTCTGACAGTCGCACTTTATATAAATCGTAACGGCGCCAGCGCCAGTCCCCGACTAGGGTGATTTCGTATCCCTCGAATGCCTCGCAAACTTGTCTCTGTTCAGCTCAGTGGTTACCTATGTCTTATGCTAACTCTTGACGAAAGTTAGTTCGCGACGAGCCAAGGTAAATCAGCAGTAATCCCACGACACGGCCTTTGACAGAAACGACGGGATGTTTGCGTCTGACAAAACCCCTCTCCCACTAATCGTGACACACTTAGACCGACGTTGTTGTCCAATGCACCACATTATCGCCCTTCAAGCATCTGGGGATCTGTCCACGATCGTCGGGACAAATCGAATTGCAGCGCGTGATAGATCGTCTGACGTACGCACATAGCCGCGATGATCATGCCCAGTGAGAACCGGCCCTCACCATATCGACGTAAAACGACGGATATATTTATAAATATTGTCAAAGCTACGCAAATCGTGAATTTAACATATTATCGAGAAAGATGACGCACGTTGTGTTGCTCAAACAAAGCAAACACACAATTTTGTCAATGTCTTGCACATTTGGATCAATCAAATCAATCAATCAAGATGATGTGAACACAACGAAATTCGAATCACCTGTTCATGTTGCTTTTAACTTGATAAGTGTACACGTACGTCCTTACTTTCAACTACGATGTCTTCATCTCAGGCTGATATTGTTGACTGCACCGACAGTGTAGATTTCCGCGACAATGTTATTGTTATGGAAGTCGACAATCTCCTAGTAGGATGGTTTCAAATGCGCCATCTACAAACCCTCAGCTCATGAGCGAAAGCGTTCCGAACCCCTTCACCAGAGTGCCTATTCAAATACGAGATTTTGGACACCTAGCTTGTATGAAACATGGAAGAAGTCACCCGATGCGCAGTACACTGAACACGGAACCTTTCCTTTCCTCGAGAATGCAAATGGCGAGCCAGTTGAAAAGTCCGAGGTAACTTGCATTACAAAGAGTTTGCGAAGCTGCTGGGCCGCCTTAAAGCAAGAGAACCGAGCTCCCGATACCTGGGGCAAGGCCGGAAACAAGATCCTTGACGAAGTTGCGGAGGAGATGGCACGTTTGCACCCTATTCTTGCCTTATGCGAAAATGGATGGAAGGTACATGCGATTGCGACGGAGCGGTATCCCTCATGGACAGCTACACACCTGGACAAAAAAAAAAGGAAGGTCCACAACACGGGGTTCGACGATCGTGACACATCAAAACGGCGGAAAGTATCTGGGTCTGTCGAGCCTGAGTCTGATGCATCGAAGTCTCGAATCACTGGCGACAAGTCTATTAGTACCCTCCCCGAGTGCGAGGTGAAACAGGACACACCCCCGAAAGACGTTTCCACGACTTCTGTCCTCAATTTTCAGAAAAGCGATATCGACACTTCCGGGCAGGAGCAACAGTCCAACGATACACAATAGCCACAATCTATTGAAGTGTCGACTCCTTCCCTGCGGCCCGGGCCTGTGTCTGTTCCTGTGCTCCATGTTTCACTGATTACTACTACCCATGACGCAAGCAACTCTCCAGAAGCTTCATCCCACGCAAACACAGCAGATACAACCCCTCAAGACTGTTTTGATTATAGCAACGACACCGTCGACACGAGCACTTGTATTACCGAGGACACAGAGATGCCTGTAGAAGTAACAGTTGCAGCCATAGTAAGTCGCCAACTCGTGCTTGTATCATGTTCATAAATACTGATAGTATTGTAGGCCTCCTTCCCTGTTATCAAGAACCCTCTGTAAGTCTTCCATAACCTTGTTCAAACTGGCACTGACTCGGGTACATGCAGTGCGAAGCTTGCCGGCCGAAAACGCGAATCTACTGTCCCCGATCCTGTGGTGACTCCATCCAACGTGCCGACCCCACTGTCCACACCCACGCTGCCATCCAATGATATGCCCGCACCCCCTGCATCAGCTACTGTCGAGTCGGCAAACGTTAAAAAATTTCGACCTGGTACGTCGAAGAATGGAAGGTATGTCATGTGTCGATCTAGAACACAGTAGCAACCTTTGACATGGAATCTTGGACTTAGGTCACTCTGCGCACACCGGTGGTTGAAGCAGGTCGCTCCAAATGGCTCGTCAGCCAATTTCAGGATTTACTGGTCCGGATTGACGAAAGAGAAGCAGCTGGTAGGTACTCCTGTGATACATGTTTCACAACGTTGATTTCTGTCTTGCAGGCTTATGAAACAGACGCGCTGAAGCTGGTAACGGACTCGACTAAATGCGCCCTCATCCTGATGCAGGTGTTTACAATTTTTTTCTCAGGTCAAGGACGATATATGGAACGGCAATACAGTCGACATCATTAGCAAGATCTCTTCCGGCACCTTATACTAGTCGGCATCCAGGGCGCATGCAGAGGTCGACATCAGGTGGCCTGCTGGCGAGGACCAGGGGGGCAGCAGGCCGCAGCGGGCAGTATCAACCAGCTATTTATTTGCTTTTTCTTGCAATGTATATCAGCGTCGTTTTCGTGCGATTTCCGTAGTTTTATTGCCTGGTACAACTACAATTGAGAATCTACGATCATCGACGGAAATATCATATGCGAGAATCAGCGCGAAATCGTGAGATCTCCGTCGAACAGCATCGCTAGAAAATCTCATATATGTCCCATTCTCTATGGAAATCTACGGAAATCTTATGTTCCTGGTTCATCAATATTTTGGCCGTTTTCCGTCGATACGGTGAGGTCCGGTTCTCACTGGGGGTCATGAACCAGAGTTTCTGATTGTACGAATTTCCATTGATCAATCTACATGTGAAGATGTCAATCATTGGATGCCCCAGACCCTACGCGTCAGCAGTTGAAGAAGGACGCTTGGCCCCGGCGTTTCTACGAGGCATGCTACGCCTTTCTGTCGCCTCTGCTCGAGTCCCGGGTCTTCTACCTCTACCCTCGCAGGCAGCGCGGTGGACTCGAGAAGCCCGTGTCCGAGCTGACGCAGGTCTAGCTGAGCTTGGACTTCTGCCCGATTGGCACCAGGTGCATATACAGTATTGTCCTCTCTTCGGTCAGTGACAAACATGCCACGAGTAAGTTCTCCGGCCCTTGATATAAGATGAGCGGTAAGTCATTGGGAACACGCAGAATCATACCGTTCAATGTCGAATGTTCGCTCGGCTATAATCCATCCAGTTGACATTCCAGGAAGACCACCGACTGGATTGATTTCAGGTGGGTTCTCGATCGCGCACCAAATGGCGACAATGTCATGCAACTCTAGTGCGTCCTTTCCCCACTCGAGCATGATTTCCCTCGTGCGTTCGAAAAAAGAGCTGGTGAAGTGAACAAGTGGTGATTTACCATCTGCATTCGACGGTTGGGCTGTAGACTTAAATGCAGGGTCTACCTTCTGGGCATAATGCGGGAAGGGAAGTTCGTGGCTAGTAGTGATATCCAAGGGAGCGAGTACTACTCTGTCAAGCGGGAGACCACTGGTGGGATCTGTCGGTACTAGAAGTTCTTTTGCTGCGTAAGGATCGGCAAAAACATTAACTGCACATGCGAACAAGGTTAGTGGGATTTTTCTATATGAACACATCTTTAATTGCTTACATTCTGCGACCGAAGTAGTGTTTCCGGGAACATCTAAGGCTCCTGCCATGGCAATGACTCGACCAATTTTATCCACAACTGTTTGGCGGTGTTGGCGCACAAGTTGTGCCAAGTTGGTCATCGGACCCAGGACCACATATGTGATGCTTCTGTCGGGACGTGACTCCAATAAACGCAAGGCCACCTCGACGCCTGATTCTTTCACTGGGTGAAAATTATGGGAGAAAGACGAACTTCCGAAGTCAACATTCAAGTCAGGGTGGCGTTCGCTTATATTCGATAAACCATCACTACAGTAATAATGAGAACCCATCTCAAAAGTTGAAGAGAATTTTACCGGCCGTGGAAATATTGAGCAAAGTGCCGTCCACCTTCCAAGGGTCCTTCTGGTCCGAGTGCAAGGAGGGGCGGGACTGTAGGTGAGAAATTCGGAAACCTCACGGCATCTTCAGGGTGCAGCGCAATGTGGCGCCCTATCGCCTGGTAAAGCTTGTAGATGTTGTCACTGCGGAGTTACGTTCAGTTATTTTGAGACTTAGATTGAGCAGCGCCTCAACTAAGCTGCGTGGACATCGGTATTCCCTGTAATCAAATATCGATAAGGTTCCTATCTTAGCCTATCCCGACGCATTCACGGACCGAATGAAACGATATATGCAAGGATTTCGAGCTCAGGGGATGTAATAGCAAGCAGGCTGTCGATGCTTTTAGAACAAAGTTTCTCTGAATTTGCGGAGGGAGTTGAACACATACATAGCTAGAGTGTCGTCCACGCCAGGATCGGTGTCGACTACAAGCCATGGTCAGACAGGAGTGAGCACAGCGTGTTCGACCAACCACTCACTGATGATCGGCGTCCTCGTCTTCCCTGCCATGTTACTGACGATCAGATAGTCAACAAACGGAACCAACGTAAACAGGGGAAAAATCTGCCACTCAGATCAGAAAGTGCTCTTTATCGTTTATCATTGAAAATTAGTCCCCCGTGAAAATTGACAAGAATGGGATGGATCCGTGGCAATTTGTATATATGTCGAAGCGTGGAACGAGGTAGATAGTTGTGCCTGAATAATTCGAGACGGCGAGATCGCAAAATACGGGTCTTTGTTGATGCCAATTTTGCAAGAGCGTCGATATTGTAGTTTGCAGTTCGATCGTAGCACCCTAGTACCCCAGTCCCCGACTCCACCGACCACTTTGGACTGTGTCAAGCATCACGGATTATGTAACGGGATGTTTGCTGTTCTGCTCAATCTATTAGCACTGTTGAGTACTCAACTGCCACAGTTGCCAGTCACAGTAGTTCCATTTAAGTCTCAAGGGAACCTCGGAACAGAATAATGGGTTGCATAATAAAGATCATTGGAATTGATACACCAGTTCAATTGTATACGTAGCCCATAATATTCTTCAATGAGGCCCGTGCCTATTAACAGAACAAAGTCAGCCAAAGTACTGCGGAGTGCAATAAGGAGAAAAGTATCAGAGATCTTGGTGGGAAATTGGTCTCATCGGACTAGCCTCTGAAGTAGCAAATATTGAAAGAATAACATCATAAATAAATGATACGCAGTCACCCGGGCTCACCATGCTTAAAAGTTGACAGAGCGTCTCGTTAGCACCGAATGCAGTGTCAGCACACGCGCACGTTATGAAGAAGGCAAATTTGGGAGTTGGACTTCATAAAGCGGAATATGCCGGGGAACTATGCAGCTGAAGTCACGGTGGCTGTCACGTCACGTCTAACCTTAGGTGATACTCATCCGCGTCCCTCTCGATATCCAGCGACTTACGATTAATGGCTGAATCCTTGCGTTTCCTTGGCTCCCTCCCCGGCCACAAGGGATGGGTTACTGCAATTGCCACCTCTTCGGAGAACCCAGACATGATTCTGACGGCTTCCCGAGGTATGAGTGGCATTTTTGCATAACTTTCGTTAGTTGACTTTATGGCCCAGACAAGACTATCATTGTTTGGCAGCTTACTCGCGATGAGGACACGTATGGCTACCCCAAACGAATTCTTCACGGCCACAACCACTTTGTCTCTGACATTGTCATCTCTTCCGATGGTCAATTCGCCCTTTCCTCTTCTTGGGACCACACCCTGCGTCTCTGGGACCTGAACACTGGCCAGACCACTCGCAGATTCGTTGGTCACACCTCCGATGTCTTGTCCGTCAGCTTCAGCGCAGACAACAGACAGATTGTCTCTGGTTCGCGTGATCGAACAATCAAACTTTGGAATACCCTTGGAGAGTGCAAGTATGATATCAAGGATGATGGTCACACTGAGTGGTGCGTGAAGGTCATGCTTAAAAAGAAGATCATACCCTGAAAATACGGTCTAGGGTGTCATGCGTGCGCTTCAGCCCCAATGTCATGAACCCTGTTATTGTGTCTTGTGGATGGGACAAGGTTGTAAAGGTGAGCTTTCCCTAAAATTCATGTTGCTGGCCATCCTAGTCTAGTGACGTTATATCTTTATTTGCTACTTCGAGGGTGATCACGATGTTTTCCATCAAAAACCTATGAATCGCTCGTAGCAATGTCCTAGTACACACAGTGCTAATACCACTTTGACAGGTCTGGGAACTCTCCAAGTTCAAATTGAAGACCAACCACTACGGTCACACCGGCTACATCAACACCATCTCTGTCTCTCCTGACGGTTCCCTTGCTGCATCAGGTGGCAAGGATGGCATTACTATGCTTTGGGACCTGAACGAGGGCAAGCACCTTTACTCGCTTGAAGCTGGTGACATTGTCAATGCTCTTGTGTTCTCGCCCAACCGCTACTGGCTATGCGCTGCCACTGCCAGCTGCGTTAAAATCTTTGACCTCGAGAGCAAGTACGTACTTCCAAATTTTGTTACGACATCTAGCTTATTGGTGTGATTCCCAGGTCAATCGTTGACGAGCTCAAACCCAGCTTCACTGACGTTGGTCCCAACTCACGGGAACCCGAGTGTGTGTCGATTGCATGGTCAGCAGACGGGCAGACGTTGTTCGGTGGATTCACTGACAACCTTGTTCGTGTCTGGACCGTCACTTCTTAAAATCCTCCGGGGAACTTGCGTGGTGGAGGACACCTTGAGGTTTTACCCTATGCATCGTTTTTACTGTAGCTGGCTGCTTGCATCTCAAAAAAAAACATTGCATCTCTCAATTCCTGGTGAAATCTATGACTTAATGAACATTCACAAAACTCCTGCAGTCTCAGCTTCCTGCATGTTTCGTTGACGCTCCGCGTAATCCCAGCGATCTAGGCCTCCGAAATCGATCTTCATCGCGCCAGAAGACAGGTTTACTTGCAATTCGCAGATGTGAGATACCCTAGCTCTCCAGCTATCGGCCCTACAACGATAATTAGCACTGGTGACCAATTGTGTTTCATCGGCCTCACGTTGCTGTGCCATACATGTCCGAGCTGGTCTGACTGACCACCCGGACGCATTGATCACTGTTAGACTTCGCGTCATATATCCACAGGTTTTTTCCTACATAGACCTCCTGCCAGCCACCCGAGTCAACTAATCTGTTTGGGGGCCTGATGCGTTTGGTATCTGGTGGAGGAATGGGGGTTTGTCGGACATCCACATCATTAAAAAGGCGAAGCGCAGCAAGATTTGAGATGTTGGTTAGCAGAGCACGTTCCTGGGGTAGAGATGGATTGACGACGTGAAAGATTGCACTGAGCGAGTTCTCATCATCAGATTCATCGCTGTCATCTTCTGCTGTCGTAGTTGGAGCGGTGCCATTCGGACTTGCTTTGTTGGGCTCAGGTTGATCGACCATCATCGTGACTTCTTCTTCCAAAGGGCTGGCTGTAAACTCCCTCTCTCCTTCCTCCAATCGACTGCAGAAAGCCAGCCAAGCAGCTTCATCGGAAAAATCAGTCCGCAAAAGGATTCCCAGCTCTTCTCTGTTAGTTGATACTTCGTCAAAAGGATCACCATCCATGTGAAAATCCGCATTGACATCGGTACCGCCAGCAGTGGTCTGAGATACGTTTGAATACCGGGGATCTTATGCGAACAAGATCACGATTTGCTCACAGATGACAGCGTTTTCTCGCTCGAGGCCCAGAACTTTTGTGCAACCTGGAGCTTCCATCGTCTGCGACCTTCGTTTGGTGATTGGCTCTTAGTCGATGCGTAGTGAATCTGTGATGAACTCAGTTTGGACCTTTGAAAGGAGTTACTAAACCCACGGGCAACCATTCTACGAAAGGACTTGAATGCATTTTCCGTGGACGTCGGTGTTGCAACGTTAAGGGTTAACGTTGAACGTTGCCTGATTGTTTTGCCAGGTCACCACTACATCACCAACAAACGAATTGCAATTTGCAAACTCAACTTGAACCGGCACTTCAGTCCATAATTAGTTCAAAAGGGTCATAGAGCCGAGCTTACAGGACATTTTGATCAAAACTTCATGGCCGATTATCGCGCGATTGTCCGAAACTTTCATGCATGGGCACAAATTGTCGGTCCGGGTTTCCAGTGGAAGGAGACGATATGGGTTGATGTGGTCATAGGACCTGCGCAGCACTCACACCTCACACCCAATTGGAGTGGATATGCGGGGGCCCCGCCAGGTTTCGTGATCCGATATCTATGGTGCCCCATGGCGACTCGGATTCAGATCATTTGCTGACCTCTAATGCAATCGTGTTCCGTAATATAAGCATCGAATGGTTCTCAGGCATACAGACGCGTGCCCGTCCTTTCCTGCATGACGCCTCCTACAGGAACTACTGGTGAGCACTGAACACAGGTTCATTTCCAATGTCTAGACGAGAATGATTGAACGGAATGCAGGAGCTCAACTCGACCGAAGGCAATGGGCCTTTTCGTTCGCCCTTGTGACGTCCCTATTTTTTACTTGTGAGTCGTAGATCTCTTTGTGGTGTTGGGGCCGAATAATGAAGTCGAACTGCAGGGGGCTTTGCCTATGGTGTATGAATATCCTGCATTTGCAAATTTATTCCTCCAGCTGATCGAAACCTTCGATAACAGCTTCTTGATGTGCTCAACGCACACTTCCAGACTGTATTCGGGATCTCCAAGCTTCAGAGCACGCTCCTACAACTGGCATACTTTGTAAGTGTCTGGTCCTTGGTGATGACACGATCGATTTCGCTAATCGCGAGTTAGGGTGCTTATTTTGTGTGGGCACCATTCGCGGGTATATTTGTGAGTAACATCAGTGTTTCATCCAGAGCAATACTGATTGAAGCAGATGAGACGAGTAGGATACAAGGTGACTTTTTGTCTGGAGATCCATAAACCAGATAACGAACAGATTTCCCTTATAGAAAGGCATTCATATCGGCCTTAGCTTATACTCCATTGGTATTGGTATCCTCATTTGTAAAAGGCACAGACTCACTATTTCTTAGGCGCCATATTCTTCTGGCCGTCCGCGAAATATGAAAAGTATGGAGGGTTCGTCGGGAGTACATTCGTAATCGGTAATTTAACCCGCAAGAACTATATCACCATCGTACTGATCTCTTATCCTAACCAGGTTGTGGCCTCTCAACACTCGAGGTCGCGGCAAACTCCTACATATCTGTGCTTGGCACGCCTCAGTATGCCGCTGCCCGTTTGAACTTCAGTCAAGGGTTCCAAGGTATCGCATCCTTTGCTGGACCTTTGATCGCTTCGCGCTGGTTTTTTACTGGTGCCAATGCGACCAGTCTTGGAACAGTGCAATGGTTTGCTGATAGCTTTTGCGCAAGAGCCATACTAAACTTTCATCAGGGTCTATCTTGCAGTTGCTGGCCTCGGCATAGCACTTAATATACTATTTTTGTGAGGCCTATTTCCGCATGACGGACCAGTCCTAACCTTCAACAGCTTCTGCAACCTACCTGAAATAACAGAAGATGCTTTGGCTGAAGAGATAGATGAGGTCGGCATCACAGATGGTCAAGGACCTTTCTGGCAGCAATATCGCTGTATCTTTGGGTTTGTTGCCCAGACTGCCTACGTGTGCGTCTGTCTGGTTCTCTCAAGCTTGTGTAGAGAGCCTTAAATATAGCACAGTGGTGCACAAGTCACCATCGCCTCTTTCGCTGTCAACTTCCTCGTCGACCAAGGAATTGGTATCGACCAGTCAAAGGCTAGCGAGCTGTTCTCGCTCTGCCAGGTCACCTTCACCGTAGGACGGTGAGATATAATACGATTTTCTACCTAGAACTCCATTCTCAATTTATTGACTTACAGATTTGTTGGTGTACTAATACTCAACTTTATCGACCCTGCGTTATTGCTAGCCTTCTACGGGTTTTGTTGTTCACTGTTCTGCCTCTTAGTCTCCCAGCTTCCTGGGTATAACGCTGTCGCATGTCTCTTCTGTCTGTTCTTCTTCGAATCTATTTGTTATCCTGTACGTCCCTTCTCTTTTTGAGCCACAACTCATTTCTCATGTACTTTTAGTGTATCTTCACCTTAGGTACTAAGAACCTTGGAGTGCATACCAAGCGGGGCTCTGGTCTTATTGTTATGGTGGGTCCCTTCGTCTGCTGGCTGTGCTCAGTTCAAGGTTCTCACTAAGCTCAGGGTGTCGGGGGAGGGGCTTGGTACCCACCTGCACAAGGTGCCCTCGCCGACGCAACATCCACCCGTCACTCGTATCTTGTCCCATTGTCAGGTTACATAGCCATGACCATTTACGCCGCGTAAGATCTAGCATTTTTTTTATAAGCTTGCGTTCTAAGCGCTATACAGCGGCCTTGTTGTCGACCAGGCGAGGAAGAACGGATTCTCATTCCGCAACCGCGATGAGCTTACCGCCAACTTGAAGCGCGCCGCCGACAATTTCACTCCAACCGAGTCGCTCCCTGATGATATGAAAGGACGCTCGAGCAGTGAAAAGAAGGTGTCCAATGACGAACTAGTTAGGGTCGTATGAGAATACATTCACAATAGAGGAAGAGTAGTATACATGACCTCCTCAATTAGTATAAGCGTTCACTACCCCACAGATATTATTACATATCTATGTATATAACAAGGTCGCTGCCATCCGATGAGTATCTATAAATGATACCTGAATGACGTGAGTGTATATGAGACCCGTCACCGATATCCTTGGACCGCTACATAATCTACGAATGTAGCTCAAACCAATCAAATTGACAGACAACTCCTACTGGTCGAGTGTATGACCGCACGAACTTGCCGATGAATGATGTTGACGTAGGAGCGTCACAACCACGGGAAGTCAGGTTTGAAAAGGCTCCATTTCAGCGCACCCTACAAAGAGAGGAAAGCCGCTATTGCTGGGAGAGCGGGAGAATGAAAAGGACAGAAGTTCTGCTGCAGTGTGCACGTCATGCTCAGATGCCGAACTGTCGTGCTCCATGTACTGTAGAGTTACGACCATATAGTCTTCGTCATACGTCCCACCCCCTGACAAATCGAAGCTATTTGAAGTGACGGTCACAAACAATTTGGGGTCACGAAGCTATTCAGTTTTGTGACACATGGTAAAATAAGAGACAAACAGACACACAAAATTGCTGAAAAAATACCCCTTTCTCTTTTCAACTCAATTCTGTGCAGCCCACCAAGTACATGAGAAAAGCTGTCAAAGGGTAAGAGAGTAAAATATGGGTTAGAGTCAGTCAGAGACCAAGCCAATTTGGATAGGTCACACGTCACAAGGTCCTACGAAGCTAAGGGTGACACGGTCACACCCCAAAGGGTGTGAAGTTATGATGGTAACTCTACAGTAGATGCATTCAAAACACTGAAAGCATACCCTCTCCATTTAATCACTCAATCACCCAGTTTCTGACAGGAGGGTGCATTCCCACAGTGGAATTGTCATGCTTGAAAGGCCTGAATTTGGTATGTGTTGACTTGTTCTGGATAACAAGCAATGACAGGTCTGCACTGAGTACATGTTGAGGAGATTGTGCTGTGCTGCAGAGATGGTTTGCAGAGCTGGAGGAGTCTCTGGGTGAATAACTTCAGCATCAGGTAACCAACCTGAAAATGATAAAACCATACAAAGCTTTATTTATTCTAAAATTACCTTGCTCTGCAAGGTCATGTTCAAATGTTGGTAAAGTTGTGCCAACATAAGCAATAGTCCATGTGAAGAAAAATAATTCATGACACAAAAACACATGATGAGATTCAACTACTAGGAGTTTGCATTGCACACTTCTGACCTTGCACTGATATGCAAGCAATTGGCCAGCACTTTGAATTTCTGCAATTGCTACGGTTTTGAGTTTCTAGATTTCAGCTCTAGGTCACTTGATCTGTTTTATCTCACATGATTACACAGCATGACATTTCACTTT